TCAGAGGACTGGAGTAAATATGTGAAGTATTTGAAAAGCAATTGTAATCAACAGATTACGCTATTAGGATTGCAAGAAGTTTTGTAAGGAGAACTATGTGAAATATTGCAGAGGAAAGTATGAAAAGAATTATTATTGAAGGACTGTTAAAATTAATAGTGAAATTAATGAAATGCAGATTAAGTGATAAAGACTGAAAAATCTTCAGATGTGGTTGACGGAAGTCCAAAACATTGTATAAGATAAGCAAATATGTTATATGATTTGTGGAAATTTTATGTAAAAATCAATAAAAATATATATTTATATATAAAAAGGAAAGTGCAGTTTTGCCTGCTTCCGCAAAACAAAATGGCGGTAGGCAAACATTTCACATCAGCCACCTACTTCCTTTTGAAACATCAGCCTCCCTGACATAGTTACGCTAGGACTGGAGAGCAGAAGGGGAGGCACTCGCTGGCTTCTGCTATTGGACAGAGGACCTAAGGTCACCAGGAGATTGCATTCCATGTTTCTGAGAAATGGCATCAAGAGTGAGTCTAACCTGGGGCCACTCATGGACCAGAGAAGGAGCAGCAGCAGGGTAGTTGAATCTCCCCTCCTTGTCCGAAAGAATACTGAGCTACGACTAACCTGTTGTCCCTGGACAGTGGATGCAAGAGGAATAATAGAATTTCAATATACTTCAAGATGTTCCTTTAATTCAAATACTTTCCCTGTGTTTGTGTGCGTTCTGAATACTATAAATTAAACCAAAACTCCACACATGATTTTCTATACAGTGGTCCTGGCAATACCCCATTCCTGTTTCAAGATAAGAGGTGAAGAAATAATATTTTTATTTTGGAGCAATGTATTTTTAAAACCTTCACCACTGGCTAAAACCATGCCTCTTCACCCTGGCTGATTATTGTTCATTCCCTGAATTGTATTATATTTTAATTAAGGCTTTAAAGTTTTATTATGAATGTTGTTGCTTCAGTGTATAGGTTTGTACATTTCTTTCTCCTGTTTTGTTTAGTATTGTTTCAAATGTATTGTGGGCTCCTCAGCACATATGCTATTCGTGTGCAACAGCAACCCCTAGTGGACAAATTCATACTTCCGTGGAAATATCCATTGAAAACTGCTTTTCAACCTGGGAAGGTAAAAAAAAAAATCTTACAAACTAAAAAAGTATGAAGACTATTTATTTATTTGATAAAATTCACATACCGCTAGAGTGTAACACACCCCCCCTTAAAGCAGTTTGCTAGACCATCCATGTATCCCTAGAGAAGCTACAGTGTGTCCCCTGAAGATTTTCAAATTATGTCCAATACTTTTGTTATTATTTAAACTGGCTTCTTGCAGCTGCTAATGGTTTTTGTTGCCTTTGTTTTTTGAGTGGGAAACATTTTTTAAAAAATTGTTCTCACTTTTTAAACACCAAGTCACTGGATCAATGTCCAGAACCTCTGAAGAAGATACTGAGACAGCGTTGGTTTAATATGCTGTGTCAACAATGGTGAACAGTTAATCAACCAAGCTTTCTTTAATTGGGTGGCTGCTCTAGAAGTAAAATGTATCCCAAGCCCTTAAGCTGCATAAGACAAAACTGAAACATGTGCACATTCCTGTGGGCCGCTGGTACAGCCACTCAGCCAAATTTTCCTTTGTGGTTCTGTTCAGATGGTTGTGTTGATCTCTCCCATGTTGATGTCTGCTGGCCACAGGGGCGTAGCAAGGGGGGTGCGGTAGGTGCAGTCCCCCCCAGGTGTCCCCACTGAGGGGGTGGCAAAATGCTGGGTGGCGCTCACCATGGGGCCTGCAGGGTGCCTGAGTCCTGGGAGTGACGTGGTGGCTTGAGTACCCGCAGGCTCCACGCTATCCAAACAGTCTGCCTGTTGCCTCCCCCTCAGCTGTAGGGTGGCTGAGTGGGAGAAGAAGAAGAGGAGGAGGAGGAGGAGGAGGAGGAGGAGTTTGGATTTGATATCCCGCTTTATCACTACCCTAAGGAGTCTCAAAGCGGCTAACAATCTCCTTTCCCTTCCTCCCCCACAACAAGCACTCTCAGGGGCTGAGAGACTTCAGAGAAGTGTGACTGGCCCAAGGTCACCCAGCAGCTGCATGTGGAGGAGCGGGGAATCGAGTCCGGTTCACCAGATTACAAGTCCATCGCTATGAACCACTACACCACATTGGCTCTCAATGTGAGAGCCTCAAAGGGAGGAGACAGGCAGACACCTTGGAGGCCCCGTGGTGCCCCCATGAGCGGCTGGCCCCACCCCTGGGCGCCCGGTCCACTTGCTCCACCGCTGGCTGGCCATGACCTTATTTGCACTGAAAGCCTTAAGTCTGGCTGGGAAACTTTTTCAGTCTGAGTTCTGCATTCCTTTCTCAGGCCACACATCCATGACAGGTGGCAAAAGCAGGTACAGAGGCAAAAGTGGACAGAGCAACAAAAGTCAATTTTACCTTTGTCCAATAAGCTAGTTTATACAGGCACACACTTTCCTCTAGCCTTCATCCTCTCAAGGAGGCATTGCCAGAGTTCCAAAGAGACATGCCAGCTAGGCACTCAGGATGTGAAGCAGGGGTGTGGCTTGGGGAGAGTGTGTATGGCCTGAGGAGAGTTCCGAGGGCCTGGTAGACAAGCCTGAAGGGCCTGCAGTGGTGGTGTAGTAAGCCAGTGTGGTGTAGTGGTTAAGAGTGGTAGACGCGTAATTTGGTGAAGCGGGTTCGATTCCCTGCTCCTCCACATGCAGCTGCTAGGTGACCTTGGGCCAGTCACACTTCTCTGAAGTCTCTCAGCCCCACTCACCTCACAGAGTGTTTGTTGTGGGGGAGGAAGGGAAAGGAGAATGTTAGCCGCTTTGAGACTCCTTCAGGTAGTGATAAAGCGGGATATCAAAGCCAAACTCCTCTTCTTCTTCTGCAGTCCCCCTTCCCTGCCTTATATATTTCCAATGTTCCACAGGTCGAGGCCAAGATTTATACAAAGTCTGATAGTTGTTACTGGTCTCATTTGTTACTATGCTCCATTCGTGGTTTTGCATTTGTGCATATAAGCCAGCAGCTGGCAACAAAAACTTTCACTAAACCTCATGTCAAGAATTAAGTTTGTTTGGAGAAGTTGCCTAAAATTTATGGAAAAACAATAGTAACCCTGATTTTTTAAAAAGAGAACTAAGATAGAAAAGGTAGGATACAGCTGCACCCATTTCATTTCTTATTGTATAGCAAAAAGGAACAACACCATTGAAGCATTATGTGGATCAAATAATTGCCTGAATATTATTCTCTCTGGATTTTTTTTTAAAGGAAAGGAAATATTGTGCATCTGGGGAAAAGTTTACTGGTATTGATTAGAAACATTTTAGTCAAGTGCTTACATAAAATCATCGCGGATTTAGCATTGCTTGAAACAGGATACAGACAATGTATGGCTTGATAAGTGTGTTCATATGTTGCTGGCTGAACAATGCCTTTAATTGTATATAGGCTGAATAGCCAGATCCTGCTAATGTGGCCCCATTCATTATCAATGAAGGAAAAAAATGGATCTAGATTCATATGGAATTTACTTGGGAGTCTGGTGTTCCTTCTGCCAGCACATCTGGGTTTCCTAGATGGTTTTAATCACAGGGTGAATGCTACATATGGAAGATAATTTATGAGGCTTTCAAAATAAATGCAAAAAAAAGCAGCAAACCACAGAAATACATTCAGCTACCGCTTTCTTATAAAAGAGGAAGAATGGGAGGGGGAAGTTCAGCAGCCAGCTTCCAGAGTCGTGCGGTTTTGTCCCTGATTTGAGGATTTTGCTTGGGGGACTGGAAAGGCCATGGATCCTCCGGATCTGTGCCTTCATCTTCTGTCCCTGACAAGCCTCCAGTCCACTTCCGGGGTGGCGCCATCGGCAATGGCGGACTCCCTCTGAACTGGAGGGACTAGCTCCGCGGGAAACGGGTCTTCTCCGCTACGGACCCGCGGGAAACGGGTCTTCTCCATTAGGACTGTTTTATAAAATTGATGAATGTCAGAAAAATGTTGCAATGAAATTACTCGGCTTTAGTAAAGATGTTTAAAGAATTATGAAAGAATATTATGGTTATGAGAAGTTGGTAAGGATAAGATTTAAGTTTTAAGCTTTAAGGTTTATTTTCTTATAGAAAGATAAGATTAAAACAGTTTAGGGTAATGTAATGACAGAATATTATGAAATATGGAAAGGATTTGCTGGGATAATTAATAACTAGGATACAAAGAAAGGGAGGAGGAGGAGGTCAAAGAAAGAAGGTAATGACAGTTGAGGATTCGAGAATAATGAATTTGTTTTTAAATGTTCTTAATTGTTGGTGGTGTATTTTTGTTTTTTTTTCTGTCTCTTTTTCTTATTTTTGAATTTGTACTTGTATGGTTGGAAGGGGTTTGTTTTCTTTCTTTTTCCATATTGTTAATCATTTTTATTTTGTATTTTTTCTGTTTTTATTTTAGTTTGTAACATTTTGAAAATTTCAATAAATATCTTATTAAAAAAAAAAAAAAAAGACAAGCCTCCAGTCTGCCCCCTCCTTGGCCCTACTGATGTCAGAGCTCCGTCTGCAGGGCAAGGAAGGAGGCACCCGACGTCTTAGTTCTCTCTTCCAGGTCAGGCTGCTTTCTGCGGCTGGATTGCACCACTCCACACCGCAGGTGGGGAAGTGCGGTTTTGAATGCGCCTCCTGTCTCTATATCTATCTAAAAGCCGTCTGCGAGCCCGGAAAGTCAACTCAGCAGTTGTGGAGGAGCTTTAGTGAAGATTTTCGACTGCTAGCTTTCCATTTGCACACATCCACAAGAGGAACAGCAGTGCAATATATTCCAAAATACGGTCCGCCCCCCCCGCCCCCTGAAGCGGCGCGCTCCATTCCCCCAGCAAAGCACCGCCCCTAATCCCGCTTCATTCCGTTACCTGCACGCATACAGGTGCAGACCTCCCTCCCCCTTTCTAATAGTGGGGTTTCCAGCAGGCATGCGCGGAGTGCCGGGCGCTGACGGCGAAGAGAACCGCCAAGAACTTCCAGCGCGAATCTTCCCCGTTGGCTGAGGAAGCGTTCGCGCTGGCCGCCGCCTCTAGGGGTCGCTGTGGGCTGGGGCGGCTGCTGCTGCTGCTGCGAAGGAGCGGCGCGGGCGGAGACGTCGCGCGTCGGTTTCCGAGGAACGACGTCGCGAGTCCTCGGCGCGTTCCTCTCAGAGTCGGTTCCGTTGGAGGCCTTGCTTCTCCTCCGGGCCACGCCGCCGCCTTCCGGAGTAGCCGAGGAAGGGGAGGAGCCGCGCCATGTCGGTGCCCCCGACAGGGTTCCCCCCGCCGCCCCTCGGCTCCGCCGGCGCCTCCTTCCCGGGAGGGCCCAGCGTGGGGCCCGCCAGCCTCAGAGCCTCGGGCGGTGTGGGGCTGTGTCAGAACGGTAAGGGAGCAGCGGGGCCGGCCGGGCCCAGGACGGCGGAGAGGGGCTGAGGCTGAAGGGAGCGCGGGGCCTGGTGGGGGGGGCATGAGGGGTGGGGTCGGCCCACAGTGCAGGGGGCGAAGGTGGGAAGTGGGGGGGGGCAACTGGGAGGGGCAAAGGCAGCTCCTGATGGGAAGGGGAGGCATGCCAGGCTGGCGGGAAGGGGTGGTGCAAGGAGCCCCCTGGGGAGGTCCTGGGTTGGAGCAAGCGGGAGGTGAGGGGCGGGTTGTGGGGCAGAAAGAGGGAGGGAGGCTGACTTCGAGGTGAGCGTGGAACTGTTAAAGGCTTTCAGGGTATCTTAACTTCCATGGGGGTTTCTTTGGTGGTGGGACTTGCGGCCTGCTTTTGGGATCCCCCCCCCCGTCCCTATGCTCCCCAAAGTTAGGTTCTGCATCCTGTATTCAGCAGTGGCAGGGCGGTTGCTTTTGAAAAGGGAGCTGGGAAAGAGCACGAACCCAGGGCAGAAAACGGTACTGGAAGGCTTTACTGGCTCAAGGCATGCATTGATACGTACACGTTTATTTCATGGGATCGACACACTGTAACAAAACCTCAGACGGGCCTTTGGGGCTGTAGAAGAGAAGACTGCCAAAATTTGCAATACGGAGAGGTTCCATTTAATTGTTGTTGCTAATAGCCATTGGTGGTGCTACCCTTTGACTTTTTCCAATCTCCCTTTAAAGTCATCTAAACTGGTGATCGCTGACACACCTTTTGAAGTTAATTATGCTTGGGATAAAGATGTACAGTGGTACCTCAGGTTACAGACGCTTCAGGTTACAGACTCTGCTAACCCAGAAATAGTACCTCGAGTTAAGAACTTTGCTTCAGGAACTTTGTTTTTTAAAAAGTGCTCCAATCCCTCAATTTTTGTGAGACTTTCTTGCACCTTTTCCAGGTTTTTGGTGGCCTTCTTGACGCAGTACTGTCCATGTTCCATATTGCATCTACACCATAAATTAATGGAAAGACATGAAGATAATGGCTCTTATTTTTAATTTGTTTGCAAAACAAATCTCTGACATCAACTTTTTTGTGCTGTTCTGTTCTAAATGGACACATTCATTTTCTTTATTGTGTAGATCAGTATTAGAGATTTTGCCCCAAAGTGTGATTGGCTTTACATTTGTTTGCATTAGATCCCCCCCCCCCCCCAATTTTGTACATTCACCTAGTTTGGAGATTTTGTTTTTGAGCGATCTGCTTGTTTTTAGCTTGAAGGTAACTTTTTCCTACTCTGGGATCCTGAATAGAGTGCTATAGTTGTCATACTGTGGTTTTTCAACAGCTTTTTTAAAGCAATTTCCCAATAAAGTGTGTTTTGAGCTAATGTAAACAAATGTTCTTATCATCAAACATTCTTACAGTCACTGTCTGAGTCAACCAGAGTTAAACAGATCCATGGAGGATACATAGTATATCTCTGAACATTAGGTGATGAAGGAAACAGTGAGGGATGGCTGTTGCTTTCTACAGTTTGCATGCTTTGTAGAAGCAGCTGGATGGCTTTTGTTGGAAACAGGTTGCTGAACTAGTTGAGTCTTTGCTCTGATTCTGCAGAGCAGTTACGTTACACAGAACATACCACAGATAGTCTGCTTTGCTCCTTTTGGTTGGGAGGCTTTTGTTTTGTGAAAGATTCTCAGGTTAGATTGTATCTCTTTTGAACAAGTATGCATTATCAAAATTGCATATGTCTTGGCATGTGTAGAATAAAGTTATTTGCTACAACAATGACAACAAAAACCATTTAGAGGGCTTAGTAAGATAGCTACAGATTTATATAGCAATCGAGCCCCCAGCCCCATTTTGGTCTAGGGAGATGGTGTGAATCTAATGTCACTCCGCATGAGGGGAATTTCCTATTCTGCCCACTGAACACCCAGCCAGGGTGAGCAGCATGGCTGTGGATGATGTGGTTGACCTACTGCTCTATTAAGCCTCACTGCTGCCTGGCCAAGGTTTGGATTTCAGTGTAAATTTGTTAACGTTGCCAAAGATTTGTGGAGTTTTCTCAAAGCTTTAAAGAAAGTATTTATGGCAAAAATACAAGTTTCTAAATACAGTTAAAATAACTTAAGTGCTGCTGACAGTAATTAAGTTTGTTTGAATAAACAAACTTATCTAAAGCAGTTTACTCACCAGATATCGTGGTTGAATAAATCTTCATGAACAAAAGAAAGTCTTTAGCTAACGTTTAAAAGAGTAAGCCAAACCATGTATTTCATATGGTTTATTCAGTTCGAGGATTTTTGTCAGGATCCTGAGGATTCCAGAATTTTACAGCCCTCATTGTTGCAAGCAGGTAATGGCAAAGACTTCTCATGTGGTTTTCATTTTTTAATTATTTTGGCTACCCTTGGAAGACAAGACATTGTTAAATGTATGATAGTTTTTAGATACATGGTCTCAAAAGTATGGTTTTAGAAAGGTTTGTTTGCTTCTTGATGGACATGATTCTTGCTTGGTGGCAAATCATAGGGCATCACGTTACTGTTGTTAGCAGTTCTAATCTGTGGGGCCTTTGCCAGAGGTGTGGGAATGCTGTGCATATTAAAAATAAACTTTTGAGAGTAGTATTATGCAGTAGCTAGAGCTGAGGTTTTTAGATGTCATAAACCTAGGCTGAATTCACTGTTCCTCTATTAAGGCAGAAATAAGGTGACTTGCCCAACATACATCTCAGAGGTCTCAGCGTAATCAACTGACTGACCAGTATACATGTTCTTTGGGTAAATTGTGGGTTACATGTGACCAATAAACACATACCTGTCACTAAACTTAACTATTATTATTGTTGAAGAGTAGTGAGCAAGTTGTGAGTTCTTTATAGTTTCATGCTGTAGCAGATGGTTGATGTTCCTATAGCTTATGTGTATACCTGCCCAGCACAATTGTTCTATGGTAGAGTCTTCCATACCACTCTGGGGGGCGGGGGGGGGTAGGGACAGTACAAGTTATATACCTGCCCTCTTCCATTACAACTTTTCAGCTCTTCTTGGCCTGTAGATGAGCTAAGCATGCATGTGCACTAGCTATAACTGGTTGTAATGAAGTGAATCAGGTTTGCTTGGTGCAGAATCATATTGCAGCTGTTGCAAATAGGGCTGAGCCAAATGCGGAATGAATGTGTATCTTGGAGGGGGGTGTTAGTAATGGGAGAGGAAGTGACTTGTTTGCTTTAGCGATAAAGCAATGCTCCCTGTTTTGCTGCATTGTGACAATAAACTTACCGTACGACAGTGCAGCAAAATGGTAAGTGTTGGCCCAGGTGTGCAGTTTGGTTGTGCTTCAGAATTCGTATTCTATCAGACAACTTATTGAGAGCAATATTGCACAAGCAGATTGTGGGCCCTTTTGGATGTAAAGCTAAACACTAGTGTAGCATTACATGAGGTTTCTGCAAACCTCAACCTCATGTGCACCCACCATTTGCCAGGGGAGGAGATTGGAAACATCTGCTTCCACTTTTTAACTAGGGCTTCCTCTTATGTCCAGATTTTGGGATCTCAAGTTAAAAGACAGGATCAAATTGTAGCTTATGATCCTGGGGTGTGGACTAACCACAGTTAAAAATAACCAGAGTCCCTCAAGTTCAGACATAATTGGGAACTCTCATTCATTAAAAGTGGAAGCAGATGCTTCCAGTTTCATTCTCCTTGGTCTACAATAGAGGATCGGATTCAAGTTGACTGTCCTAGGTTGCTAACTGACATTAAGCCAGAGTTGTCTGATTTGGACATAATAGGAAGTGCTAGCTTTAATACAAGCCAAAATTTCTGTGCCAAAGCTGGCTAGAATGGAGCGGGAGGTGTGAGAAAGCCATATACAGTGGTATCTCGGAACTCAAATGTAATCTGTTCTGAAAGACCGTTCGACTTCTGAGGCGCAGCTTCTGATTGGCCAACAGCTAGGTTTTTGCACAGTGGAAGCCACGTTGGATGTTCGTGTTCTGAGGAACATTCGAAAACCAGAGCACTTACTTCTGAGTTTTTGGCATTCAGGAGCCGAAACATTTGACAACAGAGCCATTTGAGTTCTGAGGTACCACTGTATTTCCATGGTACCCATCTACAGCTTAATGGACCATGATTTATGAAGCTGTGGACAAATATCCAAGTGTGGCCATTGCAGATGAACAGGTGCAAAAGATTGAAGAGGATGGTAGTATGTGTTGGGCTTATAATATTCCTCAAAAGTAAACTCTGATGAAAAATGAAAAATTTGGTGGAATTCAAATACTTTATTACTGATCAGAATACTTAAGCTTGTTTCTCTGGACTCCAGGATAAAGTCCTGTTCTTAAAACAGTATTCCTGCTTAGTCCAACAGCTCTCTTAGGGGGTTTTCTCACTATAGGAAAAGAGAATGGACTCTTTCAAAGTTATAAATGATATTTCCATGCTGATGTAGCTAAATAACTGAAAAGTTATATTGGCAGCAATCTACAAATGTATACACAATGCATCTCCTTGTGTCTGCCCCTCCCAGCTCTGATGAGTAGCCCTTCCCTTTTCTCTGCCTGGAGTGAAGGAGTCAATAAGGATGAAGCTGAGGCTGTCTTTTAAACTTTACTATTAGTACACAGTCTAAAGGTGTGGAGATGTAGCAGCCTGGAGATGCTTCAAGGAGAGTTTTGGAGGTGTCTAATTTGGAGGTGTCCGTACTAGTTTGGGGGCATGCTGGGCTGAGCTTCATTTGAGTGGCAGGTCAGGGCTGTATATTTCTCTCCTTTAGACAGGCTTCTATGTCAGATGAGCAGTTTACAATTTTCAGAATGCTTGCTTTATCCTAAAGAGTAACCACCCCTTGTACAATTGCTTAGGTGGTTAGAAATGCAAATAAAATGTTATATATGCAGTACAGTAAGCAGAAGAGCCCTTGTTAAGTGAATGTTCAGTTTCTGTTAATCTCTGAGCCTATCTATGCATGGTTCCTCAAACGTTCAGTGGGACTTACTCCTATGTAAGTGTGTATAGGATTGTGCTCCCAGTAGGCTGCTGGTGGTGAGCCCACATCTGAAATCAGCAATAGTTTAAAGTTTGGAAATGTTATAATTGGCGGATTGTATCCTCTCCTTTTAATAGGAGTTTTTAAAATAAAACTTGGACAAATCCGAAAGCCAAATGAATCTGATTTCATCATGATTTCTTAGTAGAAAACAAACTACTCTAGTATTTCCAAACCTCATGGGCAGCGATTCAATGATCATACCTTGAGAAATAGAATCTAGTCTAGCCTATAAAAACTCAAATCACGAAAAAGTTGATGGTCTTTACAGTGCTACAGGACTTGTGCTTCTTGAATAACAGTTGTGGACAGGGAATTAGACAAAACATCTTGGGTTTTGTTTTAGAAAATATAATTCATAGAACAGAGTTGGAAGGTACCTCAAAGGTGATCAGTCCAAAGGCCATTTTTGTTCTTTCTGATGTTGGACTAACTCCAGCCCATGAGCCTAATAAGGCCTGCAAGGCGGTTTCCCCTAAAATATGGTTGTGTGCCCAACACTGGATAGCATATGTTACGTCAGGTGTGGGGCAGGTAAAGATGTGACCTTTATTGGCTGCACAAGAGATTTCCCATTGGGAACTCTGTAAAGGTAAGGGGACCCCATTGCAGCCATTTATTGGGGTTCTTTTGGTGCTGAGCAGCTGATGGGCACTTAGATGGGGCCCCTTTTGAAGTCTGGTCTCCCTCTCAGTGCCCAGCACCTAATGGATGGCGAGAGGAGCTCCTTTTAGGGTGGTTTCTCAGCTGCTTGATGTTGATACTGACATCTCACCTTCGGAGCTTGCTCTTAGTGCTAATCAGGTGATGTATGCTAAGATGGATCTCAGACTGCAATTTCACAACCTCTGTGATAAGCAGCAGATCAGTAGTATCATAATCATTTTAGCCAGTGTTTTTAGCCACCATTGGTGTAAGGTGACCTTTAAGGTACTTTATCTTAACCTGTACTAATGATCCTTCTTTCTCTAGTTATTCAGTATGTAATTGCTGGAACTGACACTGAAATAAGTTAGGTGAAATCCCAATTTCTAGGTTTTTTAGTCGGATAAAGATGAATTATGGCTGCAATCCAGTATACACTTAACTGGGATGTGAGCCCTGTTAAATACAATGGGACTCAGTAAGATTGAGAAATTCCATGTGTGAACTAAGCTTACGTTACTAGTACTGCTAGGAGTATGATTGGAGAGAGGGCCATAGCTCAGTGATTGTGTACATGCTTTGCATGCACAAGGTCCCAGATTCAGTGTCTGGCCTATCCAGGCAGGGCTGGAAAAGAGCCATTTTGGAAACCCAGTAAGAGCTGCTGCCCATACTGAGCTGAAGGGACCAATGGTCTGACTCTGTTTAAGGTAGCTTCTCTCCTAAGCATCACTTATAATTAGTACTGAGACTATCAGGAGCATGGTTTCTGAAAGGAGGTTAACAAACTTACAGCCTGATATAAATATTTACAAAGAGGTCACTGTCTGTCACTGAGTAAGTCCTATTAAAGTTGGCATACTTGTTTCTGAGTAAATTATGCATAAGCTCAGATAACATGTAAATTAGCAGCGGGTCTAGCTGATCTTCATTAACTCTAATGGACATGGATAGAAGTCATAGCTGGTTACTGTTGTTTTACAAAGCATACACATAATCATGGTTGGAAATTATGTATTTCCCACACCCAGGACAGAGCCAAGCTCACCAAATACCCCTAGTCCAGCTTTTTACTTGTTTGTTTTAATTTAAATATTTATACCCTGATATAGGTTCTTTTGTCACTCTGGCTCTTGTGTGCAAAATAGGATGCGGAATTATAAGTATACATCTCTGATTCTCATTGCAAGATGGCCCAGAATTATAAGCTGCCTTTGGCACCCAGAATAGCTAAACTGCACTATCTGCTGTCTTTCTGGGAAAACTCTTCACTCATAGATGCCATTCTACAGTATAATTTCAGTTATATATAATACTGTTTTTGATACACACATGTGACACATGAAGTTTCAATCTAAACTGCTTTAAGGTTTACTACTTGTGTAATTGCCCAGGTTGTTGCAAAAGTGTGTGTTTGTAACAGTGTTTGTAACATGCTGCCTGCATTGTTACTTCTTGGACGTATTCCAGATGAGTGAATGTATTACAAAATGTTACATTTTTAAATGTCATTTTCCCCAGGTTTTTAGGAAAACTGAATATTGTTATGCTTTTTATGTAAACCACTCAATTTTTTAAATATGCATAGATAAAATAAATAATAAAAAGGCACTAATGATTTTTAAGAGGTGTATATCATTACTTTTAAAATTTATTTTTTAAACACTTTATGTACTGCATAACTACCATAGTGTCTTAAGTGGTTTGAAATCCTTTAAAGAGATGATCTCTACAACTTTAATATACTGATTTTTCTCCCTTTCCCCCCAGGTCCAATTCAAAATCAGATGCCGTTCTCCCCTGGATATGGATCACATCCTCAGAACTATAGTGCTCCATCAGGACACTACTCACAAGTGCCCAATAACATTATCCCTTCGCAGCTGGATAACCACTATGGTGCTGATTATTATTCTGCCCACTATTCAGCACAGGCACAAAATATTAATGCATCTTCTATGACTCCCAAGATGTTGAGCATGCAGGGATCACAGTACTTGTACAATAGAGAACCTCATATTGTAGAATCATCTGGACCTGTCCCAGGAATGGTTTCGTCAGCATCCCAGTTACATACCAGCATTTCACAGTCATATTCCTCCTTTGGTAGTCCCTATAGTAATCCAGCCTTGCACTCTGCCAGCTCTTCAGTTCCATCTCAGGGATTTGTTGCTCCTTCTGGTCCCTATGCCACACATGTTGCCTCTAGTGCTGCTTATCCTAACGTTTCATATCCTATGTCCGTCGGCAGTCCATATGGGCAAGTGACTGCTTCTCACAACACACCAGCTTTTGGACATCCAGTAGAGGCAAATGCTTATTCTTCCAGTCAAAATAGAGCACCACCTGCAGGGCAGCAGAGGGTTCCTTTGAGTCAAAGTTCTGCAACATGGTCTGCCCCAGAGCTCCAGCTGGCTCAGAAAAACCATAGCGGAAGCTTTGCAGGATCCTTGCCACAAGCAAGCAACCCGACAGGCACAGGTATTGCACAAAGAACCAAACTGGATGTGACACAGTACATTTATCTATTCGTTTACCTGCACCATTCATGTTTTAAAAAAGGTTGGGAGGGGTCTACTTTTTACAACAAAAGGGGTGTGTTAATGAAGAGAGCTGAATCCTACCCACCACCTTCCCTCACCAAGCTTCATTACCCCAAGCACTTTTTCCCTTTGCTTAAATAAAGATCCTTTCCCCCATAAGTCCAGCCTGAGCTACACAACCAGATGTGCTTATTATGTACTGTAGGAGCATGTTCTGGTTTGTGCAGTGTGAGAATACTGTTTAGCACATACCTACAGTCATGTTTTTGAATTTGACTGCTTCCATGCAATTAATTTGCATTTTTTTTAAAAAAATGTGATACTAATAAATCATATTGCCTGGAATAGACAAGGCTGATGTATATATTACAGTGACTTGATTGGTTCATATCTGAGCATGTAAGAAATTCAGGCAGTGTTAATTTTAATATATAAGCAGCAACCATTTTTAGGAGCACCCAAATTACACAAAATCGCTAAAGCTTAGTTCCTTTCAGACCCGGAAGATGACAAAATGGGGTCGGAACAGGGCATGCTTTTATATGTGCTTCGCCAATGTGCACGGGGACTAGAGACTAGTTCTTCGTTTTCTTAAATGCTTGTCCTCAGTTCTGTGTTGTATTTCTCTTGCTCCCTCTCATATACATATGTGTGTGTAACTGTAGGGCGTGTTAAATTTTTCAACTTTCAAATTCCAAAAATGAGGGGTGCTAAAAAGTTGTAACATGCCTTGGGATTTCAAAAGATATTTTGGTTAAATTAATATAATTTAGGTTTGCTTGGTAATTAAAATGTGTGTAAAGTTGCATGGAAATCACTAAAAATGATTGCCAAGTAGAATAATAGAATCATAGATTCTACTTGGCAAGTTATATTCCAAATCACTTGCAGTTATATATTATCATTATTGTTATATATTATTATTATTATTAAGAATTACATGACATTTTCAAAGGTAAAATTAAATTTTCTTGGTTTTCCAAATGCCAAGGAATTGTGCTTCTTCATCAAACATAGACTTACCAAGTGAAATTTGCCCAAACACAAAAATAATACACCCAAAATGTTTTAAAGGACCCCCCCCCCCGAGTAAATTTGCAAGCATTAAGTTTCACTCCCTAAATTGACATGCCCTGGTATAAGTAGCAGCAGCAGTGGTTGTGCATACTGATGATCAATCATCACCAATCTTAAAAAAAAAGGGGGGGGTGAAGTTAAAAGGAAGACTACCACATGAACTATCTGGACTAGAATTCATCATTAAGTTTGTTTCTGTTTGTTTAAATCTCAATCTAAACAGTGATCTCCTCATTAGAAGTGTTTCATTTAGCATAGTAATGCTAGGAAGATTGTGTTTTAACCTGTTAACTCCTGTTGAGAAGGCTCACTTTATTTGGCATACATCACATACACTTAATATAGAGTTGTCATGGCAGTTTGGCCAGCAGTTGACAGTATTTTTCTCAATCCGTATATGTCCATGTGAATCTATATTCTTGCAAACTGAGAATAATCATGTACAGTGGTACTTCGGGTTATAAACACCTCGGGTTACAAAGACTTTGGGTTACAGACTCCACTAACCTGGAAGTAGTACCTCGGGTTAAGAACTTTACCTCAGGATGAGAACAGAAATCACGCGGTGGTGGTGGCAGCGGGAGGCCCCATTAGCTAAAGTGGTACCTCAGGTTAAGAACGGTTTCAGGTTAAGAACGAATTAAGTTTGTAACCAGAGGTGCCACTGTATCTGATAAAGTTCTGTGCCTCAGTAAATCTGTTAGCTACAAAACTTTCATTGCTGCAGCAGACTTACATGGTTTCAGCTGTGAAAACCGTTAATCAATGTAACTGTTGCCAGTTACATTTCAAAATACAAAAGTGCATTTCCCACTTTTTGGTTCGTATTTCAGGGTCACCGCATCTTGTAAACCAGAATATTCAGCATATAAAACCTGCCCAGGGAGCGTCTTCAGCTGTTACTTCTTCAATAAGAACACCTGTTGTGGAAAAGACAACGAAGCCCACCACTTCCTCTTCCCTTACACAACCATCTGATCCTTTGCTTCAAGAAGGTATAAAACTAGAAGATGAATTAAAGTGTCTACATTTTGAAATTGCCCTACAATTTGAAATTAATGATTTCTAAAGAGTTCATTTTTCTCGGTTTTATGTGCTCATCTATCCCAGTGCAAAGGGATGCGGGTGGCGCTGTGGGTAAAACCTCAGTGCCTAGGACTTGCCGATCGTCAGGTCGGCGGTTCGAATCCCCGCGGCGGGGTGCGCTCCCGTTTCTCGGTCCCAGCGCCTGCCAACCTAGCAGTTCGAAAGCACCCCCGGGTGCAAGTAGATAAATAGGGACCGCTTACTAGCGGGAAGGTAAACGGCGTTTCCGTGTGCTGCGCTGGCTCGCCAGATGCAGTTTGTCACGCTGGCCACGTGACCCGGAAGTGTCTCCGGACAGCGCTGGCCCCCGGCCTCTTAAGTGAGATGGGCACACAACCCTAGAGTTGGACACGACTGGCCCGTACGAGCAGGGGTACCTTTACCTTTTTATCCCAGTGCAAGTAATAATTTAATATTAATTCTAGCTAGCACTTCTGTAAGATTTGGCTCTTGTTATTGTGTTTATTTATATATCAAGATACATTGTGTTTTATAATATATACACTCGCACTGTGTGCAAGCTGCTTAAGAAAGCATCTTTACTTTTGCATTCTCATTTCAAGGTGAGCACAGATTCCATTTGTATATCTAGAAAGATATGTGCAAGGCAACCTACTCAGTTGTCAAATTACAATTGCAAGAGGCAGAATCATACTTTTCAAGTAGGAGCCTTTTACAAGGATGATGTATGTATGGTAAATTTACAGAAATATAGTCGAAATATATTCAGGAATCAGTAGGCTTGGCTGAATGTGAGCCTTTTAATGGGAGCTCCAGGGACCACCACATAAAGTTTTAAGAGTTTGTAGCCAGTGCTTTGGTAAATAGTAATAGTCTGACTTTTCAAGTTTCTGAGGGAGAGGTATTGATAAGACAGCTGCAAAGAATGCTGCTATGCAAGTCCTACTAAGTCTTAAGAAGGTGCTGTTCTGATTTTGGAGATTGTAATGGTGCAGAGGAGTAGAGAGCATGGTAATAAATGGCTTCAAATCAGTTAGGGATTTAGAAGTCTGTATCATTACCTTATATTGATATGAAAGATGGAAGGGGACCAGTGTACATCACTGGTGTAATGTGTTACTGGCAACCTGTTCTTAGTATTGAACAGACCATGGGTTTCTGCAACAACTAAGACATCCAAACAGATTTAGAGGGTAGTATTTTTAAGTCACCTCTTTGCCTTAAACAAAGAGTGACATACTTAATTCTGTAACTTGGTGTCAAGGTTTCAAAGGTATGAATAGTAATTCAGCCTAAATCTGAGAAAAGGGGGTCACAGGGTTTCTTTTTTGTATTCTCCCTCCCCTAGTTTCATTTGAGGTCAGAATGAGTTCATTGTGAGTGACTTCGGTATGCAGATATAACAGATGTGCTGTCATAGCTTAGATTGATGTACCAATAGTAGAAAAAATATTACCAACTTCTTAATTCCTCCTTATTACCACATTTATATTATAGTTGTCCACTCTGTGTTTTAACTGGTAAATTCCTTTCCCATCCCCACACCTAATCAGCTTGATTATTTGCAAGTTCACTCAGGAGCAAGTCTCATGGAAGTAAGCACAGCTGAACTGTGCATGTGTTTGTGAACTTAACCCTGGCACACTATAAAGCCTTTGTGTTATGACTCTTACATGTACTACTCATGTAGAGACTAATACGCTGCAAATATATTAAGGTATTATCTGAAGTTTATTTTATTTGTAAATCCCCTACATGAAACGTCCACAATAAAAATAAATTTGGATCCAGTACAGATACAGATTGAGATAACAATCTCAATTTAAAAGGCTTGTTGAAAAAGGAAGGTGTTTGGTAGGCATTGTAAAGGCAACAGAGATGACACCTTTCTGATACTTAACAGGAGGGAGTTCCAAAGGGTAGGTGTCATCACACTAAAGGCTCATTGCCTACATCATATGAAACAGATCTCTTGAGGAGGTGCTATCTGCAGGCCCCCTGCCGCGTGCAGTCTGGGTGGGTATATGAATGCTGAGACTATCGTTTAGGTATCCAAGTCTCACAGTCTCAAGCTCTATATTTGCATAGGTTCTGCTAAATGAAATCTGACTGGCAACAAAAAAGTATTCTGTCGATCTTAGAAGCACTTTAATAATACCTTTGTTTTATGGATATGTTTTTTGCCAGCTGTGTATAAATTCATTGTATTTGATCCAAAGGTTCCATTCTATAAATGGAAAGAGGTTCTGTGACTAGAAGTGGCATTTCCATTCACTTATGGTCAACTTGTGAATATAAGTAACTTTTCATAGAGAGAGAGAGTCAAAAATTCATTTAAAGTGTGACCCTTTATGTGGAGCTTTGGTGACATCATTTGGAAGTTTAAGTTGTGTGGATTAAGGAAAATAACACTCATTAAGTATTAGCACTTTTGAAATTGATATTAGCACTATATGCTAATGATAACTAGTGAAATCTGTTTTTCCTCAATGGACAATTAATATCACTGTGTCAAAATGTGAAATCCACCCAACTTTTTAAAAAACGGGTCTCAAAACTACTTCAACTACTTAAAAAAATTCTCTGACTTGATTAAGAGAGCTGTTTCACTATCTCTGGAGGATGAACTGTGTGTTCTAATTCTACTAAATTTCTTTGTCTACCGCTAATAATTAACCAAACTACTGCAATAAAAAGCGTCTGTTTTTCTGTAAAGACAAAACTTTTCTGGTATGGATTGGGTAACTCACTTTTCATGTTTGGGTGTCTTTTGTAATGCCTGGTTTTGCTGTCACTTAATGCTCTGATTTGTGCTTTCAGTTTCTCACCTTTTCTGTGTGTCTGATTCTTGTATTTGTGCTTTCCACTTCACAGGCATGCAGTATGGTGGATATGTTAATAATCAAGCTAGCTCTCCAGCAACTCCCTTGTCATCAAGTTCAGATGATGAGGAAGAGGATGAGGAGGATGAGGAAGCAGGTCTGCTTTAAGCTTTGCACCAGTATTTCTCACTTTCATACCCAGTTTTGATAACATTTATTCCATTCCCTGAACAAAAGTACATAACACTAAGTATCCTGATTCTTAAACAGTCTAAATAATTGAAGGCAAAATGCATTGCATTTAGTAGCCAATAATATAGGGTGGTATGCAATTAAGATTTACTCAGAGTAGATCCACTGGAATTAACCTAAATTGGTCATATTAACTAATTTCAATGGGTCTGCTCTGAGTAAAACTTAATTGAATACCACTCATTAAAGAGTAATTGGACACTCATCAATAAAAGTGTTGTTATTTAAAATTGTAGGTGTGGACATGTATAACATACTTCGTCCAGATTGTCCAATGATATTCATTTGTCCTACTATAAACATAAAACTACCCCCTTTATTGTTAAAAAACTACAGTATTTTGTCATTCTTCATGCGTGAGAAAGTTACAAATAACCAAAAGACAGAACACAGAAATACTTTTTGAGGCCGGTTGTTGTTTGTCCTCTTGTGCAAGCAAACATTTCCTTAACATACCTCCTATATGGTAACATATTTGCCAAAATATTTTGTTTGGCTCTCTTCCTGTTGCAGTGAATATGTAGTGCAGAAATTTATTTCAGATTTAATAAGTTTTGGTTAATTCCTTTTTTTAAAAAAAAAGACCTGGAGATGCTTGAAACCAAAAAGGTTATTAAACTTCAAACTATCAAAGTTATATTGTGGTATATAGAAACTTGTTTAAAAAAATAAGGTTTAGATATGAACATGGCATGCATACTATTGAAATAGCTGGTAATTATATTGACAGTAATTTCAGTAATAAACATGTTTCAAAGTCTACACTTTTTAAAGTACCACAAATTAATAAATGGATTTCTTTTAAAATCTGGGAAGTAGTGTTGTCAAGCTACATGTGTACGGTATGCTGCATGTGGTGCATGGAAATATTGAAAACATGAACAGATATGCCTTCAATAATTTGTCAGTGGTTTTGTAACTTTTCTTTGTTGCTGATGCTGAACATGGATTTTGCAAATGGTATTTCTCCTGTATCAATCCACACAAATACATTCCTCATTTCAGTATAGCAAAAAAAAATGTACTTCCTGTCATTGTCCATTCTCTATTTTATTGTTATACAGTAAACCCACAACTTACACAGGGGTTACATTCCAGGGATCCCGCCTAACGCCACATATAGTCAAAACACATTGGGTTCAGTGGCAGGCAGGATTGCCAAAAGTTGTTTTTCCCAGAACCCCACCCCCTTTTAATTTATTCATATATACTTGCCAAATGTATAAAGCTGAATGTGCATGAGTTAAATGTGTGTAAGTTGCGGGCTTACTGTATATGGCGTCACTATAATGTAGAGTTCTCAGTTCTGCATCTTAATGTGGCTTGAAAGTTTTTCTGGATGAAAAAGTAGACTCATCACTTTGCTTCTACAGTTGATCCATCTCTGTACAATCCATTTAAAGCAGATTAAAAGCTTAAAGCTAATTACTGTATTTCAGGGCTTTTCTGGAGGCATTCAATCTCCTGAACATAGCAAATTAGGAGATACTCAAGCAATTCATGGCTTAGAGAAAACTAAATAAGAAGTTTAACATTGGCATCTGTACGATTAAAACATATTGAACTGCTTGTTTTTAAGTTTTCCAAAGTTGTACATTTTATTTATGTCAAACTTCAGAAGCAAATGGCAAAAGGGTCATGAAATGCAAGAGGTACAGTCTTGGACATTAATATGCAAAGTTCAAATTCTGCGTAGGAAAATTCCAAACATTACAGCAGGCATTTCATGGCCTTTCGGCACCACTGTTTACAAAGTGCTTTTTTTCCTCTATACTTTTCTTAGGTGTTAGTTTTTCTGGATGCCATAAAGGTACAGGGCTGGCTCCAAATAGAAAAGGAATCTTCAGCTCCAGTCTATTGTGCGTGTGTTTAACAGACTTTAACTTAGCTGTTCTTCTGGTATATATCTCACTGAGTAAAATAGGAACCTTGTGTGAGTGTATTTAGCAGCTGTACCCCACAAATGTGTGCTCCTGAAGTAGACTGTTCAGATGGAGTTGGGAAGCAAGAGAATTTGCAGTAAGCAGGGACCCCGGCATCATCATCAGCATTATCCTCCTCGTAATTTATTGGTTATTAAATTTATTTGTTGGTTTTTACAAAAAAAAGTCTCAAAGCGATTTATAAGGTAACATAAAATATGCAGAATCAGAATATCAAATAAATTCAAGGTGCTTCCATTAAGTGCTGAGAGCATTTCTTTTCCCTCTGCCTAGACTCTTACAGTGCCTCCAGACTTTTGTTTATGCTTGCAAATGCTTTACCTTTGAAGTAGAATTGCTTCCAAAGTCCAGCAATGGGAAGTCGGGATATGTAAAATGAACTATAATCACCAAAAGCTTCTGAGGTTATTTTTTTCTTAATTGGAGTTTGACCTTTTTAACTCCCCTCCCCCCATGCATTTTTAGTTCAGTATGGCAACTGCTATTAACAAAGATTAAGACTGAAATCCTATGTTTGATAAACATATGAAATTACAGCTTCTTACCTGGCGTTAATAAACATTTCTCAATGTGCTGATTTAATGCCAGTTTAATGAATATGTGTGTGTGTTTTTCTCTTCTAGCTATTGACAGCTCTTCCACTACGAGCAGCGCATCTCCCGTTCTCAACAATTATGATAGTCTTGAAGGAGGTGGCTATCCAGGTGAATCATGCTTTTGTTTGTTTAATGTTTATTTTATTTATATTTATATACACATATACAAATGCAAGGTTGAGAAGCATCTGTAGTACAGCTTCTATACATTATTTGCTCAGAGTAGATATTCAAATACAGCACAGTGTATTGTTCAAGTGACTGACTCACTTCTGCTTTTCAAGTTGCATATTAATTCAAACTGATAAGAAGTTCCTTAACATGTAGTAAATCTTGAATATGCTTCATTAGAGGTAAAGCCATCTGATTTTAGTGGGATTTATTCCCATATATGTGGATAGGATTGCAGGTTTTCATATTGAAAATAAGTAGTTCCAAGTAAAGTATTCTTTAAAAAATACACCTTTGACATTTCCCTATATAACATGGGATTTTATTTCACATATTTCAGCTTCTGATGAATTAACTATTTAATTCTGGTTGCAGTCGAATGCATAAAGTTTATTGGACAACTGCATTCAGAAGGTTAAATATGTAACAAATTAGATATAATTACTTCATTTTATTTGCAGTTAAATTTTTATTACTACCCTGTTTAAGAATTATTTGATATTTAATAGTTAGAAATCAATACAAATTAAGTATGGGCTTTTATTTACTCAAATAACAGTAGTTGTGTTACTAGTTACTTTATTGTTGTGTGTTAAATACTAATTTACAACAGCATATTTAACTGAAGTTCACTTTCCTGCTCTGTTAATTAAAACGCTCACTATACTACAGGCACATAATACTCTCATAAGCAACAGTTTGCATTTTGATGCTTGCTTTTTAAAGGAATAAATACTGTATTAAAGCATTGCTTTTCTGTTTAGAGGCACGTTCTACAACAAGTAGTCCAGCTCCTGTTCCCTCAGTTCCACAGACGTCTAAAACCTCTAAACCATTTGGCTATGGGTACCCAGCTCTCCAGCCTGGCTATCAGAATGTGACACCACCACTTCCACCTTCCAGTAACTCTGGATATAATTCTGGATTTCCTCAGTATCCACAGGTTAGAAAATACTCACAAACTTTATATTTGATGTCATAGTGATAGATTAACTGAATGAGGGAGCATAGTTACCCATGAATCAAGGTTGGAATTTTAATTCTTTGATTTTTTTTTTTTTAAAAAATTGTACTTCAATTAAACAGGTCACCAGAGTAAATACATTTGCGTTTGTCTATTGTTTTGATTCACCTCTCAGTAGGGAGTTCAAAACTGTGTCCACAGGTTACATCAGTACAGTACTTACACATAGACTTAAGGTGGCACTATGAAATACAGTTGAAGAGAAACCAGTTGTCCCAGGCCTACCAGGATGAGAAAATACTAGCTGCTGCTTCAGTCCACATTTTCCACCTTCTCATACAGCAGGGACCAACCTTGCTGTTCTCCACAGACATGAATGTGACTTGTAGGGAAGATCTAATATATACAGTCAAGGAGGATGATTAGTCAGTTTAGTTGCTATTCTTGTAGTGGAAGTGGCAAATCCTATTGAAAACAAATGTGACACTTCATGGAAGTTGGATTGCAGCCATGACCGGTGAAAACTGCAAAGTTATGGGGCAAAGGTTGTTTTGTTCCCCTTCTTTGCATAAGAAATACACTTTTGCCATGACTGATAATTTGCACATCTTATCTGATTAGAAAATGAGAAAACCGTATGCACTTGGTTGACAATAAATGGTTAATATTGATAGTTGTTTGTGCTGGTGTTTTTAATGATACAGTGATTTTCTCAAAGCATGTGACTTTCAGATAGTTATATATGAAGATTATACACTTCCAGTAAAGTCATATGAATAAATACATTCAAGTTCATGTACATTGAATAATAATAATAATAATAAGCAACTGTCCTATATTTGTGTGATAGAGTTGTGTGGCATTGGGTTGAATCCAATGAAAAGCTAGTGGAAATCTGCTCATTCACTGTAGCTTTGCTGCTCCCTCTTCCCCAAAGCTCCCTAGAAAGGGTCAGGGATACATCCAGAATGACTTGCAATATGGCATGGAGGGCTATTGTGGGAAGAGAAAAATAGGGCGGGGGGGGGCTTCGTAAAATACTCCAGAATATCCCTGTAAACATGTCACTTGGTACTCCATGCTATCCTGAATGTTCTTTATGTCTAAGGAACAGATGAGAGATAGTTAGCCATGTTGACGGGTATTGATGGGAGGTGGTATCGCACAACATCTGGAAGGTCACAGGTTTCCCATCCCTGATTTAAGTCACAAATTATATTGTAATGGAAAAGGCTGGTGATCTGCCCAACATGGTCCCAGACCACTTGTGCTAGTAGATTGATGTTTTTAAAAAGCAACACTGATCCATAGATCACCCCACAGAAGGGGTAGAAGTGAATGTGCCTGTTAAGAGAATCTATCAAGAACCTCATATGCCTGGGTCAGATGCATTGCAGATATGAATTTGGGAGGGGAAATGGAGACAGGAACAGCTTATGGAATGAGGGGGATTCAAATGATATAGGATAGAACTTAGTGTAGTACAGAACCTTGTAAATAGTTGAGTTTGCTTACTAGGTATTGCAGGGTGGGGAAAATTAGGCAGATACTGTTCAAGCAGCTAATGCTATAAAATAAATGCTTCTTTAAAATGTTATTTTTCAGCAATACCCTACAATGAATCAACTGTCAGCTAGTCTTGGAGGACTAGGTATTCAGCAACCAGAGAGCTTGCGACCGGTCAACGTTACTCAAGATAGAAATATTCTGCCTGTTGGTCCAATTCCAGCTCCTGTGCCTAATTTGAACTCTGAGCTGAAGAAACTGAATTGTAGCCCCGAGTATGTATAAAGTTTCTAATCTTAAGCATGCTTCTAGACTTGTATTCTTTTTTTATCCATATCTTTGTGTGAGTCAAGAACTGGTATCCTGATTCGATTGTTATGGTATAGGTTTGGCAAACATACATTTCAGGCCTTGCCTTGTAATGCTCACATTTTGCCCCTCTATGAAATGTTGGAAAGTTTTAGCAAATGAAGTCTGCTTCTGTTGTACTCATCCCAGATGCAAATATGTTGACACAAATGGTTCCATTCATTGCAGCTATTACAAATGATGGAAAGTTATGATTGGCTCAAGAACTTTTCACGCTGAGTTTATACAAGTGTTTCTTTTGGCAAGGGTGTGGCTCGTTGCACTGCTTGCCCCATATCAGTGAATCTATGTGTCATCAAACTTTAAATTTTTCTTTTACTACCTGGATACTTTCATGTAGAGATGTGGGTGGTGAATTTGGGTGAATATGGGCCTCTTTGATAGCACAAATGAGTCATAATCTTTGAAACTAACATTTGCGATTTCACTTTTAGCTCATTTCGATGCACTTTGACAAATATTCCACAAACTCAGGCTTTGCTAAACAAAGCAAAACTTCCTTTGGGATTGCTTCTACATCCCTTCAGAGATCTGACGGTAAAATGACTTTTTATTCCCAGAATTTTTATTTAGCCAAACTTGAATAAATTAAAAACATCTTTCATATTTTAAAGTTGTGGTTGCAGTAAATAATTGTGAATCAGTTGTCTTGAAACCCAAACAAAACACTGGAATTGAGAGAGAATATTTACAATAGATAATTACTGTTTTACATATACACCACTTTTAACTAAATTTACTTACGTGCAGTTGGCACAAATTTCAGCAACGCTCACTTAGAAATAAGTGAGTTTAATTGTAGCCTTTATACCCTGATCATTAATAATGGAATTCTTCTAGGCTTAATTTTAATTATGGGGGGGGGAATTAAAAATTGAACATTTTTTCCAGTAGTAATTTTTGAAAAATGCATAGAAAACATGAATTTGTTGTTTAGGGGTGAAAAATATTATGAAATACTTCAAAGTTTTTCTTCAAATTGACATTTTACAATGTTCTTTATTCCTCAGCAATTGCCTGTGATAACATCGAACACCATTGTGAGATGTAGATCATGCAGAACATACATCAACCCTTTTGTTTCTTTTATTGACCAAAGGAGATGGAAATGTAACCTGTGCTACAGAGTTAATGATGGTGAATATTAATAAAAATGCCACTGTCTAAAGGAATGAATGATGATCTACAGCACTTCCTTTGTGAAAGCAAACCACCCCTGGCCCTTGCATGGCAAGCAGCTCTCAAAACATAGGGTGACACAGTCCCCTTAGGGCAGCCGTAGGATATTTTTTTCAGATGATGGGCTGAATCCTTATCTCAACCAACCCGTATGGGCCACCTATCAATAACCTGACATCATTGTTATGTCTGACCATGACTTCAGATTATCTTTCTGTGAGTGCCAGTCAGCTGATGGGTACTGACAACAAGACCCTTTAATGTTCTTCATTTGGTGGTGTGGGCCTGGGTTCAGGCTATGCCTGCAGATGGACATTTTCCCTTTGCAGACTGGCAAGTGGTATGGAATATCCCTATTGTTCCTTGGCATGTGGGGCCTGCTGCCCTAGGGTTTTGGGAAGCTTTTAATGTTTGTTTCGGGAAGCTTTTAATGTTTGATGGATTACTGTATTTTAATATTTTGTTAAAAGCCGCCCAGAGTGACTGGGGAAGCCCAGCCACATGGACGGGATATAAATAAATAATTATTATTATTATTAGAATGGTGTGACCAAGTTTAGTATTTTTGCACTCAACAATGGGTAATATATTTATTTTATAATCTTTTAGTTCCTGAAGAATTTATGTATAATCCTGTGACACGGTCCTATGGAGAGCCGCACAAACGGCCAGAAGTCCAAAACTCTACAGTGGAATTCATTGCTTCCTCAGACTACATGGTAAGTATGTCTGGAACAAAATATTGGTTAAAATAAATATTCGTAAAACTTTGGGAATGGAGGGTTTTGAATTTAGAATTCACTTCTGCAGTTTTCAGTTCAGCCCCTTATCCTCTTTTCAAAGAGTCTATGCAGATGTAGAAAGTGGGGGTCATAGGAACATGCAATATCAAAACTATTCATGATTACAAATAGAATATAAAGGATTTTGTCAGTAAGCTTAAAGTCTAAACTTTAATTTACAGCTTCGTCCTCCTCAGCCTGCAGTGTATTTGTTTGTGTTGGATGTGTCCCATAATGCGGTAGAAGCTGGATACTTGTCAATCGTGTGCCAGTCTCTGCTTGAAAACTTAGACAAGTAAGAACTTTCTTGGTTTTTTGTTGTTGTGTGTATTCATGGTCTGGATACAGCAGCCATTAAAATAATTGCCAGTGTGGTCCTGCTTTGATTACATGACCACAGGAGGGGTGTGTGTTCTGGTGCTTGAATACTGCTTGCTGGTTTCTCACAGGCATCTGTCTGGCCAATGTGAAAACAGGGTGCTGGACTAGCTGAGTCATTGGCCTGATCCAGCAGGCTTTTTTTATCTTGTTGTGTAATAGTCCCATGATTAAGCAGAGCCAAATCATGTGAGCATGAACGTCATGTATCCAGTCATCTCTCCTCCTCCTCCCCCCCTTATTCATTGCAATAATAAACTATTCATATTTTAGAAAGCTGTTACTAACCCCTATGGGTTAAATACAGACCTGCACTAGGCTGTATTTGTTTTGGTTTTTTTGTTTAAATGATATTTATTGAAAATTTTTTAGAATTACAAAAAAAGACAAAACAGAAAAAGGAAAAGGAAAAATGAATCCATCATTCCCAAATTCTCAACTTTCATTACCTTCTTTCTTTGACCTCCTCCTCCTCCCTTTTCTTGTATCCTAATTTACAATTATCGCAGCAAATCCTTTCCATAATTCATAATATTCTGTCATTACATTACCTTAATCTATTTTCATCTTATCTTATAAAAAACTTATAAAAAAACCTTAAAGCTTAAAACTTAAATCTTATTTTTACCAACTTCTCATTACCATAATATTCTTACCTAATTCTTTAAACATTTTTGCTAGAGCCAAGTAATTTCATTTCAACATTTTTCTAACATTCATCAATTTTATAAAACAATCCTAATGATAGAAACAGAAATAAGAACAATCCAATCTTCATCCAGCATCCCTTCCTCCTGGTCCCGGGTTTTGTCAGTCCTTTTTATCCCATTGATCTAGCGCATTAACCTGGTAACCTTATATCCGAGGCCCTCAAGTCTCTTCCATGTCCCTTCCGCGGCTCTTCATATTTTCCTTTCACTCGTGGGAACTCCAGCTTGGTAATGTTTTTGACCCTTTTCAACAAATCAGCCCCTTTTCCATAGTCCAGACTAAACTCCATGTGGTATTTAAAAACATGTTTCAGATTCCCTCCAAAATTGAGAGCCCCCACAGCTCCAAGCATCTGACGGCCCATTGCCAGACTCGGAAAGTCCAAACATCCCTGCATGGGGGGGTCAATCCAACCCCCCATTTCCAAACCGATCCAAACTTTATCTTTCCAAATCTGGTTTTTTCCAAGTTCATTTGTCAAATCCAAAGACTCATGTTCCTGCAGGGCCGCAGCTTCCTCCATCTCTGGCGCCCAAGATTCAGCAACGTCCTCTTCTCTCATCTGTTCTGTCAGGGCACCCTCCTGTTTTAGTTCCTGGGTGGGCTCCATATAGTTTCCCACTGCCTGTTCAAAAGTTCTGACCGCATTAGTCATCAAATCCGTCTTCTGATTTAACTGATCCAGTAGGGCATTTATTTTACAGAGAGCACACAACAGAGCTTCTGAAAACATTGTCCTGCAAGTTCACAAGTCCTTTCCCACGATTGTAATCTGTGACAGCTGCAAGCTCCCTGGAATTAGTTACAGTTTCACAGTCTCCCTCTAGGGGGAAAACTTCTGTTTGTTCTTTATTTTAAGGACAATAGCAACAAAGTTTCTTTTTTGAGATATTTTGTCAATATTTGTTCCTTTAAGATGCGAAAGGAAACAGTGGAATCACTATGTTACTCTTCTTTTAGTTGTCGGTCAAAAACATTTGTCTCTGGTCAATGAGCTTCAAACGTCAGTCCTGACACCCCGCTCCAGGATCAGGACGGTGGAAAGTTACTTTACTTTAAACTCACTTCTGCAGGTTTAAACAGTCCAAAAAAAGATCCCCCTTCTTCTCCTGCTACCGAAGGGGGGGTTCAACAATTTTAAATGATGGAAGCCAATCCTTTAGAAGTGATTTTCTAAGCTCTAGTTTACATTGTCTTTGCTTTATTCTGTCTACAAAGAAACGGAAGGCTGACTTCCTGTTTAGACCTTCCCGTTTCAGTACCAAATTGAAGTAAATTTTTAAGTCCAATTCCTTTCTGCTCGCCAGTCCTTATTTGAAGTCCAATTGTTCAAAGTTTAAGTACTCACGGGTGATTATTTTAGATGCCAAATTGTCCCAGGAAAAAGGCAGCGCTCTCCGGCAACGGCTATGCGGCTTCGCTCCACGGAAAAAGCAGTTGACTCACAGCACCGCGCCACTTCCCCCTCTTCGCTTCGGAGCCCATTAATGGGTTCCTTTGTGGGTTGGGGGGGCGCTAAGGGTGCCCGCCGAGTCCCATGGTCACAGGCTTCCTCCGCCTGTGATTTATAAAAGGGTCCCCGCTTCGCCGTAGCGGAAAAGACCCGTTTCGCGCGGAGCTGGTCCCTCCAGTTCAGAGGGAGTCCGCCATTGCCGATGGCGCCACCCCGGAAGTCCTGCACTAGGCTGTATTTGGGGCATATGTTGTCTTCAAGCATTGAAGACTGTCTCTTGAATATTTTTTTTTCTAACATTAGAACAAGTTAAAGGCACAGCAAGAGATATCTGTGCTAAACCAATGTATCAGGGTAATTTTTCTTTTTAATCTTAAGGTTGCCTGGAGATTCAAGAACAAGAATAGGCTTCATAACGTTTGACAGCACTGTTCAGTTCTACAATTTGCAAGAAGGATTATCACAGCCTCAGATGCTAATTGTGTCAGAAATTGATGGTAAGAAGGCTAATTGTCTCAGAAAATGAGTGTGAGATAGAGTGATTCAAGGAGAGGAGACCATATTTAACAGACATTTTATTGAAAGTAACAAAAAATTAAAAATAGTGATGTGGAAAAGGAAATATAATAGTGCTATGTTAAGTATAATAGAATAATATCTGCCTAGAATTCATTCCTGCAAGATAAAATGAGGGCAAGTTGCTGTGCATTTGATACACTGTCTGGGACCATTAGTAACAACATGAAGAGGTACAGCTAGAAAGGAAGATTGGCAAAGTTCTTGTGCATGTGTGGTGTAGTGGTTAAGTGCGGTAGTCTCGTAATCTGGTGAACCGGGTTCGGGTCTCTGCTCCTCAACATGCAGCTGCTGGGTGACCTTGGGCTAGTCACACTTCTTGGAAGTCTCTCAGCCCCACTCACCTCACAGAGTGTTTGTTGTGGGGGAGGAAGGGAAAGGAGATTGTTAGCTGCTTTGAGACTCCTTCGGCTAGTGATAAAATGGGATATCAAACCCAAACTCTTCTTCTTCATGTACAGAAGTGCTTTTAACTTATATTGCTGCAGCTCTTTGCACCCTAGCTATGGTGTATCCTTTTAAGTACATAACATAAAACTATAATACCAATATATGTTTTCTTCATAGATATTTTCCTGCCAACACCTGATAGCTTACTTGTTAATCTGCATGAAAGTAAGGAGGTAAGGTGGATAATTCACAGAAGAATTAAATCTTAAAAGTGAAGATAATTCTTTCTGACTGCTCTGTCCTTGATTAAACTGCTTTAGAACGGGGATGTTAAATCTGATTTTTAAATCACAGCAGGCCTACAGCATTTCCAGTCCTGCTCCCACATTAGAATTTCTTCTTCAGCTTTTGTTTTGCCTCCTATGACACATTGTGATTCAGAAGAACAAGGGAAGGCTGAGCAGACAAGCCAAGGCCTCTGCTGTCCTTGGAGCTGGACTTTAAAATCAAGGTTCCATGTAGGACAAACACTGAGGCCAGCCTGAGAGGAAAGCAATCTAGATCTGTCAGACTGAGATGGAAGCTGGTGATGACCAGTGAAAATTGCATAGCGGCAGCCCTTTTCGAAGGAGAGACACATGACTATTATGTGGACAGTAGGGAAAGAGGACAGCCAATGGGGAAGAACTGAATAGCCTTTATGTCCATGATACCAAGGAGGTTTTAGATAAAGGGGTAATGTTTATAGGCTCCAGTTACGTGAAAGAATGTGAATCTGGGCAAAGAATCATTTCAGCTTCCTGAGAATCTTGCCTTTCGTTTTTAGAACAATCAGGTGTTTGATCCCAGTGGTTTCAAAGATTTATTGAAATGAATTTATACACAATTTAATATTTCAAAGATCTCTAAGCTTCAGAGTGTGCGCATAATACCTCCTGGGAATCCCAGAATCCATAGAGTGGTGGCCAAATAAGATTTTTCACTGGCTAGTGGTGGGACTTCAGCATTCTTGCCACTCCTAAAAAAAAAAGCAAAATATTTCCTTCTAACACTTTAACAATTATTTTACAGCTAATTAAAGACTTGCTAAATGCACTACCAAATATGTTCACTAACACAAGAGAAACGCACAGTGCATTAGGCCCAGCCCTTCAAGCTGCCTTTAAATTGATGTCTCCAACGGGCGGGCGCATATCGGTGTTTCAGACACAGTTACCATCGTTGGGCACAGGACGTTTGCAGTCCAGGGAAGATCCCAATCAAAGATCAAACGCAAAGGTACTTTGGACTCTGTAGTGATTATAGATCTAACAAGCTTCTGTGGTGGCTGGTTTTTTTGGGAGGGGAATTGTTTTTATAATGTATTTTCATGTTAGGGACGCAGGTGGCGCTGTGGGTTAAACCACAGAGCCTATGGCTTGCTGATCAGAAGGTCGGCGGGGTGAGCTCCCGTTGCTCAGTCCCTGCTCCTGCCAACCTAGCAGTTCGAAAGCAGGTCAAAGTGCAAGTAGATAAATAGGTACCGCTCCGACGGGAAGGTAAACGGCGTTTCCGTGCACTGCTCTGGTTCGCCAGAAGCGGCTTAGTCATGCTGGCCACATGACCCGGAAGCTGTACACCGGCTCCCTCGGCCAATAAAACGAGATGAGTGCCGCAACCGCAGAGTTGGTCACGACTGGACCTAATGGTCAGGGGTCCCTTTACTATTTTCATGTTGTGTGCCACCCTGAAAATCTCTGGATTACAGAATGGGTTATAAAAGTAAGAATATCTGATTTGTCATGCTATAACTTGGGCAACAGGTACTTGACAATGTTGGCTGGGGAATCTGTGGCCTTCTAAATGTTATGTGTTACAAGCAGTCTGAATTTTATTTGCATTTTTTTTATATAAAAAAAATGTACTTGTTTGTGTTGCACTCCCAACCTTATTTTTTTCTTTGTATCCTAGGTTGTTCAGCATCTTGGTCCAGCAACAGATTTTTATAAAAAGTTGGCGCTGGATTGTTCAGGACAGCAAACAGCTGTGGATTTGTTCCTTTTAAGTTCACAATATTCTGATTTGGCTTCTCTTGGTAAGAGCTTTTAACTTGCAGAGCTACTTCATAATTAGCATGTGTTGAGAGAACAATTTTTATGTTCAGTTAAAATTGCCAAGCTCAAAAATACTATTTGCTTATATGCAAATTTTTAATGGTTTTTAACATTTCATGCCACACTTCAGAGTATGTCAGGGTACTGACTGATTGACTGACTGAACTGTAAAACAGAGATATTTCCATCATGAAATTATGTACTCTTGTTGGTTGGTTCATGACACACTCTATTTCATGAGAGCTCATATCCTGTCAGCCTTGTGTAAAGGTTGTACCAGTTGATGCCCCTATATGGGAGCTGATATCATTCTTCAGAAAATGTGCAGAAAATGGTAGCAGGGCCACTGCAGTCATGCAAATTGCATGGGCTGCGTGCACAACATACACCCGTATCCCAGCTGAGCTGATTAATGCAACTCTACTACTGTGCAAACACTGGGTGGCTCTGAGGCTGTTAGTGGCCCTGCATACTTCTGAAGTGATTGTATGGGAGCGACTGGCAATGTGAACCAGTGCATAGTTGACTTGTTTTTTAAAACGTGTATTTAGCAAACATACTGGCTCCTTAGGAAAGTGGTCTGCTCACTTGTTTTCTTGCCCCACTCGTCTTGTTGCTTGTTGCTTGTTGAGCCAGCGTGGTGTAGTGGTTAAGAGCGGTATACTCCTAATCTGAGGAACCGGGTTCGCGTCTCCGCTCCTCCACATGCAGCTGCTAGGTGACCTTGGGCCAGTCACACTTCCTTGAAGTCTCTCAGCCCCACTCACCCCACAGAGTGTTTGTTGTGGGGGAGGAAGGGAAAGGAGAATGTTAGCCGCTTTGAGACTCCTTAAAGGGAGTGAAAAGCGGGATATCAAATCCAAACTCTTCTTCTCTTCTTCTTCTTCTTCTTCCTTGATATTCCATGCTGCAGTAGTAAATTATTTATTTCAGTGACACTTCTATAATTCAGTCCAAAATAAGCATTTTTAGGATCTCTGCCTTTGTCTAAACTTAGGGCACTATACAAGTGTAACCTGGCTTTGCTTCTAAAGACACTATGTGACATATGTAACTTGCTTTTAAAAATGAAAAATTGCTTGAAGGTGAAGGTAATTTCTGAAAAGCTTAGAATCATGAAACATAGAATCATAGAGATGGAAGGGCACCCTGAGAGTCATCTAGTCCAACCCCCTGCAATGCAGGAATCTTTCACCCAGCATGGGGCTTGAACCCACACCCCTAAGATTAAGAGGCTCATCTACCACCTGAGCTGGCAAATGCCATTCTTTTTATATATATTATTTGGCTGGCCTGGCAATCTTCTAAGAAAATACACTAATTTCCTTCATTGTCTGTTTTTACTGGCTTTCCAGAAGCTCTATAAATTCAAATTAGATTTTTTTAAAAACTCTCATTTATATTTGGTGTGATAGAAGTTACCCTCTGATAATTTTTATACTAGACTGGTATAAATCACTTTGAAGTATGCCTTTGAAGATTGTCAGGAAACTACCGTTATTTCAGAATACAACTGCAAGATTGCTAAGTGAAACACTAGATGCTTATCTTGCCATTGTTTAAACAGCTTCATCGGCTCAGGGTCTGTTCTCTGCATTGCAACTGTTTTAGTGAATGAATAATAACTATCTCTTTTTTTCATCCTTGCCAAAAGCTTGCATGTCCAAATATTCTGCTGGATGCATCTATTATTACCCATCTTTCCATCATACCCACAACCCTATGCAAGCAGATAAATTGCAAAAAGACCTTAAAAGGTATCTTACACGGAAAATTGGATTTGAAGCAGTCATGAGAATAAGATGTACGAAAGGTATGGTGTGGTTCTGGTTTATTATTAAATGCACCCAATATTGGTGAGAATTGTAGGATTTGTTTGAGACAGTGGTTTCTCCTTCCCTTCTACCACAGGTGCTATCGTCCTTCTTTCAGCAGCTCCAACCAAACATGAATGTATGTTATTCAAAAAGTGTGGCTAGGACAAAAATGGTACACACACTTGTAGAAAATGATGCAGGGCATTTCATCAGAGGAGTCCTTTTTGGGAGGGTGATTCTAGCACTGTAGTAGCAACAACGTAGAAAACAAAAAGGAGAAATGTTCTCTGTACTTTGAGGACTGTGTGTTCTTCATGAATTCATGAATAAAATTTCTCCACTACAAAATTACAGGAAATAGAATATAAGTATCTAATGGGGGGGCTCCTGTGCAAGGGCTGCATTTTCTTGTGGGGACAAGAGAATGTTGCCCCCACATGTCTCCATGTTGGTGTTGACTACGCCAGATAAAAAGTATGCAGAGCAATGTATCTGACTCCTACGTTGGCATAGTTGCCTACATTCCAACCATGCAAAAGTAAGAGGCTTCTACACATGCACACATGTCTCCTTCCAGGAAAGCAAGAGGCATGGTGACAGTTCAGGAACGTGTTGAGAGTGCAGAGCAAGGCCTTCAATGGGTGTAGTTTGGGGAGGGAGTGTGGCCTACGAAGTGTAGCGTACGAAGGTAGAGAAACCTGGAGGGGCTGCATTTTGCCCCTGTGCCTGAGGTTTCCAACCCTGTTCTAGTGTATAAATTATACTCTAGCCTAGGCCTTTCCCCCATTATATACTACATTGGGTCCCAGAGGGATTCTGAGGAAACAAAGGTGGCAGTGGTTGCTGCAGTGGCCACCTCTCTCAGTCTTCCCCCCCTCAGTTCTTGACTGAGGTGGTATTAGGTAGCTAGAGTCTTGTTCTTGCCCATTCCTGCCCTTTCCTCTGGCAAAATTGATTTGGGAAGATCCAGCAGGGGTGGATTTGGAGGCCCTGAGGAGGCCTTGCTCAGGGTGCCAGACTTGGTGTTTCCTGTCACTAGTGTACAAATAGCCATAGGTCTAAATTTTAAAAAACTTGGGCTGCAATCCTAAACATGCACACTTAGGGAATAAGCCCCATTGAACTTGACAGGACTTCTGATTAATTATGCTTAGGGTTGAACTGTTTACTATGTTTTTTTAAAAAAAACAAAACCTTGCCATTTTAACTTGAACATTACCACTTTTTAGGTCTTTCAATTCACACCTTCCATGGTAACTTCTTTGTGCGATCTACTGATTTGCTGTCACTTGCCAACGTCAATCCTGATGCTGGATTTGCAGTACAGATGTCCATTGAGGAAAGCCTGTCAGACACATCTTTAGTTTGTTTTCAGACAGCACTTTTGTATACTTCCAGCAAAGGTAACTTCACTTACCTTTCTCTTCTCAACATAAATTAAAGAAACAACAACCCACAAAGATCAAAATCAGATGATCGGTGGTTTTAGCAAAAAAAAAGGGGGGGACATGTGAAAGTGGTCTTAGCAATAGCTTTGGATAAAAAGCTTAAGTATTGTTCTGTTCTGTTTATTCTATTGCAGGCGAACGAAGAATCAGAGTGCATACGCTTTGTTTGCCTGTGGTGACTTCACTGGCAGATGTTTATGCTGGAGCAGATGTACAAGCAGTTATATGCCTCTTAGCTAATATGGGTGAGTTGAGAATTAGCATTCAGAGGGTTCTCCATTCCCTCAAAGTCATTTTGTCCCTCTATCACCTGTAATTAGAAGAAAGCAAAAAAATTGTGTGTTTAGTACTGTTGGAAAGATAGAAATGCAGTATGGATGCTTGCAAGGTAGGTGTGGGGAACCGGCAGGCTGCCAGATCTTTAGATCTGGCCTGCAGTTCACCTTCCTTCAGATCTCTCCTCTCATGTGGCACTTGGGGATTAACCCTTTGCTCTGTGATTCCCAATGTCCCCCTTCCCCCAAAAAAACTCCTAAGCAGTACAGGGATGATTGGGGGACTTGATACATGGAGAGCGAAGGATTAACTTTCATTTCCCCATGCTATGATACTTCTCCTTCCTCCCAAAAAGCATGTTAATGCAATGGGGAGTAAAGTGATGGATTTGTGCAGTCAGAGTGTGTATGTGGGTCTGACTCCACTGACACACAACCCCTGAAATGTCCATGAAAGAATGCAGCCCTTTAGATGAAAAAGAATGCCTTCTTCTGTGTAGCAAATAGGTCTAGTGAGAGCAGAAGTTGCTAAACTGTTATTTTATTAAATGATTTATACAAACCAATAAAATATAAAACTAAGTTATCGGATGGGAAACCTCAGAATTATCAGGTGTGTTTTTTAGCCCACTCTAATTTCCTAATTCAAAGTTCATTATCCACACAGGTAACAGAAACTAGGGCCCTTTTTATCCTGTCTTGTAAAATTTTGTGCAAACGGAAGGTCTTGTCAAAGTAGTACTCTTGATTTGCTGGGATGTTTAGTACTTTCAAGGTTGTTTAGAGAAATGAGAATGTACTGGCCAGTATTAATGTCTGGAGTGGTATGCTGTTTGTTTCCCTTTTTTAATACGGTTCCTTTCATAATTATTTACTGCTGCTTCGCTTCCATAGCTGTTGATCGATCAGTTTCTTCAAGTCTGTCAGATGCAAGAGATGCCTTAGTGAATGCAGTGGTAGATTCACTGTCTGCATATATGTCAACTGCATCAAATCTCCAGCAATCTGCTTTAATTGCTCCAAATTCCCTCAGGCTGTTTCCTCTGTATGTTTTGGCTCTCTTCAAGCAGGTACTTCATATGAATAGCAATTGTTATTGACGTCAGGCGATTTTGAAACTTTGATTTAGTTACAGAAACATTGGTGAATTACATGAAAATGCATAGTTTAAAAGCCTACCTTCTACCTTCTTTTTAATGTGCAGCTTTAATTTGTGGGGGGCACTGTATAGTGTAAAGAGCCTAGATGCCAGGTTGCTTAAAAGAACTTGCAAAGATGTAACTATTGAGAGAGTTGCACATATGTCTGTTTTTAAAGCTGAGTACTTATCTGTAACACTTGTTTTGTCATAAGAGGTATTTGTAACAAAAGGATGGAATTAACTATTTTTGAAAGGTTGCTCTTAGCTCTAGTTTTGTTTGATTTCTTTAAAATCTAGTTACCTAGTCACTGCACAACTAGTTCCATACACCCAGAGGAAGGCTGGCTGTGTGTTTCTAAAACAGAAGGCGCCATGCCCCAGACAGACCTCTTTTGAAACTTAGGGTCCTTTCATATTTTTGATATGATTGAGGTGGTAGCTGCCATTCAATGAGTGGTTGAATCAAAAAGTAGCCACTACTAGCCACTCCCCAGACCTGCCCCCCCCCATTTTAGCTACAATATTCATCTGATAAATAAAATAGTTTTTTGTTAAATGATAACTTTTTTTTTTGTTTTATAGAAAGCATTTAGAACTGGTACAAGTACACGCTTGGATGATCGTGTATATGCTATGTGCCAAATAAAAAGTCAGCCTCTGGTTGGCTTGATGAAGATGATCTATCCTAATCTATATAGGATAGACAAGCTTACTGATGAGGTATGTTACAATTTTTATTGCTTCTGGACAGAGATAACCTGTCTGCTGTTTTATAGGTTCCGGGAATGTTCCGATTAGACACCTCTACTAAAAATAACTAGGAAAATTTGATTCACAGTATAGCAGTTAGTTTTCTTGCTGGGGCTATTCATATAAACATCTTGCTGGAGAGCTGCACCATTTTCCCGATCCATTTTCTAGCTCAGTTTAAATGCTGGATTCTAGCTTTAAAGCCCTTCATGGTTTGGGACCCAGGTGCCTGAAGGATCAGTTTCTGCCAGTTAAACTTGCCTAATTGTAACACATTATCCATGGCTCTGTCATTAGAAATTAGGTAGGTGGTGAATGCTCTCTCCCAAGAGATTTTCCCTAGCACTGAATCTGTCAGCTTTTTAGGCTTCAGTACATTGGGAGAGTAGAAGGAATACCGTATTTTTCGCTCCATAGGACGCACTTTTTTCCCTTCAAAAATGAAGGGAAAATGTGTGTGCGTCCTATGGAGCGAAGACGCCATAGCCCCGCGACCCTCTCCCGGCTGGAGAGGTGACGCGCGGCTATGGCAGGAGCCTCTACAGCCCCGCGTCACCTCTCCAGCCGGGAGAGCGCGCGCGGGGCTAAAGAAGCACCCCGCGACCCTCTCCCGGCTGGAGAGGTGACGCGCGGCTATTGAGGCTCCTGCCATAGCCGCCCGTCACCACTCCAGCCGGGAGAGCGCGCGCGGGGCGCCAGCAGCCCCCCGCGACCCTCTCCCGGCGGGAGAGGTGACGCGGCTATTGAGGCTCCTGCCATAGCCGTGCGTCACCTCTCCAGCCGGGAGAGCGCTGCGAGGCTAGAAGCCATAGCCCCGCGACCCTCTCCCGGCTGGAGAGGTGACGCACGGCTATGGCAGGAGCCTCTCCGCTGCTCCCTGAACTGCTCTTTGGGACTGGTGGTGGGCTTCCCCCCGCCAGCCCCAAAGAGCAGGTCGAAGGAACCTGAAGCCTGGAGAGCGAGAGGGGTCAGTGCACACCGACCCCTCTCGCTCTCCAGGCTTCCAAGGTAGCCGCCTGAACGCACCTTAAACGGCCCCTTGTTTTAGAGCGGGAAAACAAGAGGGGGAAGTTCTCCACCTCTCTGCACAGCGCCTCCTGCCACTTCTCTGTAGGGGCGCTGTGCAGAGAGGGGGAGAATTTTTTTTTCTTGTTCTCCCCCCTCTAAAACAAAGTGCGTCCTATTGTCCGGTGCGTCCTATGGTGCGAAAAATACGGTACTTTTTGTGGTCTTTAATATAGTGTGAATGTTAGGAGTTACAATGTTTTGGTATTCTATGTATTTAATTTTCTGGATGTATATTCTTTAAAGTTTGTTGACAAATTATTTAACAGTGCAAGCATCATTATTTAATTATTTAACAAACTCTACATTGATTGTAGAAGAGCTTCAAAGCAGTTTACAAAAAATATATATAAAACAGTAAAATTATCACTAAAAAAATTTACAGCTGTAATTTAAAACCATACAAAAGGTTAGAACCACAGCAAAATGGACTAAAACAGTTAAAACTCCTACAGACTTTCTAAACATCTGTGCAGGTTTGTCTAAATAAGAATATATTCAGCAATATAAACAGCAGAATGTAACATTTGATGTAAAAACCAGAAATGGAAGTTGGGGGAAGTCAACAGGGAGGGGGGAAAGTAGAAAATGGATGTTAAATGATGATATTGAATAATTGCTATGAGAAAAGAAAATCAATAAAATTATTTTTTTTAAATGTATTCAGCAAGCGCCAAAAGGAATACAGTGAAGGTACCTGCCTGCTATCAATAGGCAGGGAGTTCCAGGGTCTTTCAAGTGCTGCTGCACTAATATCTGAATTCTATTAAGAGCCTCCTCACAATTAGCAGAACTAATGGAGGCCGTTTACAATGTTTCCCAAAGTTTTGGTATTCTATCCCAGACATCATACTTTCTTAGGCTTGTTCACAGACTGGAATTTACTAAACCCTTCTTTGCTGTTTGGACTTAGTGACAACTCTGATGTTCGTTTACATGAACAATAACCTCAACTTCAGTTTCCTCATTTATTGTGTTGCATTGTGATTTATGTTGTGAGTGCATGTGCCCACCTCCTAACTGTTGAATTATTGCTGCAGTGCTACTGAATTGTATATCCATTTTCATGTAGACTTAATTTTCACCTCCTTGTAGGGTGCTATACATGTCAACGATAGAGTTGTACCCCAGCCACCTCTTCAGCGGCTGTCTGCAGAGAAGTTGACAAGGGAAGGAGCTTTCCTTATGGACTGTGGCTCAGTAAGTTGCACAGATGGGGCAACATACGATTTAGTCACTATCTTACTTAATTTGTATCCCACCCTTCATTGCACAGTAATTTTAGATGGTTTTATAAAATGTTGCATTATCATTTTTTAAAGGGGCTATAAACTTAGTTTTTAATAAGGAAACTGTCATGTTTATCTGCAAGCACATCCTCATTATGTAAATTGTCGCAGTTTGCATATTTTTAAAAAGCAATTTCATTCTTGAGAGAATCTTGGTTACATTAGCCAGATGTGTTTACTTTAATAACATTGTACCTTTAGATATTGTACCTTTGGATTGGAAGAAATTGTGCTAATAACTTCATAAAAGACGTCCTCGGATGCCCTAATTATGCAGCTGTTCCTCAGAAACTGGTGAGGGTTAATTTTTTAAAAATATGTATTTATAAATAATTTTATTTGTAATATTTATATGAAAATAATAATACCTGAAATACACATTCTTATGTTAATGTTGAAATCGAGATTAGATTTCCTTTTCCGCAATGCAGTCTGGTCATGGGATCCACAAGGTGTTGAGCACCCCTTTCTTGTGACCAGCTGTGGGGCATAGAAATGTTGCACTTCTGCCCCTATATTCTTGTTTTGGAATTGATAGCCTTAAGCTGGATTCCCAGGGGGCATCATTTTCTGGCTTGCCTCAGGCACCATAATGTCTTGGGCCAGCCCTGATTCAAGGCATGAGTCTTGTTGTGGTTTGATATGGGGTGGTCAGGGTATGCCAGTCCACTGGCTGTTCCTTCCTCTGTCCTTTGGGGGACTCCCCAGTTTAGAGCATACCTTGCACCAGTGTAACTTTGTCCTACACAATAAGCAGTGGATCATGCCATAACATTTTTTTTTTTTTTGGTTTAAGGAGCTTTTTCTAGCAACAGATTATTTCTGAAGCACATCATTGCTTGAAGAAAAGCCATTTAAACATTTCTGTTGTTCCTTAAAGTGGCTTGTACATATCTACTTATACAAATTCAGTATTTATAAACATGAGATATAAGCAATACACTTTATTCTCTCCTCCCAGTCCTCCTCACAAAACAGTTATCTAGTTTCATTTTGTATTATTAGCATTTTAGTCTGCCTTGAGAGAGGCAGGATATAAATAAATATACAGAATAAAAATAGATAATGGAATAAATAAAGAATTCAATTGTTCTTATGTTATTTGAATTTCTGAATTATGCAACACATCATTGGTGTTTAATTGAACTTTAACATAATCATGCTATTGAATTAAGGATAATAAATAATATTTGAATTCTTCTAGACACAGCTTCCAGAATTAGATACTCTTTCTTCAGAGCGAACCAGGTCCTTCATATCCTGGCTTAAGGAAAGTAAATCTCTAAGCCCAGTACTTCAAGTAGTAAAGTAAGTATCCACTTACTTTAGTAAGTAATAAAGTAAGTATTCACTTACTTTATTAGCAGATTGATCCTTGACTGACTGCAATAATATTTTAATACACAACAGCTCTTTGTTTCTTCTTAATAGACATATTGTGCTAATTATATCTTGTTATAAAATAATATCTATCTCCACTGGATTCTATTGATCCAGTGTGTGTGTGTGCTTAAATGCACATAGCAATCTAATATTCTATTGATTGGAGAAAAACATGAATCTTGCCAAGTGCTCACAGATACTAATCAGTGCATAATAATGTCATAATTTTGATTTAGAGAAGGATGGACAACTGATACTTAGTGTCAGCTGGGGCCAGGAGTGGGGAAATCAATAGGTTTTTCTAGAAAGAGTTCGTGAAACAGGGACAGGGAACCTGCAACCCTCCAGAAGATGTTGGATTCCAACTCCATGGCTGGGCCATCTGTCCCAGCCCACATGGCCAAGAGCCAGGTATGGTTGGAGTTGTTGACATCCATCTATCTCGAGAAAGAATGGAGTGCGCTTCCGGGGGTGAAGTCAAACCGCTGGAGAATCACAGCACCTCCTATAGCTACACAGACCAGTAACTTGTAACTGCTGCTTCCACATTGTTTTTGCTGCCTTAGCAGCACCAAAATAACCTCTCTGGGGCACAAGCCAGGGCTGTACGTATGGTGGTCCTGATCTGCCCAGATGACAAGACACACACCCTCTCAGCCTCGCTGATGTGGCCCAAGGAAAGGCAGAGCAATACGTTTAGCACCAGCTTGGCAGCAGGAGTAGCCAGAAGGAGGCATACAAGGTGCCATCCAACAGCCTTAGGGACTCTACTCCAGAGTTGTAGTTCAACAAAATCTGGAGGGCCACAGGTTTCTCATTCCTGGCCTAAAATCATCTGATGAGAGTGGAGTGGGTAAGGTTGCCTTTTTGGGGGGGTTTGACACTTGGTACCTATTTAGACATGTTTCTCAGAGTTAACAAGAACAGCATGTGTTTAGCAAAAAATAGAGGTGATGATAGTTTTGCACTTCCAATAGCTACAGGAAGAAACATGAGGTGCAGTGTTAGGTGTAGGGAATTTTGTTTATGGAAATGGGGGTTGAGACATCTTTGTGCTCTTGTCCTTGTCTGGTCTCATCCCTAATATAGGGCATATAGAATGACTGGCCAGCTGTCCCTTCTGTATTTGGCTGGTATTAAGTGCCAGATTGGCAGGTAACTACAATATTACTGACTCATAATCTAATACAGTGGACGCTTGGGTTGCGAACGTGATCCATGCGGGAGGCACGTTCGCAACCTGCAGCACTGCATCTGTGCATGCGCAGGTTGCAATTCGGTGCTTCTGCGCATGCGCAAAGCACGATTTGGTGCTTCTGCGCATGCGCCAAAACCCGGCAGTAACCCGTTCCAGTACTTCCGGGTTCACAACCCGAAAATGCGCAACCTGAAGCGTCTGTAACCCGAGGTATGACTGTACTGAAAGAATTGGCTCTTCTGACTTCTACTACTGAGAGCTGACTGGATGACACTTGGAATATTGTATTGGCTGTGCTGATTCCTTCCAGGAATTCAGTTTTGCACCAGACTAGGTGGCGGTTGCTGTTGTCGGTTCCCTGTGCTCCCCATGAGCTCTTAGAATTGTGAATTAAAGGGCCGTAAGTCATGTACAAATGTTGGAAGAAACAAATACAAGGTGGGTTGTTGTTTTTTCTGTTTCAGAGATGAAAGCCCTACAAAGGCAGATTTTCTTCAACATTTAGTTGAAGACAAAACCGAGGCAGCATTCTCTTACTATGAATTTTTGCTTCACATTCAACAACAAATTTGTAAGTGAGAAGGAAGAAACTGAAATAATAATAAAAAAAACATTTCTGGACTTATACAAATGTCAGCTGTGAAAGAAGTACACTGGAAATGATAAACAGACATGGGTTCTTCAGCATCCATATCTAAAGCTTTTCAGCTAAGAGGACAGAGTACACATTTCCAAAGGAATTTTACGGTTTTGCTTCAGTATAAAAATGATGGCTATGATGCAGTTTTAGTACTATGTTTTTAAGTTGGTTTGTATGCGTTTTCAATAGTGCAACGATATGGTGCTTCTGTTTCAAGCTGGTGAACTTACATAGCGATGTGGAATAGTATTTCTTAATGAAATCTAAAATTGGAGAGCTTCCCCCCCCTCATATTTACTATGGTAGCCAGATTATCTCCAGCAGAGATGCCAAAGTGCAGTGCTCCATGCTGTTTATATGAATTTGTAAGAGAAAATTCGTATTTGAAGACTTCACCATTTTCTCTGTGAAGACTGTAGAATTTCAATACAGCATACATGAACTGTAGAAATGAAATATATATAGTGTACAGAAGTATTAACATTTGTAAAGAAGTTGTAAAAATGTAACTACAGACTATGAATTGGTTAGCGTGCTGCAGTGTTTGTGATTTGATGACAAATCACTATCAGTTAAAGAATAAAGATGACTAATGCATATTAAATCTGAATCCACATAGAAAAAATGCAACTTTGTAATCCATTTAATTCTTTTATGTGGATTTATTTATGATCAGCTAATTAAAAGTATTTTGCTTGATCATGTGTTTTTATATCTACATGATTACTAAATTCTAGACACTAATATTGAATTTGGCTTGCTGTATTAAAGAGAGAATGTTTACTACTTTATTGTATAGAATTCTGGGGAAAGGATAAGTGGAAATATGGCTGAATTTGGATTGTGTAAAGGATATAGCTGACTTGTGACACTACCTGGCATTTGATAGTGTCTTTTAACTGGTTTACTTTATGTACTCTGCAACAATTGTGGTCCTGGATCCTTTATTTTCTCTTGCCACCATGAGACATTAAAGAAAATTTATATTTCACTTTAAGCTGGGAGTTTCTTCAACACATAATCCAAGTACAGACTCACATTTATCTTGGTGTATTTTTTACTTGAGCTCTTATGCACATATGGAGAGAGATGTCTGTTTGGGTGCTGCATCACAAATTTGGTTTTCTTTAATTTTTCATGTAATAGTAATGGGACATTATAATTTTTCAAAGCAATGCATTTCTTTTTTTAAAAGATGACAAATACACGAATGCACTCACTAATATATACCTGTGTCCCAGTATACTTTTCATCTGTGCACAATTTGTATATGCAACAAAATTTGTGTTGTTATTATACTTTGCACCTTTTTATTTTATGGATAAATACTTGTGGCTACATTTACCTTAAGATTGAAAAAGCATGCCAAAGGATTTCATAGAAGAAAAATCATCTGCTTGTTCAACTTTGTTTATGGCACATTTAAGTCTAAGAATGTTTATTGCAGCAAGAAACCGTCACCTAACATTTTAAAGTTAGTGTTTCCCATACTTGACCTGAGGGGGGGGGGGATAAAATGAGTCAAATTTATTTTGGTAAAGAAATCAGCTGGTAATATATGTCATATGGAGCCATAAATGTTTCAGATGTATTAGTGTGATCTTAACAAACAATTAATTTGAAATAAAATGTTGCTTGTGGAGCTTAGTGCTGATAAGCCAAAAACATCCAAAGCCATGATGTATGGTAAATGATCTGTAAAACCATTACTTAAAGCTCTATTATTCTATATTTTGTATATAAAAAATGCTGAAATGTTTTTGGAGATGCTTTTGCTTTGAGTAAGGTTCCTGTTGCCTGTTACTTGGGAAATATCTAGGAATAGATGCAGAGTTGTTCAGTGAATGGAAGAGCTTTTTCTGTTCACATATGGGATTCTAGCAGATATTTGCACAGGACGAAGCTAGGACATGATTTTTGCCGATTCCCCCCTTCCCTCTGCAGCCTTAACATCACCTTCAAAGACCTCCCCAGTCTGCCAGAGCAACTTTTCAGGGGGCTGAAGAGAGGATGAAAATTGGTGAAGGATGGGAACATAGGAGTTTGCCATACACTGTTAGAAGAAATCAGTAGAATTAGTAGTAGTAAAAAAACCCATTAAGTGTCCAAAGATAAACTGAAACATGGCTGCTTTTGTGTTCCTTTATAACACAACACTGTGTGTATATACCTAGAAGTGAGTTCAATGGGACTTCCTTGGGAGTAAATAGCTGCCTTACTTCCCCTCATGCAATGCTTCTTTAGCCACAGTCACCAGTTCTAATATTACTTTTGTTAGGCTGCAGGAAAGCTCTGAAGTTCTCAAAGAACAGCCTTGATCACATCTCAGAACTAGTTCTAGATGAATGAGAAGCCCAGCTGTGATTGACGTCTACTACAAGCTGACCCAGCTAAAAAGGATACACTGAGTGTTTGTTTTATATTGTTGGGAAACTGACAGATTGTTCTGAAATATAGTACCAGTGCCCCTGTTTATTTTTTAATCAGTCTTCTACCTGCTTGATCCTTGATGTTTGCAAACACCAAAGTGTCTCAGGTTTATGCTTTTGTATTTGCATAAGGTTTTTGAGAGTTCAGAGCACTTCATGTGCATAATCTTCTTGCAATCCTTAAATCTTGTGTGAGTATTATTACCTGCTAATACTGTCTCTGTACAAAGAGCAACTGTGAGATACTGCATGAGTGAGCTTAGGAGGCATTTTGTAAATGTTGAAATTCCTGCCAGGACCCTTAAGCGTTATTGCTTCTCTGGCAAGAACTATATTTTAAATGGCTCAATACGATTTCGGCGATGGATTTAGTGCAGTGCAAACACTCTGCAATGAAATGAAGCTGTAGTCTGGTTTTCTATGCAGTTAATCTTAGAAAGTGAGGTTGAATGAGATTCAGATTGGTATCAGAGGAGTAGAGAAACCAGAGAGGGGCAGAACAGTAAGAGATGGGGTTGCAGGTAGAAGGTGTGTGCATGCAAACCGTTATGGGCTGCTTCTTTTTTTACATGCATTCCTCCTCAAACCACCATCAAAACACAGATGACATGGACTGAACCAACATATCAGGAACTCTGCACTTTACAGAACCGTCATGGCAGAACAACATGGGTTTTTTCAAGGGATTCCCCCACAAATTGATGCTTTTATGCCATGGAGTGCTGGGAATGTCAGATCTGTAATTTTTTACTGCAAGTCACGTTGTCTTTTCAAAGTTTCACATGTGCTCATGGGCCCAAAAGCTTACACTACGTAGGCTCTCAATAATTCTCAACCATAGATTATTATGTAATAACTTGATCCTATGCTTACATTTGTCCCAATATGTTCAGTAGCTATTACTCTCAGGCAAGTGGGTTCAAGTATATTGCTTAGACAAATTGCTAAATGTTTATTTTTAACAACTGAATCCATTAGATTCAACCTATTGTAAATTAAACTTTGGCTTAAAATGTACAGTAAAGCTGCTATTATAGGGTTGTATTCAACTAAACTTAACTCAAGAGTAGACCCATTGAAAGTGATGATCCTAACTTAGTCATGTCCATTGATATCATTGGCCTACTCCATGCTGTATGTACACTGAATCCAACCCATAGTTTTTGATCACTAAGGTGGTGTTGGATGTTAATCAGTGCAAAAAAAGAAGGGAATGCTTATTGTAAGGTATTGAGCTGTCTTGAATGCTTTATTTTCTGATTTCTGTGTTGTCTCCACAATTTATCACATTCTGGCTTGTTGACTGGAAGTGATGGCAGACAAAGCTGAAGTTGGAGGGGGCGGAGAGCACAGCTGCCTAACTTCCTGTATTAATTTGTGCACAAGTCATGTGATTTGCCTTTTGCTGCAAGCTGGACTCAGCATGCTCTGGAAAGAGAAATGTCATGAAACAGTGTGTGGGCTATTAATGTTCAAAAACTTCTGGCTGGTGGAAAAAGCAACACAACGATAATGCTTTCTATATTAGAATGATTCCAAAGCCTGGCAGCGAGATTGAGAAAATAGACACAAGTTTGTCATGAATCAGATGAATTTGTTTTAATTTGTAATTTGAATTGAACAGATGAGGAAAAATTGTATGTGGTGGTGATATGAAGGGATTGAAGAATGTTGTTTTTAGTGCAGACAATCGTAGGTTTGTTTTCAAGGCAAGCTTCTAGCGCTTATACATATGACATAAGTTCCAGACTGTTCTGTGCCTGGTGAATCCGCAATCATGGCAGATTTAAGTTTCTAGTACCCATGAGCCTTGCATCATACCCATCACTCACTAGCAGAAACAGAATAATCCGTACAAAATTTAGCATTCATACAGTGGTTTTTGGAAGCATTTCACTTACCTTATTTTGTAATTCTTTGAAAAACCCTAGCAGGTAGGGTTGCCAGTTGTCAGATTATGGCCCCAAGATGAGGTTTTGGGGTTAATTCTCGGGGAACTGTCCCCTTGATGGCTTCTAAATGTGCAGGTATGCTAGACTAGCTAGTGGATTTCCCTGGCTACAGTGTTGCTAACTTGCTGAACCGATAAGTGGGAGCATGCATTTTAAAAGTATCACAATTCTGAAGAAATTTGCTCTCTTCCGCCCAACTCCCCACACCCCCAAATCTGTTTTCTCCCCATTTCTGTGAGCCTATACATCACTAACTTCCTCGCTTTTATGGCTGGTCCATGCACTCGGGCTCAACCCATGTGTTTGTTCTATTGTTGACTTCAGAATGGGCAACCTGGTAACATCACCAAGATCCATATCTGGAGTTGCAGACATTGGGGTGCTGGAGAATTGGTAACCCTTCAAGGGACAGACTTGTATTATCCTCTGTCAAGCAGTTGTTTCAATTGACGCAGGGTCCTTTATGCTCATACTTTGTAGATCTCCTGGCCATAGCTCTGTGGTTGAGTGTTGACACAAAGTCCCAATTTCAACCCCTGACCTTTCTAGGTAGGACTGGGAGATATCTCAGTCCAAAACCAAGGAGAGTGACTGCCCATCAGTGAAGATAATATTGAGCCAGATGGACCCATGCTGTGCTTGGTATATGGCAAATTCCTATATCCCTTGTTCTCTGGTGCCCACATTAACGTTTCTCCAGAGTCAGGTTTCTCTCTTCCCAAGCATTTAATTTATTTTGCATAGCTGCGGCTGCAATATAGCCTTTTCACCTAAGCATGGTGATCACCAGTTAAATCCTTAACTGACGAAGAATCGCATGAAATTTGTGCTTGCTGGGAGGGTGGCGAGTTTGACCTGTTACCAGTCATGAGTGTATGGTCACTTGCAATGTTTCCGCTCTTGGCCTTTTGTTTGTTTTTGCTTGCAATCCATCATATTCGAACTGTGATGTTTTCAGAGAATTGTGGAGTTGGAAGGGACCCTGAGGGGGTCATCCAGTCCAACCCCCTGCAATGAAGGAACCTTTTGCCTCATGTGGGACTCGAACGCACGACCCTGAGACTAAGAGCTTCATGCTCTCCCATGCCATCTTGTGCCTAAGAGTAATAAAATAATAATAATAATAATAATAATAATAATAATAATAATAATAATAATAATATTTTGCAGATTGAAAGCTGTGCAGGGGAGAGACCTGCACCTCCTAGCTGGCAAAGGGCGCGGCGCTCTTCGCCTCTCTCGCGCGGTTAGGGCAAGGAGCAGAAAAGTACTTTGCAGCTTTTCGGCTGTTGCTGCTGCTTTTCTTTTTGTCGGCAAAAACAAATGTGACTGGGTGAGGGAGGGAGGGAGAGAGAGCCCGACGAGCTGCAGAAACGCCTTCCCCTTTAAACCCGCCCTCTGCTGCTCACTCGGAGAGCTCGCGCCTCCTCACTCGCACAACGGGCTCCTCGGGTGCTGCAAGCGCCGCGCCTCGCTTTCCGCGCGCGCCCAGCAGCCGCTTCTTGCGCGGCCGGGACGGCGACGGCGGCTGCGCGCCCCGGCGCCCCTCGGCTCCCTCAGCGCGGAGAGGAGAAGCAGGGCAAGGTGGCGAGGATGCTCCCCGCCGCCAAGCAGTTGCTCCGGGGCTGCAGGAGAAGGTGGCGAGCGCCTCAGCCCCTGGTGCTCCTCGCCGCTCCTCTGAGAAGGGAGAGCGGCGGCTTTCTCCCGGCGGACCGGCTGCAGGTGAGTGGCGGACACGGCTGGCCCGCCGGCGCAGGCGGCGACCCCGTCGCTCGCTGCTTCCTCCTCCTTTCTTGGCTCAGGCCTGAGGAAAGAAACTTCTTAGCGCACGCGCCACCCGCTCCTTCCTCGGCAAGGCAAGGCAGGGCGAGGCGGGCGCTTGCCCGGCTTTGGCCGTCTGTTGCTCCACAGCCTTCCTGCCTTGCTGGAACTTCGCCCGCCCGCCCGCCCGCCCGCGGGGACACGCCCGCGAGACGGCGAAGTATAAAGTTGCAGCTGGCTGTGGAGCTGGGCGGGGAAGAGAGGAAGGAGCCGCCTGCCTCCTCCGCCTTGGTCTCTGTCGTCTTGAGTTTTAGGCTGTAATCGTGTTTTCCGGCTTGGGGGCGAGGGAGGATGCTTACATTAATAGGGTGGGGTGGCGGGGTAGGGAAGGGTTCCCCCACCCCCACCCCCTTTCTCGAAGTTTACTGTCACTGCTTTGGATCCCTTTTGCTGATCAGATCCATCTGCGTGCAAACTCAGGAGGAGGAGGAGGAGGTCCCCAGGCCGACTCCAAAGAGAGGGAATATGTAAGCAAGTCCCATTTTTAAGTCCCACAAATAAGTGCATTAAATTTGTTGTTAGCCCAGTTTTCTGAATTGGGAAGGGCGGGGTATATATATTTTTTAAATTATTATTATTTAGAGCAAAAGCAAGAAGCCAGACACTTGAATGCTTGTTAACCTATGGTGTAAGCTTCCACATGATTTACACATTCTGATCCTAGGTGTATTTACATGGCAGTAAATCCTGCTGCGTTCAGTGATACTGTCTTCCTTGGAAATCCTTTTTTTTTTTTTTTGTAGACTTGAGTGCTGTGAACTGGGAATGTTGCTACTGTCGGAAGAAGGTTACATGCATGCTCAGTCATAAATAAGAGAGCCTATGTGTACATGCTGTGGGGGTTTTATTCTCTGAGTCGCCAATGGGATTTCAGTCCTTAGGTATTAATAGCTCATTAATCGCCCATTCACTAAAACCATTTTAAAGCACTAATGGCGTCCCGAGTCCTATCCTGCCTTGTTGGAATATGTGCACCTTGCAAAATGTCAGAGGAAGGCAACCTTACTACATTGACTGTGAACATTAAAGAGAGGCTGCAAAGTGCTAGCCTACCAACGATATCTCAGAGTGCTCTTCTGTAATCCTAGAAGACTCAGTGTTAATCATTCTCCTGCACAGTTGTGTTTCATTATTAGGAAGCCTGTGGGGATGGTCCCATAGGAGACACCAATTAGTTCAGCTAGCTGAAGCAGTGGTAGGTAGCTTCTTATTCTTTTCACCTTGCCTGTCACTCTTTTTCATACCTTACATTACAGGTTGTCGAACAGGCTTCCTAGTGGTCTGTGCCTCGAGAGAGAAAGAGAAAAAGGTGTTGGTGCAACAAATAATATAGTATTAAATTAGTATGGAAGTTAGTGCTTGCTACCCAGACCCCAGCACCAGTATTACATAGAAATCTAAGGTATATATAGGTAATTGATACTCTGTGTGCTTTCCTTAAGATAAGAGTTTTGTGAATCGCAAAAGTTGCTGACAGATGTTTAGCCACCAGCTTTTTTATATCTGTGCAGCTAGTGGCTTTTCATTCCTTGCCAAACCTTTATACAGGAGTAAAGGATTTCTCTCTTTGGGAGCCTCTAGGCATATCTGAGACAAATGCATTTGGCAGGAGTTATTGCATTGTTCAGGGAAAACAGGGATGATAGGAGTCGGTTTCTTGTTGCTTGGAGGCAAAGTCTTCCCCTATGACAGGCAAAACAAAGAAGGTCTTCAAAATCCGGAGTTGAAAGCCATGACCTCCCAGCACTTTTCTTCTTCTTAACTTGTCCTAGTTCTGAAAGGGTAATGAATCATCCATGGAAAGCGTTTTAAATAACACTTGATTTAGCACAGCTGCACGCTTTTTGGGTTGAGTCTGGCACAGAGACAATGTTGTTTGGAAAACAGAAAATTTGCATAGAAATGAATCCTGGAAATAAATATGAGCTTGATAAATCGACAGGGTTTGGTAAACCTGTCATTTGCAAGTGCCTGCTTTTAGATACTGCAAAGCGTTTGTCTTCATTACCATAATTTCTGGAACTTTTAGGGCACATATCCCTGTAACACAAATCATTTATATTTGATGGACAGCGCAGTAGCAATGTAGACAAGCAGTTCTAATATTCCACCCCATCTCATTTTGTGTACTGTACAGTTATAGTTAAGTGAATCATAACTATTCATTTACTTCTTAATGTGTACCATGTGGCAAGGTTATCAGTAACTTCGGTTTTACTCCCTTGGAAAATGGAAGCTTGAGCATTGTTTGGCATCGCTTCTAGTAAACACCTTTTCATAGATTTGTATTCAGAGACACTTGCTTAAAAATATGCTGTGGGAATGCCAAGGGGCCTTGACGGTGCAGGGTATAAATCTTTAAAACAATAAAGTTCTTCATCAAGTGGTTGTATTGCTGCCTCCCATATTGAGGGCCTCTGAGATGACTATAAATCTGCTTCATTGTCTTGCAAGACAGATTATTTAAAAACCATCTGTAGTATTCCTATAGAGAAGATTATGTGCTTGGTTTGCAATTGTGTCCATAATATTGTGTCAAAGTGCATAGGGTATATAAAAAGCTGCATGCATGAAAAATAAGATTGTGGTGGTGTTTTACTGTATATGCTGTAATTGAAAGTTAAAACTTAAAATTGTAAATAATAGCAAAATATAACCAACAGTTGCATTAATCCTCTGTCATGGTTAATGCTAGCAATCCACTTTTCTAATTTGACACAAACGTCTGCAGCAAATCCATTTTCAAACTATTATGCTAGATTTGGAACCATTAAATGTGCTATTACTGAGTTGCAAATGGGATTTGGAAAAACAGAACCTGTACTAGATCTAATATTCAACAAAGTGCTTCTGGTAGTGACATTGGCTGTTCAGTGGAACTCCTCCAACTTTTCTCTTTGTGCACCCTTAAATCTGTTCTGGGGGTTCCTCCAATCATCTGGAGCAGATTCAGGGGTGCCATGGGAAAAGAAGAGGGAGAAGACATTCCTTTGTGTGGAAATCCTTGTGATAATGAAAACATTTCATTAGATACTGCCCTTGGTGATTTTGCATTATACCCAAAAGCACATGCAGAAATTGACAATTATGTTTAACCTTTTGATATTGCTTTGGAAACAGTTGCTTAAATTTGATATCCCAAATTTTTGATTGCATAATCCTCCCTCTCCCTCAGCTTGGTGGAAGGGAGAAGTTTGGCTTAAATGGTTTGCCCATTTCCATGTAGATTGCACAGCCTATGCTGATTCCACTGCTATTTCTTTTAGCCAAGTGTGTGTTGGGTAGATGGGGAAGATGTGGCAGAACAAGAAAGAAGTACAGAATTAAATATCAGGTGCAAGTGGGTTGTATTGCATGAATCAATCAATTCATGAATCAATCAGACCCTCTTCCCTTTTGTGGATCTGCCCTGGCCCACTTTGCCTAAAATGGTAGATTTATATTACTTTCCTCCTACATAATCATTATTACTTTCAGCCCCTCTCAGGAAAGCTCCATGTGGAACTAGGAATTTTGAGGATCCAAAATTATTTTAAAACTAGAGCAAGGAAGCCTTCACAAGATCAAGTCCCAAATTCTTCTTCATTTTGCCTAAAGGTGTATAATTAAAACACCAGCAGAACCTTCTGGGGAGAACATTGCACAAATGGGGAGCTGATGCAGAAAAGGCCTGTTTCTCATGTTGCCACCCTCTGGACTTCTGTTGAGGAGGCATACGAAGAAGGGCCTCAGAGGATGATCTTAGGGTTAGGGTAGGTTCATATGGAGAGAGGCGGTCCTTGAGGTATTGCAGTCCTGAGCTTACCTCACATCATTGTTAGGGGCGTGGGTCCCCTAAAACTAGAAAGCAAGTTATAAGAACAGTGATACTGTCAATTACCCAACCAATTCAGCCTGATTCCTAAAGGAAACCTGACATGGAATTGCTTCGTGCACTTGCAAGCATTCCTCTTAATCCTTAAACACAATAAAGCACATTTTTCAAAGGCATGTAAACCAGCTTGACTGCATTTCCTCTGTAGCTGAAGCAGGAGAATGTCTAAGTCTAACGGGTAGTGGAACAGATTCCCAGACTTGCAGAGGCAAGGGAAAAAATCCATAATACAGTATATATGGTGTGCCACTACAGAGGAAATAATAGGTGCTTCTCCCATTATCCCTGACCATTGATGATACTTGGCTGGGGCTGATTGAATCCAACTTGTTTACTGCCAACAAACAACGATCTGGAGGTTTGAAGCCCTTCATTACTCTTCCTTAGTCATGATTTGTTTAGCTATTCTGTTGGGTAGTTACTAAGCTTCGAAAACATGAGGCAAGAAAAACGAAACAAACTTTACAGATACAAGCTATGGCTTGTTTGTTTATCTGTGGGATAATCTAGGGTGAACTCATGGTTAAACCACAGAGCCTAGGGCTTGCTGATCAGAAGGTCGGCGGTTCGAATCCCCGCGACAGGGTGAGCTCCCGTTGCTCGGTCCCTGCTCCTGCCAACCTAGCAGTTCGAAAGCACATCAAAGTGCAAGCAGATAAATAGGTACCGCTCCGGCGGGAAGGTAAATGGCGTTTCCGTGTGCTGCTCTGATTCGCCAGAAGCAGCTTAGTCATGCTGGCCACATGACCCGGAAACTGTACTCCGGCTCCCTCGGCCAGTAAAGAGAGATGAGCGTCGCAACCCCAGAGTCGTCTGTGACTGGACCTAACGGTAGGGGTCCTTTTACCTTTACCATGGTTTGTTAAACCATAGCTTAAGCAAACCATGACCCAGGGTTATGTGTGAACCAGGTCTTGAGACAGAGCAGTAAAAATAACAGCACCAGAAGATAGCCACAAGGAATGACAGTATTATTGAAGTGAAGAAATAAGTATAAAGCTGCAAGGAAATGAGCATTTGTGAAAGGTTGCTTAAGTCTTTGTTTTTTATATCGATGTTGTATAAATATATAACACAAATGCTGCACAATGAGAGATCACATTTCTACTTCTAAGGTTTTTGGTTTTTTTTTAAAAAAAGCAACCAAACAAACAAACAAACAAATAACTGCGGTTGTGCTCAGAATCTTAACAATGGCCTTGGCTTTAATTCTCTTCTTCCACATTCTTTTCTTCCACATTCAATTGAAGGGGGGAAAGTGTGTTGAGTGATTTTTGGAGGTTTTAAGAACCTGACACTCAGTGATCAAAGTGAAAGATTGAAGATAGAAACATAACATAACAAACCCAAGACATGCTTCAACTTTCTACTTCCAAAATTATACATATCATTAGCAAAGAAGTTTGAGAGCATTGTACCAGACATCCAGTATATTTGACAGCAATATTGTATTTTCAAGCTAATGGGCATCACGCATTCTTTCAGCTGAAGTTTACGCCTCCCTACCTTCTATGATAACATACAGTAATGCCAGTTCCTTGCGGCAAACTTGGGACCCAGCCTTTAAAATTCTCATTCGATATCCTCAATCTGTCTGCTTTCTGGAGCAATCAAACCGCCCCCCCATCTCAGATCGAGACTACGTAGAATTTTCTTCAAAATCGGGACTGAAACTCACTCCAAACTATGGTTTCACATTTTGCATTTAAAGGAGATCCTGGTTAAGCATACCTGTAATTAATAGTGCTGATGCCAGCTTTATGTATATAAATATCTATATGTCTCCTTTATGGGCTAACCCTCCTAAGAGTGCTTGCATCGTAGTGATACAGAAACCATTCTTAAAATATTGGGCATCTCATAGGCCTCTGGTTGGCCACTGTAAGAATAAAGTACTGGCTGAGATGGACCTTTATCCTGATCCAGCAGGATAAAGGGGGGCGGGGGTGAGGAGATTTCACCCCTCCCATATCCAAGAATCTCCTGAGGAGTCTGCTGATTCTCCAGAGAGGAGGAGGCGTGTTCTGCTCTCTACTTATTCTGCTCCAGCACTGAGTCAGTCAGTCAGTCAGTGTCGGAGAGAGAGAGAGAGACTGAGTGTTAGAGATCGTGTGTAGAGATAAGGTTGCTGCTAAGAGCAGCTGCAGACACTCAGTGCAGTGTAGCATTTATTTATGCTTAGACCTATTTAGCTCTGTATATAGTTGTATAATAGTTGTAGATAGAATAAAGAAGATATTCTACAGAGCTGCTCTCCGAGTTGTTTATATACTCTGCTAGACTCTTCTGTACTCTGCTGTGCGACGACTGTCTTCTTGTTGGAGTGAATCCGGTGCTCACAACTCTAAGCTGTGAGTCCACAGCACTTTGACCTGTTCCTGTGCAGAAGGTGGTCTCTGGAAGTGCTATCCAGCTCGCCTAGCCCAGTCGGGGCTGAAGTGGATGAGTCCAGTTGGTGGCACTGGCTCAAGCGCGATGCTGACAGGCGGCACTGTGGTCTAAATCACTTAGCTTCTTGGGCTTGCTGATCAGAAGGTCGCAGGTTTGAATCTGCATAACAGAGTGAGCTCCCATTGCTCTATCCCAACTTCTGTCAACCTAGCAGTTCGAAAGCACACCAGTGCAAGTAGATAAATAGGTACAACTATGGCGGAAAGGTAAACGGCATTTCCGTGCACTCTGGCTTCCATCACAATGTTCTATTGCAGGTTTAGTCATGCTGGCCACATGACCCGAAAAGCTGTCTGTGGACAAACGGCGCCACCCTCGGCCTGAAGCAAGTTGAGCACCACAACCCCATAGTTGCCTTTGACTGGATTTAACCGTCCAGGGGTCCTTTACCTTTTTTTTACCTGATCCAGCAGAGCTTCTCCTGTGTGTGTGTGTGTGTGTGTGTGTGTGTGTTCGCATATAACAAAGTTTTGTTCATATAGCATATAAATAATATCCCATATAAATGATGCAACAGCCATTTAAAATGAAGGCAAGCACTGTGTTTATTAACTAAAACATCATTAGAACAGTGACAGCTGAAAAGAATGCAGAACATTTAACTATTAGTTAAAAGCCAAAAGGCCTGTTTAAAAATAGTAAAAGGGTGCATTGCTTAAAGGAGGAGGAATTCCAGGGATAATAGCGTAAGCAGAAAAGATGCTCAAAGGCCCATCTAGAATCATAGAATTTTAGAGTTGGGAGGAATCATGTGGGTCATCTAGTCCAATCCCCTGCTATGCAGAAATCATTTGCCCAATGTGGGGCTTTGAACCTACAACCCTGATACAGTGGTACCTCGGGTTAAGAACTTAATTCGTTCTGGAGGTTCGTTCTTAACCTGAAACTGTTCTTAACCTGAAGCACCACTTTAGCTCATGGGGCCTCCCGCCACCGCCGTGCGGTTTGTTCTCATCCTGAAGCAAAGTTCTTAACCAAAGGTACTATTTCTGGGTTAGCGGAGTCTGTAACCTGAAGCGTCTGTAACCCGAGGTACCACTGTATTAAGAGTCTCAGGCTCTACCAACTGAACTATCCTAGGTCTATTCCATCCTTTGGTTTTCCCAGTGCCCAAACACACTTTTAGGAAGCCTGCAATATCGTTCTCCCACTCCTAGTCACCAGCAAATGATTTGGAGGCATTCTGCTTCTTACACATAGTAAATATATCTATTGTGACTTTATAACTTTATTCTCCATGAATAAGTAGCATATATTTGGAGACTGAGTACCAGTTTATTTACCACAATAAACAGAGCTATATGCATCAGCCATTAGTGGCTAACGTTGTAGCTGAGTTTGGTTCTTCTCTCTCTGCCTTGTGCTCAAATATTCTTTTACTTATTTATAACCCTCCAGTAACTGAGAGTTGCCCACTCACCTTAGCAAGAGAAAGCTGAGACTCTTTATCCAATTTTAAGTTGTTTCCCGACGCGTTCTGCTTTTGGAATAAACACATCTGTGTACAAGAATCCAGTTCTGAGTATTGATTCTTCTGAGTGATTTTATAAGAGCAGTCTAATATACAGTGTATTTTATATAGCCTGTTACCACACTTAATATTTTCCCATAGCTTTACCTTTTGTAGTTTGCAGCTTTAAAGCTGGCTGTATAAATGTCTTAAGTGGGTTTACTATCAGCAGGACAAAACTGGTTTTAGCACAACTATGCTGTTCTGTAAGTAATTTCTGTGAAACTCTTGTCACCGATAAAGCCTTTATTTGTGACAACAAAATGGTCTTTCAAAATCTGTTTGGGTAGAATGCTTGAGATAGAGATCTCATGTGGGTTAAAAATAAATTTTTACTGTTGTTGGTCTGTCAATGTATCACTCCAGAAATAACATTTTTAGGACTGATATTAAAATGGAGATCCACAGTTATATTTATGATTGCAGCAAAATGAAGCTACAGAGGCCCACGGCAATCTGCATCCTTCACAAATGATCGGCATTAAACAAAAAACAAAAACCCAGACTATAAAACTTGTTATAAAAATAAGTTTTATATAATTTATGCTTTGTTATTTACACAAATGATTTATTCAAACACATATAACAATCCATTAAGTAATGAAAACACACATAATCTTGAAACTACAGAAGAGTTGCAGTAGACTAAGACAAACTTGAAAGCAGCAGGTCACAGACTTATTTAAATGGGTGTTGGAGGTTCATACCCAGTTTCAGTGCAGGAAGAAAAGGACTAAGACTCATCTCCTCAGGAAAGGTATTCTAAAGTTTCAGTGCCACTACCAAAAAGGCCACATAGCTCATACCTGTCTGCCTGTTGAATCCCAGTGGTGATGGAGAGTAGAGCCTATGAAGCTTACCTTTGGGCATAAGCAGTATTGTTTTAGGATAGGGGTGGTTAACCTGTGGCCCCCCAGGGGTTCTCAGTGATCAGGGTTGATGGGAATTGTAATCCAATAGCATATGGAGTGCCACGGATTAGCCACATCTGAGTTAGGAAAATGTGGTTCTGAATGTATCCTTGTTCAAGGCTATTAAAGTTTGGGCTTCTTTATATCTCAGCAGTTTGTTCTGCAAATGAAGGAGGAGACAGGGAGAACCGGGAGCTTTTTCCACCTTCAAGTTACCATGCACTGTGGTGTCATTGTGCCATGCCTGTGGCTGGGACGGGTCTATTAAAGAGTCTGTTGCACTGGTTTTGTGGAGTTCAATTCTCGTGGCTGAAGGAACACATGAATATTTTCTACGTCCCTTTATCAGATTTCAAGAGCATCAAGGATTTAGTATTTTTTTCAACCTCTATGATATTGCAAACCTTCCAACCAGCAACGTAAAATAGCATCACAACATCTTTGAACAAGATTCAAATCAAGGCACGTTTGTTACTCGCTGCAATGAAAGAGTACAGAGAGATGCAGGCAGGCAGAGCAAAACTATTTAGATGTCTCATCCAAATGTTCTGATTTCTGATCCTGTAGCTAAAGCCCCAGCATAAGTGCACGTTTTGCTTTGCAAATTACTCTTGTCTGTCGTTGCCAACAGACTGCTATCATTCTTGACACTTTCCCTGCCTAGAGGTGCCTGGATGACATAAATTCAACAATGCAATCGAATGTCTCCTCTCAGGTGAGCTCTTCAGTTGGTGTAGAGCACAGAAAGGGACACTTTCTTAACCTACTTAAAAGCTTTGTAATAGATCCTGCCATCCCCCAGTACATCAGCAGCAGCTGTAATGAATCATTCCTTAGCCTTGGAGAAGAGCTTTCCAAATATATCTCACATCTGTACAGTTGGCATCTTATTTATGTTCCTTTGTCTCATGAGGTTAATTTCCTTGGTGATTTTGCCTGCTACACAGTAGGCAGGCAGGCCTGAGTCCATGATATAGTTAGATCAGAGACTGTGAAGAAAGCATTTTGAATTTCTTGGAATTCACTTACATGTCCTTGACTTTATGCCCTCGTTTTATGCCATGGAACTGGCAAAAACCTAGGGTCAGCCTACATATGTACACCATCATGTGATAGACAACAATCCCATGACTGCAGACACGGGGATTGAATCTCCAACAAGGTAGCCTATAGCTATGTATGTGCTTTTTTTCTTACCAGGAGAGAGCACTAGGTCCATGAAACTGCCTGTTACTTCCCTCTCCAAGGGATTTAGTGGGTAGTAGATACACAGAGAAGTCCCAACAGACACTAGTAACCTGTCTTCTGTTATGATGTGTGGGGGAGAGAATTTATATGTGCCTTTTCCTCAAGTAAATTTGTCTTGTGCTTTCCTCACCCCCCAATAATTCCAGTAGTAGCATAACTTACAAACATGCCATGTATCCACACGAAAGGTAGGTTAATATGTCCTACAAAATGAATATGTTCTAAAGTTTTGATCCAAGATTATAATATCTACCATTTTGTTTTATTTGAGATTCCTCCCCCTCTCACAAGAACACTTCATTGCAAAAAAATTCTTGTCTAAGTCAGAAAACGTTGTGTGAATAAGCTCTAGTCTTGGCTTGTTGATGTGCACAAGTAGAGCTGCTTGGATCTTAAAATGCCAATTTAAAAAGAGAGAGTGCATAGAAGGCCAATAAAAGGCAAGACATTTGTGGTCCAAGCTTGTCATCTGTTTTGTGAATATTGCATTGCAGAGTCTGGAGAAAAGCCAGGCAGATCCTCTCATCCCTATTACAAGGAACTTGCCTGCCTCAGCACTTGTAACAACAACATCCATTCTCTTGCTTTCGATTTTGGTTCAGTGCCAATGTGACATAATGGAATTGAGAGTGGCATACTGCCACCGTAGTATTTTGTTTGGCCAAGGGGTTGGGTTATAGTTGCTGCTTTCAGATTAAGGGTAAAAGCTTATTCAGAAGGTTTAATTATGGAGTTAGAGCTCCTATCTCAACCCTTTCTGAAATTGGGCTTTTGGAGCAACAATTCTGCTGAAGATGATCTCTGTTATAACTTGCTCCTGCAACAAAATGTTTCAGTGTGTATTAGTTGGTTATCTTTGTGGTTCCAGCCAGTATTCTCCAGTGTTCTGTATGCCATCCTCTCCATCGAAACTTAGCATTATGTAGCTACTAAGCATGCTTAGGCCTCAATAAACTCTCTTGGGTTTTCCCATTTCTTTCTCTCATAAATATTTCCTCCCATAGTTCTGTAAACTTTGGGTTGTGCATGGATGGTGTCATTTTGGCTACATGAGTTGTTACTATGATTTTTCTTAAGATAACCAAATTCTTAAGGTAATCACATTTTATGTGATGGTCCCTAACACCATAAGGCTACGGTGGTACCTCGGGTTACAGACACTTCAGGTTACAGACTCCGCTAACCCAGAAATAGTACCTCGGGTTAAGAACTTTGCTTCAGGATGAGAACAGAAATCGGGTGGCGGCAGCAGGAGGCCCCATTAGCTAAAGTGGTATCTCCGGTTAAGAACGGTTTCAGGTTAAGAACGGACCTCCAGAATGAATTAAGTTCTTAACCCGAGGCACCACTGTACTAGTAATCTATATAGCAAACAAAATGAAGCTAGTCAGAGTATTTCAAAACCATGCTTTATCTTGGGGAGCAAGTAGTTTATTTCAGTACACAACAAACATTCGCCCACTTAATTCATTTAGCCAGCGTGGTGTAGTGGTTAAGAGCAGTGGACTCGTAATCTGGTGAACTGGGTTTGTGTCTCCGCTCCTCCACATGCAGCTGCTGGGTGACCTTGGGCTAGTCACACTTCTTGGGCTAGTCACACTTCTTCTCAGCCCCACTCACCCCACAGAGTGTTTGTTGTGGGGGAGGAAGGGAAGGAGAATGTTAGCCGCTTTGAGACTCCTTCGGGTAGTGATAACACGGGATATCAAATCCAAACTCCTCCTCCTCTTCTTTCACATGCTCAAGCTTAATATTATAAGGCAGATGATATATTTTTGGCAATAAATGTTCTCTACTTTCTATTAACAATCTCCTTGATTCAATTTACTTCTCTTAGCATATATTAATTATAATGCGCTGACTCAAGTATTTTTGTGGTGATGGTTGCAGCTCTAGCAGTGATTGGGTGAGCTGCTTTAAGTGTCACAGATGTGGTTACAAGAATCTCTGGTCGCCATTGAACTACCACCCCAAGCTTGAATTTCAAACTTTTGTGTGAAAAATTCAGTAAAATCTTTGGCTACGGGCTTCTAGACACCCTGCTGTTTTTCTTCAGTTAGATCTTTATATATTATGCAGTATTTGCAAATACTGTGTAATCTTTGAGATCTGTAGGGAAGCTTCAGAAGTCTTCTGACAGCTTTGTAGACTCTTCCTCATTCATGTTGTAACCTGCAAAGTGGCCCTGGATCTACCCTTCCCTATCCAGAAAAAAGGGAAAAGGAAATAGCCCACTGCAAACACAGCTTGCAAGCTAAACCCAGCAAACTGTTATTGTGTATAACTGGCACCTGGGAGATAAGGCTTCAGTAACATGCCTTTAATTAGAAAGTCAAGTTTTCAAAAGAAATCCCGGAAAAAGGGAGGGGAGAGAGTGAGCTTTTCAAGTCCTACAATCAACAGTTCTACTTAATGTAAAATCATGGGAAATGAAAAGCTATCAAAAGACTTAAATAGACAAAATAGACAAAAGCATAACGGAAGAGGAATTAGCTTCTTAAAGCATCCATCCTCTAGAAATTTAAATAGCCTTTTGCGGGGGGAGGGAGATAAAGTCTGCGTTTTTCTGAACAGTTTGCATGCAAATCCTTACTGAAATGGAAATGTGGTTGTGTTTTTCTTTAAAAGAATGGTTGTATGAAATTATTCTACTTTACAGGAGAGGCAGCTGTCATGTAACAAGGGAATGAATGCACTGAAAGCTATGTTCCCTTGATGGATTGCATGCTAAAGAACCCACGTTCATGTCTTGTCTGCTTTAGCTACAAGGATCAGGTAGCAGCTGGTGGTAAAGACCTTGTGCTTGAGACCCTGGAGATCCAGTGCCTGTCAGAATAGACACTAGTTGGACTGAAAACAGTTTCATATATTTGAGGGTTGCCAGAGTCTCGAAGCTACCAGCATGGGTTTGACCAAACTGCAGGAGGCAGTGGAAGACAGGAGTGCCTGGCGTGCTCTGGTCCATGGGGTCACAAAGAGTTGGACACAACTAAACAACAAAAGTCTTGAAGGGGTATGGGAAACCTGCAGCTTTCCAGATGTTGTTGAGCTATAACTGCTGTCATCTCTGACCATTGACCAAGCTGGCTGTGGTTTATGGGAACTGGAGTCCAACAACATTTGAAGGGTCACAGGTTCCTCTACAGCAGGATTTCCCAAATTTGGGTCTCCGGCTGCTGTTGGACTAAAACTGCCATCATCCATAACTAGCAGGACCAATGGTCAGGGGTGATGGGAATTGTAGTCTAAAAAGAGGTGGAGACCTAAGTTTGAGAAACCCTGCTCTAGAGCATGTGTAGCCTACATGGTGCCCTCCAGATGTTGTTGGACTCCTAACTACCATTTTTTCCAACCAGCTTGGTCAGTGGTCAGGGGTTATGAGAACTGTAGTCCAACCATATCTGGAGAGGAGTCTGTGTTGGTGTTTTGTGCTCTATAGAGTGGTGGGTACAAAAGCTGCAATCATGTGCCTACTTCATTGGGCACAGTTTGCACTGAAGTGTGATTGAACACAGTGGGATTTACTTTCAGGTAAGTATGATTGCACTCCAAGGCAAGGTCTGTGCTCTGGTAACCTCTAGGTTAGATTACTACCCAGTTTATGCTGTGTTGCTTTGAAGATGGTTTGAAAACTGCAGCTCATGCAAAATTTTGTGGCCAGATTATTGACTAGGACCAGGCGATCTGAACATACAGCTCTAGTTCTGGTCTGTCAGCACTGACTGCCAGTTTGTTTCCAAACCCAGTTCAGAGTGTGGGTTTTGACCTTATAAATCTTTACACAGCTTGAGACCCCAATATCTCAAGGGCTCGCTCTCTGAGATTGGCAGTTGGCCCCCTCAAATAAATGTTTGGGGGTTGTACCTGACACCAATATCTTCTCAGTGCCAGGTGAAGACATACCGTATTTTTTGCACCATAACACTCACTTTTTTCCTCCTAGAAAGTAAGGGGAAATGTCTGCGCGTGTTATGGAGGGAATGCCTATGGGTGGCATGCCTACGGATTTTCCTCCTCTAAAAACTATGTGCGTGTTATGGTCAGGTGCGTGTTATAGAGTGAAAAATACGGTATATTCTGCCAAGCATTTGGATAACAATAATGGTTGGATTTTAGTATCTGCTTTTGATGTTGGGTGAAGGTGGACATTTTTGTTTTGAAGGATGAACATATTTAGTTTATTTGTACTGTGTTAATTATCACTCGTATTCCTGTATCTATTTGTGTCACTTTGGTAATTCCTTTGGTTGTGGGAAGTGTTGAACAAATACTAAACTAAAAGTAAGGCGGCCATCATGCTTGTTTTGGTTCCTTTTCCACCTTTAGTTCATGGAAATTCAGCTGTGCTAATTACTACCAAAAAGTTGAACCATTTATTGTAGTTGAATAAATTTAAGCGCTTCTTTTTTCAGGTGAGGAGGGAGCTAGGGGAAACCTTCCTTTTTGTTGCAAAATGATATACGTCCATAACGCCAACCCTAAAAAGAGCCTATTCCATACAGATTTTGGTGGCTACCATAACAAAGAATAAAAAAGTTAGGGGTCACTTTTTGTGAAGTTTTATAGATTCTACTTATCCTTAAAAAAAGAAGAAATCTCTTCTGCTGCTGAAATCTCTTTCACACTCACTGGTTTTCATTTTGCATTTGTGTCTGTTTCCAATATATAGCACAAGCAATATTAACACTTGTATATGTGATGCTTTCTTTAGTTTTTCACATTAACTACAGAACCAGCAAAGCTAACCTTCCTTAGTCAAATAAGTGCACTGTATTATGTTCACCAAATAATGTTCACAGAGAGGAGTGAAAGTAAGGCTGAACATAAGTTGGCAAGTCTGCCTGTTAGAAATTGCTAACCGTTGCAATCTATACACTGCTTCTTTGATCCATTGGGAGTTGGCTGCAGTGTTGTACCGCATACTTTGTGAGAGGAATGTGAAAAGCTCTCCTGTGGCTTTGAAGGATAAAGGGGCAGAGTTCAATACTGGTTGTCACTTTTGAGAAGGCAATTGACTTTTTCACTTCTTTGTCTGGTAATGGTGTCATTGCTGTAGACTCTCTTATTGTGCTGTCCACTTTCTTTTTTTAGTAATGCAAAAGCTATCTTCACATGGCTAGAATTGGACTCTCCCCACAATGGGGCCATTTTCGTGCCCTTTCTCACCTGCTGTATACAAGTGGCATGATGTTGCTCAAGTAGCAAGTGGGAGGATAGGTACACTGCAATTTAGGATACAGAGATAGCTTTCACCTGCTTGATAGCTTTGTTGATGTCTCATTACTGAAAATGTTTTCAATGAAAAAGTAACTACCCTGTCTCTTTCTTGAGATAGACTTCAGCTATTTATCTTGCTTGGCTAAATAAGGGTTAGTGTTGAAGGATTTCTGTCCTGTGTATAAACATCTGTGTTTGTTTTATGCATTTGTACCCACTTCTCCACTGAAAAGACTCTGAGTGACTTAGGACAGCAAACAATACAACCCATCTTCCTATTAACCTATCCTTAGTTAATGTCTTTGACGGCGGACAGGAAGTCTTCACTCTGGTGCAGAAGTCTTCACTCTGGTCCGCCATCAGAGGGTAATAACCAGCTGTGCATGAGTTCAGTAGCGCAGCTGACAAAAGATCAACTCACTCGTCCATCCCTAAAATGCTGTTTCTTTGCCTCTTGTGTGATAACCTTGCTTTGTTTCCTTATGCACCTTGTATGATGACCTTGCTGTGGATGAAAAATGGTTGCCGTATTTGGGACCGGGAAGGAATTTGCTTGTAAACCATTTTGGCCCATTTGGAAGTTTTGCCTTCCTCATAGAAATTGTAACAACTTTTGGTGGATAAGGCATTGGGTGGAATCTTAGTCCAGTTCTGGGTTCAGGGTGAATTAGCGCATCACCCCAATCACAGATTACCTGTTAATGGGGTTTAAGTGGAAGTCTCTGTCCCGAAGCCAAGTGAGGTGCAGATGGGCCATAAAGCTTTCAACAGCAGCCTGGGATGGGAGGGGGACCTAAGTTGACCTTCATTTTGAGGGGGTCCATATCCCAGTCATGACCCTGCTGGAGGTAGGGCCTGCTTCTCATATCTTCCTCACAGTTACATGCTTCAGATCTCAATATGTAGCTAGTCAGTCAATCAATCAATCAATCATAACATGCTTGTTTTAGGTTGTGTATCTATGGAAAGCTGAATCACATAGTAATGCTTTCATAGATCATAGAATTATAGAGTTAGAAGAGACCCTGAGGATCATGTAGTCTAACAGCCTGCAAAGCAGGAATATGCAGCTGTTCCAAATGGGGATCGAACTTGCAACCTTGGCAGTATCACCACCATGCTCTACTCAACTGAGCTATCCAGGCTTGTGGCAAGTTTGAGAGTTTAACATAGATGTAGGCATATTTTTTGTGAAACTTCAATTCATTTTCCATTCTTGATGCAGGATTATTTCAACAAATAAATTATTGTCATTAATCTTTAGATAGAAAACAGCCCGATGTTAGCTTGAAAATAATAACTGGCCTCTTAAGAACACAAACATTTATACATGGAAAAATGCCTAGACCTAACCAATAGGAGTAGTTGATGTCTCTATATCTGACTACTACAAATTACAGGGATGGTATTTCTACACTGATTGAGCTCTAAGGCTTGTGTTCTGGCTGTCTGCTCAAGTGGATCTTTGCTGCGGCATGTATACATACCCAAAAGAGCAGCTGAAAGTGCAAAAATGAAATTTTGCTTTCTTGCTAATGAGCTTGCAACTTGAAATTTTGATGAGGTAGAAAATTATTTTTTAAAAAGGTAGCAGCTCACTTTCATTTAGTGACCCTTGAGGGGTGTGTGTGTGTGTGTGTGTGTGTGTAAAAACCACCCCAACCACTTCCGTGAGATTCTTTTAATTTGCCTTTTGGGTATTGACCTTCAGATGTAAGGTGCAAAAATGGTTTAAGGACCCTGCATATGAAGTTTTATGCTTCCAAAAATATTCCCCTCAAGGTCAAAATACGCATTACAATATGTCTAGGTAAGGAGAAAGTGCAATGTAGTGCCTTAATTGCGTGCGAAAAAATGTCAGTCGTCAGTCACAGCCTGTCAACATGTCCTGTACTTTCACTGCAACATTTACCTAAAATCTGCAACCTTTTCCTCATCTTTTGTCTCCGATGGGACTAACTCTCCATAATTTCTGTCATTTGTTGGTCCTTTCCTTATATATTTCATTTATTAATCTCTTTCCTGGTGTGATTTAATGATAAAAACATCAGCAATAAAAACCTCATATAAAAATCCAACTCCATTGCTCATATGGACTGGGGTAAGAATCTCCACTTCAAAGTAAGATCTTCAGTAGGCACTGAGAATATGATGATAATATTTAATGGAAGGGAATTCCAAAGGATAGGCACTGCCACACTAAAGGCCCGATTCCTACAGCATTTGGAAGCAACCTTCCAATGTGCTGATATTTGCAGGAGGCCCTATTCTGCAGAGCACAATAATGGGTATATTTTTAAGGCATTCTGATCCCATGGTGTTGTATAGGGTTTTATACTCTAGTACCAGGACCTTGAACTTAGCCTGCTAGCTAGCTGGCAGCCAATTCAATTCTTTCAACAGTGGTATAACATGCCGATATTTTGCCCTAGGTGCAGATTCCAGGCCAACTTTGCAGGCAGCCACACATCGAGTGCATTGCAGTAATCCATTCTGGAGGTTACTGGTGCACGAACAACTGTGGTCAGGTCATCCCAGTCCAGAAATGGCCATAGCTGTCTTACCAGCTTGTTTTTAATTAGTCCCAACTTGCTTGAATTGCACACCCTTTCTACCGTAAATATCCTTTGAAGGTTATTCTTTTGCTAATTCGGCAAGTTAATCATACTGCTTTGGGGAAGTTTCCTTGAGAACAAATCTTTCCTTCTGTGTTGTGAAAAAACAGATTGTACTCTGGATGCATCCTAATCGGGCCACAGAGAGTTGGGGCAGATCAGCCTGCTCTGGCAAATAGACTCTGCTTGCCCCAGGCAATAAAATCCATCCAAAGATAATTATAGCCCTGAGGAGGAGAGTGCCCTGGATGATTATTTGTCATAGGCATTTCCAGTTCTTTTAGCATATGTCCTTGGGAGAAAACTCTTTTCTGATAATAAAAAAACAGCACTCTGTTAATCAAGTAGCTTTGAAGTGAAAGCTATTTGTTGTTGTTTTTAAGAAAAGAGTCCCCTGTTTATTTCTTAGCTGAAGCTTTTATTCCGCATAAGAGGCAAGAGGTAACTCTGTTGGTCAGAATTCAGATGCTCTCCTTACCATGTTACACTTGCTCTGTGCATTAAATTTGTATGCAAGCTGATGGTTTAAGATTTGAGCCTGCTTGGTTTTGGTACTAGTCACGTGCATCCTCTAGGGGCAGTTAAGGGAGAGGAAGCATATGCATTTATCCTGTACCAGCAAATGAGGTGTGCAATGTGGCTTTAAGTGTTTACTTTTTTTAAGTGGCTTGGCTAGGTACAAAACACCCTAAATGTGCACTGAAAGCAAAGTCACTGGAAGAATACAACATTGTCATTCCTGCATTGGCATTTCTTCAGGATACAATCCAAGGGGCTGTCAAAGTCTCTACAGAATGGGATGTGCTAGCATGAAAACCCTTCTGGGAACACTGTTTTGGCAAAAAAACTGTCCATGCTAAATCCTTTTCTATTTCACTTTTTAATGAACCCCTTGTACAATTATTAGTCGCTATTTAGTTGTAAGGACCATAAAGAAGGCTGATCACTGAAGAATTGATGCTTTTAAATTATGGTGCTGGAGGAGACTCTTGAGAGTCTCATGGACTGCAAGAAGATCAAACCTCTCCATTCTTAAGGAAATCAGCCCTGAGTGCTCACTGGAAGGACAGATCCTGAAGCTGAGACTCCAATACTTTGGCCACCTCATGAGAAGAGAAGACTCCCTGGAAAAGACCCTGATGTTGGGAAAGGTTGAGGGCACAAGGAGAAGTGGACGACAGAGGACGAGATGGTTGGATAGTGTTCTCGAAGCTACCAGCATGAGTTTGACTAAACTGCAGGAGGCAGTGGAAGACAGGAGTGCTTGGCGTGCTCTGGTCCATGGGGTCACGAAGAGTCGGAAACGACTAAACAACAACAAAAAATTTAGTTGTAAATACTATCAGATATTGTTTCCTGTTGGACACTGAACCTAATTCAAAGTTGACGAGGAAAGTGGGTCTAAACTGCAGATGGAACTTGTTTATTTCCCTTGCCCCTTTTCTCTTAAACAGAAACTGATTATATTTTTTCAGCTCTCAATATCTGGAGCCAGTTATGTAAATTTGCATTTATTCTTTTTTCAAACTCTGTAAACCTTTTACAGATCCTTGTATGGCTTGTAATCCCCCCCCCCCCAGTTTATAAATAATTGAAAATAAACTCATTCTGGACTCCCATTTTCTTCCCCACCAGCTATTGAATGAAATCAGGCTTACTATGTTTTTTTTCTTAATAGCATATGCATCTCACCCTTCTTCCAAGAAGCACTGGGCTGGATATAGCAGTAAATGGTTTATTTTTCCACAGATGGGCACAAACATGTAAGGTAAAAGAACTAAGGCAACATCATGTTAGGAAAACTACCCAATAGATAGAGAGCATTAAGCTAATTTTTTAATGAGGAGACTTTTTTTTAAAGGTTATTTGGTGCTACACTCCAGTGAAATTCTAACATTGGGAATTTGGTAAATGTTCCTCTCTGTGCCCACTTTACAAATAAACTGTCATTTAGAAAATTATTTCCTCCTGTGCTAAGAGCTATATAATTATATTTTCTTACACAGTATAAAAGATGAGCAGTGGCACATCTAAAGAAGGTAATTACTGCAATTACGTTGCTAATGGACACGGATCTGTCATACAGAATTTGCTCTGGTCTCTGCGATGGGTTCGTGATAGTCTAATATGCTCTAAATGTGTGTCTCTAAAGCACAATAAATTTAGTTTTGCAGGAAAGGAGTAGCATCAGATTTGCAGTGGACTGCAATTAGCTATTCATCTGGGCTGATTAAAATGCATGATGGGTACAACATGCAACCATGTCAAAACACATTAAAACCATATCAGATTTCAGTTTCAGATTTCGCTTGATGTGCCTTCAAACTAGCACAAAAAACCTTGCAGACTTAATAACAAAAAATATAGTATTGCTCAAAAAGCGGGTGTATTTTTAGGCTGATATTGATGCAGCACACAGATGCTTTGAAACCTATTCATCACTATTCTTAGCATTTGGTTATGCAGTAAATAATACTCCCTTTCCCCAAGGAGGTTCTGGTATGAAATGTGACTATAAACATTTCCATAATTTGAGAAGTTTACTGACAGCAATGGGGACGGGCAGAGTCTAGTGGATAACATTGGAACATAGGAAGCTGCCTTATACTGACCATTATTCCATCTACCTCTGTATTGTGGATGTTGGCAGAGGTTCTATAAGATTTCAGACAGAATTCTATCTCAGCCCTGCCTGGTGATGCCAGGGATTAAATCTGGGACTGTCGCTATACAGTGTAGATGCTCTATCACTGTGCTTTGGCCCTTCCCAAAACATTTTCATGTGCTGTCCAGTTTTTAGTGGTAGAACTCTTCCCGAGTTTCTCTTCATTTAAGAAAACACATTTGGTGTGTTGTGTCTCAGTTACTCTTTTTCAAGTTAGAAAATTGGAAAAGAAAAGGAGGGGCGAAACAAAACAGAACTCTGCCAGTTTAGGGTATTGACCCACCTGTACTCAGTTGATGTCCAGCATCACAACTGAGGAAATGAGATTAAAGAGCCAAGTTGCACACACACCACACTGGTAAGATTTCAGGGCTCCCCACAGGGAAAGCTGACTTGCACCTGGAAAATAAAACAATTGGGTGCAAGGCACGTGTCTTAAATGTCATGCAGGCCTGCTAGAATTCCTGAGCCAAGTATTTCCCAGTGAAATAAAGTGCTTGCTAAATAGAACTCATCAGAGAACTAGAAGACTTGGTGATGCCCCTTTTCTGTAATAGCACAGATAAAAAATTGCATGGCTTAGGGAAGGAAACGTTTGCCTGAAGCTGCTAAAATGCCCTTTCATGTGAGAAAAAAATGATACTAGTCTTGCATATGCATTTGTGATAATTGACTAAATGAAATATGCTGGCTGCACAGTTTGGAAGGAGGGACTTCCCTTTCAGGAGCTGAACTTACACTATCATCATAGCCTTACATTATTTGGACACTATTTTTCCTTGGTAAACCATCTCCAGAGTGGCTCCTGACATTATAAAAATGTGTATAATAAAAGCATTACATTTTAAGTTAATGCACTGACAGTTACGTAGGTTAGCATTTAAATTGGCATACAAATATGGGATGTTTTGATTAAGCTACTAATATTAATAAGCATACACCCAGATTAAACAAACCCACCAGTAATTAATAAACCTTAGCAATAGAAAAACAGCCCCTGAAAAGGACTCTGCCCTGATAGTCATCAGGACAACCTTCCCTAACCTGGTGCCCTCCCAGTGTTTTGAATTAAAATACCCATTAGCTCCAGCCATCATGGCCAGCCATCGTTGCCTGAAATTTCTGAAGGGCATCAAGTTGGGGGGAGCTGTTCTTGGACCTTTCAGCAACAGAAACAGTCTTTGTAGCTAGAGCAGGTCAGAGCCCTGCTTTCTTGGGCACAGATAGCGATCAGGGACAAAGGCTTCAAGGACTCGCACTGTTCCTGTGCACTGGGCTTGCACTATTGGGTTATAAATAATAGTTTTCTCAGTGTTTGTCATTATTAATCTTAAGGGGATTTCAGCTTGGATGGTTTTCATATGTCTAGTGCTGTATGGTTCATTCCTACCTAGAGGGTCTTTTCACTGGAAAGATGTCATTAATATTGGAATTTTGACGTTTGGTTGGCAGTGGGGGAGATGCTTTACTCTGGAGAAATCAGTTTCTTAAAAAGAATTTGCAGTCGAACTTACAAATCACTACGTGTATATACTTGACTTCAGTTGACTTTTAGTGGATTTGTACATATCTTGAAGATGAAATGGTCTCTGGAATTTTTTGTACACAGTTCCCCTTATCACATTTGCAGTACATGTGGGTTATTTAGTTTGTAGAACATGAGACTCTTAATCTCAGGATTGTGGAGTTGAGCCCCCTGTTGGGCAAAAGATTCCTGCATTGCAGCGGTTTGGACTGGATGACCCTTGTGGTCCCAATTCTATGATTCTGTTCTATGATTCTGTGCACAGAGGAGTCATTCTGTAGGAAAATACACTTATATGGCACATCATTTAAAAGCTGCTTTTGGTGAGAGGAGCCAATTGGAACATATTACTTTGCATGTATATGTTTTGGGGGGGCACTCCTTAAAAAAACCCTACTGTTATTGTGTCTAGTATGTAAGAATCCATCCTTTGTTCCATTTAAACCTATGAGACTACATTGATTTTACTCTCTGTACTCTTTACCTGTGATGTGAATGTGAGGTGTTTGGAATGGCCCAAGAGATCTTCAGTGTTTTATAGACTGATGCCTGCCTTGGAAGGGTCATGGTTATGAGAGCTTGCTTTCTGAAATATTTCATGTGGAAGTGTTAAAGGGGAAAGTTAAAATGGCTGTGGCTGGAATTTATGAGGCACAATTAAAGACATGGGTTGTCAAAGCTGTGATCCAAACATGAACATTAATCCATTTTGCCCATAAAGTTTGTAGATGCCAAGTAATGCAGAGGGAGCTATAACTGGGAAGGATATAAAATGAGATTTCTAACAGAATATTCTGAACATGTGACTATTCCAAGAATGGCATGGTTCACACATAATTTATTAAACCATGGCTTAGTGTTGTGTGTGAACCCTGCCCAGCAGATTAATTATGACTTGTTTACTGACAACAAGCCACAGTCTGAAGCCATGGTTTGTTCTTGGCTTATTAACCTTGCTTTCTTTTAACTTTTAACCTTAGTGTTAGGTGCAAACCCAGCATCCTTCCTCAACCCTGTGGTTTGCTTGGCTACTCCAGACTCTCACCAAGGTATACAGGTATGAGGCAAGTGTAGCTACAAAAGAAAATAAACCATGCTTTTATTTGATATTCTGTGGGGCGGCTCATGTTTAACTTAGAATCTGTTAAACAAACCATGGCTTAGATTTGCCATGAATTAATGTTAACCATTATGGAGGAAATCAAAAGAACTGCATTACTAAATACCTTGAAGGTCCATTATTGTAGTTCTCCCTAAGAAAGCCTGTTCTATGATTCTGTGAAGAGAGGTGTCATTCTGAAGAATCTAGGCATTCAGAAAAATTCAGTCCTAGTTAAACACAATGAAATTGTCAACAGAGGCTGCTTTTGTTGCTCTTATTTGTATCTGAGTTGTTATGGTTGTTACTCTCTGAAGTAACTTTGTTTCTGTTCTGAAAATGAAACTACAGTATGCAAATACATGGAACTCCAAGTCATATCCTGTTATAACTATTCAATGTAGTGTCAGTGTGGTAGAGATTAGGCTGTTTTGTGCTAAGCATTTTCTGTGGAAAAAAACCATACCTTGTTCACTCATGTTTTACATGGCACTTACACAACATTGTGAAGAAAACATCCTCTGCATGTTTTATCCGTTCAGTTTCCTTCCCCCTACCTCCCAGCTCAGAAAATCCTAACTTTTTTAAATTCAGTGAAATTACTGCAATTTTCTAAGGAATGCTGCCATTCATGCTGTTCTGTCCAGTAGTGACCTGGGCATATTGCTATTGCCATTTTCTCTTCTGTGCTCCATTTCTCCACTCTAGCAAGCAACTTTACCCTTTCCAAACAAAATGGAGCGCAGTGATGGGGGGAAAGGCGAATTTAAGGCTTCCACATACACAGTGGTTCTATTGAAAATCTCCTTCATCCTGTTGAGGGAGCTGACTGCCCGCTTGGCTAGAGAGTGTCAGAAGTCTGGAAGCAGAATTTCTATTCCTCATCCAGGTAAAAGCAGGCCAGCACCAATTGGGTGTTGCTAAATTGTCCATGTTTGGAAGTACCATTGAAGTGAAGGGATGCAGGTTAAAATATCCACTATGTAACCTTGGTTCAGCCAATATCTCTGAGCTTAACTTACCTCATAGGGGTCTTGAGAAGAAAGAGGGGACAATGTATACTGCTTTGACCTCTGTGGAAGAAGGGTAGAATAAAACTTTAATAAAATGTAATGTGTGGCATATATGTGTGTCCCCTGCCTTTTTGGTCCCAGAATGCAATCGACTGGGATGCGGAGCGAAAGAGTCATTACTAAATCTAAGCCCTTCTCTCTCGCCCTTTGGCTCTCACAGTGCATAGCTTAAGCTTGATGAAATATTTCATGCACAGATAGATTTTTTCTCTGTGGTGGTTCTTAAATAATTTTAACTGTGACATAGTGTTCAGTCTTTCTCTCAGGGTTTACTCCCAAAGCCTCTCTCGTGAATGAGTGTAACCGCAAGGCAGAGAAGTAGAGGATCAAATTTTTCCTTCTCCTAGATCTTGTAATTGGACCGTTGCCCCAATAATCTCTTGGCCTTTTACCTTAAAGTATAGACTTATCTTGTTGACTCCAAAGTGTCTTGGTTTTACTTCTCATGCGATCCCTCTATCAAAATTATATGGCCACATTTACTGCCACTGTGCAGCATTAAAAACGTAATGTATTTTGATGTAGCTTAATAGGAAAAGCATTTTTTCAATTTAGTCTGAGCAATCACAGGAGAAGAAATGCATTTTCCATTAATTTTTTTCGTGTCCCTAATTGCCCCTCTGTGGCATTATTATGAAGGACCCCTAGTGTAATGATGATGAGGCAGAGGCAACACTTCAGTTATTTTGGGAAATGCAGTCCATTTTCTCACTGTAAGTATAATTGCAATTTCGGTTTTATCATTTATCATATGTACATTAACAGTATACTCAAACATAAATTAATATGCAGTTTAGCACCAGGTTAATGGGAGTGCAAAATCAAAAACTTTCAGAAGGCTTGTTGCAAAACCTTCTGGTTCTTAAATATTCAAAATATTACAAATAATGCTGAAAATATTTTCTCCCTTCTCCAGGTAGGGTAGGATGCCAAAAATGTTTCTTGCATAAACTACACTGAAATGAAGCAGAATTGTGCAAGAATCAAGCTATGATACTTTCATCAGGGCATTTTCAAGATTAAATGTGGATTAAATTTGTACCTTGGTGTTCCCCCAGGGAGCTTTGCCTTCCTAATTATATTGGAATGCGGGTGGCGCTGTGGGTTAAACCACAGAGCCTAGGACTTGCTGATCAGAAGGTTGGTGGTTTGAATCCCCGCAACGGGGTTTGCTCCCATTGTTCAGTCCCAGCTCCTGCCAACCTAGCAGTTCGAAAGCACGCAGTGCAAGTAGGTAAATAGGTACCGCTCCAGCGGGAAGGTAAACGGTGTTCGCCAGAAGCGGCTTAGTCATCGTGGCCACATGACCCAGACGCTGTACGCCGGCTCCCTTGGCCAGTAAAGCGAGATGAGCGCCGCAACCCCAGAGTCGTCCACAACTGGACTTGATGGTCAGGGGTCCCTTTACCTTTACCTAATACAGTGGTACCTCAGGTTACATACGCTTCAGGTTACATACACTTCAGGTTACAGACACCGCTAACCCAGAAATAGTGCTTTAGGTTAAGAACTTTGCTTCAGGATGAGAACAGAAATCGTGCTCCGGTGGCGCAGCGACAGCAGGAGGCCCCATTAGCTAAAGTGGTGCTTCAGGCTAAGTACAGTTTCAGGTTAAGTACGGACCTCCGGAACAAATTAAGTACTTAACCTGAGGTACCACTGTACATTGTATTTGGCTAAATAAGTAGAGAGAGTAGCTTGTTGATCAAGTTCTTCTCTGAGTACAGGTTTATGCTTGACCTTTCCACACCATTGTGGCCTAGCACGTTAGCCACAAGTGTAGTCATTGTTGAGTGTGGCCATCACTGAGTATCTGAGCAGCTTCTGTTGACAGAAATGTTGACAACATATGTTCATATTCACAGCCAATAGATCCTCCTCACACACACGTCTTTTTGACACTTTTGTAGATGGCCAAACAAATAGGAATAAACTTCCTTTCCTGTTCAGTAAGACTCTTATACTACCCTTAGCTTGTTTTCGGAACTGAAAATGCTGCTTCAACTGTAATGTTAATCAACTTAATGCTTAAGTGTGTTCTGGCAAGAATGAAATACAGTACAGATGCTTCGTATCAGCAATGCATAATCTCAATAAGCAGCCAAATGAGTAAACATTCACCAAGGGCTTTTGGCGAGCTGTGTAATTTAAACACTTGCTCAATTAAAGAAGTGGATTTAGGAATTTTTTTGCCACCACTAGTAGAAAAGTTGTCAAATGATCTTACAGTATTTTGCTTTGTATTCTCAATGGTCTTAAATTAGAGAGTTCTGCACTTTCTGTGGTTCTTCAGTAGTTGTTTGCTTCCCAAGACTGTCACTGGCTTGTTTTGGGTTGTTTCCTGGAGGTTTTATAATGCTTGAAAAGGTATAGGCAATGCAAAGATCTATTTAACTTATGTCAAAAGTTAAGCGGTTGCAGTATAAGGAGTCAGCAATTAATGCCATGAAATGCTTCTTTTTAAAATTCCACACTGAGGTTTTATTCTTTACAATCTAAAGAAAACTTAACAGTGCATGAAAACCAAGTGCTGTATCACTTCCCTTCATTGGTGTGTTTGTGTGCCAAAAAAGAAAAAAACAGATGGCAAATAAAACTAGTCTAGTTTGATCATTGTGCCCTCTTTCTCATGCTGGGCCAACTACTGGAACATCTAATGTGAAATGTAGCATAACTTTCATGTAGTACATTGTTGTCTTTTCCACTGTGTAATAGTGTAACTTAAGTAATGGAAAGGAACAGATGCTAAAGATCATCTTGTCTGTTCTGGTTAAATGTGCAACTGGTAAGTCAGTAGGAGCTAAACTGGTTTATGCCAGTTGGAGTTATTATTAAGATATGTCAGATGCATAAGCTAAGTAGAGTTAGAGAATCTGAAGGCAGCCCTGTTTAGGGAAGCTTTTAATGTTTGATGTATTACAGTATTTTAATATTTTTTTGGAAGCCGCCCAGAGTGGCTGGGGAAGCCCAGCCAGATGGGTGGGGTATAAATAAATTATTATTATTATTATTATTATTATTATTATTATTATTATTTATTAATCTGAGGCTAAGTTGTAATGTATAGAGCAATACATTTCTTACTGAAGAAATTAAAAAAAAAATTGGCAATTTGAAAGTATGCCTTATGGTACTAAACTGTCTGTGGCGATTCCTACCTGTAATGTGTATGGGTTGCTCGTGCGTAAGTTGCCGCCTCTCCAGGCTTTGTTGCCTTGCTAAACCTTTCAGTCTGGGCAGCCCTTCACTTTGTGGCTGCCTCAGTCGCTAGCAGAATCCGTCAGTGGGCGTTTCTTAAATCTTTTCCAACATAAAAGTTGTTTGACACCCAGTCTCCTCCTACTCTCTCTGCGCGGAAGTCTTCTGCGCAGGGTGGGCGTGGGTAGCGGGGACCCGTGCTCTCCCCGCTGGTGTCCGGTGAAGAGTCCTGGAGCCCTCGCGCCGATTCCCCATCAGCCCCTCTTTATCCCTGGTGTTGCGCTGATTTGCTTCCCCATCTGCGGAGCTGCCTCTCTCCCTGCTGGGCCCTTCTCCAGCATCATTTGAGAGCCTTCCCTCCGCTTCTAGCTCCGATGTCAGTTCCCTGACACTACCAAAAACAGAAGTTATCACTGTACACAAAAAAAAACCGCAATGAAAAACAGCTGGCGTTTTACAGTAGCTCCTTTTTAATCAATATTATTAATAAGAACATATTTGATACTGAAATATGAGAGTTTAGATACCAAGTTTATTTCAGAGTCCAATGAAACACGAAGGTTTGGATCCTAAGAATTGTGAGATGGGTGTTTGGCATGCAGAACGGGGCTTTGCTCCTGGCTGCCTCCTTTCTGCCACAGTCCCCCGTGCACCCTTTAAAGCTGTGGAAAAGTGGGCAAAGGATTTGGGACATAATATTCCACTGAGTCATGTGAAAGATTGTGGAGAGAGGATTTAAAATTTACGGCTTGTAGTTCACTTAAAGAAAATTATATGAAAATGATGTACCAATGGTATTTGACACCAGTTAAACTTGAAGAAATGTCTAAAAACTCTCCTAAAATGTGTTGGAAATGTAAAGATAAAGAAGCTTTTTTTTCCATATGTGGTGGGTTTGCAAAAAAGCAAAGGGCTACTGGGAAATGATATATAATGAACTTAAAAAAAATGTTTAAGATAACGTTTATTTAAAAAAAAAACAGAAGCCTTTTCGGTTGGAATAATAAGTGATGAATTGCCAAGTAAGCTAAGGAGATTGTTTACCTATGTATGCTGCTACAGCCGCTAGAATGTTATTTGCCCAGAAATGGAAAGAAGAGGTCCCAATGAAAGAAGAATGCATAATGAAAATGATAGACAATGCTGAAATGGCTGAACTTACCGTGAAGATCAGGCATCAAGATGAGAAGAAATTCAGTGAAGAATGGGAAAAATTATAGACTTATTTTAAGGAAAACTGTAAGCATGTTAAAACATTAGCAGGATTGATGTAACATTTATGATGTAATTCTATAATTAGGTTTTAAAATATTTGGAAATTAAATGGAAAAAGTAATTATATTCAAGGAAATTTTTTGGAAAACGGGGGTGGGAAGTCAAATATGGTGTTATTATGAATGGAAAATTGTTGTTATATTGCAAAATTTTAAAATAAAATATTTAAAGCTGTGGAAAACTGTGAACTTCTCTTTGCATGTCTCGGAGTGCTTTCTGCTTGCAGATCTGCCCTTTTGGATCCAAGCCATGCCTTCAGGCAATCTGCTGCTCCTTAATTCTGATCACTGGAAGTATATTGAAGGAGCAACATCAATCTTGATAATAAAACGATTTACTTAAAGGACTCCTGCTTGAAAGGAAGCATACACTCAAGGCAGGTCAGGATGGAGAACCTGTTTTGCTACAATGGCTGGGCCATAAATTGCTTCTTGTGACGCTCTCAAAAGCGATGCTCAATTGGTGAATGAATTTGTCTGGACTTTCCTAATGTGTGTTCCCGTCACTTTTATATACAGTGGTGCCCCGCAAGACGAATGCCTCGCAAGACGGAAAACCCGCTAGACGAAAGGGTTTTCCGTTTTGGAGGTGCTTCGCAAAACGAATTTCCTATGTGCTTGCTTCGCAAGATGAAAATGTTCCTGCGGGGTTTTCCCGCCCCCTTTTTCCCAAGCCGCTAAACCGCTTATCAGCTGATGGCTAAGCCGCTTAACAGCTGATGCTAAGCCGCTTATCAGCTGATCATTAAGCCGCTTATCAGCTTATCGTTAAGCCGCTTATCAGCTGATCCACTAAGCCCGCTAAGCCGCTAATACTGTAGCACTAATCCGCTAATGGGCTTGCTTCGCAAGACGAAAAAACCCGCAAGACGAAGAGACTCGCGGAACGGATTCTTTTCGTCTTGCGAGGCACCACTGTAATAACATGGACATTTCAGATACAAACTGTACCCACTTCTAACTAATAAAGTAGCAACTATATGTGCCTCTTCCTCCCCTCTCCCCCCATATGTACAGAATGGAACGCATACTAAAGAGCTAACGCTAATAATGATTCTTGAATTCTTCATATTGTATTAATTGGCCCCAAATTGGAAACTTCCTAGCTAAGAGCAGGGTGATCATTTAGCATTTGATAATTCGCCTTTTGCCATGAGAATGCCTTTCATATTGCCTTCATAAGAATTGTAAGATGTTTCTTACGAGGGCATTGCTGCGGCATTACAACATTAATTACAGAACAGAGATGACTGAAGGCTATACATCATTCCTTTTTATGTTGAATAATGTTGGAGAACTCTTACTGATTACTTGGAAATTGCCCGTGTCCTCCTGCCAAAAGAGTTTCAAAATGGCAGATGTGGGAATTCAGCCATTAATCAGATGCTGAAAGCCCTGGGCTGTAATTTGGTGGGAAAAAATCATATATAATGTAATGATGGGCTTGACTGCTGGTGAGCTTAGCTTGCTTCTGCTGTAAAATGCAAAAAAGCTGGATAGTGGTAATATTTAAGCTCTAATTATAATTATTCCATGTGGAGCCTTTCAACTGCTACCCTTTTTATGGTCATGTATCATTTATGTGCCCTTTAATCATTCACTTCAATCTTTAATCTTTTAAAAGTATAGACTTGGCCATGTTAGAATCAATAGTACGTAAATCAGGATTTTTTAAAATGACTATTTTTATTCAAAGAATTTCAAATATGCAGATAACAACCATAGTAATCAACATTAACAATTCATAGCACAACTGTTGCAATAACTGTACCATGTTAAGTTAAACATGTTGACTTAAAGGGTCTCGGCAAAAATCACTAGGAGTTGATGGAAGAATTATAGTGTGGCTAGATTTAGTCACATTATTTAAATTGGAATTGTTTCATGTAAACCTAAACATTACTCTATGAAGCCTTGTATCATAGAAGGATGGATAACAACTCTTCCAAACACATGCTACCAACATTATTATTATTATCTTATTAATATCCTGCCCATCTAGCTGGGTTTCCCCAGCCACCCTGTACTGTTTACAGCACATAAAAACATATGCATATGCAACTCACTAGAAAGAATATTTTAAGTTGTATGTGTGAGATGTCCATATCAGGGGTAGACAACTTCTAGCCTATGGGCCAGTCTTGTCCTGCGAGGGCATTGTGTCCCCAAAACATGGTCACCTGTCAATGAGCTGATGTTGCTGGTTAACATCAGCTGATGAGCAGGTGGTAGGGTTCAATTCTGCATTGGGTGTGGGATGTGCCACCTCTGCTAATCTCAGTCCAGGTTGGCTAATACAAGGAAAGTTGTTCCATTAGATACTTGGTTGCCAAGCCATTTAGGGCTTTGTGTATCAGCATTAGTATCTTAATTTGGGTCTGGTTGTGTTTAACATGATTGCACACAGCATTCTCACAACCACAGTCTGCACAAGCTGTAGGATAGACTGTCTTCAATGGTAGCCTTATGTAGAGAGTCTTACAGTAATTAAGATGCAAGGTTACTAGAGCATGTGAAATTATATAAAATACTTGCAAGGTTGAGCAGAATCAAGAGCAGAGGTGGCCACTTTTGTGGCAGGGAAATGGGTATCATTGCAGTATCTTTGTATAAACCAGCAGAAGAGCAGAAAAATAACTCTTCCTAAACACATCTGTTTAATTGAGTTATTCGTGGCTGTATGTAACTTGCAGCCAAACAGCAGCTGGTATAGATGTAGTTATCTCTCTGGACATTTTTGTCTGTTTTGATTCATGTTTGCTCTAGTCTGTGACTCTCAACTTCCATCTGCTACTACCCTATATTATTAACAGGTAGTAGCAGATGGAAGTTGAAAGGCTACTGTAAAAGTCTGATCAATCAGTGCAGTCTTACAAATCTGAATGCAGAATGAGATTTTCCCCTTTCTGGGTGATAAGCACAAATTCCTTTATAAGGTACACAGGAAATTGAATGAGAAATGAGCAGTAAGCCATCTTATACTTTCCCATTCCCCTTGGAGAATATTTGATCTTATCAGTGTAGATGCTGTACAATGGTTTCTCTGTGTCTGTAATAATTTGTTACCTAAGTTACACTTGAGTTGCTGTAATGAAAAATGATGAACTGTGTGTGCTAGAGAATCATCAGGCTTGCAGAATGCTGAAAGACTGGGGCTGCCTTAAAACCTTGTTGTCCAAAGTATGTTGCATATATTATTGCTATTATTTATTTACTGAGAAAATGTCTTCGCTGCCTCACAGCCTCCAAGGGGCCATATGAAGAAGCTTCCATAATTTAAAACACAAATACAGTAAATGCTAAATAAAAAAACCAAACAATCTCAAATTAAGTGAAATTTAACACAGAGGGTCCATAAAATGATTGAGTCATTTTAAAGTATAGTGCCAATTCACTATCTTTGAATATTACATCATTGTTCATATATAAATACTGACTAGTTCTACTTTAATGCTTACTTTTTGACCTACTTCTCTGGAAGTGTTAGCAGATTTTTGTCAGCTTTGTATTATAAGGCTTGCCAGCCAAATATAGAGGTTCTTAGGATTCTGTGCTCCTGTAAAAGGCACTCCATAAAATGGCCAAACCATGTCATCTTTTATAGCTGTCATGCAGTACTTGCATTAAACTTGATATAATGAATTTCTTTTTGCATTCCCATCCCTCATTCCAAAAGAAAAGTGCTTGCTAAGGGACAGATATTATGGTTTCTGCTATCATACAGGCTTTCCTAGGACTGAAAAGTATAATGAATTGATACCCCTGTCTTCCCTCCTTTCTAGACCTCCTCCCATCTTAAATTACTCCCAAGTGCAATAATACCCTACTGGATAAGTTATGAAGAAGATAGCTGTATTTTTTATGTTTAAGATTTCCTCTGTGTGTGAATATGAAGACATTTTCTACATAATCAACTAGCTATGAGCAGGTGTGCATTCATCCATCATTAGAATGTTTTGTTAAGTATAATGGAAAGGTAACTATTTTTCTAGTTCATATAATACAAATTAGGGTAGAGGCAAATATATATTTTTAGTCACAATATTCCTCACCCCCCCCACACACATTTAGCATAAACAGTTGATGTGGTTATTATCACTTCATTCCTCTAACGGCTATAATTGCTTCCTTTTCTGGCCTTCCCGTCCAGAAAAGGCAGTGATAATTAAGAAATAAATTCACTGTGTGGTTGTGCTAATAGTGAAAGTAGCCTTGTGGCCACTTAACCAGCCCAAACTCCCAAATCTACTGACTCCTCTACCAGTGGAGAAGAACCAAGACACCTATGTGAGGAACTGGAAGAAATGTAGCTCTGTCGTAGGATGTGATTATAAACATCATGTGGTGTGGTCTGGATGGGAGCAGGAAAGATGTATGATTATTATTCATTAATTAAATTTATTGGTCACTTTTTCTTGTCAAAGGCAAGTCGAAACAACTTACAACCGGATAAACAAAGTCCCACTTGTAGATGTATATATGTGTAGTTCAGGACTTCACTTGCAATCTAACGAGTTCAGGGATTGTAGTTTCGTTTGCAGCTGCTTCCCACTACATCCCACTTCATAAATTAATGCACTCATCTCAATATTATGAGAATGAGGCTTCCTGTAGAAACAATAAAATCCAGAGGCATATGTTATGAATACTACCTGTGCAGGAGAGTGAGCCGTTGTGGTGATTTTCAGCTTATCAATTTTAAAGCAGTAATGATTCTTTGTTTCTCCAATACTATTTCATATGATAATCCTTCCCTCCATTCAAAAGATGAAATGGTTGTACTCTATCGCTCAAGCTCAGAAGGCCTCATCTGCACCTTATTCTTCTTAGAGTCAAAGACTGGGGAAGGATGGAACATTTACATCCGCAATAACCAATGCAGTCTCATATTGGTTTATATTGAAGCTTAAATTGCATTTGAGACTCACTCTCTTTGTGTTAATGTAAGAGAGTGGTTAATGTAAGAGAGGCGTTTGTAACTCAGATAAACTTTCTGGCTAGTATGGGGTCTTTCTTGGCATTAGAAACTTGGAAGGAAGCAAGAACCACCACAAGCTCTTTTGTAAGAATGCTGTTGCATGCAGTTATATACCTTCATTACCTTTTATTTTTTTCACAGCATGCTGTCAACAGGCATTAATTTTCCTCCAGAGTTTAAAGCAGCTTAATGAGCCAAGTGGGCATATTTAATGTCTAGCTTAAGACTGAAGAAATACAGCTAACCAAATAAGCCTCATTTTCCAGGCATTCTTTCCCAGGTTGGAAGGAAATAGTGTTGACAGCAGCAGAGTACTAGGTAGAGAGCAGGTGGGATCTAAACGGTAGCCCCTTCAAGTAAGACTGAACCTGATTGTGTTCAGCTTGCCGGCATTCGTGCAGAGATGCTTACCTAGTTGACTGCTCCTGCTTTGAATGTTTGCCCAGTTCCTAATGTGAAGGGACGCTCTACTGGTAAGTGACTTCCATTTTATGCACAGCTGAAGCTAAGTGGTGGATCAAATGCTTTGTATGTACTAGGTCCAAGATTCAATCCCTGGTATCCCCCAGATAGCTCCTCAACTCATGGCCAGATAGATATCCTATGGAATATTCTGCTCAAGTTTTTTGTTTTTGTTTTTTCAGAAATTATAGCACAGATAAACCTGTTATATATTTTGCACTTGGGAATGCAGATTTTCCAAGCTCAACTCAAAACTGTTTTGGGGTTTTTTTGTTTTGTTTTTTATATATATATAAATATACATTATATGAAAGGCACTATTTTAAAAAAAAATGCAGTAAAGAATATAGGGGAAGCTGGAAACTTCTGAGAGGAATTACTGGCTTCCTTGAGCTCTATTTAATCTCCTTGTGTGTCCTTGGGGAACTTAAAAGAGTGGGCAGTAAAACTGTCTCGCTAGTAAAGTTGCCTTGGAACTTGTGTTTTCTAATAATGCTTTTGCCATTGGTGGCTTTATGAAATAGTGCAATCTAAGAGTTCTAGTCATCTACAAGTAGGCACAAAAGATGTATAGTACTTCAAAAGAGAAGGCAGAGAGTCAGATGAAGATTTTATTTCATAAAATAAATTGCACAGGATTAAGACATAATTCAGCATCAGATTGTTTACTTCATCCTGTGTCTTCAGTCCAGAGGCTCACTGCAGATCAACAGCAAAGCATGAACAACACCAGCACTACCATTGCAGGTGTGTTATTCCTGCAAACTCAGCTGGGCATTCTTGTTGATAAAGCCTAAGGCTTGGTATGCTATAATTATTTAAAATCAAATGTAGTTTTCAACTGCAATTCTGAATAATTATAATAGTGGAATTCTTGGCACTTTGGGCATAATTTTTTTTAAGCCTTTTTAAATAAAGTAGGTATTATAGCACTGTTGGAGATGGTAATGCAACATACTTCTCCCATGGAAATTTCAGTACAGTGGTACCTCTAGTTGCAGACTTAATCTGTTTTGGGGTGCCATTCGCACCCCGAAAAGTCCGCAACTAGAGCTCCTCTTCTGCGCATGTGTGCGAAGTGATCAAGCGCTGATGTGCATGTGTGAAGTGAACATATCGCTCATGCGTGAAGCGCGTAGGTTGCTTCTGTGCATGTGCGGGTGGCGAACCACGTTCGTAAGCTGAAAGTCCATAACAAGAGCGGAACACAACACAAAGTATGACTGTAGATTATAAATATCTTTTGTAGATCAGTGCCATATTTTTCTCATCTGTAGCCTTATATTTTTTTATTATTTTAAAAAGACTCATTTCCTTTTTTAATTATTTGCTTAGCCGTGCTTGTCGTACACACTTTCACTTAAGCATATCAGCAAGGTGCTCCCTTTCATTTCCAACAAAACTGAAGGGAGCATTTGCTCATTTGCCAATAAGTGCCGCTTTGGGAATTTTAATGTTTTGCTACAACAGATATCTTAAATTATGTAAACTGCTGCTTCCTGTCCTCGATACCCATTTTCTCCCTTTTTAAGTCTTTTTGTTGAATTTCAATTAATTCAAAGTGTAAGAGGAGTTTTGTAATGGAAAACAAGCGCGCTGAGTTTTCGATTGGGACATGTGGTTTACTGATGCTCTAGATTGGTCCTTGCATGCTAATTGAGCAGTTAATAAAGTGGATGTTGGCAAACCGTCGATACTTTTTTTGGGAGATGTTTGTGTGTTGCCATTACTGTGCTCTCCTCTTTGGGCTCACCTCATACTGGTCCTGTATTCACTGTGTTCTGCATTGTAATCAGGCAGAAATCAACAGTTTGGCTGTACTGCAATCAATAAAACCTGCTGAGTGTTAGCTTCTTGTTCTTTCTTTCCTGCTTTAATTTAAAACCTTGGTATGGGTCCTCCCTCCCTGAGGACTATTTTTGCAGTGTACAGTCTTCTGATTTGTCTTAAAGAGACGAGATGGCATTTCATTTCTCAAAAACAGCATGTATAATAGGAAGGAACTCTTGAGGCATCAGCTCTAGTGGTGTATTGGTGCCATTTCATAGGGAGTTGTTGGAGTACAGAGCCACAATCTGATAATACGTACTCACAACTGCAAGCAGCTTTTATTGGCTGGGCAAAAGTTTCATTTTACCCGCAGCTGCATTTTGCAATTTTAGATCTGGGAAAATGCAATTTCCTTGCCCCGGGTGGATGATTGCAATCTGGATCCTTTTGGGATAAGGGTTGCAACCACTGTACAATCCCTAAGAAAGAATAACTTAAGCTGAAAAATATCAAAAGAGCCACTGCTAGTGTCTTTCTAACTAACAAAAGGATCGAGGAGAAAATGAGTGGATAATCCAAATTTGCGTCCTATGGTATCATTGTAGGTGCCCAAGCATTTACCGCTCCTTCTGACCAGTTCTGGCTTGAACTGTACTATTCCTTGGTGTTGTGAATGCCCAAGAAATAGTATATGTCATAGCAGAATAGATCTGCTAGACTGCTTATTGGGACCAGGCTTTATAGTTTCTAGACCCAGTTTTTAAAGTACCTTTTGAAAGCCCTTCAGGTCTTGGTGTATCTTCAGGATCGCTGTCCCCATATATGCTTTGCTCTGCTTTGAGATTCTCCTACCATCTAAGGTGCTTGTTACTCCCGGTGAGAGGGCCTTTTCATTGGTGGTGCCCCGGTTTTCCAATGCTCACCCCAGAAAGGATTATGTGGCAGCCTTTAACTCCTGTTGATCTGTTTTGTTTGCATTCTGCTTATGTAGAGGTGCTGCTTTTTTGGAAGGGGGGTAAGTCACTCTGATAATGTATATGAAGCGTAAGGCGAAAATGTACCTAAGCGACAAATACTTTGAAATGCCGCATAGTTTGCTCACCCTTGCTGAAAGAGGGTGTTAAGAACAAGGTTTGTGTGCTGATTTCATTGTCACTGACATTTAACTTGGAAAACTGCAAACGAAGGATTGAATGCAGAGGTCAGGAGAGGCAAATGCCTACAACAATTAGACTTAAAACTTGAGTTTGATGGAAGTAAATAAGAACTGGCAATACTGTTTTGCAATTGCTTCTAACAATTTGATCTGCCAACAGAACTGTGCTTTTGGCAGGTTCATTGGTGACAGATGTATAACTTCAACAGTGATGGAATGTATTTCATTACATTACTTTCAAAACTGGTAGGTTTTGTTGGGTGTGTGTGGAAATGCTACAGAATGACAAGCAAATTCTATTCAGCATTATAGCCAGTTTAATCAAGGTGCTAACTAGTCAGCTTGTTTATACTTGATTATACAGAGACGCAGCTGACACTGTTGTCTAAACCGCTGAGCCTCTTGGGCTTGCCGATCAGAAGGTCAGCGGTTTGAATCCCCACAACGGGGTGAGCTCCCGTTGCTTTGTCCCAGCTCCTGCCAAACTAGCAGTTCGAAAGCAAGTCAGTGCAGGTAGATAAATAGGTATTTCTGCGGTGTGAAGGTAAACGGTGTTTCCATGCTCTCTGGTTTCCGTCACGGTGTTCCGTTGCGCCAGAAGTGGTTTAGTCATGCTGGCCACATGAATCGGAAAGCTGTCCATGGACAAACACCACCTCCCTCGGCCTTAAATGAGATGAGTGCCACAACCCTATTGTCTGGACTTAACTGCCCAGAGGTCCTTTATCTTTTTTTGTTTTAACCTTACTTTATTATACCCAATACTATGGGCAACATCCAATGTTAGCCATACTCAGAGCAGACCCATTGAAATCAGTGAACAAGTTAAGCCATCCTTTAATTACCCCACCTTTCTCTCAAGGGTTGCTTGCACCAAAGTCAAAATCTTAGGCCATTGCCAATGTGTCTTTGTAGAGAATAAAGGAATTGTAGGAGGGCAGGGGAGAGAGAATTTGGCTTCTGTTGTACTTCCACAGCAATCAGTTTATTCACTGCCTGCAACCAGAGCAGAATAAAATGTGAGAAAGGAGCTAGGATTCTCCCAGCAGCCCCTATGAATTTGAAGCATTTAGATTAAAGACCACTGAGGCTGCAATCCTAAAGAGACCAATGGGGCTTTCTCCCTACCACAAACCAATTGTGTTAAGACCAGGTATTAGGCAGAAGGACTCATATTCAAACATCACTGGGTAACTGAGAAGCAAATTATGTACAGTGGTACCTCAGGTTACATACGCTTCAGGTTACCGACTCCGCTAACCCAGAAATATTACCTCGGGTTAAGAACTTTGCTTCAGGATGAGAACAGAAATCATGCTCCGGCGGCGCAACAGCAGCGGGAGGCCTCATTAGCTAAAGAGTTGCTTCAGGTTAAGAACAGTTTCAGGTTAAAAACAGACCTCCGGAACAAATTAAGTACTTAACCCGAGGTACCACTGTAGTGGGGTTTGTGGAAATATTCCTCCCCTTACCTCTGCTCCCTCTCTCTCAGACTTCAATGTCAGATACCTATAAAAATGCTGTGTTTTTGTTGATTCAATCTCAGTCTTTAATCTAAAGATACACGCTGTATAGATGCTAAAGCAGAGGGCCAGCCCAATACATTTTGGCACCTGAGGCGAAGCACAAAATGGCGCCTATCCCATACATGGGAAGAAGGGGTGAGTGAAGATCCAGATCAGGAACAACCAGGGGAGGAGACCAGCAGCACCTCCTATTTGCCTAGAGGCTGCTGTAGAGATGGCCAGATTCGGCCTCCAAGAAGTTGGCAGCAGCAGCAGTTGATGCATTCCTTGGAGGATCTTTTGCCCCTGTGAATTCTGCCATCTGATATGGTTGCCCCACCTTCCCTCATGGTTGGGCTGGCCCTGTGCTAAAGCAACTTTGAGCTGAATGGAACACGTTAACTCTTTATTCCATTTGTCTCTCAGATTGTAATCATCCCATTTATAACACTCCAATAAATATTTATAAACAACTATTATGGGTTTAGTTCTGATTATTTCCTCCTGCAGTATAGATGTTGCACTTCTGAGGGCGGCAGAAGTACCAAGTGAGCCCACTCTGCTGACTTTAACACCAAAGAAGGTAATTAGGGATGGAGGCAGTTTTTCAGATATTTGGGGTCTAAACAGATTTTAGAGTATGATCAGACTTCATTTTATTCATTGCCTTTCAAAAAGGATTTTCTTCAGTCAAAGTACCAGGCTTTTATTGCTAGAGAATGAAGGTAGACTTAAAAATTGAGACATAAAATGTGTCTAGCAATCGTTACTTTGAAGGGAATCCAATCAATCTTTGAAATGTCCAATACTGTACTGAAACCTATAAAATACCAAGAGTAATTTAAAGCCTATTCAGAAATTATGCTAGTAGGCTAGTAGGGACATGATATTGAAGTGATCCATGGAATGTGTCAGTCTGATGATGAGATTGGGAGAAAAATGAGTGAGGCAAATGGTAAAACAAATAAATGCTATTAACAAACTTAATTGCTTATCCTTCATGTAGTGAGGATATGGAGTTATTTGTTCTGATGGATATTCTGTACTCATTGTTTCATGGAAAATATTTGAATTAGGGTAAATGCTTTTGGAGTAGCTTGTAGGAAGCTTGCACTGGGTTCTGTGCAACTCCTTGCTTGCTGAAATGTTTCCCCCTTCATGAATTCTGCCAGAATTCAGTATTTAACATTGCACATGTGTGTGTGTTTTAAAGGGGTATAAACAAAAAAATGCTGAAATTACCTTGAGCTGTGTTTAAGCAAGGAAACGTATGAGGGTTGTTGTTGTTTGCATAAATGTGGCTCTCTTACAGTTTCACCCCTAAGGTTTGTGCCTCGGGATTACTGTACCTAGGTACAATTGCAACTTCCTTCTAAGAAAGGACAGCTGCTTCAAAGTTAATAAAAGTTAAAAGCAAACTATTTAACAACATAAAACAAGAAGCCTTCATTCTAGGAAGTACCTTCAGTGTTCTTGAAGGGTTTGGCTGTAATCTTTTTCTGGATTTTCTTGCCTGTATAGCAGTGTTAGTCTCGTTCTTTGTAGACATGCTATGGGGAAACTTTCCTGATATAAAACCTTCATTTATATAAAACATCCTTCTAAGAAATGAAAAAGTTTGTTCGATATCCATTGTACAGATATCCTGCTGAAACCTGAAGAATTTTTAAAAGGGGCAGTAAGAACAACAACCCAGTGGCTTGGATCCAAAGAGCCTGCTGTGTAATCAGAAGGGACTTTACAGTGGTGCCTCGCAAGACGAAATTAATTCGTTCCGCAAGTCTCTTCGTCTTGCGAGTTTTTCGTCTTGCGATGCACGGTTTCCCATAGGAATGCATTGAAAATCACTAATGCGTTCCTAGGAAACCGCTTCAGACCAGGTCCGGGGACAGTCTGTCCCCGGACCTCTTCTGAAGGCTGGGGGGGGGGGCAAGGGCTTTTCTTCCCACCCCCAGCATTTTAAAAAACCCCGGGACAGCGGAGGACTTCTCCGCTGTCCGGGCGATCTTAAAATGCTGGCGGGCGGCTTTTAAATTGCCCCGGACAGCGGAGAAGTCCTCTGCTGTCCCGGGCAATTTAAAGCCCCTGGGAAGGCAGGCAGGGGGACAAAGACTTTTGCCCCCGCCAGCCTTCAGAAGAGGTCCTGGACCTCTTCTGAAGGCGGGCGGGGGCGAAAGTCTTGCTCCCCCGCCTTCAAAGCCCTCCGGGACAGGCAGGCAGGGGAGCAAAGACTTCGCCCCCGCCCGCCTTCAGAAGGTCTTCCCTCCCCCCGCCCGGCTCGGAGCACCGCTCCGAGCCGGGCGGCGGCGGGAGGTCTTCCCTCCCCCCGCCCGGCTCGGAGCACCGTCCCGAGCCGGGCGGCGGGGAGGTCTTCCTCCCCACCGCCCGGCTCGGAGCACCGCTCCGAGCCGGGCAGAGGCGGGAGGTCTTCCTCCCCCCGCCCGGCTCGGAGCACCGTCCCGGGCCGGGCGGCGGCGGCAGGTGTTCCTCCCCCCGCCCGGCTCGGAGCACCGCTCCGAGCCGGGCGGCGGCGGCAGGTGTTCCCTCCCCCCGCCCGGCTCGGAGGAGCCTTCCGGGCCCGGCGGCGGCGGGAGGAGGTGTCCCCGCCCCGCCGCCAGGCTTCGGAGGAGGTCCGAGGACAGTGGGGAAGACGCGCTGCGCTTCCCCGCTGTCCCTGAGATTTCCTATGGGCTGTCGTCTTGCGAAGCAAGCCCATAGGGAAATTCGCTTATGGAGCGCCTCAAAACGGAAAACCCTTTCGTCTAGCGGGTTTTCCGTCTTGCGAGGCGTTCGTCTTGCGGGGTACCACTGTACTTGTTTAGTGGAATTTTTGGAACTAAGCCCATATTTACTTAGCGTGATGAATTATGTCATGCATTATTTAAACTGGTTTTAACCACCCATACAGCTTTTCTTCTCTTTGATTTCTTTGAGGGCAAGATAGTGAGCTTGTAGAGGTTTTACCAATGGAATTGTTATAGCCTGTATTTCAGCAGAATACTTGTCAGATTTCAATCATTATTTTCCCACTATTGCTTTTGTTGCCTCTTATATGCAGACACCACTAGCTGAAGTAATTTTGCTGAATTCTTGATAGTGTTGTGAGTTTGATGGGGGGGGCTCAGTCTATATGGTGCTTAAATACCTTCTAATCCCCCTGAATTGAGCTAGGGTTAAAATCTAATGGAGGATTCCATTGTTGAATTAGCCATACAAGGATCATAGTTGCCACCTAAGTATGATCATTAGTATGGCAAAGGAGGTCGTTCTGTGCCAGAGGGCAAAGGAGTGGACCCTCTCCCTCACCCCTCCTTCACCTGAGAAGGACATTAGCCAGGGTTGTGTGTGAGAGCTGGGCTAGAAGCAGGCGGAACTGGAACCATGCTTAATTTCGCCTTGAATCCAAAATTGTGACTATGGGAAGCAAGACCATCTTGGGGTGTTAAGGCTCTGAACCCCTCCATCATAGGCTGAAGTTGTATGTATGAGTCATTCCACTACTGCCGCCATTGTGCATCATGATGTTGATAATATTCTTAGCTATATTGTAACGATGTAATGAAATAGAAAACAGTGTAGAATACTTTCAAATGGAGGAAAGGTAAAGGTAAACGTACCCCTGACCGTTAGGTCCAGTCGCGGACGACTCTGGAGTTGTGTGCTCATCTCACTCTGTAGGCCGAGGGAGCTGGCGTTTGTCCGCAGACAGCTTCTGGGTCATGTGGCCAGCATGACTAAGCCACTTCTGGCGAACTTATTTGTTTTTAATTTATCATTCAGGTTTGTTTGTTTTTAATCTTTCAATTCCAGAACTGTAATCATCAGTTCAAAAAAATGAAAAGAATGTATTTTAATAAAAAATAATGCTGGTCAATAAAAGCAATATGTAACAATTAGATACAAAGTTTAAATTGTTCTAAAATTAAGAGAATAGATCCTGCTTGTTGCATCTTACAGCCTCTATAGAGGCTTTAAATTACAAGCCCATGAAACAAGTCCTTAGATGGTTGAATCAGAACTGTAACAATTTCAACTTCCATACTAGAGAACTCATATTTTCCAAGACAAACTGGTATTTTATAGGCAAACTCAGCGGTAATCACTGATAAAACTGGTATCCTACCATGCTCTTGTTTGATACATTAGCCAAAATGCTCTGTTTGGGTTTTTCTTGCAATCTGTAGAGGCTCATTCCAGATCAGTCTTCAGCTCTTGAATCATGTCACTCCTGCCTTGAGTGTGAGATTAATTTTTATTTCCTCCAATTGCAGAAAGCTTGGCTCCCAGCACACACTCATTTATCTGAGCAGCAGTTCAACATGTAATTGCAGGCTGCTGGAGTTTTGTTATTCATGTTTTTAAACAAGAAACTTCAACCTATGTAGAATGCAGAAGAGCATTGTTAATAGTCAAACAAACAAGCGCTAATGAAAATTATAAATGGACACAGATCTGACATAAGAAATGACAATACTAAATAAAAAGTAGTGAAGCAACACTTCATTCTCCCAGGACACCCTGTATGTGTTCTTATGTGAACAAAGAAACTTCAGAGGGAAACTGCAACCTGAAACTGCTGAATTACAATTCAGCAAGAGATCAAATTCTATGAACTGTAGCTTGAACTGGCTCAAAGGTTGTTTTTTATTATTATTACTCTACATGTGTAAATTAGCTTATGAGTACCAGGATGTCTATTATCAACAACTTTTGCCAGTGAGTATTGTTAATATTGCTACCTGTACTTTTTGCATTTTGTTTTTATCTGACCCAATTATTTACACCCCTACCCCCCCAAAAAATACTTTGTGTAAATACCTGTATCTTAGGATAACAGTACATGCATCTGTCAATTCCCATAAAAGCCCTTACCACAATAAATTTGCTACCTTTCAAGGTGCCACAAGACTCTTCGTTGTTGTTGTTTTGTGTAGCAGACTAACATGGCTACCCCATGGGGGGGGTTAAATTCTGACAGTATCCTAAGTAATATTTTCCATAAGCACTTTCTGTACAGTACATAACCAAATAATATTTTTTTATTTTAAAAAATGTACTATAATAAACTAAGTAGAAACTTTTCCTGTGATTAAGCGGAAACACAATCATACCATAAATTCACTAAAGATTGAATCAACCAAAAAATCACTGGGCAGGAATGTTCTCCATCATTCTTGATCCCAGGGTGGGTTACAAATGTATAAAAACAATAAATGTTCACAGAATATAATAATACACAACAAGAGCAGATAAAACCAATACTCAAGCCAGTTAAAATTCATTCCTGTGGATGGTTCCATTAAAATCTTTAAGGGTTAGGAAAATAAGTTTTGAGCATGCACCAAAAGCCTGCAAACAGCCTGACTTCCAAGGAGAGGGTGTTCCACATTCAAGAACACCACCACTGAAAGAGTTAATTTTCATGTTGCTACATAATGCACCAATGCTGGATACAGGACACAGCAGGTTGTAGAAGGATGTGGATCCTTTTCGTAGAACAAAATTTGTGTGCCCGCACAACAGGTTCTTGCTTCTTTGGAGCCCAAATTGATCATGCAGTGGTATTAACCAGAGATGGATAGCTCCCTCCCCTGCCCCCTAAGACATCAGTGGCAAATGTACTTGTTAAGTTGTGGGTGAACATATCAGACAACACAGCGATTCTTCAAACAGCTCTTGTTTATTCACAGGCCAGAACAGAACTGAACTGAAGGGTTCAGCCAGCCTGCTTATATAGAGCTCCAGTACAACGTAACTGTAACAACTTTCTGTAACTATCCAATCACTGAACGTCACTTTCGATCCCTTATTTGCATATGTGGACCTGAGTAAAAACTATCTACAGTATCCCCCTGCTGGCCCAGGGTGAGAACTTCAGTACATAACAGTGCTGAAGAAGGGCAAAGACTTTCTGATGATCCTACTATTTATGCACTGTGACTATTGGAAAACCTAATTAAATGAACTAAAGGAGACCGGTGGCTCTTTCTGTCATCGCCTATCCCTTAATCTACTATAGTAGTAAGCACTGTATGGTAAACATTGGGAGTTCGTGTATATCATAATCCAATATGCTCTTGGCAGATTGATTGTGTTGAGCAAGCATTGGCACTGTTCACCGTTAGCCTCAGTTTATCTGCCAAGCCCCTGTATACCAAACAGCATTTCCCATTAACCAAGCAGTTGGCTTGATAAATAGTTGCAGTGCCTGATTGCTTAGCCGACTGCTACTTGCTTGCACTCAATTTCTAGCATCCGCAGCAACCTTTTTATTGCTTCACAATTCATTTGTATTGGGGGTTGTAAATCAAATTTGAGATGATGAAGCAGCAAATGTGCTGTGTGTGTGGGTGGGTTAACGTTCATCAGTTATTTTACAAGCAAAGAATAGGGGTGGCCCTCACAAGCACTTGGGCAATTTCAAAAGCAAATGAGAGTATTAAATTGATTACATGGAGACAAGGTTATTACTCGGAAATTTGGCTAGAACTCTTTTAGCATAATGAAATAAAACTCTACTAGAATTTGGCAGCAGGGTATAGTAACCAGAACCACAAATAATTGGATATTGACTGAAAGCAGAAATAATGGGTCATTGGTAGAAGTAAACATTTCCTTTAAGGCAGGAATAAAGCAGACTTTCCTTGTTTTTGGTAATTTCCTAGTTTGTTCTATTCTGTTTGTCTTGCTTCAAAACAGACTCATTCTCAAATTTGAGGTGTTCACTTTTGATTATTATTGTTTTTGTAAGGTAACTATTCTAACCAAAGTTGCTATATGTGCATTTCTTAACAATCAACACAAAAGCTTTTTACTATTTTAAGCACCTATACCATGATAGTACCCACATCCGTAGTAGTTATGGCTGCTTGAGAGACCAGGTTCTCCTTTGTGTATCCATATAGCTGTGCTGGTTGTGATAGATATATTAAGAAACAGGAATAAAAGTAGTCCTTCATGCCAAGATTTCTAATTTTTTAGTGCAGCGTGCATCAGTATTAAGGTTATTCATTTGAAATTCTTGTCTCAATGTCAAACCCAGTTACATGAATGACCTCCTCTGCGTGTCTGTCAGGTAATCAATTTCTCATGGGATCATATCATCCCTTGTGAACCACTTTTGCCCCATGGGGGTGCATGTGAAAGTCCAGACTGCCAATTAGAAATGCTTGTGTGTCATAGTTTGTTGGCATCCATCTGTGTGTCATAACTTTAGCATTAATTTGCAGTGGAGAGGGTGGATTTAAAGTAGCATTTTCACCTTGCCGTGTTTTTGTGTCACCAACCTTGTACAAGAATTGCTGTATATTACCTAATGTGGTTTTTTCCATATATTTATACACATTTAAATAGCATTTTTCATGTTTTTTAAATAAATCCTCTGAATGGAAGTATAGGGAACCTTATCATTTAACATTGTAGGCTTTCTTAACAGTTCGCTTTCCCTGCCTTCCCATGAAAGTTGATTATGTTCAAAGAAAGCTATGTCAGTTTCACAGATACCAGGATGACCTCAGCCATCTACTTTTCTCTGCTACCATTTTCCCACCCAAAAGGGCATGCATGTTTACCTGTATAGTAAGATGGACTAGAAGGATTCACCTGTATCCAGTGTAGTGAGAGTGCAGAACGGAACGGCTAGCATTTTTTAACAGGTTGGTCAAAGAGTGTCTTCTCCTATGCTAGCTGAAGATGTGTGGTGGCATTGTGGAACTCTTAACAGGATAACCTGTGAATTGTGCTTGAGTGCATTGCATGAAATAGGGAATCTTCATCAGTAGTAATTAGAGAGCACTTTCAAAATTGCACATATAGTTTTTGGCCTTCCACTTCTGCAGTCCCAACAAGTTCAGCAGCATTTTGCTGTAGTGCAGTTTGTTTGCTGATGTTTGAAACACCATGAGAGGAAAAGCTTGCAGAGATTTGGAGTAGTAAATGTTGGTGGGGATAATGTTACGCATTTGCCTTTTTCCTGCCTATATATATCACTCAAAATGAGTTGGCACCAAAGCTGCTTTTCATAAGAAAAACCAACTGCTGGGAGCTGAAATTCATAGCTTGTTTATGCAAGTTTATTTCAAATTTTTAGCTTAGTTTGGCTCAGGTATTTCTTTTTAAAGCACATATAATTTTTCACTACAGGGTCTTGCACAGTGTTTTTTGCATGTTTTGGAATTTGTTATTAACACCATTTTTCTCCTGAATTTAAATATCTTATATTCCTATTTAAGAATTGTGTGTTTTCTGTGCCATTTTGTCAGTGGTAATAACTTTGCCTGATATTTTAGCACATCGCAGTCAGGGAACTGTTCCCACTTCTTTTAGATTACTTTTCAGGAGTCTTCACAGCCTTGTGGACAAAAGTCATTTAAGAGTTTTTCATCTTTAGAGTTTGTAGTATTGTTGTTGACAACAATATAATTGAATCCTTGCCCATGCCTATGCCTATGCCTGTGCATTGTATATATTATCTAAAATCTGGACAGACTTGGGTCTAAACTGGAGATACTCAATAAATATCTTGTCTTTTTCTCCCAGTGGGCTCTTCGTGAGGAAACTTAGGTATGAGAAGCAGCCCTTACATTGAAGGTATTCAGCTCAGAACTCTTGACATCTAATCAATCTTCTTTACAGATGCTTTGCCTAAGACAAACTGGAAATCTAAGACATCACAGAAGAGCACTTTATAGCACACTAGTGCCATCTGATGGTAAGCTTTCTTATCAGTTACTGTTCTCATATCAAGTGATGACATCGTTCACAGTGTCTGGGTGCATGCATATCCAAGAATTACTCTGTTTTTATTCTGGACGATTGAAAGTCTTCAAAATTTTAGGTCAACATATATCCCTCCAGTGCTTCGGACTTCTTAGTGTTTTGCCCACCCCACCCCAAATCATATAATAGTATCCTCCTCGTGTGTCATGAGATGCTCGTGTATTTTGAACTCCTAGGAATAGTGAATGGTGCTGCATTTGCTGATCTTGGCGCAGGTGTGGCAGAGATCAGTAGTGTTGGGGCTTGATAGTTAACAAGTCTCACAGGTTCTTTAAATCCTGGGTCTCTTTGGAGCCCATTGCACCCCAAGCAGAAGCACTAAATTCTGCATGAATTCTGGCGGGGAGGGGGGGGTGCAGGATTTCAGTAGCATATTCCTCCTTTAAACTCTGTATGGCCTGTACTGCAGAGAGTGCCTTTCCTTCAACCACTTTCAGTTCTTCATATCCTGTAATGTAGATATACAGGATTCTGGAGTGAGGCCTTCTATCATATCATATACACTTAGTAGCTAACCATTCCACTTTTGGACCTTCTATTTAATATGTACGTATTTGTTTAGTTTTTATCACATCCTTTCTTCAAGATCTTCAGTGCAGAGTATATGTGGCAGCATATAGTCGGGTGTGACATGTCTTTGTTTTCCCCAAGCTTTTCAATATGTGCTTGTAAGTTACTCTGTTGTCATTTTTTTTTAAAAAAAAGTTTAAGTGATAAATCAATTAAAATGCCCTTTTCTCCCACAGAAGTAACTGTACATTATAAACATGGATTGCCTGCGATAACTCTGACATTACCCTCAAGAAAGGAACGCTGCCAGTTTACAGTCAAGCCGATGCTGATGACTGTGGGAGCCTTCTTGCAGGACATACAGAGAGAGGATAATGCCATTGAAAAGGTAGAAGTCTTCACAGCAGGTACTAACACCACTGTCACCTTGAAAGTAAAGGACATTCTGTTCCAGCTCCTTTACATGCAAAGCAGACTTTGACTTTTGGAAATTTTTGTTAACTGTACTACTTTGGGGGTGTGGAGGTTTCCCCTTCAATGAGATGTCTAGCACAAGAGTGGGCAGAAAGTAAACTGGTAGATCTCTGTGGCTGATCTCCAGTAGTTCCATAAAGATTTCTGATGCTCAGTTGCTTAACAGTTTTTGTTGTTTGTTGTTTAGTCGTGTCCGACTCTTCGTGACCCCATGGACCAGAGCACGCCAGGCACTCCTGTCTTCCACTGCCTCCTGCAGTTTGGTCAAACTCATGTTGGTAGCTTTGAGAACACTGTCCAACCATCTCATCCTCTGTCGTCCCCTTCTCCTTGTGCCCTCAATCTTTCCCAACATCAGGGTCTTTTCCAGGGAGTCTTCTCTTCTCATGAGGTGGCCAAAGTATTGGAGCCTCAGCTTCAGGATCTGTCCTTCCAGTGAGCACTCAGGGCTGATTTCCTTAAGAATGGATAGGTTTTGTCTTCTTGCAGTTAATGGGACTCTCAAGAGTCTCCTCCAGTACCATAATTCAAAAGCATCCATTCTTCAGTGATCAGCCTTCTTTATGGTCCAGCTCTCACTTCCATACATCACTACTGGGAAAACCATAGCTTTAACTATATGGACCTTTGTTGGAAAGATGATGTCTCTGCTTTTTAAGATGCTGTCTAGGTTTGCCATTGCTTTTCTCCCAAGAAGCAGGCGTCTTTTAATTTTGTGACTTCTGTCACCATCTGCAGTGATCATGGAACCCAAGAAAGTAAAATCTCTCACTGCCTCCATTACTTCCCCTTCTATTTGCCAGGAGGTGATGGGACCAGTGGCCATGATCTTAGTTTTTTTGATGTTGAGCTTCAGGCATATTTTGTGCTCTCCTCTTTCACCCTCATTAGAAGGTTCTTTAATTCCTCCTCACTTTCTGCCATCAAGGTTGTGTCATCTGCATATCTGAGGTTGTTGATGTTTCTTCCGGCAATCTTAATTCTGGCTTGGGATTCATCCAGCCCAGCCTTTCGCTTGATGAATTCTGCATATAAGTTAAATAAGCAGGGAGACAATATACAATCTTGTCGTACTCCTTTCCCAATTTTGAACCAATCAATTGTTCCATATCCAGTTCTAACTGTAGCTTCATGTCCCACATAGAGATTTCTCAGGAGACAGATGCTGTTGCTTAACAATAGCAACAGCAAAATGTCTTTTCCCACCTATTTTAGGCTTCTGAGATTAAGATAGCTAGGCAGGAGTGGACCTCTGTTTGAAAGGAAGAATATGAGTTCAGTTCAGTTCTTGGACTGAAAACAAATTGTGAGGCTCAGAATTTGCTCAAAGGCCCCCTGGTGTTTAATTCTGACTCTTAATGTCTTTTGCACCTGGCTCTGATTGGTACATCTTGAGGTTCCAGGGGGGGGAAAGGAAAGCTCAAACAAGGCTGAAGTCTGAACAATCTTGGGCTAGCAATAACCAGGACTAGCATCAGGGATTGGCATTGTTGGGCTCCTGCCAACATCTCAACAGAGGATGTGATTTCGTCTCCAGAAAACAAATCATAGTTAGTTCGTTTGGGCTGTGTTGAGACATTAAAAACCCCCACACATTGGCTAAACAAACCATCACTTGGTGTTATATGCAAACCAGGCAAGATGTTGATGGTTGACTTTTATCTCTTTTAATGATGTCACTAATTGAAGCCTCTTCATTTTTTGGATAGGTATTACTAACTTTTTTAATGAATGAATATAGCCAATCATACTATTAGTTCTATTACAATTACTCACTTTTTAAAAAGTTGTCATAGATGTAACCAAATGGGAGAAAATTCTTGGCTTGTTGCCTGGAATCATAGAACTGAAAACCTTATTATGCTGATGGTCAGATCAATAACATACTTTAGTAATATCCTTGTCAGCAATCTATAACTGAAGAGATTATCAGACTTCTGATGTTATCATTCCCAAAACACTTGCAGCGTTTCCATTCTGCATCTTTGCATAAGCTGAGATAACCACCAACCAGACTTCACTCTATGCAACATTAAATAGAAAATTATCTTGCAGACGACAGTTACAGTTAAGAAATGTACTATAGAGACTCCAGTATTTGTTCTCCTCTATCTTTTAATCTCTAGGGCGATGTGAATTTACCATTGCAACAAGTGCAAAAGAGTCTGTGTGCAGTGCTTTCAGAGAAATATTTCCTTTTAAAGATACCACCCCTCCTGGATTTCTTTCCCCAAACCTAAATTATGTTTATATGAGAATACTGAATCTCACTTGCACTTAACATTTCTTAAATCGGCATTTTTGTGTTGTTGCATTTTTTATTTATTTGTAGAATGCCTGGTAGCCGACCCATAAAAGTTAATAGCAAAACAAAGCAGCGAGAATAATATTTCATATAAATATTTAATGTTTCCCCGCCCTTCCCTCCTTTGATAAATTATACTGGGCCAGATTGCATCCCCAAAAGAGCGGGTGGAGAAGAAAGCTGCTGTACGTGGTTCATTGCTACTGTAATCAGAAGCCCAGCATGAGCCCAGATGACAGAATTCCAGTTAGGATATGCCAGTATGCCTTTGCTAACAGCACATTACTTTGAGTCAGAGATAAGACAGAGAAGCAGGCCATGTTCCAAGCTAGTAGTAATATGTTTTATCAGAGCCTCTTGTTGTGCTAGCTTTAAAGAAACATTAGTGCACTGACGTTGCACCTTTTGGATGAATGACCAGCTCAGTGCTAGAACACATGCTTTGAATGTAGAAGGTCCCCCAGTTCCATCTGGCATCTTTGGTAGGGTCCTTCACTATGCTCTTTTCAGCACCTGGTTTAAAACATCTTTATTTTAGGCCATCCAGACATGTAGAAGTTACAAGCCAAAAGGTTTTAATATATCTGCTTTTATCAATAATTTTAATGTTTTATTTTATATTCTTTAAACTGCTTGGAGGTTTCCTTACAATCAAGGGGTATATCAATATTGTTAAAGAAAATAAATCTCTGTTTAAAGCAGTCTGATAGCGAGAAGGATCTATGACGGAAAGCCACTTGCCATAACCTGCAAATGACAGGATGACAGCAAATTATGGTAAACAGCTCTGACCATGTGGTGCACAGGAAGAGGGAAGCAGGGAGAGTGTGCAGGCAATCACTACACTGTTCCTTGGTTTGATAAAACCATAGGAAGCTGACTTATTCTACTGAGTCAAACCATTGATCTATCTTTATCAGTATTGTCTATGCTTATTGGCAGTGGCTTTCCAGAGTTTCAGGCAAGAGTCTCTCAGCTGTACCTGACGATGCCAGAGTTTGAACCTGGGACCAATGGGAGCCGAAATACATGCTCTGCCATTGAGGTATAGCTCTTCCCGAACCCTGGCCACATTGGTCAGGAGCCCCAAAGCAAAATGCTGCTCCCAAAAGTATTACATTGGGAAGAAGATAGGCTTTTCTTAGAGTATGTGTTCGGAATTAATCCATATGTGGGTGGATACAGTGGCTCTAATCTAGATGCGAGCACATAGGTGGTGATTCTTGGCTTACTAACTTTCAGAATCTTCGGACCAAAGTGTAGATCACACTAATGGTGTGCATGGATGCATGGTAGCTTCTCTTGTTTTTTCCAGGTAAATGGCAGGATTGGAAAAGTAGATTTTGGGAAGCAGGGTTAACCCTTTCTCTCCATGCTGTGATTTCAGTGACGATTGCAACCATCTTCCTCCTAGATTAGTCCTGGGAGGAAAGCTTCCATTGCCTTGGTGTCATGTCACGTTTTGAGTTTCACTAGATCTGACAAGAAACAGGAAGTGACAAAACATGGGCCTAGCATAGAAACCACCTAACTCAGTAATTGTTGCTGTAGTAATCCTTGCCTGTATTGAACTTCATTATCTGTGATCAACACAGTACTGGTGCTTCATTACTTAATGAAGCATTTTATTGCTAGTATTGAGGTATTTGCTTTCTCCCTACAGATGGCAGCATGATTTCTTCTTCAACGTTGATGGAGGTTCTTTTGATGAATGATTTCAAACTTGTCATCAATGGTGCAGAATACAGTGTTCATCCTCCACTGAAAGGTACACAATTCCATGACCAACGTGAAATCATCTGGAGACATATTTAATATATTTAAAATCCATTCCTTCAAAAATAGAAGCTTCATGTTTGCTCAGAAGTTAGCCCCATTGAGTTCAGTGGGACTTACTCCCAGGTAACTGTGAATAGGAAGATTGCAACCTTAAATCACAAGCAGTCAAAACTGACTTTTTGTTCCGTGCTTTAAATGACTGGGATGATAGAGCTGTTCCTTCCTTTTGCAAACCCCCAACCTTAATTTAAATTCTGTCTCTTGAAATAAATGGTGCCTATTGAAATGCATGCAAGTGTTCTTGTTCTTGCATAGCCCTGATTCATTTGCATTATTGTGAGCTTGAATAAGAGGTGAAGTGGGAGAAAAAGAAATAGCAGGAAATGCTTGGCAGCTCAAGGCAGCCTGCAGGAGAAAATACAGTGTCCCTGCAATTTATGCTCACTTTACATAGATCGCAACCTTATGCAAGGTGTGTGTGTGGGGGAGAGTAAATAAAGGCGATGTGAAGAGTTGCTTACCAGTCTCTGGGAGCATCCCAGGGGCCTAACATCCAGTGGCGTAGCTGGAGGCATATAATTTGGATAAAAAACTTGGCTTCCAGGTGGAAAAATCAAAATTGGAAACAGAATTGTTAGACCCCAAAATTAAGAATTTATCAAGAATGTATAACTTGCTGTTGAAATGGAACACTCAGGATGAAACGGTGAAATCAGCTATGATTAAATGGGCACAAGATGTTGGACACAACATCATGATGGCTGACTGGGAACAGTTATGGACCACAGGTATGAAGTTTACGGCATGTAATGCCTTAAGAGAGAATTTAATGAAAATGATTTATAGGTGGTACGTGACACCAGTCAAGCTTGCAAAAATTTACCATCTGCCTGATAATAAATGTTGGAAATGTAATGAGACTGAAGGTACATTCTTTCACCTTTGGTGGACGTGCCCAAGGATTAAGACATTCTGGGAGATGATCTATAATGAAATGAAAAAGGTATTTAAATATACCTTCCTGAAGAAACCAGAGGCCTTTCTCCTGGGCATGGTTGGCCAATTGGTGATGAAGAAGGATAGAACTTTCTTTATGTATGCTACAACAGCAGCAAGAATACTTATCGCAAAGTATTGGAAGACACAAGATTTACCCACCCGGGAAGAATGGCAGGTTAAGCTGATGGACTACATGGAACTGGCGGAAATGACTGGCAGAATCCGAGACCAGGGAGAAGAGTCGGTGGAAGAAGATTGGAAAAAATTTAAAGACTATTTACAGAAACACTGTAAAATTAATGAATGTTAGAAGGATGCTGGAATGAAGTTATATGGCTTTAGCAGAAATGTTATAAAGAATTAAGTAAAAATAGACTGTTAATGGGTTAAAGGGGGGAAAAAACAAGGTTAGATTGTGTTAAGATAAATTATAGGACAAAACTGAGAAAGATGGAAAGGATTTGCTGAAATAGCTAACTGAACTAGAATACAAAAAAGGGAGGTGTGAGGAGGTCGTCGAAACAAGTAAATGAAAGACAAGATATGGAAATATGGGATGTGTTTTTAATTGATTCTGTTTTTGTTCTTGTTTTTGTTTTGTTAAGATAAGCAGTGTTTTTTGTTTTTTATGTATTGTATTGTATTGCTTTGTTTAACTCTTTTTTTCTTTTTGTAACTTTTAAACTCTTAATAAACATTATTTTTAAAAAATAACATCCAGTGGCGTAGCGTGGAGGGTGCAGGGGGGGCCGGCTGCACCGGGCGCAGCATCTGGGGGCTAGGGTTAGGGGGCGCAAATCCACGGGTTAGGGGGCACAAATTACTTGCCCCGGGTGCTGACAACCCACGCTACGCCACTGCTAACATCTCCTTCCCAGAGACCAGTAAACAGCCCTCTGTTCATAGCGCATGGGGTTCCTGACTTTGGTGATTTTGCCTTTGCACAGAGACTCCCGGAATCAAACCCTCATGTAAGTGGCGGGTCCATTGTACCTGCCCATTGGCCATATCCCTGAAAAGGTATGGAATTTCAGGCCTCCCCAAAGCTGCGCTGGTATAGTGGTTCCAGTTTCTTTCTTTCTTTCAGATCAAATGAGCACAGAACATAAACTGGAGATGGATGACATCAAGTCTATGGTCCACAAGTTGTTTACAGCACTTCATTTAGAAGATCACCAGACAAGGAGGGAGAGGGAATTAATGCAAAAAATGGAACTTCTGAAAGAAGAACTGCTGCCTCTGGAGCAGGTCCGGAAAAATATTTTTTCATACATTTCATATTGTGGAAATCTATTTTGAGTTTAGCAGGTGAAGTCTATGAAATGTGTGGCAGATTTTCCCACTTCTGCACCCATTTTTGACTGGTTCCAGAGACTTGATTTTTGTTACCCCAGTTCAACACAATTTAACTTATCAAAATGGGAATACAAGGCATCTTTCTGTTTTTGTAACATCCTTCAGAGACAGGTCAGATCTGCATACTGAACTGGTATATTTCTACTCCCCATTCCCTATATTGAACCACTAGGTTTATGTCTCCTGTTATAAAAATAAAACTTTGAATTGGCTCAACTTAATTAATCCACCTTTATAGATAAGTAAAGCAAGTTGTATTCACAGCGAATGCTATTTTTAACATTGAAACTCTCTTAGTATGCTCAGATGTGAATCAAACACATTCTTGTATAACTTAGGTATTGATGTCTATGTAACTTCTTTCCAGATACACTTTTTAAAAACAGCAGTAGTTTGTATTTGATGTAGTTATTTTAGATGTTTTGCTTTGATGATAGTAAACTGTATTCAATGATTGCAAATTAAAATCATTGCAGAAGATGCAGTGTATGTATTTTGGACAGACATATGACTTAATCAGTTTCTTTCATGGATAGTTTGTGAAATGGAGTCTCTTTTTCTTTGATAATTGAGAAAGGATAGCAAAAAATATCTCCTTTAAAGCAAAAATTGAGTGTAAATCTCCCTTCTTTGAAGCTTCTCTTGGTCTTTCATTTGGGGGGCCCATTTCACCTTTTGTTTGCTGCCCAATTCTAGCCTTGCTGATTAAAGTAATTATGATTTAATTAGGGTTTCTCAGCTCTGCATCAGTAATGGTATTTTATAAGGGTTTTATGCTATTGCTCTTATTTATCTTGTTCTCTGTATTGCTTGCTTAAGTTCTATTAAGTAAATGAAATGTTTCTGCTATACTCCTGAAAACTTCTCCTTGAACACTAGATTTTTCTGTGTGATAATACTAAGGAGACTAATCCGTCTCCCCCTGAATGTCATAGTTGTTAATGAAAAACTATGGGTATAGGGCTATATACAAATTTAAATAACAACAACTTAATTGTCAGACTCAACTTCTACTGCATAGAAATCAGGCTTAGATACATCCTCTGAACAAAGCAAAATGGTCACACCTGCTTTATGAATAAGAAAGTAGAACATGCTTGCAGGATCAGACCAAGGTCTACAAAATCCAACATTCTTCTCCAAAAGTAGTTAATTAGAAGAGTAGTCAAGACCATCTAAAAGACTAAGGAAGAAGGACAGTGCTTACTGTTAAATGGCTTCCTTGAAAACAGTTGAATTGTTGTTGGCACCCATCTGTTTTGGAGGACAATGGAGGAGTGCACCTTTATGAGTGAAGTCAAACTATTGGAAGGTTGCAGCACCTGCTATGGCTGTAGAGAGTGATGCAGGAGAAACATGTTTTGTCTCTATGGGAAAGGCTGGCTGAAGTCATCATTTGAGACTTCTCTGCACTCCACACAGGGAAATATTTTAATTTATTTAATAATGCACTTTTGAATACAAGGTAATCTGTGGGAGTGGGTGGGGCATGCTTGAACAATGGTGTCTCTTCGGTCTTAACATCGGTTCTCTCTTCCTAGCTTAAAGCTGGAATTACTTCAGATGTCGATGCTAAGACTTCTCGGCTTCTATGGATTGGCTTAGCCTTAATGTCAACTCAAGGTGGAGCCTTGGCATGGCTTACCTGGTGGGTCTATTCATGGGATATCATGGAGCCTGTTACTTACTTTATCACCTATGGAACTACCATGGCATTCTATGCTTACTTTGTGCTTACTAAACAGGTGAGTCTCAGTAAATTTGGAGCTGTAATGTTAGTGGAATCTACAAAGTTATCATAGTGAGAGTCTGCAAGTACATATCTGTGAATCTTCTAAAGTATCCTAACAAGGAGGCCTAGGATTTCGTTAGGTTGTAAAATGTCCATAGACCAAGGTTGGCTAACCTGCAGCCCTCCGCTTCATTGGATTCCATGTCCCATCAACTCCAGCTGGCATGGCAAATGGACAAGGGATTGTGGGAGTTAGGGTCCTTCAGCTTCTGGAGGGCCACAGATTCTCAGGTGGGCACAAGTGCACCACCAGGTAGGTGTTGTTATGCACCACTCACTTGAAGAAGGTGAAAAACTTCACCCATTTGACTAGATGCTGGCTCATCCCTTTCCTTTGGGGGGCAGTTTGTTTTCTGCCTTCACTTGAACTAGACCTATTTTGGAATAGACTGTCCTATTGTTCTGCTCTCCACGGGGTTCATATAATTTTGTGGAGGCTGGTCATTGGATCTATAAAGCTTCTATGCCTGGGGCTACATGCCTGAAGGGTCACCTTCTGTCCTTCAACATATCCATAATCAACCAAGAGTACTTGCCTAAATGTGAAATGCATGCATCTCATCCATACCATATTGAGTGCTTTTTTTCCCAGTGGCTGATTCACTCTGTCACCTTGGAAGAGTCATTAATGTCTTGGGACTTTGAATCAATCATCTATAAAGGCTAAAATTAGTTATATGAAAGAGTCACAGTGAGGTGGCTTCACATTTCAGTCTTCATATGAAAGTGGCCTTGTAAGAATAATCCCATGTGATAAACAGCACGTTGCCACATGCTGAAAATTACTCAGATTTGTAACGTGCATTTCATTGTGATTTTTTTCTACCTCAAAAGCTATCGTGAAAATGAGCCCTTAACATTTTTTAGATCTTTCTGTTTACTGAGTTGATGGAACTATGCTACATTGTATGTTTGGTTCTTTTTTACTTTTTTAAAGGGGAAAATGGGCTTGAAATCTAAATTGATTTTTTTTTAAAAGCACTTTATCCACATTTAATGACTGCAGCTGCAGTAAAATGGACAGCTCTGCAATTGTGATCTCCTGGTTGAAAATTTCAGAGTACTCCCTTATATATTGTTTTATTTCGCAGGATTATATTTACCCAGATGCTCGGGACAGGCAATTTCTCCACTACTTTCACCAGAAATCCAAAAGCCAGAACTTCGATGTGGATCAGTATAACAAATTGAAAAATGATCTTGCAGAGGTTAGTTGCATAACTTGCTCTGAGTCAATATACTTAAATTTTGTCCTGTAACATAAAAGTGGCTCCAAAAATGTTTTGAAATCCCAACATTGGCCCCCACTTCTGCAGCTGGCACATTGCAGGGAGTAACGCTGTAGTCTGTTGCTAAACAACATGCATAGAAAGCACACTCTTGTAGCCGTAGACAGGCTTCCTTTTTGAAAAGTGGGTTTAAAATGCATATTGACAGCCACTTGACAGGTGAGGAAGAAAAGTAATAATCTTACTTTGGAGGAAATGGGTACAGCTTCCCTTTCCATCTGCTGCAGCAGCTGTGATTAGTGTCAAGGAGATGTGAAATGGAAAACTCTCCAGCTCCAAAGTAAACAAACCCTTATCTCCCTTGCTGTCTCCAAAAGCTAATGGAATGCTTCCCAGCTACTTCAGTAGGCTTTAAAACAAAAATGAATAGTGTTGACCTTGCCAGGCCAGCTCTGCTCAAACCTTCCAAGTCCATAGAGAATTGTTTGGATTAGGGACTTCAGTGCTACTCCTCGATGACAAGTTACAATACACCAGCTGCAAAAGAGAGCGCCAAATCATAGGCCTGCCCACCTTCTATATCCCCTCTCAGAACTGGTGAGACATTGCCATAGTCACCAGGTGCAGAAGATGACCCTGGCAGAGTGTTGTGATTTGCAGCTGCTGCCAGCGGCTGCTGCTTTCACTGGATTTGCCAGCCAGGAAGAGGATTCTGCCATCCTAGATGGCACATTAACTTGCTTACGTGATTGCCAGGAGCTCACTGTCAATATAGCACAACACAGTTACAAAGCCAATAGCTTCCCTTGCTATTCTCAGTGCTTCTTTGTCCAGTGGCCCTGTTGGCATCTTTCCCTCCCTGTCACTGCCTCTGCTTACCCTTCAGATTTCAGGCATCCCTGGAAACGTGTTGCAACTCATGGGAGTCCCAGGCTCCAGATCTTTGGGGGTTGACCTGTAGCAATTTGTAAGCTGAGGTACAGGTTTTGTGTTGGAAGACATCCCCATTAAACTACTGTTTGATGATTAAATAAATTCTAACACTGGTTGCTCAGTGGAAGAATGCTCATGCTGTTATACTTTAGTATATATATTTACACTAAGTAGATTTCTTTATTGCATTTATATCCTGCACTTTGCCCAATGGTACTGAAGAAGGGAGTGCCCATAAAAGTCCCTGTTGAAATGTCAGGCTGTACGATGGCCAAACCAGCTTCCTGATTTTAGTTAACTGAACCATACTTAATTCTAATCAGAGGTGGGAGGGATCACACGAACCTGCAGGGTGCTCTTAGTTGTTAAACCATGTAACTATGCAGCGTGATGTTTGAGATGTATATTCCATTTGTTCCACACAACAATCTGTGAGAGGAGTGATCGGCTCATGGTGGACATCTGGATTTGAAATGTGGAAATCAGTCTTCTTTGCCACCATTGTGTCTGCTCAGTGTCACAGAGCTAAGCTTGCACAGGTGGTGAAAGGCCTGTTACAATCTGGCCAAAGCAGGGGAAGTGATAGAACCATTGATGCCTGCTGTGAGCATCATGCAAGACCTTTTGCAGCTAAATCTCCTTGCATCAGTTCTGATTTGGATTCCAGTTTTTGAAATGAGATCAGAGAAATGGACAGACTCCTTGAAGAAATGAAACCAACTGCATATATGCAGCTAGACCCTGGCCCTTCTTGTGCCCTTAACGTGGCAAGTTTAGGTATATCCAGTTGGGTCCCAGAGGTAATCAGTGCCTTCCTTCAAAACTCTGGGAAGCATTCCCTCTATTAAAAAGGCTTTAAAATTACCCTTGACCCTGATGAAGCTAAAAACTGTCACCATGCATCCAGTCTATTGTATCTTAATGTGGTAAATTCATGATTGCTCATTAGCAGCAGGGTTTCCTAAATGACAGTGATTACTTGGATCAGTTCCCATCTGGTTTTAGAGCAAAGGAGCAAATACCCTGATGCTAAGTGATTTGGCAGTTTTTTCCTTCCACTTTCCTTTAAGAAGAATCTCCACTGCTTTAAATGTTGGACATGGCTTTGAAGCTGGTCTTATCATCCTTAAAAGCAGGGCTGGGGAACCCTTTTCATTCCCTTCTGGCCAACCTTCAGATGAGGTGTGGACAGGCACGTGCCAGTGGTGGTTGGTGGTCAGAGCTAGAGGCCAAAGTGGGAAGAACTTTTTACCTTGGTGCTGTGGGCTAGTTTCTACATATGCTCGCACATTCGCTTTCTTCCAGGCAAGCAGGAGGCACAGAGGTCAAAGATTCATTCTAGCCAAGCAAAAACAGTGTGGCCTGGGATAGAGTCCTGAGGGCCAGATAAACAAGCCTAGAGGGCCATGTTTGGCCTTCAGCTTTAGGTCTCCCACTCCTGCTTAAGATACTAGTCCTCTGCTTGCTCACCAGGCTCTGCAACCTAAGCTAGCCTGTTACTTCTTTATGGAGTGACTACCCCTAAAATTGTCCCAGCGATACCTGCCACTCATTCATTCATATACAAGTGTATGTGTGCACACACTTGATATTCCTCTTATTACGGCCTACTGCCCTTTGTCCATCGTTTCGAATGGTTGTAGACACAATGAATTTCCTTCCTTGGAATTAAGTGGCAGTTAACTTGGGGAAACAGTTTGGATGTTAAAGTTTGCCATAGCTTACTAATGCAAATGCATGCTGAGATTTAAAAATTCAGGAACCCCACATGTAAATAACCACAGGGTTCCTGCAACGAGAGCAGATTTCCTCCATGCATGTGATATATAAAAAGTTCCTCTAGAAGCCAACAATTGGTGTACCTTTTATGCTGATGCAGTTAATCTATCCAGTTCCTTAGGCCTAGATGGGGAATCTGTGTTCCTCCAGTTGTCGTCAGACTCCCAATTCAGAGATGGTGTTTCAGTCCAGAAATTACTAGAGCCCACAGGTTTCCCACCTCTGCCTTAAACTCAAGGTTATATAAATGTATACAACTACTAACCTAAGGGCAGAATTATATGTTACAGCAAGCACTCAAGTGCTGGAAGGCAACATGCAGTGAATAACTGGTGGGAGTTAATAGAACCAGTTCCTGCTTTATTCCTCTCTACCTATGCCCCAAGGTTGTTTTTCCTTCAACTAAACAAATTTCTAATCTTAGAGTTAGGGGAGGTGGAAAACATTGCAGAGATTTTTGGAGGGAGAGGAAGAGTTGGACCACATGAAAAATAAAGGCTTTTCAGTGGTATCTGTGGAATGGTGTCCTTGAGGAGATGCACCTGGCTTTGTCCTTGTCAGCATTTAGGCGCCTGGCCAAGACCGTTTTTGTTTATTCAGGCCATTGGTAATTAAGTTGCCTCCTAAGGTCTTGTCATCCTTATTGGGTGAGCATTTTGTAATGCTTTTTCTGCTTTTGATTTGCTTTTATTTGTTGTAGTTTCCCTCTGAGGAACCCCTTCTTTGCCTTGTAACATGACTGAATGCCAACAGCCATCCAGATGGCATTAACTAGGCATCAGAAAGATTCTGAAGGGTTTCACACCTGCAAGCTCACCAGTTTATATTTCTCTCTTCTCACTGCTAGGTGGAAGAATCCTTGAGGCGGCTGAAGAATCCCTTACAATTGCGTCTTCCTATCGAAGAAATAAATGACAAACATTAATTTTTTTGATAATTATTAGCCTTGTTGAATTGCCTCATAAGATTTGAAACTGGAGTATTCTGGACTAACGTAGTCCTTCTGTTTTTGAAGGGGTTTGGGGGTGAAGAAATCTACAAGGAACAGCTAAAACTGTTTCTGATAACCGAGATTTCTTTTTCATGTTTTACAAAGAAATTCAGACTCCCCATGTATATAGTTTGTTTCTTAATACTGTTCACAATAAAAAAAACATGTAGCAGCTACTATTGAATTAATAATGTATACTTGATTGAAAGAAGAGACAAAAATGATTTTTAAAATTTTTATTTTAATCTGGTACCCTTCAATTTGAATGTAACTTTATAATAAGGTAAATAAAAAATGCATTGCTGTTTTGTGCTTATTTTATTTTCTGAGTTAAGATATGTTCTGCAAAAAATTTTTAAAAAGCACCTCCTAAGTTTTCAGAAATCCTCACATGCACAAATAGTTTCAGAGTCTGTGGCTTTTTATAAACATATAAAGTTTCTTGTTACATTTAAGATGCAAAGTCCACGGGGCACAACTCACCTGTACAAACAGCACCACCCCCAACGTCAGGGAGCAAGATAGTACAGGTCCTAGCACCTATAGAACAACGGATAATGGCCTGCAATAGGTCAAGCTACTTAATAATAATTTTGAACTATAAATGGGATGCCTGGAACTCTTTTGACCGTACCAGCCAGTTACACCAGTCAGTGGCAGTTGCACAACTGAGTTTGACAGTGTTCAGATGGTATTTGCCAGGCTAAAGTATGGGGATGAGGTCAGATAATGGAAATGATCCCTACAAAAGCATTATTGTATGGGGGCGGGAAAGAGAGAGTACAAAATCTAAAGTTTCAAAATGAAGCTTGCAAACTCATGCACTTGAAAATAGTTAAGTCTGATTAACTGCTTCTTTCTTGCTCAAATGTAAAAAGATTGACTTATTTTCCAAAATTCTCTGAGGTTCGGTAAGTATAATGTTGATTTCTAATCCAATAATTTCAAATGCAGTGCATAAAAAGTACTTCTGGTTTTAAAATGTTGAATTTTATGGAAAGTTCAGCATTATACAACTTCCTTTCAAATTTCTTTTTGCAATTTTTCTGACAAGTTAAAAAAAAGTCTTTCAGATTTTGAAATTATCTTACAATATTTACAATCACTTTTTTTTTTTAAAGGACCTTGCTGGTTGTAATTTGGTTACTTGGGTCTTCCATTATTGCTACTTTGTAGTTTTGCAAATTGTCTTAGTTGATCAAGAAAAATAAGCACGATTTCTTAACTGAAATAGTGCACACTGACAATGATTGACAGTGCAGTTCCAAATATCAGCTACGCAGAAGCAACCCCATTGAGTTCAGTGGGAATTACTCCCAGGTAAAAGGGTACAGGATTGCAGCCTGAATCTATTACCCCATATGTCAAGATTGTGGGTAGTTTGAGATAACCTCTTGTTACTGCTCCTTAGTGTTATTTTGATTTTGGGTAGAAATGCAGCTTCTTAGTCAACATTGATGCAAAGCAAGGAATCTGCTTTTTCCCTATAGCATTAAGATCTTTGCACATATCCACTCTGCGATGAGCCACCTTCCTGTTAACCAGCGTCAGTAGCTCTGTGAACTCCAGCGAAGAACCATGTTTTCTTATCATCTCACACAGATCTTGAATGTACCAAGAACCATTTACAGTCTCGCGATGAGAATAGTACCCTATTGCAAAAAGGGGGAAAGGGTATTAAGTCTTTGTCATGTCTGCAGAAAAGCCTTGGATCTGAACCTGCATTCAATTATTTTTTTAAAACTAGCAAATAGTAATCTAAGAGATTATTAAACCTAATTCCATGCTTTGGGAAAGCTGAAAATAATCACACACCCTGATCTAAAAGCATGTTTCCTGTCATCAACTGAACTTTTTAAATAAATATGCTTAGGATTACAGCCTTAGTTGGTCTTGAGGGATATTCATTTGTGGAACAAGAATGATTAAGGGCTTAAAAATATTTTTTGCACTATTAATGAGTACACCTTGCAGCAAGAATCCGTGTGTCCAACTTCAACAGCAGAAGACAACAGGTGTACTTCCACTTTGGACAAAGCTTTAATCCCAAGGCAGATCCTTAAAAACTCTGAACTGAACTTGCCTGAAGCAGTCTAGTCTCAACGCTTCAGAGATACCTCTGAGCTACAGAGGGTGTTTTTGTTTTTTTACTTTCTCAAGCCAAATTTTTGAACCTTCCACAAGCAACTCCTATTAAAGGAAATGGGTGGTTTTTGCATACATTTTTTCTTATCGTAAATATAGCATGCAACTCTGCACATGGCAATAATACAAGTATACACAGAGACTAACTTCAAGAAAATTGTCTCTTTCTTTTGTAGATAACTGCTATTTCACGGAATCAGCAGTTACAGACAGCTGGGGGGGGGTGCATTTTACCTTCTGCAACCGAGTAACACATGAGGAAGTCTGCCCCAGCAGGCAGTGTATATACGGCGGCAGCATCGACTTGTGTTTCATTGATTTCTGTTTTGCTATCCACTGTGTCACGATGAAGGACAGGGTCGTCATGCCTGTCTCCTCTGCATGCCTGTGGGAGGAGAAACGGTTGGAAACGAAGTCTCACAGCTGGACACCATTCTAACGCAGAACCTTTCTGAGTTCTGCCTTGGTTAACATACACTGAATATATACTTAAATATTTGGTTACGCTTTGCTGAGTCTTTTGGTAGGATGACTCAGCTTAGAAAGTGCAGCAAACACTGGGAAAAGGGTGTGTGTTTTTCACTTTGGAATTGAGTTTAGAAAGAAGCATGCTTTGTACTTCCTATCATATGCATAAACCAAGGCAATACTTAGAAAAGCAAGGGAATATAAGGTGGCTCTATGATACCGAAGAGTTTTCCATAAACTGACACATGAAGTTCTGTCTACCCCAAACTGAGGGTAGGAACTGCAAGAAGCAGCAGATAACGGCCACTGCCTATTCAGTTGGAGGAGGGGTTTTTGTGTTTCCATTTTTTTATTTCTGTATTGTTTCCAATAAAATACACAACTGTCTCCTCCTGCCTTCCCTAGCCTGGTGGTGACCTGGCTGGTACTGGTGGCAATTCCAGCCCAAAACACCTGGAGGGAATCATGTTGTGGTTTAATTCACGAGCGCCACCTTACCTGAATTATAAATACTTTTGGCTTCCCAACTAGGCTTGGGCATTTGTCTCCTCTGAACATCTTGGTTAATTCCTGTATCTTTATTTTAGCATCGTAGGCATAAACATGATCATCTTCTCCGTGGCTCAGGAAAATGCACACGAAGCAGTCTGCATCTTCATGCTGGTCTGTAGACACTGCAAAACAATGCCGTTGAAAAACGTTATTTTAAAAGCAATGGTTGGTAAAGTAGTGATGAACAAAGTACCCTGGGGTCATGTTGGAGCTGAGCTCAGCAAACCCAAGCTATCCCCACCCCCCCAAAAAGGGAAAATAGCTCATGCTCTTTTATACTAAGATGGATTGAAAATATGAACCATATTTTGGTCTCGATTGTATCACTGGAAGTCTCTGCTGTATCCAGCACCTCTACAAATTCCTCATGGGGCCCTGAATCCTGCACAGCTGCCCTTTTGTATTCCTACTAAACCTCAAAACTAGAGGTACTTGACAGAAACAGTGTTCAGAATGAAAGAGACATGGGCTTCAAGGTGACCTTGTTGCCTCCATCAAGCCGGATTGATAAGCATCCATACTAGGGACTCGGGTACCCAAAAAGCTACTGCTTGGGCTATTGCTGTATCTGGATTCAAGGTAAGGAAAGGAGGCTCCTTACAGGCAGAGACAATTAAGAACTATGGGTTGGGCAAATAGTGCTTTCTTCATAGTGCGGGTGAGTACTATGAATGGAACAAGTTCTTATTTAGAGTCAGGTGACTTAATTGGAAAGGCTATTAAACTACATCGATATTGCCTGCTAATTCAATGATACATTCCCACTCAAATTCTAGTACCTTAGGCTGCAATCCTAACCCCGCTTTCAGTGGAGTAAGCCCCACTGAATTCACTATGACTTACTTCTAAGTAGACACAATGAGACTGTGCTGCAAGTCTCATCACAATTTTGCTAGAGCCTACTTGGTGCATTCTGGCTGTTCTGGAACTGCAGTTCAAAACCAGCTTTGTTTCAGACTTGATATCACTGCTGCAACTTTCCAGATTTAAGTCAACCACAGCAGCAGGTTTCATTCATTAAACATAAAATACGCTCCTTTACATTGTTGGAAGGCTATCTAGTTCAACATCCTGCTGATGCTGGAATACACTACTAGAGCATCCCTAATGTTGGTCATTCAGTCCCACTGTGTAGTGGGAGACTTACTCTAATGGAGAGTAAGTCTCCCACTATCACAACACAGTCTTCCACCTTTCTTCCTAATGGTGCAACAGAAAACATGAGTGTTTCCATCCTAGTGGCAGCCCTTCAAATATTTGGCCATCATATCTGCTCTTACTTATTGCTATTGTCATAATTCAGCTATTGCTTTATCAATCTGGATCAGGCATAGGCAAACTCGGCCCTCCAGATGTTTTGGGACTACAACTCCCATCATCCCTGACCACTAGTCCTGTTAGCTAGGGATGATGGGAGTTGTAGTCCCAAAACATCTGGCGGGCCGAGTTTGCCTATGCCTGATCTAGATACTTTGGATCAGTTCAACTCTCATAAGGAAACTAAGCAACTGTGACAGTAGCATATTTCTTTTCTATTATTATTTTTTTACCGTAACACATTTTTATCAAGAAAGGGTTAAACAAAAGGTTTTAAGTTGAACACATTCACTATTAAAGCTGTATAATAATCATAGCAGAATTTACTCAAGTAAATAAAGCAAAGTCACCTACCGTTGTAAATGTTTTGCAACACTTCAACTGCTTTAAGGTCATCAAAGCACTTCACTTCAAACCCAAGCTCCGTCAAACTAGTATAAACAGGAACAAGAAAAGTCTTGCAAGTTGCATTTGTTTCTTGATTTTTCTCTTCTTGAGAAAATGCAGCATTAGAAATGTGTGGGGTACTAATAACTAACCAATGACATATGACATGGTTTCTCCAAAACAGCAATAAAGGAACAATAAAACTACTTTTTGAAGAGAAAGCTATCCCAACTGTTTTAACTTGAGTAATCTGCTGGGAAGCAGTTTACGAGTGGCTTGACCTTAATTGAACAGGAACCAGGGGTTCCTTTGGAAACTTTCTTGGGACTTCTCAAAGCAAATACTGGATCAAAAAAGCATATTGATAGCTTAACACTCTCCCCTCTGCACCCCATTATCGATCTGCCATGTAATTTATTGGTTGATGCAGTGTTCAGGAATAGAGGGAAAATAAGGTGTTTTCTCTCCTACAACTCTTAACAGGTTGCTCTGTGTACTCCTATCCTGCACTCAAAACTGCTTAGAAGCCATTTTTGGCAAGTAGGTGGTCTATAAATGAAGAGAAAAATAATGTGCAGCCACAAGAGTGGGCTGGGTGCCTTCTAAGGTACACCTTCAGTGCATGTGGCGTCATGCTTCTCTGCAAAACACAGGTGGCTTGTGACAGGCAAGTCAACATGGGATGGGTTGCCTAAAAGTTTGAAAGCTGCATTCAAAGTGCTTTATATACAGTCATTCTTTGAACTGCACCTGTAATGTTCACCTGTATATTGGTCGGTGGGGAAAGACTTGAGTCATAATGACCAACTAAGGAACACATGTCTGAAGCAGCATTTGAACTGTGGACTTCACAGCTCATGCTATTTTAGTCCTTACAGTGCACTCATTCTCAGGGCAAGCCCCAAGTGGGCTTCATCATTTTTCTACACGATGATTTTGTCTTTAAGAAACTTCATTCTTTGGTGTTTTTATGTATAAATGGCATGAAGTTGAACTGGATTCTCCCTACTCCGCCCACAAACTCACACATGCTTAAAAATAATTTGAGAACATCTCCACACCTGCGTTTTAGGTTATCCCTGTCAGCTTGGGTGCCACGTCTCTCTGGTAATGTCAAGTGCCAGAAAAAATGTTCGTGGTTGAAGATCAGAGCAAGTCCCCTCCTCTTGTGGTTCATGTTATACTCCACTGCTGGATCAAAAAGCTGGATGTTTCTACAAAAGTAAGGAGTTTTCAGTTATTAATCCAGTCTCCCTCTCTCTCTCATATGCACACCACCTTGCTGAATCTACTGGATCAAGCCAGGATCCAAAGAACTGTACAACTAGTTATACATGGCCAGAGGGCTTGTATGCTTCTAAAATAACAGGTCCCAATTCCACATGCCAGTTGTAGTTTTGCCAATCAAACAGGATTTATTCCATACGAAAATAGTCCAGTCATTGTATATACACACACAAATATAAACACATTGCTTTAGGATAGAAAATTTACACTGCACTGACAACTCTTAATTCTGTGATAAACCCAGATACAACAGTCAAATAATCAGCAAGTACAATTTTGGTTGCTCCTAGAAAGGTTATCTTTTGTATTGTGAGCACGTCAGAGCACAGCCATACTTATTAGAGATCCAGTAAATATTGAGGGTGTGGTTGTGCATATACTGTGGGAAATACTTTTCCGTCTCTTTGTTTTCAGCTACAAACAGCTGTTCAAGGACAATAGAGATCCTTACCTTTCACCAATGGCATCTGTTTCAGTGTGGTTTTGCTGTCCATCTATAATTTGAAAATAATTCAAAACATGGTTGACCCAATATACTTAAAGGCACAAATGAAATATATATAAATGACCTATTTTTCAAATAAGCTTTTAAGGAATGTATCATCAACATGTTCCAAAGATGTTTTCATTTGAGATAACTGGGTTTGTTCCTGTATTAAGATTTTGCTATAGTAAATCAAGAGCTTCTACAACTCTTGTCCCCAAATCTGTAATTAGCAATCTAAAAAATAGTCCTCCAACTTTGACTATTTTTGTTGTTTTCATGTATTAAATTTTGCTGACACCTTTCTCAAACAAACCCAAGGCAACTTACAACAATATAAAAATATACAATACATAAAAACAAAGTGAAAAACTGGCCTTTATCCATACAATATGCAAAATGTAAAAACGGTGCCCCAATATACCAAGGTCTCAATAACACTGTGTGTTCCTGTAAAGAAGGTTGCCACCAAGACAATAATTGCTTATCCCAGAAATTAATTGTCTGCCTTCCAGTATTATCATATGCCTGAAAGCAGAAGAAAGTTTTTACATGCCATCAATTGTATTTATGCATGAATAGGTATGTGCAGATTTCAGTCCTGCTTTTCCCCTCCACTGTTCCTGGCTAACAATAAAAAACAGCATTTCATCTTTTAAAATATTTTACAACTTTTGCCCTAGTTGAAATCTTGAAAGTGTATCTAAAGATCTATCTTTCTCAATCTTTTTGAAACTCGAAACTTCTGCCTCCTGTCTCTACTCTCAAGCCTAATCAATTGTCTTTTGCATAGGTAGACATGCACAAATCCTTAGAGGACAGTTTGTGTGTATCGTTGGATCACAGCACCTGCAATGAACAGGGGAAATAACAGGACGTGTACATTCCATTCTAAATGCACATACAGAGAAGCTTCATTAGAACAATCAGCCATGCCTACAAATTTAATGTGTATTAGTTCATTCCCTATGCAAACAATCCAGCTTGGGTTAATGAAGCAAGAGTGTGCCACCTTCCCATAAATCAGATCCACCTCTGAATGTTTTCACCTCCACAGGAATACACCCATACCCCATCTGGGGAGGAAGATTTCCTTCTCCAGCTTGCTTCCCTGTTCTGTTCCCACTTAGAAAAGCTTTCTAAGTGGAAACAGAACACTTTTTTGAATAGCTTTCAATTATATTTTGAACAAACAGCAGATACTTTACCTCTGTCTTGCAGTACATTCTTGCTGTCCACATGGATTTCTCCTATGGCAGAAAACAACATATTTAGTGTTGCAATAAAAGTGTAGACTGTTCACTTCTTTTCTGAAGTTCTATATATAATTGTGTTGGTTCCAAGGTTTTGTAGATTCTGCTTGCTCATTAAACTCAAGAAGACTTTAATCCAGCCTTGGCCAGGTGTCCATGCTGATTTGTGCAGCTGTATGCCTGCAGAACAGTGATAGGGAAACTGTAGCCTTCCAGACACTCTTGAATTACATACAAGACCTTGTATCTGGCCATGCAGGTTGGGACTGATGGGAATTGAAAGTCCAACTATGATGCACTCTAAGACAAAACATGGGTTAGCATGAACACAAGGGTTCCCAGAGAAATCACAGCCACTGCACTCCTCCCCTGGTCCACCTGGTGCAGCAAGGTAAATCATGATTGGGACTAGTGTGCTGACCAAACCTGGGTTCATAGCTTGTCTTTGCCAAAGAAATCATGAGCTGTAAAACGAAGAAGAAACTTACAGCTCACACTTTCTCTGGAGTAGAAAATGGAAGTTGGTGCTGCCCTAAAGACTGTCACATTGTTGTTGGGACATGAGACAATGGAATGTGCCTCTGGGGGTGAAGTCAAATGGCTGCATTAGCAGCACTGAAGTGACCTCCCTGGAGCACAAACCTGGGCAGTGTTTATGAATGTCCTGAGCTGCACAAGGACAAGACTCCCCCCTCCCCTGTCTCACAGATGTGTTTCAAAGGAAAGCAGAGAGATGCATTTGGCACCAGTTTGGCAGGAGCCGCTGGAAGACGCCATCCAATTATCTTGGGGACGCCACTCTGGATTTGTATAGGGTTTACACCTCAGCTTTGTCTTCTCCCGAAGATATCCCGCAAAGCAGCAGAAGTTTAGGATCAGAGTTTTCCTTCTCCTAGATGAGCTACCTTCCCAGGTGAATGAGCCTCACCTGCCCCTCACTTCCCTCCACAGCACATGCAGAAACTGTCGTCTTGACCATTGGTCTTGTCTGCTAAATCCGCAGAAGCCTGTCTTCGCATGCAGGGGAAGTCCCTAACTCACTGAAGGTTTGAGACCAACCAGGCCATCAAAGCCATTCTCGGGCATAGCTGTCAACTTTCAGATTTGAAAATAAGGGATCAGCAACCTCACCTGTCCCAGGGACAGTCTACAGGATATCTAACAATCCGGGATAGCAGCGGGAAGCAGCGCTGGATTAAGCAAATTTCACGCAAAAAAAAAGGAAGGTTGACAGCTATGTTCTCGGGGTGTGGCTGCTGCGGCCACCTGCTGACAGCTTCTAGACATGGCTGTCAACTGTCCCTTATTTGGCGGGAAAGTCCCTTATCCCAGCGCCGTGTCCCGCTGCTGTCCCTTATTGATGATGCCCCTTAAATTTCCCGGGTTTCAAAGGAAGCAGCTCCTCTCCCTCCCTCCCTGCCGGCCAACTGTGTTGCTTGGCTGCGTTGCTCACCCAATAAAGAGTCTAAGAACGACTGGGGGTTGGAGCTTGCATGCCTTGTGCCGATCAAATCGGCTGAGTTGCCTGGGGACTCGCCTTTGCTCAGCGCTTCCCAGCGGAGAGGTGACGGTGATTTTCCTTGCTGCATCCCCTTTGCCAGGTTGCTGCGCTGTGGGAACCACCGCTTGAGGCTTCGTTTGGCTGCTGGCTGGGCTTTGGCTCGGAGGGCTTTGGCTCGGAGGGGCTCAGATGTTGAACATACCCGTGTTAGGAAAATCCCTTATTTTGGCTGCTGGTCCCTTATTTTCGAGGCTGCTGGTCCCTTTTTTTCAAATCTGTAAGTTGACAGCTATGCTTCTAGGAGCCACAGGTGAGAGCTGAGCGCACCCTGTACTGTTCTTTCCAGTTACCCCCTCCCCAAATGTGGGCGTGGGTCTGGCTGCTTTGCAGCGCCACGGAATCACCGGCTCTCCCCAGCAGCCAGGCACCCGACTCCCTGCCCTGCGGGAGCGACAGCAAACGGGCCCGGCAGCTACAACCCAGCCCAAAACACAGCGACGCGGCCACGTGACGACAAGGAGAAGGAGGGGCGGAGCGGGAGGAAACACAGGAAGGCGAGAAAGAACAAAGGAACGAGTAGAACAGAAGCCGACTCGAACCAAGAGGACAAAGGGCGGGCGTGGACAGCAGTTTTGCTTTCTCTCTCCCCCTGCCTCAACGGTAAAAAAGAATACCCCTTAGTGCCCCCCTGCTTGAACTAAGCCTCAGGAGGTCCGTGTATCATATATTGATCACTAAATGCAAGTACAGATGCACAAGCCATTCTTTCCTGAACACGAGCGTTCTGCAGATGAGAGTTCTTGCATGTACACTACCCATTTCAAAGCGTCCTGGGAATCGCGGGTTCATAAAGGGTGCTGGAAACGGGGGCTCATTGAGGGGTGAATTGCTGTTCCCAGGGCTCTTCCGGGGAGCAAATACGCTTTAAATGAACTGGGTGTCCCCCTGGTTCCCATTCAGACGTTGACACGCAGGCAGACTCCAGACCCCACCGACAGGATCCCTCGCTCTCTCCGGGGGTTAAAGGCGGCGCGCAGCCTTCCTACTTGGGGGCACCTTTTGGAGACCCGTCTCCCGCGGCTGTTCCTCCCCGCCGGGAGAAATTTCCGAGCTCTGACCATGCAGGCGGAGAAGCCGAGCAAAGGGGAAGGAAGAGCCGCAACCGGCTGCACCCGGGCCGCGCTCAGGCTTCCTGCCCCGCCGCCCCTCGGTTTCTCCACCAGTGCGCAAAGGGCGCCTTTGTGCACAGACGCCCCTCGCGCTCGGCTTCCGGCGCCTACCTGAGCCGTTGTTGGAGTTTCTCTGCCGCTTGGAGCTCGCCATGGCTGGGCTTTCGACTGGCACGCCCGAGACTGAGGGAGGAACCCCCTTGGGTGCTGCTTCTGCCGGAGTCAGCGTTTCTCCACCTCCAGGCAGCCGCCTTCCTCCGCCCACCTTTTTCTCCCCCTCCACCCAGCCCGAGTTATCTTCCTTTGTCCCTCTCGGTTATCCAGGCGGGGCGTGGGCTGCCGCTCCTGGGTGCCAGCCTGGACGCACGGCTCGAGGAAGCTTCCGTGTTCCTTCCCTCCGAAGGTCAAAGAACTCGCCAGGGCTTGTCCCCAAGGCTTGTTTTCGTTGCCAGCCCCCAACACTGCCTTCCCAAGACGTGTCCAAGCAAAGCAACAAATGCCAACCGCCTCCCCTCCCCAAGGTGTATACAGTACCAAGGCTGGCCCACTTGTGAGGTAGAAAAATAGCACAGGGCTCTCTTCCTGGGATTGAAAAACACATTGATAATAAATATATAGCGGTTTGCTGCCTATTACCTAATGGCTGGGCCGGTCCTGTTCCTACAACTTAATTTATTTTTATTTTATTCTATATTTTTTCTTAAATTTTCTGTTTTACATTTTAGAATATTCATTTAAACAACCTTAAAATATCAATGACTTCCCTTCTTCTCTTTCCATGGTTCACTTTGCAAAACATAAATCCCTGCATGTTAATAGGAGCAGGCCAGCGCATTTTGCCGCCTGAAGCAAAAGATGTTGTTCAATGTCTTTATAAACAATTTGGATGAAGGAATTGAAGGGATACTCATCAAATTTGCAGATAACACCAAACTGGGAGGGGTAGCAATTCACAGAAGACAGAATCAGAATTCAAAATGACCTTTCCAGATTGGAGAACGGAGCCCAAGCTAACAAAATGGTTTTCAATAGGGATAAATGTCAGTTTCTGCACTTAGGCAGGAAGAACCAGATGCACAGATATAAGATGGGGGACACCTAGCTTACTAGAAGCACATGTGAAAAGAGTCTCTAGGGGTTTTGGTGGACACACTGAAAGGAAATTTCCAAAAGGCAGTGTTTCTGTCTTTATCTATGGGTAATCTCATTGCCTTCATCACCACACCTCAACTACTGTAAGACTGTAGTCCAGGCTTCCTGAACCTCAGCCCTCCAGATGTTTTGAAACCACAATTCCCATCATCCCTGACCACTGGTCCTGCAAGCTAGGGATCATGGGAGTTGTAGGTCAAAAACATATGGAGGGCCAAGGTTGAGGAAGCCTGCTGTAGTCCTCCTCTAAAAAGAAAATGTAATTGACTAGACATAAAAATGGTTAGCATTCAAGGGTGTGTACCAATGTTTCCACTTGACAAAAATAAAACATGATATACAGGCTGCTGGCAGGGTGGTAGAGGATATAAACATCACCTGTGATGTAACCCAACACAAAAAAGCCACTAGCATGACATACACGGTTTCTAACATGTAACATACTGAAGACTAGGAATTGTATCTAATGGTGACTTTGGGCTGGCAGAAGCGTGTCTGCTTGCATGAGTTAAACATCTGGTTGCTACTAACCACAAGTCCTCCTACCCCAAAAAGCTTTCCCTGCCAGCTGGGTAGAGAATGGGTATGGCCCACAAATTGTAGGGGAGGGTTTGTGAAAATGGGTTGTCTCGCCTTGTTAGCAGAAGCACTTTTAGCACAAAGGTACCATTGACTGCAACCCAGTAACTCAAATTGACCTTATGTCTAAGGATCTATCCCTACTTAAATGGGAGTGAGCTCCAATGAATCCATTGGGAATAACTACTGAGGCGTGTATAGGATTGTGCAGCAAGTGTAATAATGTAAATGTTGACAACTTCCAGAGGGATCAGTTTGTAGGTGGAAAAGCTTCTTCATGAGGCTGGCAAGTTCCCACTTAGTACCACTAAATCCAGTGTCTTCTGTTGGGGCCACTTCCAGGACCATCTGATTAACATTGCAGGAAGCTGCCTCATACACTGGTCCACCTAGTGCATGTTTGGATGATGGGGGCTTTCAATAGTCCCAGCCCTATATCAGAGACTGAACCTAGGAAAATGTGCATGCAAAAAACGCACGTGCTCTACCATTGTGTTATGGCAGGCATGTCCAACAGGTACATCACAATCTACTGGTAGATCACAGGGGTGTCCCAGGTAGATCACGGAATGAAGTTTAGTGATTGCCTTTGGTCAATCCGCCCCTAACTCCTGCAATGGCAATGGGTAGATCACAGCCGGTCTTTTTATACTGTGAGTAAATCACAGTCTCTTGAGAGTTGGACGTGCCTGTCTTATGGCACTCCTATATAAGAATCACCTTTTCTTTCCAAACTTAAAAATTAAACCTTGGTCAAGGTATACCTGGAATCTTTGATCTCTTAGTCACAGTTGTGTCAACCCTGTGCTAACATAAACAGAACTATTGGGTCAAAGTAACCTGATTTCTGACCCATATACTGTATAAATTTATTCAGTTTGCATTAACAACAATAATAATCCCAGACACATATTGACATGCTGTAACCTTTTATTGTTAACTTTAATTATCTTTTAAATTGTTTTAATTATTTGGTTTTAACTGGTTTTCATTGATAATTTTAATATTTCTTGTAAACTGTTTAAAGGTTTTTATGACAGTCAAGCAGTATACAAATCTTGAAATTGTGGGGAAATACAAAAGACCTGTGTGGAGTATGGAAGCCCAACTGCCACCTGTAACTAGATATTCTCTTCAGAGCTGCAGACGCCTTTTCTTCTGCACCTAATTTTTCACCAGGCACAATCATCTCAGTATAAAGGGCTAGAAATAAACTTCCTTTTTCAGAAACAAAAGCAGGTATTTTTCAGGATATTGTACCAAGTGCAATAGTTTATAAATGTATTGACATTTTTTTGAATATTCAGAAGGAAGCTTGGTTACTATTTATATAACTGACATTTCAATGCCAAAAAATGTCTTATGCCATGCTTGTTGAATTAACATTTGTTAAGAATGCAATGGGAACATAGCTCAGCATTCTGAAACTGGCCAGAACTTTTATGATTCTCCAGCATTAAATGGTTAGTATAAATGCTTCTACCCCAAAGTGTGTTTTGGCGGGGGGGGGGTATGTAACTCTATCAGTTCTAGATTTTAGATCCATGATTAAAGTTTACACTCCTTCAAACTTCTCCAAATTGAAGTTCTCTTGTTTTTGGCTTGCCATTGTTTTAATTAAAATATCTAGAGAAAGTAGTTTGCTCTTCCTTTCCTCTGGCTTTGGTTTGTGTTTCGCAGATTGCTCCTGCTGAACTTTGTACCTACAGCAAGCTAATAATATAAACTACTAGCTTTGAGTCACATTGCTAGGAATGCTCTTGGCAGGACAAACTAGTACTGAAATTTGCTGTTTGAATTGCATCTTCATTGCACTTGTGTATTTGGATGAAAGGTTGTTATAGTGTACTTTTTTGGAGCCTTGTATTAAATACTTCTTTACAAACCTAAAGCTTTAGTTCTGAACCTACTCTTAACCTGAATTTTATTGAAACAAGCCAGCTCCGTAAGTCAGTAAACAAAAGTTATGACTAACCACAGTTTGTCTAGCTTCAGACAATTACAGTTAGCCAAAAATGGAAGGGAGTTTCTGACCTTGCAGCCATACTGGGTGCTGCAGGCTCTCATGTTACATCCAAATGCAGCTAGAACAGGGGTCAGCAACCTTTTTCAGCTGTGGGCCGGTCCACCGTCCCTCAGACCATGTGGTGGGCTGGACTATATTTTTTTTGGGGGGGGGGGAATGAACGAATTCCTATGCCCTACAAATAACCCAGAGATGCATTTTAAATAAAAGCACACATTCTACTCATGTAAAAATACCAGGCAGGTCCCACAAATAACCCAGAGATGCATTTTAAATAAAAGGACACATTCTACTCATGTAAAAATACACTGGTTTCCGGACTGTCCGTGGGCTGGATGGAGAAGGCGATTGAGCCACATCCAGCCCACGGGCCTTAGGTTGCCTACCCCTGAGCAAGAATAAAGGCTTATAAAATGAATCCTGCAGATTTTCCTCAGTATAGTATGCTACTCAGTTAAGTTTTATTTATAGCAAAATGACATGACACACACACAGCTTTGACTCTTTAATTCTTCTCCCCCACTTTACACAAATACAGTTCTTTTTTTTTTTTACAAATTTTCATGCTGAAGAAATCCCTTATTTCCCAGAAGAAAATATATCACAGAACACTCTTCAAGTAATTTCATTCAGTAGTTTCTAGTGCTTGTGTGTTCAGAACTTGAGAACAACTCAGCATTAAAAGTTCACATTCTTTCATAAAAGACAAAAGACATTTGACAAAAAAACTCTATAAAATCCAAGATTAAAAAATGGAACACCCATTTTGTAGGTTTCGATCCAACTAAAGTTGGTTGTGACCAAGACCTATTAGAATTCATAGGGCAGACAGCCCCACTGTTTTCATTGGGTCAGTTATAATTAACATTAGCAGCATGGGAACAGATTATTTCTCACAAATTACTTCATTTTAAAATATATATATATAGAAAAGATTAAGAGAATTTTTTTTCTATTAATGTCAAATAGGCAAATACAGACAAATAAATTAGAATCTTTTTCTATTCAAGTCAAATGCGAAAGTACAAATAAATTATTAAAAATCAAGTGGGAAACAACCCTTGCAGAGTTCTCAAAGCAATTCCATAAGCCTAAAACACAGAAACAATGGTAAAAGTATTCATTAGTCATATTATTTCGTTCTGAAACAGTACAGAAGAAACAGGTTTGATAGTCAAATGCTCTGCACACTAAATGCAAATATTTCTCTTGTTCAGGCCAATAATACATATTAAGACACCGTTACTTTGCAGAATGTCTATGTGTCTAAAACATTTGATTAGAGATCAAAAATAATTTAAAAAATTTATAGTGTGCTTGGATAATTGGGGGGCAGGGGAATCAATAGCTTGGTTTCACTGCTTTGGCAGATGGATTTAATGCACCCTAGAATTCCAACATGTAAACAACTTAACTTTGTCAGTTGAAACTTTAAGGGAGATATGCAACCAAGTAATCGCCAGAGTAGATCCAATGAGGTCAGTGTGCTTAATGTACACAGTAGTGGATCTAGTCTGAATATGACTCAGTCGGCTACCATCTATAGTTTTAAGGCACTTGAGAATATGTTGTATAAATGGATTCAGATGCATCTAATTCACATTAAAGTAATCCTTAAACACTGAGATTAATAATCTGACATGCTATAATTGTTGGTAGAGGCAAAAGTAAACTCCACTGGAATCTGGGGTGAGCTGAGAGGCAGTTTGGGGGTCGATGCTGGAGCTGGTAGGAAGTGGTTGGTGAGTAAACAGCTGGATGGCTGCCACTTTTGCTGCTCGATACAAAAAGGACCTAAGTACGGAGACCTTGAAGGCAAAACTTGCCCACAAAAAGTCCATTTCCCTAAAGGAGACCAGACACAAGGAGTTTAATAAAGGCAGGCAGTTTGGACTCATTGATGTCAATGCACCGGCATCAAGAAATGGTGAGCCTCCACTGCTGGAGGAGACAGGTGAAGGGTACTTACTAAGGAGCAGCACAAAGTCAAGCCAAAAATCAAGTGTTTCAGCTAAGTCTCATGCCTTCCCTGCCTTCCTTTCAAAATCAACAAATATACCGGTGCTTAACAAGCCAAAGGAGACGGTAACAAAAGGAGCAAGTGGGGAAATGCAGTTAACAAGGTCAAAGATGAAGAACCAATTGCAAGAATCAGTCAGATCACTAGCTAGACCACCGCATTAAGTGATGGTACCTAGCAAGGGCTCCACTCTGCAAACAGCTCAGCATAACCAGAGGCAGATCTACATAGACAAACCCCCCCAAAGAGAGGAAAGGGGTGCAGACTACAACTTCCACAACTGCCGCTGGAAGAGTTACAGGGGCCACAGCTGCTGCTCTGACCAAAATATCACAGATATCCCGTCCTGCTGTGAATGTAGGTCTTCCACTGCAGAAAACAGAAACAAGTAACAGAAAACAGCAGCAGAGAGGGGTCAAAAATGCAAAGGCAACAGTGTTGTGTGGCATGAAAGAGAACCATTCAGTGGAGCCTCTTAAAGAAGGTGTGATCACCCAAATCCCTTTGGATACAGCCACAGAGCTAGGAAAAGATAACCTTCCAGCCCCTATCATCCTGGCTCTTGCACCACAAAGGAGAGAGCGCTCATTTGCCCCTGAGAATTTTGTGTTCAAGCCTCCGGAGGGTTTGACCACCTACAAAGTCAAGCCAATGTCAGATGTGCTCCTGTCGCCCAATCTTTGCTGGAGCCCTGCAAAAGACCACCAGCAAAGTCCCTGGAGAAGGTGCTCTGGAAGTTTTGCCACAGGGCTGTGGGCTTAAACAGAAGGTCTCTAGCCCAGGAATGACAAAGGCAGTTCTTCAGGAACATCCACCTGTACTTGAATTTCCAGGTGCTTAACACAGCATGTGTAACTAAAGAAACAATGGATGCTACTCCCTTTGAAAAGCAGATCAGTCCACAGAAAGTGGACCTGCCAGCAAGTGATTCATCTGACCCAGCAGGAGAGCCACAACAAAACTGAATCACTTAGGTCCTTCCCAGGTTCTCTTCTCGGTGACTTCTCCTGCGATGGTGCAGTGCTTGAGCTCCAGCCCAGAATGGATGGCAGCCTTTTCATCACTCTGAGGAACCAGGCGGAGAAATTTGTGGCCAACCCAAGCAACGACCTCATTGTTTTCTCTCCCCTTACTTAATCAGAAGGGGCAAAATACGTTTGATTTTTATTTACAAACCGGGGTGGGTGGGGGGAGTGGACAGAAAGAAAATTTACTGTGGTTTTTATATGTTAAGTACTATTGAATGTTTAATAAAGCTTGGTCTGTGTCTTCTGGGGGGGGGGGAGTAAGCTCCACTGTTTTAATGGGGCTTACTCCCAAGTAAGCATGCAGAGGATTGCTGTGTAAGGCTGAAAAATCTAAATATACTTACTAAGTGGTAAGCCTCAGTGAATAGTGAGACTTAATTGAACATACATAAGGTTCATTAATTAATTGAACACACACAGGACTGAACTACAGAAGCAGAAACTGAATATCTACTCAAGGGAATATTCCACTATAACAGCAGCATAAGATTGCAAACAAAACCCATACATTTTTAAGGCATTTCCCTTCTGTCCATAAAGCAAGGCTCTGAGGAGATGCCAAATGCTGGTAAGACCAAAGTTTGACCTACTTTTTACCCCATGCAATAGTTACGGGTGTTCACCTCTATCAGTTTAAGAGCAGCATCCACAATCCCCTCAAGGGAAAAACTCACGTAGAGGTACCACTCCGAGGCCAGTTGCAAAAATTGCAATTTTCGCTTTCAAAGTTGTATGCAAAAGATCCTTAAAGATTAAGGATGCAAGGGTGACAGAGGGAAGAAGTGCTATATAAAAAATTAGTGTCTTCTACAGAAGTGTAGACCAGCTTGACGCTCCGACTGTATGCTTTGAACAGCTTTGTAACAACAAAAGGGCTCTCACAATACAGATGAACTGAACCAGGTCGAAAGCTTCTCTCTTAAAGGTCTGTCTTGTCTTCATACCGACACATACATGCTGCTCTTTGACTGTCAAGATATGGCTTGCATCCTAAATGTATGACTGCGTCAAACACTAGTTGAACTGTTGATTCACACGCTGCAAGGAGGAAAAAGCAAATCAATTTTTAAATTCTTGTACTGAGGCCCAGTTGTCACTATAAAGAAACAAAGCATCCACTTAACCTAGACCCAACGCAAGGTATGCAGCTTATTCTGCTGACTGACATAAGATGAAATTTCAATTTATTGAACAACCAACTTATACTTGTCACTTCCATCACCATCATTGCTCAGAGTAAGACCACCACCATGGGAATTGGGGTGGATGTGGAAATACGATCCATGTAGAGGTACCAGCTCCACACGTGCTTGAGATAATGACATGTAGTCAGCTATAATGTTTGGGCAGCTATATCTGTTTGGGCAAGTTTAAGGTTTAGTGAGCATCAGGTTCATAGCAATACACAAGCAATTCAGCTCCTGCAATAGGACAGAAGTTGCTTGTATTTTGCACTGCGCTGATCACAAATACAGCCTACAAGATTTGGCTAACTCATAAGTGTGACTGTGGCCTGTCTACACTGTGTCAAAAGTAGAATTAGCCCCAGAAAAAGAAAATATTGTGACCTTCTTTGCACCAAACTTGCAGAAATCAAAACTGCAATGGAGGCCTAAAATTAAGAACTGGCAGATAATAAACCATCAAGAGAAGCTTTTTATTCATTCATCATATAGTAAATCTAATGTTCACTCTCCACACTGCTATAGCAATTCAGTGGAACTGATACATGCTAATGGCTTTGCTTAGGTAGAACATCTGCTAGGAGGACATGTCTTTTTCACATTCTACTGTAAGGGGAGGAATGTTCAGTGGTGACACAACATAGAACAGCATTTGCAAACAGGATACCCTCCAGATGTTTTGGACCACAGTACAAAACCTATTCCAGTCCAGGACTACACTCCAAAACCTATTGACCCAGCCAAAACCTATCCCAAAACATCATCTTACAGAGCTGTACAAGGAGAGAAGAATTCGCCCAAACTGGGCAGCATAATCATGCATTGCTCAATGCAACATTTCCAGTATCAGGCAAATCCTTCCACTTTTGTGCAATGATGAACACAATCCATACTTCATCATCTGTTAGAAAGTGCTCTTCTTTATTAGCTGCACACAGGCACTGGGAAAACTAAACAGAGTTAAGTCACGTTACTTTGTGCCTCCTGGTTTTATTATTTCTAATAAAACACTACCTACAGTTATATGTCAGCTCTGTAAATATCCGTTATAGCTGCGTTATTCCAGACAAGCTTACCTTGTACGCTCTCTGGTATTCCCAGTGTCTTCTGTACATCTCTACAGATCTTAGAGAGGCAATATTGAAACTCCTCGTCGCAATCGTGTTTTTTGTTGCCACAGGTATCGTAACACCTGTCATGTTGATTGCAGCATTTTGTCATTGAAGGAATGCCAATGTCAAACTGAGAAGCAAGTTATAATAGTTAGCATTCCTTGAGAACAGTGGTGAGACTTGTTATTATTATTATTTTTAGTGTACTAGAAGATGAAATTGTGTCTCCTGCGGGAAACTCATGTATTCTGTGGTTTTTATATTGAAATTTTATATTGTGAACCACCCTGAGATCTGCAGATGAAGGCTGGTATATAAATATTAACAACAACTCAGAACCAGCTAGAAGAGGGATGAATTTATGCCCCAAATATATATCAAGAAGTTAATAAAACAGATCAAGTCTTAAAGGAGAATTTTAATAAACCAAATAAAGAAAAGCCCACAGGAAATTTAAGATGGAAATTGGAAAAGGATTTTCATCAGAGAAACCAAATTATAAAAGTTTCTCTAAAGCAGTCATGGGAGCAAAGATATTGTTGGATTTGAGCTCCCATCAGCCTCAGCCAGCATAGCCAATGGTTAGTGATGGTGGCAGATGTAGTCTAAAACATCTGGAGGATCACACATCTTAAAGTACCGGTAACTAGGAAAAGGGGACCCCAGTTACTCAGTCTGGAGAAACTAAACATGGCACTTTGTTGTTCTAGTTAAGCATATATTTCAGAGGAGCAGAAACCTAGAATTTGCACATTCAGAGACAAACTGATAATCTCATAGGGGTCAGAGAGGACTTTTTGAGCATATTGGCTGATAATCTTGTAATGTGGTTTCCTGTAACAAAATTTACTAGCTTTTGCTGTACAGGATAGTTCTATTATCAGATTCTCAATGCATCCTGCACCCCACCTAATACCCTCAGCAAAAAAAGAAAGGAAGAAAGAGAGTTGATCTGTCTACAGGACTAAGAGACAGCCTTTGCACAACAGGAGCATTTAGGCTGGCAGAATAAGGGGTAGATGTCTTGACATGTGAGATGACAATGCAGGAGAAACAAGTCCACAGTGCTTCTTCATGCAGTACATGGTTAAACTATGGAATTCGGATTCATGGGAGGCACTGATCCATGATCAACCTAGATGGCTTTTAAAGAGGACTGGACAAAGCCATGGAGGGGAACGCTACTGATGATGGCAGTAATGCTTCAGAATACCAGTTACTGGAAAACACAGCAGTGAAGAGTGCTGTTGCGTTCAAGCCTTGCTTGTGCGTTTCCCACAAGCATCTGGTTGGGCCACTGTGAGAATAGGATGCTAAACTAAATGGGTCATTGGCAAGGCCCAGCAGGCTCTTCTTATGTGTTGTGGGATGGGATTCAGCTGGTGGAGTTGGCTGAATGCGGACAAGGTGCTGGCAGCTTAGACGCCTAACTACCGGTACATTTTCTCTAGACTTCTGCACCTCTTGGCTTACTGAATCTAGCAAAGAGGGTTTGACTAGTTGGGTGCAAAGTGTGGTTAATGCTTCAATGCACGAACAGGTGGTCCCTGCAGCCTTGAAAGAGGCAGTGGTGTCACTACTTATAAGGAACCAGCTGTGGACCCCTTGGACTGGAATAACTACTGACCAATCACAAATAACCCCTTTCTGGGGAAGGTAGTGGAGAGAGTAGTGGTGGAACAGCTGAAAACCTTATTGTATAACATAATCCCAATGTGGGTTCGGGCCTGGCCATGTAACTTTTTGTGCTAAAGCACCTGCACAAAGCATTTTTGTTTATCAAAGCCTATCTAGACACAGATGTTGACTAGTTCAATCTTTTTCCTGTTAATTTTAATTATCTTTAAATGTTTAAAATCATTATAAACTGTTTTTATTGTATTATCTGTAAATCATTTAGAAGTTTTACTACAATCAAGTGGAATAAAATTTAATAAATAATAATAATAATAATAATAATAATAATAATAATAACAACAACTGGCCACGGTCTCAGAATGAAGGTTCTCATATTTTAGACCTATAGTTCTGAGGCTGCGAAGACTCCTCTTTGGATACTGAGATATTTAGTTTTTAAAATTTTACAAAAGCGATTTTGAGAGAATAATCACAACACTTTGTGCTTAGACAAAAACAGTAGCCTACTATTTACATAAACTAGTTACACATTTACTATTTATATATTACAGTCTCTCCATATAAATGTGAGTGTTTTCATAAATTTAATATAGGTTAATCCAGTTACATTGCCATTTAAGCATCTTATCCAAACACAGATGTAGCTAGTGAGCAGGAGGAAGTACTTGATAAGAAGATACTTACGTGAACTCCAAAAAGAGGAGAGCCGCAGCCGTTGGGTGGCGAAGGCTTATAGCCATAGCGAGGTAAAGGCTTATATCCTGTAAAATATAAAGAATTCTGAATACTCAACATGTTTCATTTCCACCTGATTAGATGTCTCAAGGCAAGAGCCCGTGAATAATATCCAACTGGTACAGATGTATATAAATTATCTGTACTGCAGAATTCAATAAAATAACCCAGTATAAGCTGTTATATACAGTTGTGTTTGGAGACTTTAGCGTAAGGAAAATTAATTTATTACTACATTTAGATTCCACCTTTCCTCCAAGGATTTCAAAGGGGAGTCCACATTTTATCTTCACAAAAACCCAGTGTTGGTTAGGCTGAGATGTGGTGATTGACTAAAGGTCACCCAGGGAGGATCATGGCTGAGTGAGGAAGTGAATCCTCACCTACCAGGTCCTAGCCCAACTCTAACCACTACACCATTAACTTGGAACTATTCTGTACTAAGGGAGCAATCCTATGTTCCCTGGGAGGGCAGCTGAGTGGGGTGGGGAGGGACAGGATGATGGAGATCTTTCTCCCTGGGGGTGGAGAGGTGTTCCTATGGCAACAGAAGAAAGCTCTGCTGCTGTTACTGGTCCACCATACCCAGACATAAGCTGTTTTATGGGGATGTCAGAGGCTGTGAATCATCAGGATCCTAATTCCCCTCATGTGGCCCTCAAGAGGTTGCCCAGAAGGGAATATGGCCCTTGAGTTGAAAAAACCTTTCTTGCTCCTCCAGAAGTGGCATCTCCTGCATCACAGAATCTCCCTTCCCTTAGGATTATTTAAAAAGATGCATTTCTCAAAACACATAGGATATCTAACAATTTAGGGAAAAGGTATACAACCATAGTTATGAAGTTATATTTTTCAGCAACACCATTTCAAAAGTAGCTAGTTTTCCACATAGCGATAAACAACTACTTGACATTCAGAAGACATCTTAAGGCAGCCCTGTTCAGGGAAGTTTTTAATGTGTGATATTTTAGTGTATTTTTGGTTTCTGTGGAAGCCGCCCAGAGTGGCTGGGGAAACCCAGCCAGATGGGCGGGGTACAAATAAATTATTATTATTATTATTATTATTATTATTATTGCCATCTTCTCATCTCCTTGACCAGAGATAACTGGGGGTAAACCTCAATCAAACTGGTTTTAAAAACTGGGCTCCAGCTGGTTAACCTGAACTTTCAGTGCTGATGAAAGAAGAATGGATTATTTTACACAATGATTTCCAAATACTTCAATCCACAGTTTATCAAAGTGGTGCCTAAACACAGAAGGATGTATTTATAAAAGCTTAGTCTTTCTGTAATATAATCATTTGGCACCATTACAAGTTAACCTCAGACCTGACAACACTAAGAAGCACTCTGCTGGATTTGATCAAAGGCCCATCTAGTCCAGCATCCAAAACAAAGAGAACTTTGAGGTCATGATAAAACAACCAACAATACTAACACAGGCTTATTAAGCATCCAGGAACCAAGACAACAATGCACTAATCTTTACAGTCAACATTTTAAAAGGTCACTGTTGTTGGCTAGCATCACAAGTGAGATCCTACGGACGCATGTAAGTATGCAAAGCTTCAAGATTGAACTGCCATAAGGTTGGCAAACGTATTTTAAGCTGCAGCTTTTACTCCTTTACATAGAATATGCCCCATTAAAGCTCAGTAGAACTTACAGGTCTGCATCTTTCAACCAAATGGACCCAGTGTGCACCTTCTGATCTAAAGAGAGTTTATTTATAACATTTATACGCCAGTGCGGCATGATAGTTACAATGTTGGACTAGGACCTGGGAGATCAGGGTTCGAATCCCCACTCTGCCATGAAGCTCAATGGGTTACCACGGGCCAGTCACCATCACTTAGCCTAACCTACCTCACACCATTGTTGTGAGGATGAAATGGGAAGCAGAACAATGTACACCACCTTGAGATTATTGGAAGATAAAGGTAATAAATAAAAAATACCTTGCCTTCTGGAACCCAAGGAGGTACATACAGGAGATCCCTTATCTGATGCACCTTCTAAACCGTTTAGACTTGAACCTAACACTTTTAAGATTCGGTAAAAAAAAGGTAAAGGTACCCCTTACCATTAGGTCCAGTTGCGAACGACTCTGGGGTTGTGGCGCCCATCTCGCTCTATAGGCCAAGGGAGCCGGCGTTTGCCCGCAGCTTCCGGGTCATGTGGCCAGCATGACAAAGCCGCTTCTGGCGAACCAGAGCAGGGCATGGAAGTTCCATTTACCTTCCTGCCGGAGTGGTACCTATTTATCTACTTGCACTTTGACGTGCTTTCGAACTGCTAGGTGGGCAGGAGCTGGGACTGGTACCAACCGGGAATTACCGTGTTAACCTCCCTCCCGCTCTCCCCACTTCTTTAGGACACTATCGGCATTACCATCGCTGCACTTATACTGACAGAGCCCATCCTCTCCTCCCAGGAGATCCAAAGCAGCATTCAGGTAAGTGTCGATCTTGTGGACGCCGTTCCTGATGGTCTTCAGCGTCATCCTCCAGTCCGGGGTCTGGGCCTCCTGGCACTGGGCGGGCAGGGGCCGCATCCCCAGCAAGCCGCAGGTCACGAGAAGCGGCAGCAGGGCCCGGCTCATCGTCTCTGCCGAGCGCGCAGGGGCCAGAGTGCTAGAACGCCGCCCACGCGCGGCGCAACGGAGCTCCACGGATTCGGAGGGCTCGGGAGGGAGGCGCGCACGCTGCCGGGCCGGCTAGTCTCCCGTTCCTCCCGCGGGCAGCTGCATTACGCACGCACAGTCGCCGCCGCAGGCAGCCGCCTCCCCTCCACGGCGCTTACCGCTCGGAGGCCACGGAAGCGCTACCATCCCGGACAAGCCCCTCCGGTCCCTGTTTGCAGCGCGCCGTCCGCTTCCAGCAGCCCCGCCTCAGTCGCGCTCGCGTCAGGGCGCTTCGGGCGCAGAGAAGGAAAGGGGGCGCGGCTAGCGCTCTCCCGGTAGGGAAAGAGGTCGTGGCGGTTGGAGGTAGGCGGTGCGCGGTGGGCAGGCGCTTGAAGCTCTTCCAGAGGCCTTAAAGGAAAAGCGCGCGTTCTTTCCCTGGATCCCACGGCTTCCACTTCGGGGGTGGGTGGGTGACGGACCTGTATTACGGGGACAAAAGTCACCTTTCCCTCCCCACTGCGGGCGCAACCGCGCTCGATAGAGAGCGCACGGATGAGCGAATGTAGTTGTTCTGCCTCCACCGCCTTGCCTGAGCTCTTTTCACGCCACGCTGTTTCTATTTTTCTTTTGGGGCTAGCTACCACAATTGGTAGAGTCTCTGGCTGAGGGGAAAGACACAGAAAAATGGTTTGGGAGGAGCTAAATCCTTATTCTGGAGGTATACATTTAATGCGCGATAAATACAACTCTGGACAGAACAGGCTTTTGCTTTTCTTTTACTGTAAATGATTTTTTGCATTAAAAAAAAAAATTTTATACGTGTGTGTATTTAAAGTTGTCAGCCCTAAACGATAGCATTTTTAAACTACATAGTGACTGTGAAACAATTCTAGAAACTGAACTATCCCTATTTAAGTGCAATAGATGAGTATTTCACTCTTTCCCTTCCAAGAAGCTGTTGGTGACTTAAACAGCCCAATTTCCTCCCCTTGTGTTGTCTATGTTCTTCCTAACATTTTGTGTCCAAAGTACTATGAACCATAAACTTGCACACACAGTCTGGCCAGTTTCTGATTTCTTTAATTCCCCAGAGCCACACAATCCTCACCACTTTCTAGGCTGAAATTTCAGCAGCCTGCAACTCAATAGATATTGTCACGAGGCTTTACAATTTATTTTTCCCTTTAATTCACAAACTTCTAACTGCATGTGCGAACTTCTAATTGCAATGAGCTAGTAAGTTCTAATTACCTTCACTGAGTCCCCTTTGCACTGGTGGCTGCCTCTGAATATGTATTGTGACCAGGGAATTGACACAGAGTCCTACAGAGAACATGTTGGGCTGGTAGGCTTGTCCTTGGGTCTCATCTCCAGGAAAGCAATGCCATTGTCGTATGTCAAAGTTCTCATGAACTATTACTCTGTTTAAAGCAAATGGTTCTGTTGGGGAAAGGCTTACCACTCCAGTCAAGATTTTATAAGTATGCACATTTCCCCCCCTGCAAAGAAGAAAAGGGTTTTAAAAGTGCAAGCAAATGTGTAAACTTTGGCTTAGTATAAATCTGAAACATAGTCAAATACTTCATATGCACAGGTGTCCACTTTTAGCAGTAGTATCCTGCCCAGTTTTCTGGGGCTTTCTGAAATTAATTAGATGAGGAAAGATTATACATCTGAGACACAGCAATAATAGTTGAGTCCTGACTGCATATGCTAATAGATCAGTGTGGGTGGCTGACTTAAAGCAAGATTTGCTTCTGTGCACTGGTATGCTTTCAAACTGCTAGGTTGGCAGGAGCTGGGACAAAGCAATGGGAGCTCACCCTGTTGTGCAGATTCGAACTGCCAACCTTGTGATCGGCAAGCCCATGAGGCTCGGTGGTTTAGACCACAGCGCCACCCACGTTCCTTTTACCTATGCTTCTGTGTCTATATTTGAGGTGGTATAGAGCCTATATTGTATAGACCCGTGTTGTGCTTTGTTTGACAATGGAGAACTGGTAGAATGTGTAGTGTAGATGGAGCCATACAGCACCAAGGCCTAAAAGGCCACTTTGTTCTGTATCTTGATGCAAGGCAAGGCCACCTGCCCACCATTCCCATTTGAGAGTTGCCCAAGCCTAACAGTGTGCAGATGTCAAAACCCAACAGCCCCCCGAATATAAACAATAGCTGTCAACCGTCCCTTATTTGGCGGGAAACCCCCTTATCCCAGCGCCGTGTCCCGCTGCTGTCCCTTACTGATGATGTCCCTTAAATTTCCCTGGTTTCATGCTCTCCCGGCTCAGGAGGGAAGCAGCGGCTCGGGGTCCTCCACTGTGAGAGCGCGTGCACGAGCTGCCGCATCTCCATCTCTTCCTTTTCCTGCTGAGGGGCGTGTCGTGAGGAGCTGGATGGCGGCGGGTGGGCAGGCAGCCCCTCTCTTGCGAGACTTCTGCCGCGCTGCCAGGGGAAGCCGGAGGTGGTGGCGACGGCGGTGGCTGAGGAGGCGGCCTGAGGGAGGAGGAAGAGGAGGGGATGGGGAGGGATGCAGAAGTGCGGCGCTTCAGTGGCAGCCACGGCACCGCAACCGCCTCATGCCTGGCTCGCGGGCGGCGTGGGCGAGAGTCTCTCTCCCTCCCTCCCTCTCTCTTGGGTGGGGAAGGGCCGATGGAACTCCTCGCACCAGGACGACGGCAGCCCCGACGTGCTGCTTAGCATACCCTCCAACCAGTGCAGCATCTTAATGTAGTGATTTCCCCCTCTGCATCCCTTTCATAACTCTTTCATAACTGCAAAACAGCATGGCTCCATCAGTGCCGGATTTATGTATAAGCTAAGCAAAATCCCTTATTTTGGCTGCTGATCCCTTATTTTCAAGGCTGCTGGTCCCTTATTTTCAAATCTGTAAGTTGACAGCTATGATATAAACTCAACTGCAGTTCACTGTGGTCCATTCACCTCTAGTGGCCTCAGCTGCTTTAGCTAGCTATATTAAAGGCTTGAATCATGTTCTGCATTTGCTGGCTTCTGAAGGTTAGAATAATGATAACCTAGTTGAGGAACATTCCCCAGAGCCTTCTTGCTCATTGGAGGAGTCTGAAGTCTACTCCTCTGAGTCTGGGTGGTGACAACAGTGTTGTTGTTTTGATACCACCCTGCCATCTGAGGATCACAGGGCAGTTTACAGTACTTCCCTGGGTTTTATCAGGTTGGGTGCAGGATCCAAGCATAAGTCCTCCCCTTAAATCAGGCTCTGATTTTTCTTCTGAGCTACTGCTGCATAACTAAATCCCTGAAGTTTATTGGCCCAAGGCATTTTTATTGGTCCATGCATTTTTGGAACAATAGGGAAAATAGCACCTAAACAGGACTTCAGAGTTTTAAGGATTCTGCAACTGTTTGAAATGTTTGAAAATAGTCTGTACAGTAAGATACCTGAATATTCTCCGTCCATAGCTATTGTGCCATCTTGTGTACGGTGGAGCCTGCTTAGCAAATCTCAATACAAAACCCACAATAAAAACAAACATTTCCTTGGTGGTATGCATCACTTTTATTTGAATATACAATGAGTACAAATAAATGCAGTAACTGTTTAAAGAAGTACACATACTTTAAAATTTATTAAATGCAAAATTTCACAACTCATAACTGATGATCTTTCACAGCATAATCCAACCAGAGCTGAGCACTTCTAACTTTCACAGATGAGAGATGTGAAATCAGTGGCCTTCCACATGTTAATGGACTACAAATCCCATCAATCCTGACTGCTGGCCATGCTGGCTGGGGCTAATGGGAACTGGAGCCTGAAACATCTGGAGGGCCAAAGGTTCCTTCCCCATCCCTGCCACAGTTTTCAGCAAGCTTAAAGCTACAACTGCACACATATTTACTTGGGAGTAAGTTACATCTTCTGAGTAAACTTGATCGTGCCATACATTTCTTTCATTGAAACCACTAGGACAATGCTTCACTTTGGCTGGATTGAGCCACAAGTTCTGCAGCCTATCTTTAGTTATTGCCAAGGCAAAAAGAGGTAATATTTACATTCCAAATCACATTCCAAATCACAAGTTATATCGCGAAATGAGATTCAGTCCAGTGTGACGGCCAATCCAATTGAAATAATGTGCCACTTTTGTATAAACCCCAGGGTGTCCTTTTTCGCCACAATTTTCACCCCAGCTCACAACACCCCAAACATACCCCACATTATTAGAGTCAAAACAAACTAAGGGTCCTCCTGAGTCACCTTTACAGGAATCCACAGAGCCATCATGCGTTCCTGAAAAGAGAAAAACAAAGTATTTTTGTTACAGATGCCCTCACCCACAACAAAGGCAATTATGGGTGCAGTTTCATTCCCAAACTATTCTATTGATACTGGATACTGTCAAAATAGAGTAGAAAGCCCAAAGTGTGTGTATGACTATGGCTCTGTGGTGTTGTTTTATCTTGTCTATAGCTCAGGCATTTGTTTTTTGCCCATTTGGGACAATTAATCAATTCCCCCATATCCAGAGCCTGAGTTCATTGAGCCTGATCCTTGTCAAAGACTGACATAATTATTCAGTGAACTGGTGTTATTCTGGATAATATCTTTAAATGCTGGTGATTTAGGGAGCAATCCAAACTCCTACTAGTCCAGTGGAGTCACATGGAGCAATGGGGCCATGGCTGCATCCACAGCCCTGCCATGCATGAAGCAGAAGGGAGCAGGCAGATAAACATCCCCTCCTGTTAACTTCTTAATACTCATGTGGGGAGCTATATGTGTGTTTGTTTTGTCTCCGGCACTGATATGTGTTGACCCGTCTCTGCTTACTTAATACTGTCTCATGAGTTTGCATCCAGATGGGTGTCAAAAATGATACAGTTCATATTCACCTGCACATTCCATGCCTTCAAAGTACCGGTTCCCATAGATTTCAGAGCAGTTTTCCATTAGATAAATGTACCCCCACTTAAGACCAAATTGCCTTGAAAACTCTAAAGAAGAAATAAATAACAGTTGGTGTTTCATTTTACCATTTATTAATTGTTCACAATTCAGTACTTTCATTCACCGTCCATAAACTTATCCCATTTCAACCGTGGTCAGGTTAATCTGATTTTTTTAAGTATCTGATGAGACTCTTCCAGTGCAGGACAAAACAACTTGCATTTTTTAAAAAAGTGAAAATTTCACATAAATTTTAAAAAGTGAAAAATTTCACATAAATTTTAAAAAGTGAAAAAATTCACATAAATTTCATTTAAGTCACTGAATGAAGGGGTTGTGAAGACTTGGCCAACATGGACTGCTGAACCCGTTAGCAACAGTTATCTCCAAACAGCTCACGCTGTGCTAGCTGAAACTTGAAAAGACTCCCAAATCCATCTGCAGATTTCACCCATGAGAATTTCACAGGCGTTTTCTTTCCCCTTTGATAATTTTGGAATGTAATTTCTTATGCCTTGATGGAGGATGGAGGGGGGAGGGAGAAGAGGGGGAGACAAGTTCAGCAGTATACTAGCTGAGACCAACAGGAAATGCTAGTGAAACAGCTTTTAATGAGCTGCTATAAAGAAGAGTTGAAAGGAAGTGCTTTTGTAGCTTAGCAAAGTTTGAGGCCAGAAGAGATGAGGAAATTGTAACCATAATTTAAAAAAGTAATTAGCCTATTCCATTTACCTTCATTGAGTCCCCAGCCAGACACTTTGCACTGGTGGCCACCTTTGAACATGTATTTTGACCAAGGGACACAGACTGGCGAAGAGTCCACAGGGTAACATGTTGGGCTGTTCGTGTCCTTGGGTTTCATCTCCATCAAAGCAATGTCATTTTCATATGTTTTGGTGTTGTACTTCTCGTGAACTATTACTTTAACTACTTGAAATGCTTCTATTATACCTTCCTGTACTACTGTGTTCAGCATTCCAGTCCACACCTGATAGGTATGTGCACGGTTCTCTCTGCAAAGAAGAAATGTGTTTCAAAGAGTGCAAGCGGAAATACAAACTTTGGGTTATGAAAAATTTCCCAGCTAATTAATCAAGTAGTCAAATGGATTATATACACAAGCGCCCACTTTTAGCAATAGGCTCCTGCACAGTTTTCCGTGCTTTTATGAAATCCATTAGATGAGAAAAGCTGAGGTGCATCTGAGATACAGCAAAAATAGCTGAGGCCTGGCTACATGTTTGTTTGTTTGTTTATTTATTTATTTATTTTTGCATTCATTTTAAGATTTATTTTTTTAAAACCACTTAATTATTTGCATTTCTTAAAATAAAAAAAACCAAAGAAACTGGGACAATCAAACAATTAAAAAATCACAATAAAACCAAAATGCCAGCTGGAACAAGAAAGTCTTCAGTCATGAACCTGAGGTTCAACAGAGAGTGTGTCTCTCTAATTTCAGTTGCGAGGGAGTTCAACAGTCTTGAGCTCACTCTGCTGAATGTACAGCTTCTACTAGTTATGAGCTGTGGGTCTGAGCCATGGGGGACCACCAACAGAGATTCCCCCAAAGATCTCAAAGAATTTCGGGGGGGGGTATTTCTTTTTTTATTTACATGATGGGGGGGGACTGTCCCTCCTGCGCCCCCCCCGGCTACACCTATGTCAATTAAGTCAATATAGAACTGCTAGACGGTTGTAACATAGATGGAGCCGTGGTCGTCCCAGACCCTAAAAGTTCATTTTGTTCTGTCTCTTGCTGCAAAGCAATTCCCACTTGAGAGTCGCCAAATCCACTTACCTAACACAGTGTGCAGCCGTCAAAACCCAACAGCCCCCAATATAAACACCACCGCAGTTCACTGTTGTCCGTTCATCTTTAATGGCCACTTGCCAAGGAAATTCATCCTGCAAATACATGAGGCATGATGTTACACTTTTCTACACCAGTTCTACTACCAATATTACCTGTGTCTATCTATGTTTGTGGTCTCCAGATGGAACTGGAAGTAGGAGCAAAAATCACTGTTGGTTGACAAAGTAGATATTTATTTCAGAACCTACTGTTTCTACTCTACCTTCTTCAGGAAAAGTCAGAGAAACAAAGGTTCAGCATTTTGATGTGCTGCTGCTTCTTTTCCTCTTTCGTCTATTCCACTTTTTTGGTTCGTACTTCTAGTTGGATTTTTAAAAATAATATTTGATGTACTAAAATGTCCTATAGCAAAAAAATCCACGATAGGCCCTTAACTGGAGTGTTTCACTTGTTTCAACTGTACTGCCGATTCAGATTCCCTAGCTTATGATTGGAGGGAGGGAAGGTTGAGAAGTAGGAAAGGGGAGAAAATATATTGCTGTGCAATATTTTAAAAGACTGAAAATTAACTCTTCGATTTCCTACTTTATACTCAAAAAGCTTATGCTTCACCATAGATTTCTAGGTTGTTTTATCCATTGTCACCGTTCCTGCAGGTCTAAAAAATGCATTAAAAACACAGACTTGATATTACTCAACAGACTCAACATTACAGTGCTACCTCGGGTTAAGTACTTAATTCGTTCCGCAGGTCCGTTCTTAACCTGAAACTGTTCTTAACCTGAAGCACCACTTTAGCTAATGGGGCCTCCTGCTGCTGCCGCACCGCCAGAGCACGATTTCTGTCCTCATCCTGAAGCAAAGTTCTTAACCCGAGGTACTATTTCTGGGTTAGCGGAGTCTGTAACCTGAAGCGTATGTAACCTGAAGTGTATGTAACCCGAGGTACCACTGTATAGTGCCTGTATTGTTAGCTACACCTGATTTTCCTTTTACCTTTCCTGCAGTGAATCCACCTACGATTCGCTTCCGACGAGTAGCCGTATGGTTTGCAATGCCGCACTGTAATTGGGGTAACAATGTTTTGATCTTTCTTCTTTCTTTAACAAAAGAGATAAGCAGTGTCATGCTTGCAACTCGTTCACTTGCATTCGTTGAAATAAACTACTTTGTGGTTTGTTTTTTATGACTTCTTTGGGCATTTAGATTACATACGTGCATTGATGATAATTGAACAAAGGAGTCGGGTGCACTGGCAAACTGCACCTCCTTTGGAACATCACATCCCCTGTTCTTCCAGTCCTTCACAAGATGGATTGTGAAGTTCTGAACTGGGGAGCTGCCCCTTATCGTGGAGGCCGCCTGTGCAATCTAGAGCCCCACATATTAGGGATAATTGCTTGCAAAAATGCACATTTTAGAGGAGGTGCACCCAAAAATGTGTATAAATTTTTATACCTACTTTTCCTTTGTTTAAAAAAATTGCAAACTAATGCAGAAATTGGGTGTACTGAAGACTGGAAAAATGAGAAACCAAAACCAGCAGATTCACCTAAGCCTACATAATAATTCTCTTTAAGCATATATCCTCCAACATCTTGGAGACCAAAACCATGATGCTCTTTTTCTGGTCTCATGAGACCAAAAACCAAGCGGCTTTCATTCCGGCTCTCTGGCACAAGTCTACTGACTCTTGCCAGAGTGCCAGACCAAAAAATGGGACATTCCAGGATCCAATCAGAAGTCGGGATTGGCTGTTGTAATTCTGGGATATCCCGCTTAAATCAGGACTGTTGAGCGAATGTAAGCAACTTTTTAAAAGGTTTCCATTCAGGGAGTTGGTGCGTGGCACTTTCCTGAGAAAAGAATAAAGACTCAGGGGTTTCAAGGCCAGCTCTTTCGTTTGATTGTTGTTTTCAAAGGTGGAAAGGGGGTTGTTAAGCAACATACTCCTGTGTAGCCTTGAAGGCTTCATCCTCCGTTCATATATTCCTGTGCTTTACACAGCTGTTCATGTGAGCAGCTTCCAGTACATTTCTGACAGCACACTGTCAAAAGTGCCCCAGAAGAGGTGATAAACCAGCATGGAAAATCACATGGAAAAGCATGATTTGACACAAGCAGCTTCCCCATGAAGTAGTTTCCCATTTTCAAGAGCGATTAGTGAATGCATGTAATAAGTTCCATTGAGCAAAGCAGACTTCACTTATGATTAAGCATGCATAGGACTCGACTGCTGAATCAGTCCAAGCAATTGTCATATTGTCTATTGATGATGATATAGTGTATTTACCTTCATCCATAGACTGTTCAGCGACTTCTGTTCCTTCTGAAATAAAATAACTACTTTAAATTATTGTAACTGAAAACCTAGTTTCAGATCCCTAAACCTATGAACATTTTGAACTGATCCCCGCAGCTGAGCCTTCACAGCTCTTTGATCTATACAGCAATTGCAAGTGAAAATGTTTATTTTCATGCTGCAAAGAACTTAGTGATGTCCATGAAATAATATCAAAACACAAAATGTTACCTCTTGCATTTTGTTGAGCTCTTCTATTGCCTATTTAAAACATACACACATATTATATATAAGTAGGGTGTACACAGGGGGAAAAAAACATACACCAATGCACACTATGCTATGAATTTGCTGTATATTGGGGTTTGAGAATCTAGATGTTGGACGTCCAATAACGCCTGCATCAGACTTGACCATTGGCTATGCTAGTATAACCTTCCAGGTTTAGCCTTGCAGGGGTGAAGTTCTTGAAGAGTTCTTGAAGAGAGCTGGGAAGCCAAATAAGATTATAGGGTAGATCACCCTGTACAACTTAAATTGCATTTTCTTATATGCATGAGTAATTAGCATGGGGTTGCAGTGTCCGTTCTCGCAGAGCTGCAATTTGTAAGTTGCCAATTGCCATTGTCCTCTCATTGTGGGACTAAAGCTGATTGCAGAGAGCAACTCGGAAGCCTTCTGCGCCTTGGTAGACAAGAGCAGCCTCTACCAACCTTGGGTTTCCAGATGTTGTTAAACTACAACTCTCATCAGCCCCAGCCAGCATGGCCCAATGGTCAAGGATGATGAGCACTGTAGTACAGCAACATTTGAGGACCCAAGTTTGAGAATAGACAGAGGAACATTTAAATGGGCTGATCACAAAATTTGCAAGCAATAATATATACATTTTCTCTTCTGACTCAGAGAGACCATTGATTGCATTGTTCTTTTTTCAAATACTATAGTTTCAAATAGTGCATTTATTTATTTGTGGGGAAACTGTTGTATTGCTCTGTATAACTGTGGTTCCATGAATGGGCTGTTTTTTTCTGTGCTATTGCTGCCCAATAAGCTGAATTATAAAGAACAGGTCACTCCTGAGAGAACCCTGGGAGAAACATAAGAAGAAAGTTATAAAATAATATATATATAAAAATTACCCGTGTTTTCATTGTCTTCAGATCTTTTTTTATCACCTATTTAAAACATGCACATATACATAAAATAAGAAAGGTGAACACAGAAAAAAACCAATCCACCAACAAGCAATGAATTAGACTGGCTTCCATTATATTAAGGGTCTATAGTCCTGCAGATGTTGTTAAACTCCACCTCTAAATTGGAAGGATTGTAGGGAGTGGCTCAAAACTACACATGAACCTTGCTCAGTAATACGGATGACTAAGGGCCAAAGTAGACGTTGGGAATCCCTATTAGCTTTCCTCCTAGGGCTAATAGCAGTTGTGCTGATGGGGTGATTTCTTTCTCTTTGTGCTTCACTTGCTATTAATTTTTCTAGCATCATGTTTAATATGGACCTAGGCTCCATTCACTCCTTTTGCTCTGCAGGGTGAAGTGACTAGACAAGCATGATATGTAGATCAGACACATGCTCACTTTTTGAAGAATTTTAAATGAAATTGTTAATAGTTGGATGGGTAGGGCTGCATTGCAGTGATCGTATAACTTCTATTGTGTTTTATATAGATATAGATACATACATACTTTTCTACCATGATACCCAAGGTGGTTTACATTTTTAAAAAAATGTGATTAAATTATGATTCATTACGATTATCACATTATTATGATTATGTCCTATTGCTGTGGACTGCTTTGTGCACAAATCTATTTGTGGAAAATGCAGAATATTGAACGGGGATGATTGCCTTTGTTGAGAAAATGCATAGATAAGCTTGCAAACTGCTTCTGCTTCTACTATGAGAATGAGAAGGGTTTGGTTTTCAATTACTGTAGTACAAATCAACCTGCGATAGCCACCTGGGAAGGTGACATGTGTTTTTAGCTTACTGTTAATTTTAATTATATTTTGAACTTTTAAAAATAGCTGTTTTCAGCTGCCATTTATTGACAATGCCGCTATTAATGTTTCGTTTCGTTTTTGTAAATTGTTTAGGGGTTCTTTTTACAATAGAGAGGTATATATTTTTGTTAAATAAACAGAAAGCATTGCCTTTATGAGCCCCATTGAAATGAATGATGCTCATTTTCTTGAGCTGTTCTCTGTGTTTTTAGCTACAACAACCTCTTTGGATGGGGCGGGCTGTACATCTAAGATGAACAAAAAGGCAGCTGCAAATTATATATCAGTAAGTGGAGCACAAACTTCAAATCAAGTAAGCTATTAGGTTACAGAAAGCATCCCTCTCCCCCTTTCAAACTGCAATGTTGTACTGAGGTCCAGCGCCGAGGGCCTTCTGGCGGTTCCCTCAGTGCAAGAAGCAAAGCTGCAGGGAACCAGGCAGAGGGCCTTCTCGGTAGTGGCGCCCACCCTGTGGAACACCCTCCCATCAGATGTCAAAGCGATATACAACTACCTGACATTCAGAAGACATCTTAAGGCAGCCCTGTTCAGGGAAGTTTTTAATGTGTGACATTTTAGTGTATTTTTGGTCTCTGTAGAAGCCGCCCAGAGTGGCTGGGAAAACCCAGCCAGATGGGCGGGGTACAAATAATAAGTTGTTGTTATTATTATTAATTATTATTATTATTATTATTATTATTATGTGGGAGCACTCCGTTTAGGTTTTGATATTGCTCGTCTGTTAATGAGGGACAAGTGGACATGAAGGATGGGCTGTGCAGTGGTCTCAGATATCACCACAATTTGAGCTAGCTAGAATGTTCTAAGCTTATCCAAACCCATTACATAGTGTGTGTGTGTGGGGGGGGATTATTGTCCGAATGCAGCCAGAAATAAATAGAAAGGTATACTCTTACACTGTGAGCGAGTCTCATCTTCTCCTGTTAAACAGTCCACTTCATTGTTACAGATGTATTTTCTTGGAATACACACATCTGAATGACAGTGGAAGCTTTTCCCCCTACATGCTATCGGAAAGAGATCAGTCAGAATATAAAACACAAAATGGTACATCAATAGCACAGTGGTTTAAGGCCTAAGCACAAAGAATTGTAGAGTTGGAAGGGAACATGTGGGTCATCTAGTCCAATCACCTACAATGCGGGAATCTTTTTGCACAAACCCGAGATTATGAGTCTCATGCTCTACTGATTGAACCATTCAGTTATTTTTCAAAATTAAGCAATGTAACTTTGAAATATTCTATATAATTTTTGGAAATGACAGCTTTTCTGCTCCTTTGTGTGTATAAAGTTGAATGCTATTCTGTCTTTTTTGGGAGCAATGAAAACACCCCCACCCCATCCCTTATGTTCATGGTACTGTTTTTACTTCTGATCCATTGATTTTGATTGGTGAAGCTTTTGTTTGCTTTGTTGTAAGCCACCTTGGGGAATTTTGAGTTAAAGTTGGTATATAAATCTAACTGATACCTAACATGACCGAAGAAATATGACTTGAAACTTTTAACCTTTTGCTCTTAAGCAGAGTTTAGAGCAATGATGTGTACAAGCATTTGTTTGACAAACATATACAGTGGTACCTCGCAAGACGAATGCCTCGCAAGACGAAAAACGCGCAAGACGAAAGAGTTTTCCATTTTTTGAGTCGTTCCGCAAGACGAATTTCCCTATGGGCTTGCTTCGCAAGACGAAACGTCTTGCAAGTTCTTGCGAGTTTGTTTCCTTTTTCTTAAAGCCGCTAAGCCGCTAATAGCCGCTAAGCAGCTAATAGCCGTGCTTCGCAAGACGAAAAAACCGCAAGACGAAGAGACTCGCGGAACGGATTAATTTCGTCTTGCGAAGCACCACTGTAGCTTTAAAGCATCTTTCAGAACCATTTGTGTGTATATGACTGATAATACACACAAAAAAGAATGGTTACATAGTATAGAGCATACCTTTGCAACATACTTCATCACTTAAGTCTCCACAGTCGTTGACGCCATTGCATGTCTTAAAGGAAAGGATGCATTTTCTATTGACACAACGGAATTCTTTTGGCGAACATTCTGTCAAGTGGGATGAGAAACAAATAATGTTTTGGTTAGATATTCTTCAGCAGAAAAAGAAATACTGTATAGAAATCCATAGGATTGTTTGCTGGGATGGGTGCACAGTAGCTGAAGGCATGAAACTATTGTGTTCAGCATAATTGTCTGCCTCTGGTTTAATTATTAAGAGCATTTCTATGTTTCCTTTCCATCAGTGACAAATCCAAGACAGCAAACAAAAAGATGAATTCAGCATAGCATTCACAAGGATTTAAAAAACAAAAAAGAGATTTAAAACTGTATGTTGTGGGGAGGGGAACAGGATCATAGCTGTCAACATTTCCCTTTTTTAAAGGTAAATTCCCTTATTCCAAATAAGATTTCCCTTTAAAAAGGGGAAAAGTTGACAGCTATGAACAGGATCTGGCTGGCCCTGGGGAATGGGGTTCACTTTGAAAATTGAGTGGGACCTGTCACCTGACTTTATTCATGATGATGATTATTTAGTCACTTTCCTTGCAACAGTGACCCAAAGCAACTACCATTAAAACTAGCTAAAACAAACACGACCAATAAGAACCTAAAAACACAGCAGCATGTATTCAGGTAACGCAACTGACTGTGCACACTGACTGCATTGTCTCAAAGAATCCACAGTGTAGGGGCCGCTAGGGGCGCACTGGAAGATGGCCGACAATAACATCTCTCCGGCTCACACAAGGTAATTAAGAGGCTGATATGGGAGTATGCAGCCTCCCTTGTTGCCCCAAGGATATGGGGAACACTGCCTTGCCTGCTGTGGCCATAAATCACCCCCGGATTCGAAAGAAGGGGGTGAGGGCACTAGGCACAAAGCCCTTGTGTGGGTCCGGCTCTCCCGGATGCTGTCTCTGATCGCGCACTAGTTGCAGCAACTCAAAATAAACAATTAGAGAGAGAAGCAAATGCACATATTTCAAGTGAAGAACGGGAGTGAAGACTGCTAATTGAAGTGACCTCTGTGAAAGTAGAGCGACGGGTTGGATTTAACAGGAATATATCTGAAGAAGATACATCAAAGGTTCGGTATGTCGGAGCGGGACTGGATGGGGGGGGGACTTTTTTCTTTTCTTCTATGTGATTAACCAATAACCTCTCCCCAAGAAAGAACCGTCTCATAACTGACCTAAGGAGGATGATTAAAAACTGTGTGGAAATGAATTATTAACCAAAAGTTTGGCTTATGGAGATCGAGAAAAGAACAAAGGCTCTTGGAATGTAATAAAAAGGGAGTCGCCATCTTGGCAGGTTCTGTCGAAAGATTGATGATCGGGAGGAGGAAGCTATGGACTGGCAGAACCTCCTCAGAGGACTGAGAAAGGGAGTGACAGATCTGTGAAGATTAACGAGCAAAAACCCACACAGGATTACAATTTGTTTCAACCCGCTTGTGGAGACTACCAGAAGTCACAAAGAGAAAGGAAAAATATATGAAAATGACAAGAAGAGATGTGGAAAATAACAAGAAAGGATTGGATAGAATGGTGAACACTATTTGGACAGATTTGTGAACATTAAAGCAGCAGCAACAACAAGAGGATTGGATCCCTTTCGGAACTTGAAATATGGGTACCCCCAACAAAAAATTTAAAATTCGGCTTTGTAATTTGGAATTTATGTGATTTGATTTGATTTGATTGGTCTGTTAATAAAAATTATTAAAAAGAATCCACAGTGTAGTTTGACTAAATATGCAGCAACAGCAGCAGTAATTAAGAGGCAACCTTTCTATCATATTGACTGAGTGACTGCATTTATACAATGCCTTTCTGCCAAGGCTCCCAAGCTGGTTCACCTTTTTTTAAAAAGTAGAGCATGAGACTATTTCAGGGTTGCGGGTTCAAGCCCCACATTGGGCAAAAGATTCCTGCATTGCAGGGGGCTGGACTAGATGACCCTCGTGGTCCCTTCCAACTCTATGGTTCTATTCTATGAAATGGTGTAAGATATAAAGCAAAAGTGTCCTGCCATGCCAAAAGTCTCTTCTGGGCCTGATGGCATAGGATTCCTGGCCTGGGCTTTGTTGCCTCAGGGTGTTAGAATTCCTGCTCCATGATTGCAGTCATGGGATTTTTGTCTATCACATGACGGTATATGTTTTGACTCCACAAAGTGGGAAGTGACGGAGACAGGATGTTTGTGTTACTGTGTTCCGTGAAGTGGGACTATTGTCCTTTGTTCTTTTTCTCTTGGCTGTCTGATGCTAGAGAGAGAGGGAGCCATGTTGCAGTGCTCTGTGTGTGTTTATATGTAAATAAAGTAGATTAGCCAAAATGCTGAGTTACTGAAGAGAAGAATTTTGGATTTGATATCCCGCTTTATCACTACCGGAAGGAGTATCAAAGCGGCTAACAATCTCCTTTCCCTTCCTCCCCCAGAACAAACACTCTGTGAGGTGAGTGGGGCTAAGAGACTTCAGAGAAGTGTGACTGGCCCAAGGTCACCCAGCAGCTGCATGTGGAGGAGCGGAGACGCGAACCCGGTTCATCAGATTACAAATCTACCGCTCTTAACCATTACACCACACTGGCTGTCTGAGGTCTGTCACGCACATGATGTGCAAACTCTGCGGATCCCTAAGTGTGCCGCTGTCAGTTGGCATGGGTCGCTGTGATGTTCGGGCTGAAGAAAGCTTATGAAGCTCCTGAACGATCAACCAAGAGGGAGAGAACATGCCAGTCGGGCATGTGTCTCTGCCAGGGTCCTACTCAAGTGTAGGCTGAACTCCTGACACAGGAGTACCCTAGTTTTTCTTAAGCCACCCCAGGGAAAGTGAGAGAGGGACTGCACCAACAGATCATTTAAAGCCATATACTAATACTGTGATGAACTCAGGTGCTGAGTTACAACAGCTATGTAGCCACAAGAGAGGTATCAACGTGCTGAAACCCTGTGATATGTTCAGTGACCACAGAATGCTGAGTTATTTGTTGCAAGGGGAGTTAATGCCAGTGGAGTGGAGAGGAGAGGAGAAATGGAATGGAATGGAGTCTCTTGTAAGTGTAGCATGTCTAGCACACTGAACAGGAATATTTCATATTGCAGTGTTTTGTTCTTGGTCCCACTTGTCATCTCTACCATCTAATTATCAAGCTAGAAATGGCTTACTACAGACAATCCCCCCCCCAATAAAACTTATTTTACCAACCTCTGTGTGTTGTATGACACGCCACTTTTGCCACTTTCTCATTAGTTTTATTCACTCTAGTTAAAGTACATTCTGCTAGGCTGGTCTCTGTTCCTCTGCATCTTGCCTTAAGGCACTCCATTGAATCAGAGTCTTCTTCTGGGTCAACAGTGTCTGTACGATCAGCCCCTCTGAGCAATGCAAGAAAGAAGAAGAGAAGTAATCATTGGTCCTGGACCACACATATTATTCATATAGGACTTACCCAATGGGAAATAGAAAAAAAACATATTTGCAACAGTCTTTAAACCAGCCCACCTTGTGTGCCAGGAGCCAAAACAACTCCAGAAAGGGAAGAGTAGAGATATAAAATGAAGTCATGGGAAAAAACAGAACTTTGGGGAGAAATTGGAAAAGATTCAATCTCTCCCCCCCCCTTTAGAAATTGAAAGTCCCTTTGTTACTTTTGGAATATAAAATGCATTCTTTATAACTTGGTTTGCTATAAAATTATCATGTTTTATATATTAAAAGTGTGTGTGTGTGTGTGTTACAAATAGAGCTGCTGAACTGTAAGGAGCCTAGCATCTCTTTGGTTTTGCCAGTTTATGGGGAGCAGCCCAAAACACTGCAGGACAGAAAAGACAACAGCAGGCTAGATGGGCAAATAATATGACCTTCTATAAGGTTCAGTAGTGTTCAGTAGTGCTCCGTGGACTCAAGAAAGGTCTTCCCAAGTGCTGCTACTTCAAAGAAGAAGAAGAGTTTGGATTTGATATCCCGCTTTATCACTACCCAAAGGAGTCTCAAAGCAGCTAACATTCTCCTTTCCCTTCCTCCCCCACAACAATCACTCTGTGAGGTGAGTGGGGCTGAGAGACTTCAGAGAAGTGTGACTGGCCCAAGGTCACCCAGCAGCTGCATGTGGAGGAGCGGGGAAGCGAACCCGGTTCACCAGATTACGAATCTATCGCTCTTAACCACTACACCACCACTACCTCAAACTGTATACACTTGAGTACCTCCTGGGGGGAAAAGCACTGGCTCTATGAACTATGGCCATGACCTCATAATCCACAGATGGGAATTAGATGTTGCTGGACTCCAGCTCCAATCAGCTTCAAACCACCATGCCCAGTGGCCTGGGAACCATGACCCAGGGCTCTGCCTCCCCATCCTCAGGGGAAATTGTTACAAATTCAGAGCCGGGAGAAGTATGTGCCCTCTGAGCCCGCCTTGGGGATCCCTATCTCCTTAGGAATTCCAGCACCAGAGGAGCACCTGATGCCAGCACCTCTCCATCTTGAAGAAGCCACATTACCCTCTTCAGACTCTAGCTGAGAATGCAAAACAGAACCATAGCCAAAGTAAACTAAGTAAACAGCCAGGGCCCCTTTAAGAGAAAGGGCTCCATTAATCAGGGCTGAAAGAAGCTGCCATCCTATTTAACACACATAGCCACAACGTAACTTGCTGTTTTTAACTATATTAATTCTTTTTACATCATATAAACATAACTCTTTTCATATTATCTAATTGAGTAGAAGCAATTAAGGACCAACGTTTAGAACAGGAAATACAAATGGATCAGTTCTTATATACGTAATGTCCAAATAGAAGCTTTTGTGTTCCACGTATGTACAAATGAATCAGTTTTTTAAAACATCCAAATAAAAGCTTTCTGTGTTCCACGTATGTCTTAGCGAATACAAGTGTCAAACGTAACAACTTTAAGGAGCAGTACTTGCAAAAGATGAACTTTTCTTTGTAATGTTCCACATCTGCCTTTGCAAAGTATGGTTGTTGTATGCAGCTGCTGTATGCAGGTATCAGACAAAGGATACAAAAGATCTTAACATGTGCCTTTGCAAAATATAGTTGTTGTATGCTGGTGTCAGACAAAAGAACTTAAACGTGACAAGGATTCGCGGAATAATACCTTGTTTCACCCTGCCGGGCATACTCATATTTTGTGTATCAGAGACATGGAACGAGTGACATGCCGGATACCGCATACGTAACTATCGGTTTGACAGTGTTGTGTAAGCTATCCTATTTAAGGCTTGGTCTGGATTTGCTCATTGCTGGAGCAACATCCAGCCTGCACTGGCTGACATCCCAGCTAGGTGCTGCTTGGAGCTATCCCCCTTGGCTGTTTGCTTTTTGGCCTTTGCTTTGATGGACCTTCCTTATCTGGACTTACTGGCATTGCTTGACCTGACTTTGCTTCCTGGATTTGGAAATGGTGCTAGCAGCTAGCAATACACTACCTGGTGTCTCTGGGCTCTTTACTCAGCACATGCTAAAATCCTCCCTTGCACCCAGCTGAGACCCTTGCATGGGAAAGAACACAGGCATGATGGGACTTGGGAGTCCAACAACACCTGCAGGGCCACAGATTCCCCATCCCAGCTCAAATCCATCATAAAGATAGATCCCACTACAGTGGTACCTCGGGTTACATACACTTCAGGTTACAGACTCCGCTAACCCAGAAATAGTGCTTCAGGTTAAGAACTTTGCTTCAGGATAAGAACAGAAATCGGGCTCCGGCGGCGCGACAGCAGCAGGATGCCCCATTAGCTAAAGTGGTGCTTCAGGTGAAGAACAGTTTCAGGTTAAGTACGGACCTCCGGAACGAATTACCGTATTTTTTGCTCTATAAGACTCACTTTTTCCCTCCTAAAAAGTAAGGGGAAGTGTGTGTGTGTCTTATGGAGCGAATGCAGGCTGTGCAGCTATCACAGAAGCCAGAACAGCAAGAGGGATTGCTGCTTTCACTGCGCAGCGATCTCTCTTGCTGTTCTGGCTTCTGAGATACAGAATATTTTTTTTCTTGTTTTCCTCTTCCAAAAACTAGGTGCGTCTTGTGGTCTGGTGCATTTTATAGAGCGAAAAATACGGTAAGTACTTAACCTGAGGTACCACTGTAATGTAGAGTTTTTCTTAAGATTTATTTAAGTAACATTTTATCCATATAAGCAGCTCTCCATTCCACCCCAGAATCTTACTCTGGAAAACCAAGATGTCTGCAGGCCACATTTGCTTCATTCATACCCCAAGGAGATCCACACACAGGTGTCTTTGGGGATTGATTCACTTCAACTTGGATAATTCCTGTTGATGTTGCATTTTCAGGCTTCAACGAAACTTGAAAAGTCTCTAGAAAGGAAAGCAAAATCTGCTAATGTTTAGGTCTGTAAGGTTTACAAAAGACAGCAATGTGGACAAAACCCACTTTGTTGTATGCAAGGCACCATGTGTATAGTTCTGTTGGCGTTGTTTGTCTGAAGGGTGGAGTTAAAATAAGTGAAAGGATAAATTAACCTTGAATGGGAAGGCGGGTACAGTATTATTTAATCAAATGGCACATTCTTTGTCAATTTGGTTCCTCTCTGGGATGCCAGATTTGAATTTCCACAACAATTCACACAAATGCATACCAGGAAATGGCTGGATGTTTTATATAGCAACAAAAAGCCCAGGGTTTTTTCCCCATTTACAGGGCGTTGTTTATTTTAAAGAGCCTGGAATGTCACTAAGCCAGTCTTTGAGCAGTGGACTCTGAGCGGAAAGCAAGCGAGACTCTCTGCTGCTTTTTGTGCATATGACTAGTAAATGCAGTGGAGGGAGAGTGATAAGGCATGACAGAAACAAAATACTCTGTGCTTTTGGAATGACAGATGTGCAACATTCTACAGGTAGGCCTAGAGTGTCAAGAGCTGTTATACGAGTCTAGGATTGTTCTGCCTGTGTATTTGGCTGCATATACATAACACACATTTAAATTATTATATTAAAATTATTCATTGTTTTTCTTTTTTACAAAAATAACTCAAAAGACACTTAACAACAGTAAATAACAATGGGCTACCCCTGGGGTGGGGGTAATAGGGGGTTAATGTGGTGGTGATTTGGTTGAAATCAGGTGCTCCAACTTTTGCAAGTGGAAGCACTATGTGCTAAGGCAAAGCCACCGTTGGAAAGCACCAAAACTGTGTAAGTATAACAGAATTACAGGCAGACATCAATGTCTGCACATGTCTGCACCCCACCCTTAAAGCTTGATCTTTCTCAGGATCAACAATCAATTCAGAAGAAGAAAATGAAACATATTACCTTGAGAGCTGCATCTTCCTCTGTTCATAAATCTGCTCTTTTTACGTTGACATTCCAAGCTCTTTAGCTGGCAGTAATTTAAAGTCCTCTTTTCAGTAGAACAAACCAAGGTTCCATTTTTGGGGCATTGGTAAGGTAGCTTACAGAAACAGGAGCCATCCACACACCTCTGCCATGGCTGGCAAAACACTTTCTCGCAAGAATTCTGAGTGTAGCCATTGTTTACACATTCTTCTATCAGATATGTATTGTCCTAAAAACAAATACTATTCAGTAACAGAAGCTGATTTGTTGTTTTCATACTTCCTTCAGATGCATGCTAAGCACATGAAAAAATAAAACAAAAACAAGCCTTAAAGTATTACCAATAAAACATGTTTCTTACAATGCCAACCATTTAAAAAAATAAAAATCCTTACCTTTTGTTGAAAAATTCCAAGTTGTAAGCATGAAATAAACATGAGAGCTGATAATGATTTCATGGTGAATAGTTTCTGTCCGTATTTAGAATATTTTCTTTCCCTAAAATTTTCCCCCAGTCTCAGACTTCTGCTCTGTGTTTAATTTTTAACCATTAGCAAATATTTAAAAAGATGGTTCTGAAATAACGACAGCATCCATGTGCATGGATGGTTCTCAGCTCTTAGACAAGATCCTGCTTAAACCTCAGTTCAATGTACACTGCAAAAACGATAAGAGAAGCAAACAGGTAAAAAGGCTGGTAGATCCCTGAAGGAATGTGCTCTCCTGTGCATAACTCTCACACAACTTTCTTAATACTTTCACTTATTTATGTAGCTGCTTTATAGTTGCCTGCTTCTCTGGAACAAAAGATAATGGATGATTTGCATATTTAACTGACAGGAGACGAAGATTTCAAGGTTGTGTTTAGCCAGTTGCTCAATGCCTTGGCAAACGTATAAAAAAAGTATTTGTGCACTAAGCTCTGGGAGTGCCAGTTTCCGGGAATGGCTAATCAACTAGCCCTTCAAAATCAACAAATAGTGGGGCTGTACAGTTCAAAAATCCTTCTATTTAATCATAGCAAGGGAAGGTGGTTTGTGTTTTAGTTTTTCTTCTTAGGAACAAACTCAGTCCATTGGTCCATCTAACACAATGTTGTCTGCAGCCTGTAGCAGCAACCTCTTCACACAAGCCTTCCCACCAGGGGCCGCCTCCAACTTTAAGTTACAGCACACAGTTCCTGCCCCCTCCCTTCATCTGTACTGATACTTGGGGGACCACACCATAAAACAGTTGTAGGGGGAGTGGAGCAACAAATGTTCTTTGTTAGGGCTTTTTTTCAGCTGGAACTCACCAGAACTGAGTTCCTGCACCTCTTTTTCTGGAAAAATAGCACAGAGCACATTAAGACATACAAGAAAATGGCTTACCTCCAGGAATTTTGTCATGGGCTTAGGGACCCTGGAGGTCTGCATGTCTACATTGTGTAACTTCTCTTGCGGTACGCCAATAGTTATTTGAAAAGAACAGTTCTGTTTTGGCCATGCCTGCTTAGAAATAAGCACCACTCAGTTCAATAGGGATTAATCTCAAATCAGTGTGCAGAAGACTTTGGGCTTTGTGTGATTAAAATACACATATTTCTTTCACTTTAAAAACACAGTAGCTGATTTCTCAGTAATTCTTATCACTGACGATTAGGGAAGAAGGAAGTAAACAGAAAATTAGCCCTACAGGTATTTCCTCATTCTTTTTACTGTTATAATTTGATTTATTATGTGATACACCAAAAGATTGAGGGAAATTCTATCAAAAATTTTTTTTCCCCTGGAACCTGATTCATCAGATGTTTGGGACTACGACTCCTATCAGCCCCAACCGGCTATGATCAAGGATACAGACATACATTTTGTCCACAGCAGTTGACAAAAAACTTCACTTTGGAAGTTTCGCTTAAATTTTCGGGGGGATAGCAAGCGTCCCACCGTTGCAGAACCACAAACCTATTGCGACACCAGCTTCCATCAGGTGCATGCAAACAACACAGTAATGTGGAAACAAGTGAATTACGAAAACAGACACGGCGTTCATTTTTTCCGCAATATGATTTATTACAAGGTGCGGCTTCTGCTGCCGCCAGTGACGTCCGAACTGTGCTAAATACTGCAAATTTTATAAAATAATGCAATTTTCTCTGTGTGTGTGTGTCTCTGCTGCATACGAACACACACTCCGTGAGATAATCCGTAAGGTAATAATATTCCACGAGACAACCTGCGCCCTGCGGAGCTCCGGGATCCCGCCAATTCGCCTGCCTCGCTTCGCCGATGGGCTCGCCGTTCCTCGGAGAAACAAAACGTCTCTATGGTTGGCTACGCGTCGTAAAACGGAAGCGCGTGATTTTACGGCGGGGCTGCGATTGGCTGGACCGCCGGCAAGCGTGCAAGAAGGAGGAGGAGGGCCGCCGGAAGTGGCCTGCGCGCGTGAGTCCTTGGCGGAAGAGCGGTGCGTCCACGTGGGGAGGAAGAGCGGAGCGTGCGGCGCTTAGGTGGGAGATCCTGTTAGAGTCGGAAGGGATCCCGAGGGTCATCTAGCCCGACCCCCTGCAATGCTGCTTGCAGGGGCTTGCCTCGCCTTGCAGGCGCCTGGAGCCCGTGTGGGCTGGGAGGAGGAGGGGCGGGGGTCGTGGTTGCGGCTGCAGCCTTGCTGTGCTTCTTTGCAAAGCCCCGGGTTGGGCGCCTGCTTCTGAACCTCCCTTGAACCTCCTGGCTGTTTATGGAGCGGGAGTGTGTTGGGAAATACGTGGCTCTTAGCTTGGGGTGTGGAACGCACTTACTTGCGAGTAAACCCCATTCAACTCGGTGAGGCTTACTCCTAAGGCGATGCGTGCTATTAAAACGACCCACTTCCTCATATGTTGGTTTTTGCCGTTGATTATGAAGTCATACTAAATACAGTGGTACCTCAGGTTACAGACACTTCAGGTTACAGACTCCGCTAACCCAGAAATATTACCTCGGGTTAAGAACTTTGCTTCAGGATGAGAACAGAAATCGCGGCTGCAGCGGGAGGCCCCATTAGGTAAAGTGATATCTCAGGTTAAGAACAGTTTCAGGATAAGAACGGACCTCCAGAACGAATTAAGTTCTTAACCTGAGGTACCATTGGTTTTTTTTTTTTTGACAGGGGCAGGTTTTTGTCCCTACACCCGAAGCACTGTGGTTTGTTGTTATTTTTTAAAGAAACACAACGAATGTTGGAAGCACAAGATTCAGATCGCTTTTTGGGTTTTTCGAGGCTAGGCAGTGTCGCTGTGCACATTTTGGGAAATGGTGTGGGAGAAGAAAGGGAGAAGATAAGCTTTTGAGGAAGGTAGCAGCATCAAAAGTTTGGGGTTTAGGCTTTTGCAACACTGCCACTGCAGAGTGGTCGTTTTCCCACCCAAAATTGCCAGGAGCCTCAAGTACCTGGTTGGGGAGGGGCCCTGGTCCCTAGGGACTAAAAATAATTGGTGTTACATGGTGTTGGTTTCAAGGTTGCATAGTTGGGACAATTCTCTGCCCTTCATAGAACCTTAAAACTACAGTCGTTGCAGCAGCAAAAGTCATATCTGAGGCTGTCTCCCTTAATGTAATGTCCTCTAGATACTCTCGACTACAGTTTTCATCACTCCTGATCGTTGGCCTTGCAGGCTTGGGCTGATGGGAATCAATAGTTCAAAACTTCTAGAGGACACCAGGAGGGAAGGCTGGTTTAAGGGCTGAAGAGTAGCTCTTATATAATCGTTTAACAGTTTTCATTACCTAAAAATGAAATTTTTACTATACTGAAGAGTAAATAACACTTCAGTATAAGTTTAGTGTAATATTTAAGTTGAAAGTGGTGTAAGGAAGATAGTGGTGGGTGAAGAAATAGCTGTTCCCCTTCTCCCTTTTTTAAAAATAAAAAAAACAGTACTTGCTATATGCCCTTTCACAACACTGATACAATGCCTGTGATGATTTGAGTATTTAGGTAAGGTTTTGGTTCACTTTCATGAGCCAAATGATAAAGTTGTACCATTTTAAAGAATTATGGTTCAAGCTAAAGGTTGCTTCACTCCTTGAATAGTACTTCATTTCTTAATTTCACCTTTTGTTGGAATAAAGTTGTGTTGTATAACGGAATTGAAATGTAGGGAGTCTTATTCATTTACCAGGTGTCTTAGACCAGGGGGCGGCAAAGTTTACCTCACCTGGGCCAGTTCACTCTAGTGAAGATTACTCTGTGGGCTGGAGCACCTGCGCCTGCGATTTTCTGCGTCTGCCGAGACGTAATTTCCAGCACCACAGAAGTGAGTCCCCGCACCGTGCTGCGCCAGTTTAGTGCAGCGAGCAGGGACTCAAGTGGGTGGCTTGGTTCGGGGGCAGTTAAATGACCCCCATGGGCTGCTTGTGGCCCATGGGCCTTAGGTTGCCGTCTCTTAGACTCATGGTGGCCCTTGGCAGACTAGTACCTTCCTACTCCCTCATTTAGTTCATGAATGTGGTAGACTTGCTGTCTAAAACTACAAGTACAGTGGTGCCTCGCAAGACGAAATTAATCCGTTCCGCGAGTCTCTTCGTCTTGCGGTTTTTTCGTCTTGCGAAGCACGGCTATTAGCGGCTATTAACGGCTTAGCGGCTTTAAGAAAAAGGAAACAAACTCGCAAGAACTCGCAAGACGTTTTGTCTTGCGAAGCAAGCCCATAGGGAAATTCGTCTTGCGGAACGACTCAAAAAACGCAAAACCCTTTCGTCTAGCGAGTTTTTCGTCTTGCGAGGCATTCGTCTTGCGGGGCACCACTGTACAGTGGTACCTCAGAAGTCAAATGGAATCTGTTCTGGAAGTCTGTTCAACTTCCAAAATGTTCAGAAATCAAGACACGGCTTCCGATTAGCTTCATGAAGCTACTGCAGCCAGTTGGAGCCCCATTAGACATTCGGGTTCCAAAGAACGCTCACAAACCAGAACACTCACTTCCGGGTTTGCGGCATTCGGGAGCCAAAACCAAGGTATGACTATCTGTTTGATTCATATGCAATAGTACCTCGGTTTTTGAGCGTCTCAGAAGCCGAACATTTCAGATGCCAAAAACCTGGAAGTAAATGCTTTTGTTTTCGAACACCTCGGAAGTGGAATGGCTTCCGCTGCATGTTTTTCAATTTCCTCCATTGAATTTGCAGCCAGCCCTTTTGTGCCTCAGTTTTTGAACATTTTGGAAGTCAAACTTCCAGAACGGATTACGTTCGAGAACCAGTGTACCACTGTATTGCAGCTGCTGTGTGGAAGCCACAGGAACAGCTAAGGAATCAAATATATCTGTGCATCTAGTTTTTGGATGGTTGGTGCAACTGAAATGTGAAAAAAGATTTTTTTTTTATGGGAGAAAAAAATCTCTTGTTAACAGGAATTTTATGAGGATTAAATGATTGTTTGATTTCAATATCCTAAAAAACCCAAACTCAAAACCTAACGTCTTATGCCTTCAAGGTAACTGATCTTTTGAAAAGTATTTTGGATGATGTAGATTAATACATGATGACGCTAGTGAATGCATGCAGTGAAATGAATGGCACAGGTCTAGAGTGATTCAAGCGCTACAGAGGTATATAGGAGTGCTGTTGATTTTCATGAATTCTTTATTGAACAGAAGAGAGTCATGTCGTATCGAGGAAGAGGTGGTGGTGGAAGCTTCAATCGTGGTGGTGGCAGCTTCAATAGAGGTGGTGGCAGCGGCGGCTTCAGTCGAGGTGGCGGTGGCTTCAATAGAGGTGGACGGGGTGGTGGAAGAGGTGGATTTGGCCGTGGAGGTGGTGGACGAGGAGGTTTCAACAGATCATATGACCAAGGACCTCCAGAAAGTGTAGTCAGTAAGTTACAGTCATTTCTTAATGTACATGAAATAAAACGTTTTGATCCTGACTTTGAATTCCTGATCTCAATATGTTTCCCTTTTTTATTTACAGTCCTGGGAGAGTTTATGCACCCCTGTGAAGATGACATTGTTTGCAAATGTGTGACTCAGGAGAGCAAAGTACCTTATTTCAATGCACCTGTCTATTTAGAAAATAAGGAACAGATTGGGAAAGTGGATGAAATCTTTGGGCAGCTCAGAGACTTTGTATCCTTTAGTTGTGTACTTTTGAATGTTTGCAGAAGATAAATTACTGGCATTTTCTCTCTCTTTAATTTTCTAGTGTTCCATAATCTAGAACCTAATTCCAGTATATCTTTTAAGATTAATCTCAGCCTTGTATTTTAACAATTTACCTGGTTTTCTGTAGTTCATTCAAGCAAATGGGCTGTTGGAGAAGGGGTGAAATGCAACCCCACACATTACCTTTGCACCCAGCATAGAAACTTTTTTTGTGGTTAGCCTGTGTTTTTACTCATGCAAGGGGCTTGTACAGAGATGGAATTATATGTCTGCCATCCCATCCTATGAGTATAAAGCAGGCTAGTAAAAAAAAATTTTTTTGCAGGCATAATTTTGTCAGCTGATTTACAAAGTTAGTTTGTTGGGATCCCCATTTGGTTTCTCTGTCTGTGGGGGAAGACAAAGCTTAATGTCCACATAGGGATGTGTGTAAGAGCATCTCCACCCCCATCATTCAGTTTGGACACTGAGATCCAGCTCCAAGGGTCTTCTGGCAGTTCCCTCACTGCGAAAAGCAAAGCTACAGGGAACCAGGCAGAGGGCCTTCTCGGCAGTAGTGCCCTTCCTGTGGAATGCTCTTCCATCAGATATCAAAGAGATAATTTCTAATATAAATGATGACAAAGCTGTAATAAGACTCAAACGTTGCTTGAGGCACTTTTCATCCATATGAAAAGAATTGGACATGCATTTAATGTAATCTTTCCTAAACAAGTCAAATAGTATTTTTCAGTCAAATTGTCGGAAAACATGAAAGCTGCTTCCTTCAAAAAGTTGCAAAAGGTAAAGTACCTATTAACCAGCGTTTCAAAATTCTGAACTTGGATAAGGTGCATGAAAGCTCTCATACCATGGGGTGTATGAAGGCTTACCTTCTAAATGCATGTGCAGTAAGTATTAATGGTATGTAAGGAGTCATTGTGTGTATATGTTTGCGCATGTGTGCACGCGCGCATGTCTGCCAATTGCAAAATTATAGTGTACACCAGGGGTTGTCAGCCTGGTCCTTACTGCCCACTAGTGAGCGTTTCTAGGTGGGTGGTAGGGGATTCTATGGCACAAGCTGAATCCTCCTTCCATTGAGCACTGGTGGGCGGTAAGGAAATTTTACCATCAAGAAGGATGCATTAGTGGGCGGCAGGTATAAAAAGATTGACTACCCCTGGTGTAGACCTATTGTTAGCCTTATTCATTTAAACAGGTTGGACCCAGAGTTTCCCTTCCAAGAATGGAAAGGTTCCCTTTGCGAAAGGAACTGACAGAGATCTGGCAGAGGTTCCTGCTGGAGGAAGGGACGTTGATTTCTGTCCATTTTACCCACCCTTTGCACCAGCTCCCACCCTGTTTGATAGCTGTTCTCTCCCAACCCTCCAAAGCAGTTTTTCAGGAGCCGTGGCTGCTGCAGAGCAAAGAAGGGATTAGCAAAAATCCCATGAGTAGAGTTCACATTGTGGCCCCTCTTCATCCAAGCCATAGGGTATTCTTGCTGCTAAGTGACAGGGCACATTGAGATGATGTTCACCTTGTTTATTCGCTTGGATTCAGCTACCACAACAGTCAAGCCCAACATTTTGAGACTGGACTGGGATCCAACATTTTGGACCCTCTGCTGGCTTCTGCCAATGAGCATCCTGTCAGCAGCACTGCATATTTGGTGAACAGAAGGGGGAGGGCTCCATCCACAAGCCTTATGAGGAACGACTGAGGGAGTTGGGTATCCTTAGCCTGGAAGAGAGCAGACTGAGAGGAGATACGATATCCATCTTCATATAACCAAAGGGTTGTCACATGGAAGATGAAGCAAGCTTGTTTTCTCCTGTTCCTGAGGCAGGATATTTATTTCTTTGGTTTTAAATAGAAGTAAAACTATATACGTATGTAATATCAGTGTTCAATTGCTATTTAATTATTGTTTTTTCCCTATGGTGTTACAGGTTCTTATTCTTATATGTAAGGTTCCTTGAGTCCTGTCAGAGAAAAAGGCAGGAAATAAATAAATATCATTATGATGCTGTGAAACTTGATATGTATAGCATATGTTTCAGTGGGACTTGGTGATGACTTTTCATGGATCAAGAAAGCAGTGCAACATAGGGTTACAGCAACACCTAGTTCTAATATTAGCTGTTAAATCTAAAGTAAACTTGCTTACTCTAACTTTTAAGTTATATACACATGTAAGAAAGGTTTTGGACGAAACCTAACCTCGGCCTTTCCCTCCCCCCCCCCCGCAGTTTTATATCGATCCAGCAAAATTGCTCCCTCTGCAGAGATTTTTGCCAAGGCCTCCAGGTGAAAAAGGACCTCCGAGAGGTGGAAGAGGAGGCCGTGGTGGAAGAGGAGGTGGCAGAGGTGGAGGTGGCAGAGGGGGAGGTAGGTATTGTTGTCTGGATGCATGCAATAAGGTGGTAGAGATCTCTCTCTCCCCCCCCCCCCCAATAAAAAAGTTTGAAAATCCAGGTCTGGAAGCAAGATGTTCCTGATGGTTTTGGAAGTTGTACTACCTCATTGCTGTCATAAAATATACCTATGTTTTATTGTGCTTTTAATTATTTTTTATTGTGCTTTTAATATTCTGTTGGGAGCCGCCCAAAGTGGCTGGGGGAAACCTAGCCAGAAGGGCCGGGTATTATTAATTAATTAATTAATTAATTCATTACCTTCTGCTTTTATTTTCCAGGTGGTTTCAGGGGTGGCAGAGGTGGTGGAGGGTTCAGAGGAGGACGAGGTGGTGGAGGTGGCCGAGGATTTAGAGGTAAGTATAATGGCAACATTATGGAATTAATTACCTATGGTACTGTTTCTTGCAGTATAGCTATGCAATATTCAGCTACCTTTCTCTTATTGTGACTTAGGTAATTGTTTTAAACCTGTTTCAGAAAACGTAGGGTTTCTTGGAAATTTATCAAGAGCTCCTGATCCTTACTGGATGATAGGTTTTCTTAATAGTTTTTTCACAAGTACCTATTTCCCCCCAGCAATGTGCAACCAGAGGAGAGTGTTGGATGTGCTCTGTGGTGCATGTTGAGTTCATGCACAGGGCACTGGTGATGCTCCAAGGATCTGGTAAGGGGTCCAGTGAAATTCTGTACAACATACAGCATAACCCCGTAGTGAATGAACAGAGGAGTCATCTGCAGTGTGGACAGTGTTTGTTGATGGTAAAAAGCTTTAAAACTACCAAGAGTAGAGTCAAGGTCATTGGTATCATGCATTATTATTATTATTATTATTTATTTATTGAATTGATATCCGGCTCTTCCTCCCCAAGGAGCCCAGGGTGGCAAACAATTCCAAAACAGAAGCAAAGCAAAAATGTTTTAAACCAATTACAGCATTTCAAAAACAATTACAATGGTAAAGGTCTAAAAGCAGTTACACCTAGAAACATACTTGATCCAATGATATTGAGGTTGGCAGCAACAATATTCTTCAGCCACCAAATCCCCGGGTCAACAGAAATGTTTTCAAATTTGCCCTGAAAGTTTATAATGATGGAGACAGGTGAGGTGCAGAGGTCCAGCTACTCCTGGAGGACATGCTGTTGTTTGGCTAGGCGCTCCAAGCTGAGCATATTCTCTTACCTTAATTTGTCAAGGCACTAACAGTTAATTAATATTTAGGAAGATGCCCATTTTGATGTTCCCACATGTAGGATGTTGCTACGTTGGGGCATTGTAACAGCAATACGGAAGGAGTCTTGCAAGTGTTTGTAACAGTGTTGTTACTACTGTTGGTAGTAATCCTGCGCAAAGGCGCTTATGGTTGTGATGGGAAACACTTGGGAGCCCCATTTCATGTTACTTTTCTGGGAGATCCTCACATGTGAAGCTGGCCTTGGATAGAATACCCAGCCAAACTTCTACCAGTAAATGGTAGAATGTTATCTATAGTGCTTCAGTGGAATGTTAAAACCACAAATGCAGATGTCTACGATATTGCAGGCACTACAACAACAACCTACCCTTTCGTTATAAAACTTGTTGCATTTTTCCAGGCTAGATGGGAATGATGATCTGATTTGTGTTTTTCTTTCAAATTAGGCAGAGGACGTTAAGTGAAGAAGTCTGGGAAATTCCAAGTTAATGGTTTCATCTTCAGAATATGAGAGATCTTTTATGAACTTGAATGCCGTAAAGTGGACTTTTAATACGTTATTGTCTAAAGGAGCGAAGTACTCCCACACATGTTCCTGGATTTCTGCTGAGATGAACCAATTTCAGATCTACAGATACTTCTCTTGAAATCCCCTTGGACCTCTTGTGCTCTTGACATTAAATAGAATGTTGTTTTTAAACACTTTTTATGAGCTATATTTTTTTAGTCAAAAACTCATCTTGAAGTTGGGAAACCAGTGACTTCCTAAACAATAACAGAAGATGGTCTGCTCAATATATTTTTTATTTTTTATTATCCGTCTTTGTATTTTGGTTTTTGTCAATCTTCAAATAGTGTTTCACGGATTCATACAAAATTGTATCAAAACAACTTGAATATGCTTTCGTAGTTATATTTAACTTGGCTGTCTAATGAATGATATGTCTAAATGACAAAAGTTTTCTTGTTTTTTAAAAATAAAATTGGTAATAACTTAAGTTTGATCTCAAAAGTATAATTGATGGGCATTTTTGCTAAATTCATTTTTCCATTCACACATCACAGTAAACCGTAGTTAATGGTTTATTGTGTACACATCTAAGAGGGCCTTTTAGTTACGATCCCTTGCTTGGTGTTATGTCCAAACCAGGCATCATGGTTTGTTTCACTCCTAGCAAACCATAATATGTAGTCGTGGTTTGTTCTTGACTTACTTATTATGGTTTGTTTGGGAGTGAAACAAACCAAGATAATCTGGTTTGAATGTACCATAATAACTTGGAACCAGCAGGGAGGAAAGAAACTGGCATTATTTCACTCATACACAGCTATCCAAAATATGTGGTTGGCCTCTTGGCTGCTTGTGCCATCAGGTCCCAGTCTGTGTGTCACACATCAAGTGCTTTCCCCTGGATGTTTTTATGAATGCCATTCCACCAATGAAACTTCGAAGAGTTTCAGCTAGGAGTCTTTTCCAGCCATACCTGGAGTTGCTGAGGATTGAATCTTGGGCCTCAACTCAGCCATTGAGCTACAGTCCTGATATAGATAATGGACTCCATGGACAAATAATCAAAGTTGATGCTCTTAAAGCAGATACATTACAGGTATTCCGAGTTGGGATTTCAAATCAGGATGTGAATCTTCAACCTCTTCTTGCAAATACAGTGGTACCTCAGTTTAAGAACAGTCTTGTTTACGAACAATTTGGTTTACGAACTCCGCAAAACCGGAAGTAGTGTCCCGGTTTGTGAACTTTACCTCGGTCTAAGAACGGAATCCGAATGGTGGAAGGGCACTGGCAGCGGCAGGCCTCATTAGGGAAAGCGCACCTCAGTTTAAAAATGGTTTTGGTTTAAGAACGGACTTCCGAAACGGATTAAGTTCGTAAACCGAGGTACCACTGTAGATTGAGATGTGTTTTGCCCCGTCTTTTGCAATAGTGGGGTTTTTTATAGTTATTGTTTTGCTTAATAGCTTTTAAAAACTTGGTTCAGAATTCTCAAATGCAAACATACACATGATGAACAATCAACTCCTGCCGGGTTTTTTGAAACATTAAAAAAAGAAAATGTGAAGTCCAAAGTGTGGGGCCTATGCAGCCGCTAATCTCTTTAGTAATAAGGCCATGAACCGTAAGGATCTTGTTAAAAATGCGCTTGCAGCTCTGTGCTGTTCTTTGTTGAGCTAACAAGCCTTCCCCTTTCATAGTTTGGGAATGTAAACCCCTTTGCTCTTGAGTGGAAATCCATTTGGGAGCTTTTCAGCAGGGAAGAACTTTTATAGTCAGTTTTGCAGGACAAGGATCTGCCTACAAAAGCTGGGGATGTGTGTGTGTTTCGAATGGCCATTTACAGGATAACCCTGGAGGGTGTTTTTCTAATTTTCTTTCCCCTGCAATGTTTTTGAATGATTCTGCTAACTTTTCGGAAAGTGAAAATGAACCTCATTCGGCCTTTTCACAGACTGAACACAACATAGTTGCAGCTTATTTGATAACAGCAGGTATGAATGTTGATGGAATTTGTGGCAGGGGGATGACAAACCAGGATTTAAGACTTGGAATAGAGGCATTCTGTGTTGTGCAAGTGAAAAAAAAAGCTGTTAATTGATTTTTGTCCAGCGTTTTCTAAAGATAGGTAAGATTTAGAACAATCAAATGTGAAATGATAAAACTATGATCTTAAACAAGTATTGAACATGCACATTAAGGGTGCAATTCCCTATATGCATATATGTGGAGTGGATATGACTCAGATGGCACATGTTAACTTGCAAAAGAAATGTAATTTATTTAGATTTGCAAAATGATGTGTTTGTCACTGTTTTGGGAGCCATTTATCATAAAGATAGAAGGTTGGACCTGGACGTAGTCTTGCTTAGAGTAGGCTAACTGAAATCATGGCTAACTTTAAGTCCCAATGGCCTCTGTTTGTCTACTGAACATTAATGGCTTTGTCTCCAACCCGTAGCTTTGAGGAATAAAAAGTATGCAGGTTTATTGGCTCTCAGCCCTATGTTTACTTCTCCATATGAAGTTCTTTGTTTGTTAGTTCTAGGCTGGAATGGTCTGAGAGCACAGAGAGTTCACCATTTTGCATTCCTCTCTGCCTTGTTCTTGGTTTTGGGGTCCTCTGCTGCAGCCACAAGTGGCAGCCAGTGAATGATTAAACAATACAGCCTCAAAACTATCCTCAAGAAGCAAGTGGCTTGTTATTTCAACAGCTCTAACTCCATTTCCCATAGCAGTGGTTATGGAATATATTTTAAAAACAACATTGTGCATGGATTGGCCATAATTGATTTCCACCTAATATAATCTTATGTACATTTTATGGGAGATGTTGGAATTGCTTGTGAGGGAAAAGCTCCAACTATAGGTCCTTGTTTCAGCTATATGTTTTGTTGAAGACTTGTATCTATATTGGATACTCAGAAATAACATTTGTTCCCTAGATGTGCTTTAGGTCAGTAAAGGAGGTGGCCAGTGTGAGCAAGAATTCTTTTTAAAGATTGAGTAGCTTATTATTACATGTACAACAAGCATTGTCATGCGTTTTGCTTCTAAAGGAGCCTGTTGCATAGTCTCAAAAAGGCTAGAGCATCTCTATTTTGGCTGAAGCAGTGGCTGTACTGGGAGAGCTGGAGAGCTATTTTATGCAGCAAAGCAACGGAGGTGGTCATAGATGCAAAGGCTGCCTCCTGTCATCAATATAAGATTCCACATTCTGTGAGTAGGTGGTGGTTTTACTATAGGTCGAGTATATTGCATTAACTTTTTTCAATTAAATAATTTTTTAGAAAAGTTTTTTAAAAATTCAAATTCTTACAGTGCTATATTTTTAATGGATGCTTTTCATTGTAGCAGTTTGATCATAAATGCTTCGACCTATTTTGCTTAAAGATGTCACTCTCGGCCAGTCTTATCACGATAAATTGAGTCACAGTTTTCTTACAGGCAAATCTTTTCCTTCTAAGGGAAGACTCACTGAGCAGTATAGTCAATGTGACAGCGTATAACAAATGCAATACCATCTGAGAGTTAATCTTACTGCCAGAGTGCTCAAATTTTAGTCACTATTACTTTTATATTCACAAACTGAACACACGACAAAATTCTACAACTTTTCTGTTTAAATGCACTTTTTGCAATAGGAATGCTGAACATGTTCTGTTATCTTCTGGGCTTGTGTCTTATGTTACTTTGTGTAGGAGGAGAAAATATATAGACACACTGAGTACCCACTGATGGTCTGACACCTTATAATAAACAGTAGCGTATATGCTGATGAAGAAGTAATGTTTTATTGTTGCTCTATTTGCTTCAGACTGTATTGCCTTAGACGAAAAAGCTTCAAAGAAAGCAAGGAGCTGTTTTCTGAAGTGCAACTCCTTGTTGATGCAAATTAGATGTCACCAACCTTTTTGGACCTGTGGGCACATAGTGATGCTTTGTTGATTCTTACTGCTGAAAATAGGGCTTGATGATCATAGAATTGTAGAGATGGAAGGGGCCTAAGAGTCATCTAGTCCAACCCCTGCAGAAATCTTTTTGCCCTACATAGGGCTCAAACCCATGACCCTGTGATCAAGAGTCTCATGCTCTACCGACTGAGCTTTCCCACTGATGAACTTGTTAAACTCTTTGATTGTGTTCCTAAAGGGTATAGATTCAGTGATGGGATGGTTCCTGCTTATTGATTTGTACACAGGACCATGATTTATTTTGACTGCTTTGGATAAGCTGCAGGATCCAAATGCTTTTTAAAGGCAGCCCTATATAGAACATACTACAGTAATCCAGTCTTGAGGAAAGCAGGACATATGTTGGGTACAATATTGCTGAATGCATGAATAATTCTGAGTTGGAAAGGGTTGAGGTAAAGAAAACTATCCATTCATTTTCAAAACAAACAAGAGCTTTGTATAAAAGCATGCAACACAACATTATAAGACTATATTAACATTAGCATACATTTCCAAGTTTTATAGAAATGTTAAAAAAAACAATGCCTTGCTGAGTTATGGATACCCTTAATAAATTAGCCGTAATAGAGTTTTTGGTTTTTTTCCAGAATGCCAATGTTAATTATTTGCTATTGTTTAGTTTCCCTTTTTGGTCTTTTAACAGGAGTCGTAAGTCTTCTGAGTAACATAGTGGTCCTAGGCATCTTTGTTAAGTATAAGGAACTTCGAACAGCAACCAATGCCATTATTATTAACCTGGCTTTCACTGACATCGGAGTGAGTGGGATTGGCTACCCCATGTCTGCAGCTTCAGATCTGCATGGAAGCTGGAAATTTGGCTATGCAGGCTGCCAGGTACTTGGAAGTTAGAAATTAAAGACCAAAGCGTGTTTGTGTTTATCCCTGTTCCAGCTGAAGTGCACTTAAGGCCTTTGGTTGATCTGATTGACATCCTATGCCCTTTTAAAATGTGGGGTTTTGGGGGGAGGGGGTGACTGGGTTGTTTTTTCGATTATATATTTGGTGGTTTTATATTTTTATTTTGTTCTGTGAATCGCCCTGAGACCTCCAGGTATAAGAGGGCAGTATTGATTGATTGATTTGAATGCATGTAAACAAGTGAGATGCATCTAGGTCATTCCTACAATTGTTCATGTTCCATTCTGAGCACAAACAGTGATGCAGTCCTAACAGCCACGCCATATGTTACAGCAGAGGCACAGTTATTATGGAATAGGACATCCCTATTCTCAATGGAAAAATGTTGGAGGGTATGCATGCGCCCAAAGAGTGAATAGCTGATAAAATAGGCTCTAGAGAATTTAGTGAACAAAAGTTTATGTCACAATAAATCTGTTAGCTTTTCAGATAGCACAAAGCTGTTTGGTATCTGCTACCCACAGAGCCTAGGACTTGCCGATCAGAAGGTTGGCGGTTCGAATCCCCACGACGGGGTGAGCTCCCATTGCTTGGTCCCTGCTCCTGCCAACCTAGCAGTTCGAAAGCACGTCAAAGTGCAAGTAGTTACGTAAATAGGTACCGCTCTGGCAGGAAGGTAAACGGCGTTTCCGTGCGCTGCTCTGGTTCGCCAGAAGTGGCTTAGTCATGCTAAGTTAGGGGTCCCTTTACCTTTACCCCTCTGCAAGCTGGAAATGAGGCATTTCAGAATTGTAAATTAAAACACATACTAAATTGGGCTTGCCACTAGATGGCTGCCTAGAGTAGAACGTCTGACTCCTAGCACTGTCTAGCTATTCATAACATTTTTCAGCTGTGAAAACTATTAGGGGCGACAAATGGGCAGAAGACCTGGTGGATAAGGGACCCAGCACAGGGGCAAAACACTTCACTTGCCACAGGCCCCACAGTGCCTCCAGCTAAAAGGATCAGGGAGTAGGTGAAAATAAAGAACTCTGTTGGAGAGCTACTGCCAGCTGGAACAGGAAACAGAGCTTGAGATGATGCCTTAGGCCAGAGGTTTTCAAACTTTTTGAGTCCACAGCTCCCTTGACCAAATATGTTCTTTCTGTAGCACCCCTGTGGAGCTCAGGAGCCCAGTTATGTCACCCCTTGCCTGCCGAACTGGCAGCCTCTCATCCTTTTTCAAACACCCTCCCTTATGGAGTGTTCCCTCAGCCTCCTCTCCTCTCCCATCTCCTTGGGAGTCCTCCAGGCAGCCATTGCAGCCCCCGCCCCCCATCTCTGAAGCTCCTTAGCTCCTGGCAACCAGCATCCCCTGGCCAGCCACAGAGGCACCAATTGTCTGGGGAGCTTGTAACCAAGGCTGCTGCAACAAACAGCTGTGCAAGCCTTTGGGAGGCAGAGACGCAAGAGGGCAACAGAGGAGGGAAGGAAGGAAGGAAGGAAGGAAGGAAGGAAGGAAGGAAGGAAGGAAAAGAGGCCAGTGTTGCCTGTGGCACACTAGTTGTAGACCCACTGAGGCTGTGAAATATACTTGGAGTCGAGTGTGGATTTCATGCTCTTTATTCAGGTCATAGTAGTGAGGAATGAAAGTTTCCCCAAAATATCTGCTTTATATACATTATTTACACAATGGGTCACACGTGATTGGCTAATTCTGGGATTCTCCTGTAGGCCAATCAGGTTGCGGATTCACTTCCACCTGAAGCTGGATTGGGTGGCTCCTGTGGACCAATCATACTGCTGCATTGTTCTAGGACCAATCAGACTGCTGCATTCTGAATCCTATTGTTCTTGGACCAATCAGACTGCTGCTTTTTTGGATCCTATTCAACTCAGTACATAACAGGCTGAGTCAGACCAGTATTCTTCTCAGTATTATCTATGCTGGAATTGTAACAGAGAAATGTCAGATTAGTAAAAATATATAGAGGAAATGGCAATTCATTTACCAGAAAAAATAAAACAGCAAAAAAAGTATATAGATAGCACCATCCACCTATAAAAAGTCACAGAATAAATCTTCAACCTAGTCTACTGTGTTGGAGAGGATGTCGGCAAATGGGGGCTTATCTCAATATGTGGTGGAGCTGCAAGAAGGTTCAATCCTTTGGGGAACTAATTATGAATGAAGTATATGTTCTTACAGGTCAAACAGTACCCTTTGGTCCCCAAATAGCATGGTTCAGCTTGTTTGCTGATGATTTAAAAGATCTAATGTAGACACTGGAAACTTGTTTGGAAAGTGTATGGAACATTTCCCTTATGGAAAAGTTATCAAAGCAACTTAAATCTCTAAAAAACATGAGACCCAAATACAATTTTTGAGGAAATTATGTGTATTATATGTTTATGGCTCTCTCTGGAACAACTTGTTAAGATATGAACAGATAACAATGCTCAGCTAGCCAAAATCCAACACGGGAACTTCAGTGTTACATTTTTTTAAGCTAAACTTGATATTATTTGGGGTTGATATACGCAACAATGCATAATAACTGCAAAAATAACAGCAACAAGGATCAGAGTTCAAAACCTTTGAAAACAATGACGATTATTCCTTGAAAATGATTATATAATCTCTCCAATTTCAGATCTATGCTGCTTTAAATATCTTTTTCGGAATGGCAAGTATTGGTTTGCTTACTGTTGTTGCAATTGACCGTTACCTGACAATCTGCAAGCCACATATAGGTATGTTATATTCTTGCACAAACAAATATATAGTCTGTTGCAACTACTGTATAAAACACAGTATAGGTTTAGGTTATATTTTATTGCCTAAACTCATGAACTGTTTTTTTCATGTAGACTTTTTGTTATAGATGCTTGAGTTGATTGTCGCTTACACACAGCAGGACCAGTTGAGCAAATAAATGCTACAGAGTTTTGCCATTTAAAGCACCAGCAGTTCTGTTTGCTTTCTTAGTGCTCTTTGGAAACTTTGTTATCCACACAGAGTTAACCAAGTCATATTTTAATAAGGTTTATGAGATCCGGCACTTGAAAAATTGAAAGGGGTGAAGACGAAAGCAGACAATCTTGGTGACCAGTTTGCATGGGGGGGGGGGTGTAGAGGGAGATTCAACTGTCATAAAACAATATATAGGTAGGTAGCCATGTTGGTCTGCTGTAGTCGAAACAAAATTAAATAAATCCTTCCAATAAATCCTTAGAGACCAACTAAGTTTGTTGTTGGGATGAACTTTCATGTGCATGCACACTATGTGTGTGTCTGAAGAAGTGTGCATGCACACGGAAGCTCATACCAATAACAAACTTAGTTGGTCTCTAAGGTGCTACTGGAAGGATTTTTAAAAATTTTGTTTTGTCATAAAACAACATAGGCTGCAGTGCAGCCACAAGGCTCAGAGCGCTGATAATCTAGGAGCAGGGGAAATAAACGATGGTTTTGTGGGCAAAAGCACTATTTTAATATTTTACTTACATATCTTGCATTGGAGATCCAGCACTGAGCAAGTTGGAATAGATTACCTTTCAGTGTCTACTAACTCTAAAATCCTATGATTAGGCACACAATGAAGCTACCTTGCTGAACCTAATCCTATGCATGCTGCCCTGAATTCCATCATGGGGAAAAGGTGTGATACAAATGAAAATAAAGTACAGGGGTAATCCTGTTAGTGGAAGGTTCATGGTAGGTGTGGGGAACCTGTGACTCTCCAAATGCTGCTGGAGTGCATCACCCATCATCCCTGAACATTGGCCATTCAGGCTGGGGCAGATGGGACTTATCAGACCAACAGCATATTGTGGGCGGTGATAGGTTCCCTACACCTGGTTTTGGGGAATGGTGTTTTGTCATCTCTTGTCTTTTGGGGGCCACCTTTTGATTGTAAAAAGTGTGTTGATGGAGGGGAAAATAAATGCTTCCATTTCATTAACTATATGAAGCCAATATATAATTTGGGTATTAATATGTCTGAGGGCTTTCTTATGTAGATCTACAATAAGTATAGATTGATTTTGTTTATACAGTTTTGTTATCATTCAAACACCGTGTTTACTTCAGTGTAAAATGTTATAAGTGACCAGGGAGAATAAACAGAGGTATCACTGTTTTGTCTCCATAGGTAGTAGACTTACTGCTAACAACTACACAGTTCTGATTCTTGCTGCCTGGATCAATGCAGTCTTTTGGGCCTCAATGCCGATTGTGGGCTGGGCAAGCTATGCCCCAGATCCAACTGGAGCTACCTGTACAGTGAACTGGAGGAAAAACGATGCGTATGTTTTGACTTGTCGGGCAGTATGTGTGTGTGTTTGTTCGTAAATTTGTACTGGGCTTGTGTCAGTGCAGCCTTACCATAAAAAGTGGCAAATATTGAGATGTTGGTGGGGAGGAAAGAGCTTCTAAAGAGGGCAAGAAAGGTTTCCAAACTATGTTTTCTCCTCCAAGAGTATAAAACATGGGGGTTTTTTTAATATATTGTATTGATTTTATATTTAAATTATTTTTTATTATTTCTCTTTATAGGTTTTTTATTTTATTAAAAAGCCATATTTAAAGTCTTCATAGTGCACTGTGAATTGATTGGAGCTAGAGACTCAAGAGAGTCTGACTCCCTAACTGTTGACAAGTAAACAAACCCTTGTGGGCAGTTGTGAAGGTCACAATCCTTTTTTATATTTACTCAGAAGCAAGTGCTATTGGGTTCAATGGGAAATACTCCCTATTAAGTGGGTAATAGGCTGTGTGTCTAAACTCAGCCAAAATGGAGCCATTATTGATGGGTACAGTATAAAAAAAACACTTTTAGAACATGTTGCACTGTACATAAAATGTTTCACTCTAATCTTACAGTTAAACCAGGATGAAAGGTGGTGTTTTCTAGTTATCATCTTTGTTTTTCCCCCCCACTTTCAGATCCTTTGTTTCTTTCACGATGTCTGTGATTGCCGTTAACTTTGTCATCCCGCTATCGGTCATGTTTTACTGTTACTTCAATGTTTCGCGAACTATGAAGCGGTACGCCAGAAGCAGTTGCCTGGAGAGCATCAACATAGATTGGTCTGATCAAGTAGATGTAACAAAGGTATGGTCATTCTGGCAGAGCTCCCTTTTCTGTTTCAGTGGGGAGGAAATCAGTTTATTTTTCACACTGAGGTGCTGAAACAGATCATAAGATGCTGCCTTAGACTGGATCAGACTATAGGTCCATCAAGTTCATTGGGTTGATTGGTTGTGGTTCCCCAGGGTTTTAGAAAGGGGGCTTCCCAGCCATACTAGAAGATGCTGTGGATTGAACTTGGGACATTCTGCATGAAAAGCCGTTGCTCTACCACGGAGCTACATATGTTCATGCCAAACACAAATATGATATACTAGGGCACTGTTACCCAAACTTGGGTCTCCTGCTGCTTTGGGACTTCAATTCCCACCATCCCTGACCACTGGTCTTGCTAGTTAGAGATGATAGTAGTCAAAAAACACTGCACTAGGGGTTGCCGCCCCTGCTCATGTCACTTGACAACTCCGCCACCCCTCGCCATCCACCTTGCCAAACCAAATTCCTTCCTTTACACCTCACAAAACCAAATATCTTCACGGCTCCTTCAAGCCTCCCTCCTCCCACATCCTCACATCTCCTCTGTGTCTCTCCATCCCTACTTTATTCCAACCTTAGATGGGCTTGTAACAAAAAACGGGGACTGGACAGAATGAAGGTCTGAGGTAACGATCAAAGAGATGCTAGAACAGAACTGAAAATATTTTGGGACATCACACTTTGTTCATTTTCCTTTACAGATGTCCGTTGTCATGATTTTAATGTTCCTGGTGGCGTGGTCACCATATTCTATCGTGTGTTTATGGTCTTCATTTGGGGATCCCAGGAAAATTTCTCCTGCCATGGCAATTATAGCACCATTGTTTGCCAAGTCCTCCACATTCTATAATCCCTGTATTTATGTCATCGCGAACAAAAAGTAAGTGGTTCACTTCTACCACAACTTAAGAGGTGGAGATTCTGTGGGGAGAGAATGTGTTATAAATGTGAGAGTTCCAGTGTGATGCAGTGGTTAGACTGCTAGACTTGGACGGTGAAGCTCGTGGGTGGCTTTGAGCCATTCACTTCTTGGAGGTGGAATTATTGGAATTTGAGGGATTGGCACTGAATTCATGCATCCAACACTGAAAGGATTTCTCCCTCTTTCAGGTTTCGAAGGGCCATCTTTGCGATGGTCAGATGTCAAACACGGCAGGAGATCACAATCAACCATGTCTTCTTGCCAATGAGCGCATCTCAAAGCACAATTACCTAAGGATGCTGATGGAAAGCATTGCCTCTATGTTTACTTGCTTGCCGAATCCCTGGAAAGAAGCAAGTCTGATCTGTTTTGCGGATAGTTGGGTTACAAGGCCTTTGCTTACTTTCAAGTCATTGGACTCCATAGCTGGATCCTGTGGTAGCTATGATGGTAACAAGCACCATATATTTTATCCCCCGAGATGTACCAGGGTCCTGGCTGGCCCAGGCTGTATGGTTGCTGACCCCTGGTGCCAAGCTATCTGCTGCAATATTGTATTAGCAAAAGGACCCTTGTGGTTCATTGTACAAGCACAATATTTCATAGGCGTGTGCCCTTAGTATCTATAATAAAACATCAATAAAAATCAAGACTTCAAGATTAGTGTTTTTGACTGGTTTATATCATTTCCCACAATTATTAGTCAGTTTTGTACCTGTTAGGTTGAGGGAAGAGGGGATGGTACATTTTCATCAAGAATATAAACCATATTACAGTAACAAATATATTTTTAAACCATATTACAGTAACAATTATATTTTTAAACAGCCAATACTCCTGTTTCTTTTCTTAAAAGCAAACAAATGTCAACAGAAAAACAGTAGCGAGCAATACACCTTCTCTTCCCAGTTCTTGTATGCTTCAAAGTGATTTTTACTGAAACTATTCTGAAAGAAAGTAATTAGATCTGATAGCTAATCTGTGCTTTTTTAAAAAAGCAAATATGTGATTGTTTTTAAAGAAGAGCGAAGGACAAACAGTTAAGTTTTTAATCAACAGGAAGCCACTTTTCAAGATTATTGCACTCAGATTATTGGTACCATCTGCTACTAATTGTAAGTATATTTCATTAAATGATTATCAGTTCCTTTATGCTTCATGGGTCTCCATCTGTATACAGCTAATTTTATTCAGCTGTTAATTTAAAATAATTGGTCTTTTACAATAGCACCCAGTCAAAAAGCATTTTTGCCCCCATTCTGTGCCTCTGCCAATTTGGTGTTTTATTTTTGCTGCATAATATAGGTGTGCTTCACAGTTATTCAAAGCATAGAGCATTTTTTAAAAAATGAAAAGGTAGTGTTTCACTTGCATTGGCTGTCTAAACTGTGAGTTACTCTGGTGACATTTCCCCGCTTTAATTTCAGTTTTTCATTTGATATTTAAAGAGTCCCTCTTTAGGATGGTTGCAATTTAAAGGTAATATATTCCTCCTTTGACACAATAAGAAGCGAGCTGTTTCAACTGATCCTTTGCAGAATACATTTGAAGGTTAAGTAACTGCAGCTCTTGGTTAATCCAGGGTAATCTGCTCTTACTAAATGGATGCCTATGTTCACAGCCGTGGCACACAGAGGGAGTGCCTAGGAATAAAAGATTTTAGGTTTTGGGTATATCAATTGTCCTGGAAGGAAGTCATGTATCTGATTGCTGCTGTCTGCATTGTGATGAGCTTTTTGGAAGAAGTCGATAGTTTCTGCCCATCTCAGTGCACTTGCATCTATCATGGCAGAGGGGACGACACTGGAACAAGGTAGGCTTTTCTTTTCTGTTCTGTTCAAAAGAAAATGCTACTCAGTACAACCACAGGAAAGCAGCCGATGAAATTTCAAAAAAAATTCCAATGCTACTAGTGATTGGTGTAAATGCTACAGTGGTTCATGTGCTTTGCAAGTTATTTCTGCAGCAAATTAATATACCAGGGGAGAAATTAGAATTCCCACCCCCCCACCCCGCTTTGCACTCTTATAGTAAGCTACATGCATAGGCAGGGTAGCTGGCCGCAGAGTCTGATCTAATTGGATTGCAGTAAAGGGGGCTGAAACTGCAGGGGGGAAATGTCAATGCAAGCCTATACATGTCTACTCAGAAGTAAGCCCCACTATACTCATTGTGGCTTTACGGGTAAGTGAGTGAGTATAGAACTGTTTCCTTCATTGCTTCAGACAAATGCCCCTAGAATCTACATCCTTCTGCAATGCCAGTATTTTGAAAATAGTTTTAAAGAACATCTAGTCAGTGCACATCACTTTTTTACAGTTATTCATTCCGTAGGGAAGCCATATTTGAAACAAAGAAGATACTGATATCCAGGTCCAGAATTCTATGAGAGCAATCGTGCCCACGAATTTCAGCTTTGCTCCATTCCAGAATGATGGAATAGAGAAGGATGGTGCACTGAGTCAAGAGAAGGTTCAGGGACTTGATTGTAGGCCAGAAGCTATTTGTGCAACCCAGGCTTCAGGATGCAGTGGATTCTGTGGCCCCACAGCAATCATTTGCAAATATGGTGGGGCAATCCATTGACAGAAGCCTGTTTCTTCAGCGGGGGTGGGGGGTCCCTCAGCAACACCACTGGAGTGAAGTCAAGGTCTGGAAACTTCAACACAATTTGTAATGATAGATTCAAAACATGTATTTTATTCTCTATTTGGAAAAGGAAACAATGTTCATTTAGTTGTATTGTACCTTATGTGGGACAAACAAAGGACATAAAAGCAATACAAACATCTGCAGTTTGTATTACATTGTTTGCTAAATAGTTGACTACTTATTGGTTTTATCTTTTTTTTAATCGTGAGTGGCTTTGAGACATTGATTTGCTTAAAGTGACTAACAAATGTTAAGAACTGTTGGAAATAATGGATGGTACAGCATAAGGTGAAACACAAATGAAAGTAAAAATCCAACTGTCTAGAATTTCTAAAATGATATTTTTAATATGATAGGCTTAGCCTTTTTGGACCCTGCCTCAGCAGCTTCATGGAATTCATGAGAGGATGGTTATTTTCAGCACCTGCAAATATAATTTAGTTTATTTTTTTGATATATTTTAGTTTTCTAAAGCCAGATATAATGGTTAGCTAGAAAAGGGATTTGGTTTTAGGACTTGTGCAGTTCTTTTTTTCTTGCACAGATATGCTGCAATCTTATACCGGTTTCAGTGGGAGTAGATACGCTTTGAACTGCACTGCCTTATCTTCCCAAATGCCATCGAGTGGGGGAAGGGAACAAAATGTCAGCTCAATTAGATGAAGTGGTTTTGAAAACCCTTCCTTCAGAAAATAAATTCAGAAGCATTCCAGACGCTTTTTGAGTCTAGATATGTTATAAATTGTGCTTGAAGGTTCTTTGGCTCTGGTGCTCCACATTTAAGGTTTCGTTTTCACTATTTGTTCTTACATAATCCTATTGTGAACTCATTAGTGTTTCTCTGGTCGGAGATTCATGGAATTAGTGGTCAGTTAGAAAAGGGGTTTGTCTTTAGGAATTGTGCAGTTCTTCTTCTCTTGCACAAATATGCTGCAATCTTATAACAGCTTAATAAGAATAGTTAAATCATGTATGCTGTCAGCCATCTGGCGTTGTCCATGCCTGTGTTCCTTCTTGAATCGGGCTTAGCCTCTGCTTGTGGCCTCTGGTAGGTGATACCACAAACGGTAGATGAGACTGTTAGGCACGAGGCGCTGGGCCTTGTTGAAATCCTGAGTAATATGCTTATGACCCCCGTAATAGAGGCTATAACTTAGTTTTCAAAACCAGTTTATTTTGGATGGCTTTCTCTTAAAGGACACCTAGCACGTCTGATTACATTTCATCACCATTATTATTAAGTGTATCATGCTGTTTTCCTGTGTGGTGTTTTAGGCTTTGAATGATCAAATTTTTATTGAAATGTGATGTTAGGTTTTATTGTTGTTTTAAATGTAAGCTGCCTTGTGAGGGCTTTTGTCCTGAAAGGCGGCCTAGGGATAGATAGAAAATTAAAAATGATGGGCTAAACCAGTTCCTAGACGGTACTATTGTACCGTCAGACGGCAGGTGAGGGGAGCACATGGTTAAGCAGTGGAGTAGGGTGAGGGACGGTGTCATCTGCCCTCCTCTCAGCTCTGACTTTTTCTTACACCTGAGGAGAGTAGCTGATGCTCAAGTAAATCTGCCTAAAACATCAAGCCAGGTGAGTGTCTGAGACTGTTGTGTCCACCCAATTTGGAGGAAGTGTGTCATGGGCACTTTGTATATGTACCTCAGAAGGACCACAACACCAGCTGAAGGCAATCGGTTTGGTGTGAGACCAGTGGGGATGAAGAGTGGTTGCCGCCCTCTGTTTTCAGTCTCCGATTCCTGTCATCCCCAGCCAGTGTTGTTCAGCACCATGTGGACTTCCTCTGGTGTGGGCTACATCCTCCTCTGCTCACTTAACATCAACCTGCAGTGAAAGAGCAGACTTGACATGAGGGTTTGAAGGGTTATTACAGGCTTCCTCAACTTCAGCCCTCCATATGTTTTTTGGCCTACAACTCCCATGATCCCTAGCTAGCAGGACCAGTGGTCAGGGATGATGGGAATTGTAGTCTCAAAAAACATCTGGAGGGCCGAGGTTGAGGAAGCCTGGGTCATCATAACCCCCTTTATACTGTGCTATTGACTGGGTTAGGTTGCAATCCAAGCCCTTGGCTAGCAGCAATGGGGCTTAACAGTGGTGTAACCACTGTCACATGCCAGGGCAGAAGATGGGTGAGGAAGAGGAAAATGCCTGTCTGCAACACAGGTTGGCAAAGCGAAAAGGCCCATCTTGGGCCCATTGCCATCATGTGACTGTGCTATGGCCCTATCGACAGTGTACATTTCAGGTAGTATCATGCCACTTTAAACAGCCATGGCTTCCCTCAAAGAATCCTGGGAACTGTAATTTGTTAGGAGTTGTTAGGAGGAGACCCCTGTTGCCCTCAAAGAGCTATAATTCCCAGAATTCCATGGGATTGTTCGTTAAACCACTATGGGACTTATAGCTGTGAGGGAAATAGGGTTCCTTGAAAAATTCATTGAAAACAATTCATTATCGCCTCTCTTTCTTTTTGTTTTACCTTAGGTCTGTGCTGTGCAATGATCCTGATATGTTTGAGATACCTGTAAATGTTCCAGTGGATACAATGAAACTCCGGATAGAAAAGACTGTCATACGAAAGATCCCAACTGAAGCCTTCTACTACCTGGTGGATCTCAAATACCTGTGGCTTACCTACAACTCTATAGCAAACATTGACACGAGCAGCTTCTATAATTTAAAACTACTGCATGAATTGCGCCTGGATGGGAATTTGCTGTCGAGTTTCCCTTGGGAATCTTTGGCTGAGATGCCTAACCTCCGAACACTTGACTTACACAACAACCTAATGACCAGCATTCCTGCTGAGGCCGGCAAATATCTGAGGAATCTCACTTACCTGGACATATCTAGCAATAAATTAACCTCTCTGCCATCAGACATCTTGGATATCTTGCTTCCTTTTTCTGAAACAGGATTGCCCAGAAACACAGAACCCAGGAATGCAGACTCCATAATACAGAGGGTCATATTAGGTAAGCCGGCAAATATCGTGAAATTCCTTCTTTGAACTGTGCCAGCTGGCATGAATCTTGAATGAGTCACTGAGCCATTGAAAAATAGTTCTGGCCATACATTTCTTGCACTGCTGTTTCCCTAAATTTTAGTTTGGCATTTTAGCATGAAAGGCATGTGAGAACAGCAAGATCTGGAACTTGGTTAGAATACTTTGATCAATGCTGTCTATTGTGTTGATTGGAGCACCCACAATTCCTATGGTCTGCTTTGCTGACTAGCGGGAAGCACTGCCACTGCTTGTGTGCCTTGTGAGCTTTTGATGTGCTGACCAGAACCCCCTGCAGATGTGCATTGCTGTGACATGTTTGCTTTAAGCGTCTTAAAGGAACTGACCTGACAAAAGTTCCATTCATGATCCAGTGGGGGCAGGGCATACACAAAGTCATTGGCTTTGGTATTATAACCACACATGTGGGTTCTGCAACAAAATGTAGCAGTGTCATGTGATTCTGCTCAGGATACTCTTTTCCAGGACATTCCATTCAATTCCCAACCCCAGTTTTCTGTTTTCTTCAAGAGGCAGTCAGTATTCCATGTCCTTTGAGCTCCTCACAGAGCAGCTTTGGAGTGGGCTCCCTAGTTTTCCACCCCTCTAAAGATTGTACTTTTGCACATGTGTTCTACAATATGCATTGGCAAAATATGGGGGCAACTCTCGAGGTTTCACAAAGCCTGCTGTTACATTTCTCCTGTGCAGTGATGGGCTGTTCAAGTAGCACATACAAATATGTACCAGGTCAAATATGCACCATTGTCCACATTCAGAGAATGAGTTTGCTAACTTTATGCGTTATATAGCAGTGTTTCCTAATCCTTCAAGAATTGCATATCCCTGCTGAGAGTTTAGTCTTACCTGAATACCCCTTCTAGGACAAATATAACTTGGGGGTAGTATTAATAATACGATTTAACTATGATAAAGTAAAATAAAAATATTCTGCTGTGCACCCTTTAAGACCCTTTCATGTATCCCCTGGGATGCATGCACTACGCTTTGGGAAACACGGTTTTTTGGGTTGTCCAAATACCACAGTTATCCTTGCGGGTGACTTTGCTAGACAACTTAGGTAGTACAAATCGCTGTTCAGCAGAGGGTGCTGTTCCTTTTATAGTTGGAACTGAGCACCAGTTTCTGAATGCGCCACTCTGAAGGTTATGCTGTACACATGACTTTTAAATCACTTCTCATTTCTCCTGCGGATTGATTCTTCTCTTGCACTATCTTCTCATAAATCATTGCTGCTGATCCTGATTCAATATCAGGTGCCTCCTCACAAATTATCTTGTTTTGCATGCAGAATTGGCAGTGCCAAAAGCCAACAAAACAAAAGTCTGGCATCTCCAATTCTAAAATAAAACTCAGTACTGGAAATTCTGGGAGGCATTTAAAGTTCCTTGCACTGTTTCTGCACAAGGGAGCTGGTGCACAACTGCCCTGAATTAGGGATTCATTTATTGAATCAGCTGCAATAGAGATTCATGCCTAGAATGTTGTTTTTGTCTCTCCTTTCCCCCATCTTTCTTTTTCCTGTTCGGTAGTGCCTATTCTTTCTGAATTTTTCTGCTGGGCCCTTTCTCAATGTTCAGATCTGCACGAGTTTTTTTTTTAAATTATTATTCTTATTCTTTATAATCACACTTTCCTCCAGGCTCATTGAATAACTTACAAAAAAATCATTCAGTTGAAAATCTAACTATAACATACATCAAAATCACCCTCCTATTAGTTATGCATTACAGTATATTCTTTTGTCCCTACTCATTTATCCTAATTTTTTCCCCTTCTTCCCTCCCCTATAACCCCTCCCCCCCAATTGTTCTCTCTTCAAATCTTTAACCATGTGCACAGATTATTCATTCTAATTTGGATGCTTGGGTTGGCTTCCCGTCTGCATAGATTTAAATATATTTACTGGTGCCTTCTACTCTAATGATAGCATCAAAGTTTGGAATTAAGTGAACATAGGAAGCTGCCTTCTACTGAGTCAGACTATTGGTCCATCAGTATCGTCTACACTGACTGGCAGCAGCTCTCCAGGATGTCAGGCGAGGTTCTCTCCTGAGATGACATGGATTGAACTGGAGACCACCTGCATGCAAAGAAGAAGCTTTAGCACTTAGCTATTACGCTTCCCAAAGGGCTTGTAAGGACAAACTTAAGAGTTTGCAATTCCAGTTGTCACTACTGACAGATACATCTGAGTGTGAGGGAAAAGGGGAGCAGGCAGCAAAATGAGGCACACGGATTGGTGGGGGACATTGATTGGTTAGTGAGATGTACCTGGACTCATCCTTTTTTCACTGAAGTGTAATGTGGTTCAAATTTTGGAGCGGGCTAAAAGGAGAAAGTACAATGGGAAGATATTTCAAAATATTTCAGGCAGTTGGCCCATTGCTATCTGTCCTCTTTACTTCCATGACTTCCACCTTGACAGAAACATTTCAGGGTGTGGAGAAGGGAGAGGGAGGGAGGGAGATGTCCTCATCTTACAGTGCTGGGAGAGACCACTGATCCTAGAGAGTCACTGTCAGTCATTGCAGACAGTACTGAACTAGATGGATCAAAGGCCTGGCTTGGTATAACTTAAGCTCCCCCCCCCATGTTGTCAGGCATAACTTCAGCTGCTTAAAAAATGAGAAGCAGGATGAGGCTAAAAGAACAGCACCAGATAGACTGGCACTGTAGGCTTATTGCTAAGACATTGCCTCTTGTGTCTAGTGGAGGCTTCTCTGTTAGGGCAAATGGGGCACAACCCACCAGCCTGAGCCTTGAGTCCTCAAAGCCCACTTTCCTACTGACAACCACTCCAGGGCCTGGCACTGCCTGTTGGCTTCCTCCTCCCGAGTCTCAGAGTTGACCCTGTAGAAACTCAGGAGGGAGGAGGATGGGGACAAGGCTAGAATTAGCTTGCTCTGCCTTTCATTGTCTCTACCTGCTGTTGGGCTCCCTGCCCTTTGTCCCAGCTGTACAATGGTCTGACTCAGTATAAGGCAGCTTCCTACGCTCCTATCCCTGCCAAGAACCTGCCCATGTAACTGATGCCTGCAGAAAGCAGGCTTCACCTCTTCTGCCCATCAGCTTCCTGCATTGGCTGTGTAAGCAAGTTGCCTGCAGAAGCTGGTGGTTGGTATTTTCCTCATGCTTGTGGATCTCTGGAAGGCATTCAGTTGGCCACTATAGAAAACCAGACCCCCTGCCACTGAGCTATGGCCCTTCCCTGTCATTTCTTATGAAATATTGTGTTTCTCCCAAGCTAGCTTTTATCTGAATTGAGAAAAAGAACGGCCTAGCTGTGTTTTAAGCCAGCAATATGTACACTGAGTTGCATTGCTAGCAAGACTACGAGCATACTATTCTTCTGTTTTCAGGCTTGCAAGACAACCCATGGTATTGTGACTGTCGGATTTCCAAGCTAATTGAATTTTCCAAAATTGTGGATACCGCCATTTTGCTTCTGGACCCTTTTGTGGCTTGCAGTGGACCTGAGAGCCTGGCTGGGATTTTGTTCCAAAGAGCAGAGCTGGAACAGTGCTTGAAACCATCCGTCATGACTTCGGCCACAAAGATCACCTCGCCCCTGGGAAGCAACGTCCTACTGCGCTGTGATGCAACTGGCTACCCCACCCCACAACTCACCTGGGTTAGGTCAGACAATGTGCCGGTGAACTATACAGGTATTGAGTCTCAAGCAAAAGGGAGACTATAGGTCATTTTACCTTGAGTTGACAGTCACCTGTGAGATCACTGAGAACCAAAATAGGGGTGTAGTCATCAAGAGTGGTGGGCTGGAGTTCAAATGCCCACTCAGCCATGAAGCTCACTAGGTAGTCTTGGCCAGCCACTATAGCCCTCTTCATGCATTACTCATGTGTAGAGAGGAAGTGTGGTGAAATGGATGGCAGGGATATGAATGATGCTTCTCCTGCTGCCCTCTCCTTCCTTATGTTGAACACCACCCCAGTCTCCAAGTGGTGTGAAATTCCAGGGCTTCCAGGCACTTAGCCAGGGTCTGTGTTTCCTTTTAGAAATGTATTAGATCTTTTTTATTGGATGCTGCTGGTCTGAGAGGCAGAACAAGAAATCCGTTTTTATAGATCATTGTATGTAGGGCTGACTTGGATCCTGTGCCATTCAACCAGTTTCACATACCTGAAACAGATTTACAGCCCACCCTTGCATATATTTGTTTAGAATCAAGTCCTACAGAGTCCAGTGGATTTTGGATTAAAATACGATATACTGCAGGAGAAATGTTTCTTCTAAGATGGTGTCTGAATAATCAGACTTAAAGGTTTTTAATGGGACGGGTTGACCTTAATCAACTGATTGATCTTAATCAGTGAAATGTTGTAGCCCTATGAAAAAAGTTCCTTGTCATTTGAAATGTATGTTGTAACACCACAAAAAGCACACTAAGGTAGTATGAATGCTGCTGCTTCGTGTTCAGGTTATCACACTCACCTGCATTGAATTGTTTTCCAGTTATTCAAGAAAGTCCTGGTGAAGGTGTAAGATGGTCCATCATCAGCTTGACAGGCATTTCCTACAAGGATGCAGGTGACTACAGATGCAAGGCCAAAAATTTGGCTGGAATGTCAGAAGCTGCTGTTACAGTCACTGTTGTTGGCGTTGTCACCACAACTGTTTCTCCACAAAAGTACGGGAAAAAGACTGCAGCAGACCAGCAAAACACCACCCAGGAAGAGGTCAAACAAGAATCCTTGAATGCAACCACCGCTTCTCCTTCAACACTGCCTACAAGCACCACTTATCCTACAACAGTGGCTACCAGTGAAAGGCCTACAACTGACAGAAGCAGCGACAAAAAACCACCCAAGTCAATGCCAGATGGAAGAAAGAACGCCAAATCAAATACAAACGGAGGCAAGAAACAACCAGGTGATGTCAGCAAGAAGGATGACGGGACATCCCTCAGCGCAGCAGCAGGAGCTGAAAAAAATGGTGCAGTAAAAAACCTAAGAGTAATTCCTGAAACTGACGAAAGAGTGACCTTAACATGGAAAACTGCCAATGTCACAAGCAACTCTTCTTTGACTGTGTTGTACTCAAAGTATGGGGAGAAAGACATGCTGCCCCTGAGCACAGACCCCTCGAAAAACAAAGTCACCATAGATGGTTTGGAACCCAGCACACAATATATGGCCTGTGTTGTTCCCAAAGGGACCCCACCTACGAAGGACCAATGCATCATTTTCTCCACTGATGGAATTACCATGGAAGATGATTATCAGATTCCCATTTTGCTGGTAGCTGGTGGGGTGGCCTGTGCCGTTGTCTTACCATTGATATTTTTCTTACTGTATAAAGTCTTAATGCTTCACAGGAAACCAAAACCTGTCAGGGAAGATGACCTTGAAAAAGAGACTTACGTCAAATTTGAAACCCTTTCCCTCAAACCACGTTCCGTGGTGGCAGGTGGGGAGCTTTGGGCTCGGCGGAACACCGATGAGTCAGAAAGACTACTGCTGTGTTCTAGGTCAAGTATGGATTCTCAGATGACCTTCAAAAGTGAAGGCTCAAGGTCAGAGTACCTCTGCTGACTCTGGGTGTTCTGCGGACCATCTGAAGATCCCTACTGGGGAATAGGGGAGTGACTGCAGCCTTGTTTCAGATGCTGGATCAGTGCCAGTTATAAAATGTGAGGATTAAGGACAGCAGCACTGAATAGAAATCAGAATCGTCTTTGGTGGGACATATAGGGGGGGAATGCCTCTTTGAAAAGTGACATTTTTGAACTTTTGTATTATTTTTGAAGCATTCTGCCTGTTTATATTCTGTCTTTTTATCAATTTGCTCTTGTTCAAATGAAAGATTTTGTGTAAAACATGTACCACCAGCCTGTCCATTGCTATCTATGTTTCTTGTTTTTATATAAACTAACTTTAGATTAATAGGTATTAAAAATACATTTTTCATGTGCAGTTAAAATGTTAGATTTCTATGCTTGGACATTTGACAGATACAAGGGCCACAATCCAGCACAACTCATTGAAATAAGTGTGGATTCGTTGGTTTAATTCTGCTTTTTGAATTGTGGGCGAGATGTCTGGTGATAAAAACGTGGTTTGTGTTGTAAAACACAGTTGAACATTAAATAATGCCTTGTTTTGATATGCAGGTTTGATATGCAGGTTGGATCCAGACTAAGTGACCTACTTAGGTCCCATTCATTTCAAAGGAAGGGAAGGGTAACTAACTTACTGTGGATCCAACCCACTTAGTCAAAATTCATGGCTTTTTTTTCCTTGTGAGAAATTATGCGTCAGCTGTATATGATGGATACATTTGGGAGAAGTTTTATCTGCATTCTGAATTTAAGGAAAGGATGAATATATAGAATTTTGTAAGATACAAGTGTTTTGTTATACAGAAGTGCATAATAGCCTCCCCAAAATAGGGCTCTCCAGATGTTTTGTCTACAACTCTCATTTCTGCCTGCCTGCCTGCCAACACATTCATGTTGGTTGGAGGTGATGAGAGTTGATGTTTCAAACATCTGGAGGGACTTGGTTGGTGGCAGCTAGCATAGAAGATAACTACAGTAATATATTCCTAATTTACACTGCAGTCCAGGTTAGACATAGGTGCTAAAGATATAAGAGGAAATCAAGGTAAATTTGATCAAACAAATTTTGATCCAGATGTCTAAAGGTACATAGCAGGGCATGTTTGTTTTGCTTGTTTATTTAAGGGGTTTCTCCTTCCATTCTGGAAGAAATCTTCCACAGAGCAGCTTGCACTATTTTAAAATACGAATCCATTCCATAAAACCTTTTAAAACACAGCCAAGCAATGATAAACCAACATTAAAACCACAAGTAGAAAAAAGTCATTCAGCGATACCATAGTAGTTAACTACCCTCTCTCATGCCCCATCCCAATCAAAACTGTTTGAGAAAAGAGATGGGGAATTGGCTTCTGGTTGCAGAGCCACTGCTGAGACGGCCCTGTTAAGTGTGCTAACCAATTTAAAGCCTTTACAGACAGGCACTGAAATACCGGTAGGCCTTCTGAGGTAGATATTTCGATATAGGCAAGACTAGCTCTCCCTCATTGCGTTCCCTCAGCACCTGCAATTCAGCTGTGGACTATGGAAGGTCCATTTCAGCTGTCATGACTTATAGCAGTTGGCAGACCATTATTACTCTATTATTTTTGTCTAATCCTGTATATTATTAATAATAATAATAAATAATAGGTTTTCAAGGCCAGGGATACCCTCGGCAATGCAAAACATTTTCCCTTCTCTTTCCAATGTTCAGATGTCGGTGCCACTCCAGATTTATGTTAAGCAACATTATCTGCACAAGAGAGTAATGTCAGCAGGCAGATGTACAAACATCTTTAGAAACTCCTATTGGGGATGACTCAAAACATAGCTCAATGAAGACAGAGCATGTTCAGTTTCCATATCAACTAGTTCCCCCTGAATACATACTTTACAGACTTTGGGACCCAATTTTATCTGTAGTTAAAGACCTTTAGAACTGTTAACTTGAAAGTGGTGTTGTACTGCTTACAATTGCTGCAACTAAAACCTTGTTGAAAGGGTCCACTTCCAGGGACCCAGGAACTCCAGGATAATCTAGAAGTGTTGGTTGCAGCACTGATCAAGGAAAAGCAGCGTTGAAGATGTTGGTTAACAAATCATCCTGACTTTGGGCACGGTTTCCAAAGAGGTTCTCCTTCCTTGGGATCTAATTTTAGGTGGGAGAAAAAGGTTTTCTAATAAAACTTTAGCTTCATAAGGACAGATCAATTTGGAGGTGCATTGAGAATTATATCTATCTGGTCAAGTCAAAATAATAATAGATATTATTTAAAAAACAAAGTTTCATCCAATGAATAAACAGAAAGCAAAATATCTCAAAAATAAGATAAGATAAGATAAAATGTTATCTGGAATATTTTCAGGTGGTTTTTTTTTAAAAAATAAAATAAAATTCTGTTTCGTCAATTCAAATCAAGCATTGACTGCAAATGGAAAAGGCATTCAAAGACTTCATAGTTGAGTTTGATGGAATGATATATCATCCTGTTTCTTTTCATATTGACCTCAAAGCATCTCACTTATTTTCCACAGATGCAACTGAATCTGGCCTAATTTGGAACAAAACTATCTCACTTCCTGATTAGAAATAAAGCCATAATTTAAATATATGTTCTCACTTCCTGATTAGAAATAAAGCCATAATTTAAATATATGTTTTACTTACAATTGCTTTTAATTATGCCCAGCATTGAGTTACCTAGTTTATGCCAAGTTTCACCCTTTTTCACTTGAACTTTTTGTAGTAAAGGTACTGTTCACAATGAGCTAATGTTAGGAGAATGTGGGTCTCAGACTGTCTTGAAATAAACAAGACTTGGCCATTGCTAGTGCACTATATCTTATACTGGATTTGTTTGCTTCACAAGGTGAAACACTTCCTCCACAGTGCATTTTATACCTCAACTTCCTCATCCCAGTTGTGGAGAATCATCTGTCGCATCCACACATGCATTTAATGCACAGTTAATGCATATTGCTTCACCCAGAGAATCCTGGGAATTGCTGTTTCCCTCTCACAGCTACAATTCCCAGCACTTTTAACAAACTACAGTTCGCAGGATTCTTTGAGGGCGGAGGGAGCCATGACTGTTAAAGCAGTATAAATCCCCTAAATGTTTGGTGTGGAAGTGAGTTAGAAGGAACTACTGGGTAGGGACTGGTGGATATGTCAATTTCAGTTTCTGACTGTCAGTTTTTCCAGTTTTACATTCTCCATATTTTCACATCAGTTTGCATTTTTAAAAGAAAGCCCTCCACAAAAAGTCCTCTTGAAAATTCACCTGCATTTTAGTGTGAATTTCCTTTAATATACACATTTTTGTATGCCAATTTGCCTGATATTTTTGGAAGGAATTTCCCCTCATTTAATGCAGTTTTTTATACTACGTTCAATAATATATGCATTTTAATGCACACTTTACCCTAGTATATGCATTTTCGTACAAACTACGGTACTTGGGTAGAGAATTGCCTTGCAAATGGCAAAGAAGTGCAAATTTCATCTGATGACTGTGTTTTGGTTCGTGTATTATTTCAGAAAGTGCAAATTAGGTAAGTTCACTTTTAAATGTGAACTGAATCAAATCTCCTCCTCTGCCCCATCCCTGTCTCCAAGGTTCCTTCAGGAAATCTGCTGCTATTCCATCCCTGTTAAGTAGGCAACCCAGAGCTCTGCTTAAAAGGCTCTAACAAAGGTCAACTCTCACTACCTTTCCAAAGCAGTCTGTTTCACTGTCAAACAGTGGTCTTCTTGGATTAGTTGAAAAATTTCCATTCCTGTAATTTGAACTGTTTGAGTCAGGTCCTTCTCCCAGGAGCAATAGAATCAAATTTATTCTATCATCAAAGTCATAGCCACTAGATATTTGAAGGTGGCTGTGATATCACCTCTTAACAGTATAATCTCTGGGTGAAACACAGTTCACTCCTAAAGCAACTGTAATAGTTTCTAGTCTGTTTTAATAACACACCTTATCTTAGGTGTGTAATGTTACTGCCCACAACCTGATTTATTTATTTAGATCATCTATGCCAGGGGTTATCAACCATTTGAGTCAGTGGACATATTTGGAATTTTGAGAAAGCACTATGGGTCACAAAATTGCTGCTGTGGGGGATTGCTACTACATTTTAAAAAGAAGACAAAAAGGAAGGACCACAAAACCATTTACATTCATGGCTCTGCTGACTTTTGCCTTTGGATACACCCACCTTGGGCTGCAAAAGGTTTCCTATCTCTGCAGTAATGGATGGAATGGATTACGTAAACAGGAGATTTCGTCTGCATAGATGTATAAACAACAATGAAACAGTTTCGTGCCATTGCTGTTAGTGGCACAGTTTCTAATCTGCTATTTCATGCTATTTCTTCGTTTCCAAGAGTACACGCTTATCAGTTTCTGTCAGTTAAGGTCAACAAAGCTAGTGTTCCTAGGAATGGCTCCATGTACAGCTGTGGCATCTCCTGGGTGCTGCCAGGATTGCCAGCTGCTGTGTTGTGCAATTCCAGACTGCAGTCCTAGGCCCATGTCCCTGGAAGTAAGCCCTACTGAACTCAATGGGACTTGTATCATGCTGCTAATCATATAATAATATACTTCACATTTCACAAGGAGTTGCCTGAAGGGTCTCAACTAACTAATATACTTCTTTAGAGATGAGCAAATCAGGAAGCACAGAATTATTGCTGTTGTTGTTATATTTTATTATTTATATGCTGCCCATTTGACCAGGTTCTCCCAGCCACTCTGAGTGGCTCCCAACAAAATATTAAAAAACACAGTAAAACACCAACTATTAAAAACTTCCCTGTACAGGGCTGCCTTCAGATGTCTTCTAAAAGTCGAATAGTTATTTATTTCCTTGACATCTGATGGGAGGGCATTCTACCAGGCAGGCGCCACTACCGAGAAGACCCTCTGCCTGGTTCCTTCTCACAGTGAGGGAACTGCCAGAAGGCCCTTGGAGCTGGACCACAGTGTCCGGGCTGTACAATGGGGGTGGAGATGTTTCTTCAAGAGTTCAAGTCATGTTTAGGTGTCATGCTGAACCCATTCTGCAATATTTGGAAACAAAGGCCTGGAAGATAACAAGGAGCTGTGCCTATTCAAGAGCAAATTAATTTTAGCGGACCCAAGAGACTGAGACTTCAATGTTAGCAAAGAGGCACTGACAAGACAGCAGCTTGTCTGATCAAGCTAAAGGGCCATAGGTGTCTGACAGCCCTAAGACAGGGGTGGAGAATCTCAAGGCTGGGGACCAAATGCATTTCTCCCAACCTGCTCATTTGGGTTTCAGGACTTCCCCCAATTTGCAAACCACCCCATAGGCTGCATCATCCTTGAGTATTTTTGCCTGGCTGGAATGTGTCCTTGAACTGTGATAATGGCTCTTGCTTGCCTAGTTGGAAAATGGAGGGTGTGTGTGTGTAAGAGTAAGAGTACCATCCATCTGCTCTGCCCCCATTTGCATCTGGTCTGGATGTTTGCCCATGAGAGGAATCTTTCAGGCCTAAAAAAGGTCCCCAAGCCTGTTGTGAGAAAGAAGCCCTGGCTCCAAGTGACAGAAGAAGAAGAAGAAGAAGAGGAGGAGTAGTAGTTTGGATTTGATATCCCACTTTATCACACTACCCTAAGGAGTCTCAAAGCGGCCAACAGTCTCCTTTCCCTTCCTCCCCCACAACAAGCACTCTGTGAGGTGAGTGGGGCTGAGAGACTTCAGAGAAGTGTGACTGGCCCAAGGTCACCCAGCAGCTGCATGTGGAGGAGCGGGGAAGTGAACCCGGTTCACCAGATTATGAGTCCACCACTCTTAACCACTACACCACGCTGGCTCTCATCTTGGGCCCATCTTAGGCACAATTTTGCTGCGGTTTGCCTACCAAACTATTGGGCGCCCCTCCAGGCCCAGAGTCAGCCTGCAGCATTCTTCAGCAATACTGAAGGCTGCATATCCTCCAACATTTTGGGAGGGCAAAGTAGGACGTCCCCTGCCACACCATCCTGCCCACCTAATCTCTGTGCTCCTTCTCTCACGCCTGAGCTGAGTGGAGATTTGAACCCTAGTCTCCCAGGTCCTTGTCCAACACACTAAATCACTACACCATGCTGCTGCTTCCCCTCTCTTTTCCCTTTCCCTTTCCCTTCAAATAGGCAATTAACTGGGAGCGATTGTCTAGCGATGCATTGCCTAACTTCCCTGGACCATGGAGCTGGCTACAGTTCTATTTGCAAACACAAGCTTCACTCAAGTGGCACTAACAATACAAGAAAGAGGGGGTGGGCAAGAAGCTGTAGGAAGAGAAGGACCATCATTCCAGCGTGCGTACAAAAATGGGATCTATGTTTTGGGGACTACAGTGTCTCTGCTTACCTATTACTTTCAAAAGATTACTTTAAAAATTAGTGCCTTTGTATATCCATATAAACCTGCAACAAATTCATTGTCTTGGTATTTAATTTTGCAATAGCACATTTTTTTTTAAAAAGCCATGTTAATTTTGTAACAAGGGAGTTAGGCATTTCATACTTCACTTCCAAAAAAAAAAAAAAAAAAAAAAGGCAGAAGAAGTGTGTGCATGAGCAAAGAAGAGATCACCCTGGAATTTCTTTGAGGGTGAGAACTGGAGTCAGCCAGCCCCTCTGCTCTCCTAGTGTCAAGTTTAGCCAGACCACGGAATTGAGCTGGGAGGTGATGTGTCTCTGCTGTCGTTGATGCACCTTGGGAATGAGGACACCTGCTTCTTTTTTATCTTGAAGATGCCTGAAATTGAGCAGTCTCGCCTGTCCTACTGACACTGAAAAAGTGGGTCAAGACTATGTTGCTCACAGATCTTTTGCTTGTGGCTTTTAAAATCAGTTTGGTCAGTCTGTCAGCTGAGAAGCTCTGGAGCTGTCCCAGAGGATACCAAATACAGAAGGAAAATTCCTCTTGTGTAGGTGAGTGAATTGGTCCCTCCCCCCTTCCAAACTTCAGGTCAGTTAAGAGGCTTAGCAATGCGGGGCTTTTTTGTTCAACGCTATTTTCTTAAAAAGAAACCATGTTTATGTGCCTTTATTCTTTGAAGTCTCTGCTATGTTTGCTGTGCATTTTTAGAAGAAATAGCTAGGACTACAACCTTGATAAGTTTCCAGTGAAATAGTAACAGGTGCTTTGAGACGTCTGCCAAGAAACTTGTCAGAAAAAATAACAAAACAAAAGCATGCAGGAGAAATATTTGGGTGAGGGGGTGTGTGGGTTTGGAGACATTAGTATTGATACATTTCATGGAAGTTAGGTTCATATGTGCCTTGGAGTAACTAATTTGCAGCAATTGTTTTCTTGAGCGACTCAAAAAACTTTTATTGATTTTCTTTCTACCACTTTAAGAGTTCTTGCTTCCCCATAAGAATACTGGGAATAGTAATTTGCCATTGAGTATTATCTGTGAAAGATGCCTATTCCCCTCTCACAGAACTACCATTTCCAAGGAATGTAAGTCTGCAATGTAAATATAATAGATATTGGCTGCAATCATACGCATGCTTACTTGGGAGTAAATCCCATTAACTCAGCAGGATTTGCCTCTGAGATATCTTTATTGAGAAGTGTTTCAAAACCCATGAAAGCTAAAACCATAGCAATAAGAGCTCTCATCAGATGGATCAAATAGTTGAAAGGTGTGTTGCTTCTCCATCACTGGGGTGGTTTTTTAAAAAGGCCTATATACTAGCAATCCTTTGATTTCCTTAAACTGAAGGTGAATTCACATGACCATTTTATCCACTACAAGTTTAATTTTTGCAGTTCAAGACCCTGTGAAGACACTGATCTTGGGAATAATTCTACATTTAGTTCAAATCCACAAAAGGCAGGATTTAACAGTCAGGATGGGAGTCCATTATAGATGTTGCATGAGGTCCTTTTGTTTACTGCCCACACTGTTTGTTTGTTCATGAAATTTCCATGCTGCTTAATGTAAAAAAGGCATAAGAGATAATAATGGGGAAACTCAATATAAATTCATATAGAAGTGCAACATTAACAATCAAATAAAACTTTTAAAAAGCTGACTAAAAACAGAATGAAACTATGTACCGTAGATAAAACTTAGCATTGCTCAAAAAGGAAAAAAGGACCACCAATCAGAAAATTGTGAATCAGAGTGCAGCATCCGGGTAAACATTGTGTTGTGAATCTGGGGGCAGGAGTTAGGTTGTATGCCAGAGTCCCTTCCAATTCCTGATAGCAAGGATTCTATTGCTGGAATAGCCCAGTCAATTTCTTGGTAATAGTCTATGTACAGGTAGGTCATTAAGGCAACAAAGGAAGAGACTTTGGCCAGATATCAAATGGGTGTGCCACCTCCCTCAACTGGCTGGTAGTTAGAAGTACAAAAGCCAGGACTGAGCTAGAAGCAGGCGGCAGGCAAAAGCCTGTGAGGCAGAGACATGCTTGGTTTCTGCTGGAATTCAAGGCTGTGTCTATGGGAGAAGCAAAACCTCTTGGGGTGTGAGCCTCTTCATTGTAGTAAAGTTGTATATGTGTGTAAATAAACCATATATCATAAAGACACCACAGTATCTGAGGTCCCTCATACCTCACCTCCAAAAGATTGAGGCTGCGTAGACATTATACATTTAAAGCACATTTGAAGCACATTTCCACCTCACAAAGAATTCTGGGCACCATAGAGTCCCTCTCACAGAGTTAAAATTCCCAGCAACCCCTAAGAAACTATGTACAGTGCCCACAATCCTTTGAGAGGGAGGAAATGTGCTTCGAACATGCTTCAAATAATGTTTGCACAGCCACAGTCTTTTGGAGGTGAGGTAAAATGCATCTGCATTAACATGAAGTATATTTTCTCCTCAGCATATGATTTGAAATTGAAAAGAAGAGTAGGGGAGAGTGGGTGGGAAGAAACTTGTAGCAGCACAGCAGATAACACTCAACAGCAGCATGTAGCAACCTAAATTTGGAATAGCTGAATATTGCTATCATACTAGAAGATTCTGTATAGGCCTTGGCATTAGGGAGGAAATAAACAAGGGCAGACTCTGGCTCACTTCACAATACACCAATGTGGACTCTGCCTCCCTGACAGGCATACTAATGCTTCTTCACCTTCTCTAACTGGGTCTTTCTTTCGGACTCTTGGTAAATGAGGTTGCTTGTGTATAAAGATGCTAAGGACTGGCTACTAGCATTGCAATGACATGATTCATCGTTTTTGCTCATTCTTAAGACCCTCTGCTGAGATGGCATAAAGAGGCCTTTGAGCTGGGAGCAGAACCTCATTCTTCCATTCTGCGCTGCCTGCCAGAGCATTGTAGGAAACTTTTGTTCTCCCTAAGAGGATTTATTTAACACAGGGAAAGTTCTCATTACAGGGAAATTGTTGCCAGGGTATCCAGAGCAGCTGCAGGAAGATGGCAGCTACTTCACTATTTTCATGGGTGTGGGGTAGAAACAGGCAGCTGATGATGATTAAGACTTGGTTGCACTTGATATTGTGGGATGTATGTTAAGAAACAGCATCTTCTCTACAAAAAGATAGATGTTTCCGCTGCTGGTTAAAACGGGCAAGCCTAGAGCTGCCAAATGGAATAAACAAAAACACCACCCCCTCTGTTGTGGAATTGGCGTGTTTTTCAGTCTGCAGAATTATGTGTAACTGGATAAATTCTTGGGATAGGCTTCACCCAAGGTATTGGATGTCTAGTTTGTACAGTGCAGCACCCTGCATTGACCAGAATTGCCTGATTTGTTAGCAAAGCAAACAAAGACAAGTTGTGGCTGTAGGGAAGAAATCACTTGCAACATCATAGAATTGTAACATTCTAGAGTTGTCCATCACAGATATATGACACCATCATATCATCTCACCACCGCCTTTGATCTACAAGCAGGGCCAGCAGGTGATGATGGGATGGGGGAAACTTTTGCTGTTTCTTTTACATGCAATTCTCTAGCTAGTTAACATGCAAAACATCTAGTTCAACCTGCCTTTCTCAACCTGTGGGTCCCCAGATGTTGTTGAACTACAGCTCCCATCACCCCTAGCTAGCAAGGCCAGAGCTCAGGGATGATGGGAGTCGTAGTCCAACAACATCTGGGGACCAACAGGTTGAGAACCGCTGATCTAGTTGGAGCCTGCAGAACTTGGATGTCTGTGCTTGAATCTTAGCTGCTCTTTGGATTGAATTCCAGGGGTCTGATTTTTTTATCTGCAATTGTCTGAATACAAAAATCTGTAGGATAAAGATGGAAATGCATTGACAGTCAAGCACATGTTTAAAATGAGTTACATGAGACTTTATTGAATAGAGCCTACTGAGCTCCAGATGTAGAGCAAACTAAATAGAGTACCTATTTTATTTAACAAAAGCCAGTGCCCAAATCCAGTTCTATTTGTGCTTTATAATATGTGACTAGTGGACCTGAATGAGGATGTGACATCAGATGTATCTATCAAGTTTAATAGTGACAGCACACATTTTCAATTCAAGGTGCATTCAGATCACATGGCTTTCCATTTCTGGATGAGCTGGATGAGGGCCAAATTATCAACACAAATAAATGCAGGGAGAGTGGAGATAGTATGACTCTTTGCCCTCAAAAAGTACCTGAACATTATTTTAGGCCGATCATCAACTCTCATTCCTTGCTTTCTTTACCAGGTGTCATGAACAGCTAAATCTAAGACAATAACTCATACTACTTTATTTACAGGAATCAAAAACTGGCAATTGGTAGTTAACTTATTCCAATACTTGAACAATCAGAAACATGTTTGGATTGTGGTTTACCGTTGTGCTCTAACCTATAAATGATTACTTTATAGATATTGATGAATGTATATTTTGCTCTAGGAGGCTTAGTTTGGTCAGAGTTGAGTATACGCTTCCAGAGTTAATGCAAAATACGGTACATTACTTCTGGTAAATGAGGCACCATAGCCGCTAGAGGGCCATGGAAATTTGTGTCCCGGGCTTTTTAGACGCATCTACCCATGTACTGATGGCATGTGGGTGGTGCTGTGGGTTAAACCACAGAGCCTAGGGCTTGCTGATCAGAAGGTTGGCAGTTTGAATCCCCACGACAGGGTGAGCTCCCCTTGCTCGGTTCCTGCTCCTGCCAACCTAGCAGTTCGAAAGCATGTCAGAGTGCAAGTAGATAAATAGGTACCACTGCGTTTCTGTGCGCTGCTTTGGTTTGCCAGAAGCAGCTTAATCATGTTGGCCACATGACCTGGAAGCTGTACGCCGGCTCCCTCAGCCAATAAAGCGAGATGAGCGCCGCAACCCCAGAGTTGTCCACGACTGGACCTAATGGTCAGGGGTACCTTTACCTTTACCCATGTACTATCTGAAACCAAAGGGGTGCATTGGTTGCCAGATGTGATTCCCCCCCCCCACCTCTCCTACTTCCACTAATAAAACATATGCAAGGAGAGATATTTTTAAGTGGGTAATTATTACATAATGGTCTCTTGAGTCACCCAAAATTCATGGATCAGCCAAGTACATAGTAGGAATTTTCTTAATGGGATATCACTTTGGTTTTTAGTGTCCTGTTGAAAATAGCTTTTGATGGTGATTACTTGCAACAGTGATATATTGATCCTCTCAAATTGATCGAGATACATAAGCTGCTGACTTGTTTCAACTAAGGCGTAATGGTTTTAGCTGACCAGTGTTTCTGTCTCTAGGATTCACACGGAAAAAATAGCATAAATGTATTTATGCATTTTATATATTTATACTCCTTTCCCCGTATACTCAAAGGTGCCTTATGGCAACATTTTAGGACAATAACTAAATCATAAAAACAGATTTTAGAATATCAGCAAAGCAACAGCAAAAATACTTTTGCCATCATAGCTATTTGCCCCTCCAAAGCCCTGTAGGACTAGCCTACCTCAGTGTGAAATTCCATGTCTCAAACAACTTAGTAACAAAATGTATGTTAATGTTTGGTCAAGGGAGTAACTGGAAAAAGTGCAAGCAGTACAGCTGTCAGATTCCTGAGACAAATCAACTTTGTTGCAGTTCAGCCTTCATTTACCATGTACACAAAGCAAGTCTACATAGTTTCATATTCTCCTAGTGCAAACAGCAGAAAGCAACATCACTTCAAATGCAGGAGCAACTCTGAACGCTCCAAAAACACCTTCCCCCCAAATAAACCGCACTTTGTGATGTTTTCTCTTGCGTAGCCAAAAACCAGGACTACCCATTGAATAAAAACTATAAGCCAGTCTAATATTTATTAAAAGTGTTTTAGATAACTCAAAAGCAAAACCTTAGATTTCTGGAGATCATTTTGAGCACAAAAAACCCAAATGACTAGCTGCATGATAGCAATGATGTGCTTGAAGCTCAGATACGTAAAGCAAAACTACAGTTAACTTGAATTTTAGGGTGAAGGCAAAAGAAACAAGTCCCTGAAAGCTTTTCTCTTTCCTTTCCTCACCTCTCCATGCAAACACCTATTTGGAAGACATCTGAAGGCAGCATTATATAGGGAAGTTTTTAAATGTCTGATGTTTTACTGTGGTTTTATAATTTATTGGAAGCTGCCCAGAGTGGTTGGGGCAACAAACCTATATATTCCCAAAATCTGCGCCAGAGGCTTGAGGTACTCCTTGGATAAAATTTTGGGAACACACAGGGAACAGGTGGAGGTGAAAAAGAGGAAGAAGTCCTGATGTTTGAGTAGAAGTCACTAAAATTCTATAACATCCAAAATTCTCTACTTTTTTGTATTTAACATCTCTCTCTCTGTCTCTCTCTCTCTCTCTATCTATCTATCTATCTATCTATCTCTCTCTCCTTTTTAGATCCTGCACCATTCCTAGTTTTCAGCCAAGGAAATGCAATCTTTAGAATAGACACTGAGGGAACCAATCACAAAAGACTGGTGGCTGGTGCTAGTTTATCAACATTAATAGATTTTCATTATGAAGAAGATTGCCTTTATTGGGTGGACACTGAAGAAGGTATTATCCGGCGAGTATACCTGAATGGTTCAAATCAACAGGTAATGGAATGTAATCATCAAAATTCTGAAAACCTCTGCATCTCCCTGAAGCATGCTGATACCTCCATTTGTTTCTCTATTATTATTATTTATTAAATTTGTACACTGCCCTCCATAGATGTTAGTGAAATTCACAACATAAAATTACAATATAAAAAATGCATTTTAGCTGCTGCCCTCTCAGCACTCACCAACTAAATTCACTATTAGTAGGAGTGATGGACAGTCTATTACTAATGATCATAACTAGAGTGATCACTCACCCAACTTTACAGAGAGTAGTCCTCTAATTGAAGGACTGGCAGAGGACCACCCTCTATTTCAATGAGTCCTGTTTTGGAAGTGAAAAAAAAGCCCATTTTAAAAATAAGTAAGAGAAGAAGAAGGAAGAGAAAGGGCCTTGAAGTTACAGCAGCCTTGAGCAGGCATACACATCGCTGGGTCACAGTTGGTGAGATGTATTGTAGCTCTATATAAACTAGAGTAATTATTTCTAAATTTGCGTCTATACTTACAAATTACAATTTTAATGGAAAGCTGTTTTCTCTTTGTTGCATATCCTTATGTTTGTTTGTTTGCTTGTTTGTTTGATGTGTTTATATTTTTAAATTATCTCTCCTTACCTTGTCCTTACTTTAAGCTAAATGTGTTTTGTGCATTTACCTGTACATGTAGTGTGAAATAATATCTTGAGTAAGATATCTGGTAAGCCGCTCAACCAAACTAAACATGATGTTAAATGAGTCATTAATTTTATTGTTTCTCTACTCCTCTGAGGAGGAACAGAGGTTTAAACATCTCCCCATAGCAGTCCTAATGACAATTCCCCCCACAGATGCTAGGAGAAAGCTGCTATTTGTCAGGCAGACAAAGCCAAGGCTAAAATGTCCAAGCAAAGAAGGTCTCGTGATAGAAAAAATAGCATAGCTGCTTACATATTTAACAGGACTTTTCTTGCTTTTCTGGTAAACACATAAATGTATATCCTGAAGTGGTAATCTCAGGCGGCTTTCCTGAATTGTTTGAATAAGGATCATGAATTCCAATGCTTTGTATGGCATTCTGATTCAACCAGTGATTTGGTGTCTTAGTATAATGACAATTGGGTGACAATTGTCCCCCCCCCCAATTACAGACAATTTACCACATAGAAAAAGATGTTTCTGGATTTGCAGTGGATTGGATAAACCACAACTTTTACCTCGCTCATTACCAGAAGGCCACAATTGAGGCAGTTGACATGGATGGAAACCATTCCCAAATCATCATAAATGATGGACACCATCCCACAAGTATTGTGGTTGATCCAAACAGAAGGTAACTCAGATTGTCTTTATGGTTTATAGTGACACAGTGCTGAAACAAAAAGCTTTAGATGAAATGTAGACTGAAGGATCCTCTGTGGTTTGGAGGACTGGGAAAGGGTCATGTACTTTGATATTCCGTCTCATCTTCTCTCTCCTTCCTCCTCTTATGTATCAGTTTAATGAGTAATTTCCTGGCATGATTGAACCTAGGTTCCTCTTATGTCTAAACTGCTAAATTTTGGTGAGCCTCCGAGTTATGATTGCAAGCTAAGTGAGAGATTTATTATCTGCTGCTCTTGAAGTAATTTTAATAACAATAATGACAATAATTGATTTTATCAACAGGTTTTTATTTTGGGCCTCTGAAGGAACCACTGACAGCATCTACAGAGCAGTTCTGAATGGGAAAGACGTGTGGAGACTTCTGAGGAGCACAGGAAAAATCAGAAGTATCTCACTAGATCTTATTGATCTGAAGCTCTTCTGGATCCAATATGATGCCAATGATGAAGTTTCACATATTGCAAGCTGTGACTACAATGCTAGTTCTGTTCATTTGCACAAATACATAGTACGGTATGTTAATGAATATAACTTATATATATGGTAGTGAATATATAATGCCAAAGTGTAAAATAAATTGCCCCAATCTAGCCAGGAGACATATGCGGTTTACCCCATACATTTAAAGTACACCCAACATGCTTTTAAACCACATGACTTCCTGCACAACATTCTGGGAATTGTAGTTTTCACTTCACAGAGCTACAATTCCCAGAAACGTTAACAAACTACAAATCCCTGGATTCTTTGGGGAATTCATCCGCTTTAAATGTGTCTGGATGTGTTTTAAATGTATAGTAAGGATCTGCCCTGTTATCTCTGAATTGCTGCCTAACTGGCTAGATACAGTGATAGCCAAACTTGGCCCTCCAGCTGTTTTGGGACTAAAACTCCCATCATCCCTGGCTAACAGGACCAGTAGTCAGGGATGATGGGAAATGTAGTCCCAAAACAGCTGGAGGGCCGAGTTTGGCCATCAATGGGCTAGAATGTCTATGACTTAATGAACTTTCAGCAAGTTAATGAACAGATGCAACTATTTGCTTTATTTTCCCATAGAAACCAACTTTCTGACATATTCCTCTTTGCTGACCACATGTACTATTCCGACTCAACCGCTGGTAGTATTTGGAGAGCCAATAAATATACAGGAAAAGATATAGTTGCAATTAACCTGCAGCTGTCACTTCTCCCACCTGCTGAAATACTGGTAGTGCACCCATTAAAACAGCTCAGCATAAGGATGGGTTCTAAAACATTTGGTAAGTTTCATGTTGCATAATTGTTCTGCTCGGTCATTAGGATCACACCTCAAATTATCTTGTACCACCCTGCTTTTGCTACTGTCATGATATTCAAGGAATATACTGTCATGATAATTCCTGTTCACATTTTCCAACCAAACCTTTCAAATGCCTTAACAATGCTGCAATTGAATGTTTCTATATCTAGAAATTTCTTTCATCTCTCTCCCTGTTCAACATTGCTTAGCTAAGCATGCTCATCATGTAAGTATAAAAACTGCAATATCACATTCTCCAGACCTCATTTTAAAAAGAAGATTGCATGTTTGTGTAAAACAAGCACTCACACTCACACTTGTATCCCCCTTCCCTTGATATTGGCACAAAATAGCTCTTACAACTTACTTTTGTTTCCATTTCCAATAATGTGATAAACATGAATATACCTCATTCTCTTCCTTTTTACATTTATTTATCTGAAGTTTTTCCTCCTCTAAGAATAAGTCATAATAATACCCATTGTTCTTCACAGACATATTGTATAATAATCAACCACCAGAAATCCATTTGGAACAAATGTTTGCATGTTAACGTGTCCCAAATTGTGTAGTTTTTCAAACCACCCTTCATTATAAATTCTTTATTTTAAAAATAGATGTCACTGAGGATACTTCTGGATTAATTTATTGAGGAAGTATAAAATGGCTGTGAATAAAGGATACTTCTTCCCCACAAACCCACCAATATATAAGATTGAAATTAAAACAATGGTTTACTTTAAGCAATAGGAATAAAACTGGAAGAACACCAAAGGACCTTGGCTTGATGGATGTGTTCCTGATCATGCTTCTCTTCCCTTCAGCCTAATTCCCAAACCTGTCAGATGACACTCTATGCTTGTGTACTGCTTTCACTGCCGGTGTTGCCTGAAAGTCTGAATGCCGCAGTGTACATGCATCACCACTGTACATGCATAGTCTGCCCATCTATGGACCATTCATATGCAGGACCTTTACAAACAGGAGGAGAGAGAGAAGGGAATGTTTGGGCAATTGCAAAGCTTATGACACTTCAAGAAATATGTAAAACCTGTCCACCTGTATCCTTGGGGACCATTGCTCTTTTGGATATGGTAGACAGTGAGTTCGTTGCAGTTTATCCTTGTAAATGGAACACTGCTAATCAGTTGTGTGCGCTCAGCCAAATAAAGATGATTGTGGGCTGGTGCTGAGGTGCCATCCTGTTGCGGAGGATGATGCAAGCAGTCAACCTAAGCTTAGCAAGCATCATTGCATAATATCACCTCAGTCAGCCTGTGTTCTTATTGACTGGAGGCCTGCCAGTGTATTTGCATGTGTGTAAGCTGGGGAACAATGGGACGCGGGTGGCGCTGTGGGTAAAACCTCAGCGCCTAGGACTTGCCGATCGCATGGTCGGCGGTTCAAATCCCCGCGGCGGGGTGCACTCCCGTCTTTCGGTCCCAGCGCCTGCCAACCTAGCAGTTCGAAAGCACCCCCGGGTGCAAGTAGATAAATAGGGACTGCTTACCAGCGGGAAGGTAAACGGCGTTCTGTGTGCTGCGCTGGCTCGCCAGATGCAGCTTGTCACGCTGGCCACGTGACTCAGAAGTATCTGCGGACAGCGCTGGCTCCCAGCCTATAGAGTGAGATGAGCGCACAACCCTAGAGTCTGTCAAGACTGGCCCGTACGGGCAGGGGTACCTTTACCTTTACCTAAGCTGGGGAACAGGCAATCAACACTGTAAGTGACATGGGTCACAATGGCTGACAAGAGTGGCAGAGGATTCTGGGAAAGTAAATTGTCCATCCAAATGAAGGTACATAGTAAGGTGCAATTTATTGACTCATGTGTATGCTCCTAGTTGTCTTTTCTCATGACCTTTTTGGCTACCATAGTATAAAGCTGTTGAGATGAGATGCAATTTCCCTTCTCTCCCACCTTAATAATTAGTTCGCTTTTAAAATGAGCTCTTCGTTGACTCCGGAATCTTCCTTTTACGGCAGGATAGACTAGAGCATAGGAATTTGAAATGGATGTAATATAGGCCTCCCCCACCAATGACTTCTTATAAAACATTGAGGGGGTGGAAAGAAGCTTAAGTAGCCCAATCCAGATGAAGCCTTTGGACTTTGCATGTGCGTTGTTTAGCTTATCCAGCCCAAGGACCTGGATTGAGGGAAGGCTAATTAGCCTAAAGTACAAATGAGATTTATAAGGGGATCTTTACAACAAGGGAAACCTGAAAATGAAATCATGTGAGCATTAATTCAGTGCTCTGCAGAGGCTAAGTCAATGTGCGCTGGAGTTAAAAGTGCACAATCTAACATTGTTTCCTTTTTCTTTTTTTTAAAGGAAATAGCTGTTGCTGTGCTTTTCACGTACAATACAGAAACTGTTTTAGCTGTCAAATGCTTGCTAAGGTCAAATTTGGGTTATTAGTTGCAAGCTCTTTTCCTTCCACTAGATTAGTGTTCTGCTTCCAACAGGTCAAACCAGGATGCCTCCTACTGTTTTACCTGCCCTTCCCTCGGCGTTCTGACTTATCTTTACCGGGACTATTTCATGGCACTGCACAGAACTACATTGGCTTCAAAACCAATGCAATGCCTTTGTGCAATGTCATAGCTCTATTTATAAACAGTGCACCTTTATGAAGTAACAGTTGTATACAGTGACAAAGTGGCATTTGAAGATGAACCCACTTACAGCCATGTTCTGCACAATGTTACTATCAAAAGAACCCAAGGCTTCCTCTACTTGAGTGTGAGTGTGTGTCTATCTATCTATCTATCTATCGATCTATCTATCTATCTATCTATCTATCTATCTATCATCATCTATCTATTTATCTATCTATCATCTATCTATCTATCTATCTATCTATCTATCTATCTATCTATCATCTATATCTATCATCTATCTATCTATCATCTATAAATCTATCTATCTATCTATCTATCTATCTATCTATCTATCTATCTATCTATCATCTATCATCTATCATCTATCTAATCTTCCTACCTATGCCTTAGATAGGTCATTTATCTGTATATGTCTGCACACACACACACACACACACACACACACAAAATTCATTCATGCATAAACACACCTAATTTTCTCTGCTCAATTTTTTTTACACACAGGCCTTTTTTGTAGATATATTTGCATCCAGCTCAGTTTCTAATTTCCCTAATTTCTAACTGAGACACAGATGGAGCATTGAAATTCAGATTTGTTCTTCAAGTGAATCTATTCTCCAAGAGGACAGTATTGTAGCAAAGGTCCTTGTGGAATTGGGTTATGCTGCAAATCATCAGAAGGGCAGGTTCGGTGAGATGGGCAGTGTGGTAGAGTAGGCAGAGGTTTGGGGATGGGGGCTTGGGCAAGGAGTAAGGGGAAGGAGGTTCTGGGAGAAGGGTTGTGGGGAAGGGATTGTTGAGGGAAGCCACCAGGGACATCAGCCCCTAATATATAAATAAAAACTGGGTGCATTTTGAGTCACTCTTTATCTTGATATAATCCTCTTTTCCAGAAAGAAAGCCATGTCTTTCAACTCAAAAAAGCTGCAAGACAAGTACCTGCAAGCGAGACCCCAAGAGCAGTCGTTGTAAATGTATGAGTGGGTTTACCTTAAGCAAAACAAAGCAATATTGTGAAGGTAATGAAGGATAACTGCTTGTGATTGAATGATGTGGGTAGGCAGGCATGCTTGTTACTCTCTAGTCTTTAAACTATAAACAGATGCACTAAATTAGAAAAATAGATGGTGTTTCTCCACCATATATATTTTAGGAACAGAGGGACAAAAATGTCAGACCGCAAGGCACCTCTTTTGAAATCTTTCAGTCTGGTTCACAATGCCAGACTAATTAGAGGTGGGGGGCAAGGAGGCCGTTTGTGAAATGCACAAGTCCCAGCTCCTGACTCTCCATTTTTTTGCCAAATCATGAGTCCCTACACTTTTTAGATACAGTTACTAATAAAGCTGTCCCTTATAATTCAAGTGCTGGCTTGTTCAGAGTGAAGCAGCACTCTAAACTGATCAGCACTTAACACATAGAAATAAAAAGAGTGCCAGTTTTTTGTAAAATGAGTTGCCCCAAGCATAGGCATGTTTGAACCAAGACAGATGATGGTGTTGGGTGTCTTAGCCTGAGGTGCATGGTTTTGTGGCCAACAAGCTAAACACAGAGCTAGGTACAGATAAGTGATAAAATGTTTGGTTGTGATCATGCTATGGGTTCCTCATGCTTTTTATTGCACATTCATTGTGATTTGTGTGCATGATGCTATTGGGATGGTCACACACAACCACACTTTCAATAGTATTTGCATGGTTACATGGGATCCTGCTTTTAATACTGTTTCGGGGGTGGGTGGAGTTTTGGGGCAGTCATACTGTTTCATTTCCAAATAGGGTGTATCTTGTAACTTCCTGCTAAAACCGCATAACTTTTCATACCACAAATATTCTGGGGTTTTTTGGTCCCAGCTTTGTCGTACTATGGCTCTTCTGGACAGCACATTAAAAACTGCCTTATATTGAGTTGGGTCCCTTGGTTCATCTAGCTCAGTTTTCTCTCCCATTAGTTGCAGGAAGTTTCCAGTGTAGCATTGTTTTATTACTATTTATTGAATTTGCATCCTGCATCTTATCTGAAGATCTCAAGGCAGTTTACAGCATAAAAACACAAAATACATAATAAAAATGAGAACAAAAGAAGCCAATAACCCTCACCTCCCAAAAGTAGCATAGCTGTCTTCTCTTACTCAAGACATCCAAATATGAATATTGGGCACCTGCAGATGAGCTGCTTGCTGATTTTCTTTGCAGTGAGATTAGAAGGCATGGACTATTGAATGAGCATTCACTCTGATTTGTTTGTGCAGAGGTTAGGTAATGTTACATCAAAGCAAGTGTTATCATACACTTTCTAGTGCATTTCCCCATTACTTTCCTTTTCACAGAAGTCTGATCTTTGTGGGGGTTGGGTTTGTTGTGCAGGAACTCCAAATCAGCTTTAATTGTGTTACCTGCATTTGCATGTGACTGAATCCCACGCCCAAATAGTGACAGCCCATAATATCATTAATGATGTTCTCTTACTTTTTTTATTAACCCCCCCTTGAATTTTTATAATTGTTCTTTCCTCCCCATCAGATGTCAATGAATGTGCATTTTGGAACCATGGATGTACTTTAGGTTGTGTCAATGTCCCAGGCTCTTATTATTGTACATGTCCAAGAAATTTTGTTCTACTGTCTGACAAGAAAACTTGCCACGGTAGGTAGCTGTCAGACACAAATACTAGCATGTTTGCTCCTGCCTTCTGAAAGTCCTCTTCTTATAGCAGTGGAAGTTTACCAGCACAGCCATGCTAATCCAACAATTTTGTTACATAGGGAAATAGGATGTTGTCTTTTGTTGAGCCAGATATTTGGTCCATTTGGCTTAGTCTTGTCTCCAATGACTGGCAGTAGCTCTCTAGGATTCTAGGCCGTGCTTTTCCCAACCCTACCCTGGAGAAGCTGTGGAGTGAACCTGGGTACTCTGAATGCAAAACCCAGAGGGGTTTAATGATCAATCCCTCTTCCTAGGGAATTCTGGGAACTGTAGCTCTGTTAGGGGAATAGGAGTCTCTTAACACTGCTCTGCGCTCTTAACAAACTAAACTTCCCAGGATTCTTTGAGGGAAGGCACAAGTGGTATGATACTGCTTCAAATGTATTGTTATGAGTTTGTGGGTCCCAGAGTTCTAATCCCTATAATCCTAGCAAGTGTTAAAATGTAGATCAGGGTAGCTTCCTCATAGGTGGTTGCCTGGGGAATGGGCCATTAAGGGAGAAAAAGAGAGGGGCTCGGGGCTCCTCCTCCAACTTGCAGATATTAAGAAGGACAAAAGCCAGAATTTAGAGTTGAAAAGTATGCATTATTACTATCAGCCTATTATTTCCAAATTCTAAAATCTTATTCAGCAAAATGAGAAACGTGTGCATTGTGAGATTAAAAAACAACAGTCATGAATGGTCTGAACAGATGGGGACAAATGAGATTTTCCTCCAGATCAAACATCGTTGTTGGATCATGGAGTCCTCCACTTTATCCTGTGTTCAGCTTTCATGTTGCTGACATCACTGTACTTGGGTAGGGCTGGTCTTCTTCCTTCATTCACACAAATGTTGCTTATATGCAGCAATTGCTCTGTGTCCCAGGTGCACCATACAGTAGCTCAAAAGGCAGACGTTATGATACACACAAGCAATGCTGGAAGAAGACAAATAAATTGCTTCCATTTATCTGGACATGGGACTTTAGGCACAGTTCCTTTCCCCACATCCTCCTGGTCCATTAGACACTCTAACTCCAATAGCCAGTCTTTTCCCTCCTTACTTACAGCAGTGCCAGTCCTTGCTCCAAAAAACCCCAGAGGCTAAACCGTTATCTTGGAGGCAAGATGCATTATTTTGATTAAAGAGACCTGCGTAGCTTAATTCTAAAGGCAGGGGTACTGTGTATTAAATCATACACTCAGAGACAATCTTGCCATATGTTAAAAGAGCTGAGGCTTGAGGAGCCAGGGTGGCTGAAATTTATCCCTTCCTTGAAATTCCCGCAAACCATTATTTCCATTGTTCAATCTGTCCCCCCTTTAACTCTTATTTCCTTTGTTTTAAACTTACTGTAGAACTAATTCCCTGTCCAAGCAGTTACATTCATTGCAGCCATGGTTGTGGGCAGACAGTGAAGGGGCCTGTTTGCTTTTGCCCTGAGGGATCAGTTCTCCAAGCAGATGGAAGAACTTGCACAGGTAAGCATGTGGAGAGTGAGTCACCTGCCTGGGAGGTGAGTGTGTTTGTGTGTACTCACCACCATTCTTGCACTGTCCAGATTGGTATCCTAGGAATAAGAAACCTATTTTTATTAGCAGCTAAATCATGTAACAGGTAAGCTTCAAGTTGGACTTCAACCCAAATGTTCTGACTGAGATAACTGCTTCCCAGCCTGCTACAAGATTTTCATCATCTACAGTAGCAACCCTGTGAAATGGAAAAACAGAAGGCAGGGAAAGGGTTAAAGCCCCCCCAACTCATCATGAGACACGGATTTAAAAGTAAAAGATGCAATAAAACATGAAGCATCCTCTAGACAAGTTTCAGGATCATTGGGTTTCACTGCTTCATTATCCAAAGCCATTTCATATTGCGGTGTGTGAACGACTTTCATTTGGTGTGTCATTAAATGAGGTTCGGGTGCTTAATATCTGCTAGAATTCATTGCTTTTTTGGGCAGAGATTCTTCTGTCTGTCATGAACAGGGTTTAACAAAAAATACTGTTTTCCCTGGTGTATGTGTGATATTCATCCATTTTACTGCAAATGTTTTATGGAGCTTATGGATGAAACGTTTTCCTTAAGTCTTTGTCCAGCCATAACATTAATTGTTTAGGGCTGAACTAAATGTTACACACAACTGTATGTTTTAAAATCTTTCTTCTGGTGGTGGAGAGGGTTATGGTTTGGGAAGGGGTGATTTTAAGTGTAGAAGCAGACTTCCGGGGTGGCGCCTCCGGAAAATGGCGGAATTCCCTTCGAACTGAAGGGAACCCGCTGCACGGAGGCTTGGGTCCTGCCGCTACGGCGCAGCGGGGACCCTTAAAAACCACAGGCGGAAGAAGCCTGTGGGCGTGGGACTTGGCGGGCACCGAGAGCGCTCTCCCCTTGGCACAGGAGCCCGGTACCGGGCTCCGGAGTGGGAGGTGCGTGGGGCTGTGCGTCGTCTGCTTCCTCCGTGCAGCAAAGCCGCACTGCCTTTTTCGGAGAGCGCTGCCTTTTTCCTGGACAATTTGGCATCTAAAACATCTATCCGTGAGTACCCGATCCTGGAAGAGCTGAACTACTTTTAAGATTGGTGAATAAATAAATAACATTGGACTTGAACTTGAAATTGAATTTAATTGGGACTCGGAACGGAAAGGTCTAAACAGGAAGTCGCCTTCCGTTCTTTTGTTATGTGAAGAAAGCAAAGACAAATTATACTAAAGCCTGGAAACTAAATTCTGAGAGAACTAAAATTCAACATCTAAGATTTCTGAACCCCCTTCGATTGCAGGAGAAGAAGGGGTTGTTTTGATCTTTTCAACCCTGCGGGAGTGAGTTTAAAATAAAGTAATTTTCCACCGCCCTGAACCAGGAGCGGGCTGTCAGAACTGACGTTTTGAAGCTTATCCAGCTCGACAGATAGTTAAAAGAAGGGTAACATTTTGATTCTACTGTTGCCTCTTGAATTTGAAAGGGGGAATTTTGGATAAAGTGTTTCTGGAAAAAGAAAGATTGTTACTGTTGTTTTTCCCCCTTTTATAAAAAAAAAAAAAGGGTTTTCCATCTAGTGGAACTGAGTGAAATTGCAATGCAGAGAGTTTAAAAGAGAAGGATCATTCTCGTGGGAAAGAATTTTTTCTGACCTTGAAGGACAATGCTTGTACAAAGGCTTGAACAAGTGTTCCTGGAAGGTTTTGCAAAATTAAGTGCCCAGCTGGACCAGATGCGTCAGGAGTCGACCTTGATGAGGACGGAAGTTACCAGAGCACAGCAGCAAACAAATGAAATTCAGTTAAAGTCTATACAAGTATATGAACCTGCTGTCGCGACGGAGGCTTCAGAGATGGAGGGACCTATGGATGGGCAAGAGCAGCCTTTGAACTTGATAAATGAACTTGGGACAAACCTGATTCGGAAAGAGGAAATGTGGTCAGATTTGGAAATGGGGGGATGGATTGACACCCCTCTATATGGTTATTTGGACTTTCCAAGTCTAGTGATGGGCCATCAGAGGAATGGAGTAGTCGAAGTCTCCAAGTTTCGTGGAAATTGGAAGTGGTATTATCTGCTGTCTGGCTTGGGCAATGGGTTTGGGATGGACTTGCTGCAAAGAGTCAAAAGCATCTTCTTGCTGGAGTATCCACGACTGAAAGGGAAATATCAACAAGAGTGGCGAAAGGGGCAAGAAAGAGACTTGAGGGCCTCGGATATGAGACAACCAGGTTAAGGAGCCGGATTATTGAGGTTAAAAGGACTGACAATCCCGGGTCCAGGGAGAGGAGGCTGGAAGTTGACTGGATTGAATCTGACTTATTGTTTTTGCTTTCTTATTTTTAATATTGGGAATGTTTATAAATGTTTGAAGGATGTTGAATGAAATTATATGACTTAAGTAAGGATTGGTAAATGATTTGAAAAAGGTAATGATGTAAGAATTTGCTAAATATTGAATATAAGCTTTGAGTTTTAAAGTTTTTATATGACAAGAGGGAAAATAGAATAAGGATACGCAATGATAGATCGTTATGAAAAAACAGAAAGGATTTGCTGTAAAAATTAAATACTAAGAAACAAGAGACGGAAGGAGGAGGAAGTCTAGAAAGGAAGTTAATGGAGATCGTAAAGGATTCTATATTTCTGTTTTTCTTTTTTTTTCTTTTTTGCGGCTGGGTTTTTTCTTCTTTACTATTTCTGTATTATTTTTGTTTTATTTGTATTTTCAAATTTTTTTTGGAAATTTTTGTTGTTACTTGTTACTTTTTGAAAATTTAATAAATATCAATTTTAAAAACAAAAAAAAGATTTTAAGTGTAGAAGCAGCAGTGTTTTTAACCCTTTACGTACCCACCACTTTTCAGTGACAACACTGCCCCACCATGATGACTGCTTCTTCTCTACTCAAAATCTCTTCTCCCAAAGCTGTTTTTCCTTAAAAGAAGCAGATTTCAAACCATACGTTTGCATGTGGCATGCAGATTGGCTCATAGAGGTTCTTGCTTAGTGGACACATAGGAACTGCAGCAAAACGTTGCAGCGTTTCAACCTTCCTAAAGTAAGAACTCCTGTTTAGGGTTCTAGTCTTCCAATCCCGCCCCCTCCCCACGACTCATCATTTTTCTTTTCCGACTGTCACTCCACATTCAGAGGGCAGTGCTTGCAGCACTTCATAGACTATGGGCAGACACGAGAATGTGGCCTTTCAAGTGTTGTAAACGATCACTATCTTCTGAGTTTAAGCCTCTGTATACAGGTTAACTTTAAATAACTCCTCTTCCCTCAAAGAATTCTAGTTTGCTAAGGCCTTCTTGGAATTGTAAGTTTGTGAGGGGTAAACTACAGTGTCCACAATGAGAGCCAGTGTGGTGTAGGGGTTAAGCACAGTGGACTCGTAATCTGGTGAACCAGGTTTGTGTCTCCGCACCTCCACATGCAGCTGCTGGGTGACCTTGGGCCAGTCACACTTCTCTGAAGTCTCTCAGCCCCACTCACCTCACAGAGTGTTTGTTGTGGGGGAGGAAGGGAAAAGGAGAATGTTAGCCGCTTTGAGACTCCTCAGGGTAGTGATAAAACAGGATATAAAATCCAAACTCCTCCTCCTCCTCCTCCTCCTCCTCCTCCTCTTCTTCTTCTTCGAGGGAAAATAATGTGCTTCAAATGAGCTTTAAACATATAGTGTGTACACAGGTGATGCATGAGTAAACCTTCTTATACTTAGAATATTCCATATATTACTAAATTAGAGTGGTTAGCAACTATGGCAAATCTTTCTGAAGTTATCTAGACATCGTGTCCAAACTTGCTAACTGTCAGAGACAGCCAACCATGAGGAATGGACTTCCTTTTTTGGAGTTTGGAAGAACCTCCTTGCCTTGAAGCTCCAGTGAGAGACAATATGGTAGAGACCCTAGTCCTTACCTTCCTTGGAAGCAAACACTCACCATTTTCAAAAAGAACAGTCTTGTTTTAGAAAGTTTAATAATATTTAGAAGGTTTAGTAACAATTAATAAGGCTTCATTAGGGTGGGTGGTGATGTTTAATGTAAGCCTTGTTGTAATATAATTTTAGTGTTCAATTTTTTTCCATGGTCTCTTAAAGGTTGTTCATCTCCTGATAATGGTGGTTGCAGCCACATTTGTGTTTCTCTGAGTCCATTAACTTGGACATGTGATTGCTTTCCTGGCTATATTCTCCAGGAGGACAAAAGACACTGTACTGCTGCAGGTTAGTAGCACATCAGTTGGTTTCATTAAAAGCAAACATGATTTCAGTAGTGAAGAAACTCTGGAAGTAGACTGAATACGTTCTTGTCTGACATCACTCTTTCTCCTTAGGTTGAGCTAAAAGACATCTGAAGGCAGCCCTGTTTAGGGAAGCTTTTAATGTTTGATGTATTACAGTATTTTAATATTTTTTTGGAAGCCGCCCAGAGTGGCTGGGGAAGCCCAGCCAGATGGGCAGGGTATAAATAATAAATTATTATTATTATTGTTATTATTATTATTATTCAACATCTGAAGTTGGTTGTGCACAATGTTGATTGCCTGACAGCTGTGATGTCATAATTCCTTTGCTCCTCTCCCTCTGAAGCAATTTTCTAATAATAATAATAATAATAATAATAATAATAATAATAATAATTTTATTATTTGTACCACACCCATCTGACTGGGTTTCCCCAGCTACTCAGGTGGCTTCCAAAGTATATAAAAACATAATAAAACTTTACACATTAAAAAGCTTCTCTATACAGGACTGCCTTCAGATGTCTTCTAACGATTATATCTGTCTATGTGGTTTCAATGCACAAGTGGCTCTTTATAAAAATAAAAATGTACAGCTCAGATAAAAGCATGGTGGAGAGATAAGACTGACAACTCAGTTTTCCTTTGAGTTTAACCTTACAGAGAGAGTTTCTCTAATTTCCCCCAATTTCCTCTAAAGTTTCTCTTTCTTCCCTGTGTTGTGGCTTTTTTCTCTTTTCCATATGGAAAAAGAAGCATATGCCATACCGTTCAAATGTCACATTCTGTTTTTCTGTAGACTTCATATAAAAAAAACTTTTTAGGGGAAAAAATGGTCTGCAACACCGTTTGTCCTTAGTGTGCAAAAGGCAAAAGTAACTCTGTAATCTTCAAGGTTTCTTCTCTAAAGATTATTATGGGACTAGAAGAGCTAACATGCTATGAAATTTGTCACAAACAGGGCTGAAGCCGTTTCTGTTGTTTGCACAGAGCCGAGAGATCCGCCGTATTGGTTTTGATGGAACAGATTACTCAAATTTACTCGAGTGGCAGATGGGAATAGTCTTAGCTCTTGACTATGACCCTGTTGAAAATAAGGTAAGGCATTTGCAAACTAGAGGATTTTGAAGTGTTGCAAGGACACTTGGCTTTTGCTTCTTTGCATTTTAACCTCTTGGTTACTGGTTCTCCTTGATGCGCATTAGTTTAGATTAGATCTATTTAATATATTTAAAAATATCTCTAAGCTTGGTACAGAAAACTGAAGCAAAATCAAACAACTTAAACAGAACATTGTTGCACGCCACCCTGTTCTCTGAGTGGTACGAGATTCATGGTGTTCCAGGCACTTACGCAAGGTCTGTGTTTCCTTTTGGGAATGAGGCACAACGCAAACAATGGCAATATTACAAAAATACAGAGTTACATATAACAATGTTACATTATCGATTCATTTTGCTTCAGACACACCCTGTCAGCCTCCGGCTTCTCACCCAGGGTCCAACAAACTCACAACTCACCCACAAAAATCTCACAATGAGAAGAGTTCTTGGAAACAGCTGACAACCTGCTATCTTTTCAGATAATGTATCTGGACACAGTTGCTTTGTGCTTATGTCTTATGATCCTTAAGAATCCATCAACGGTTAAATGGAATTCCTCATTTGCTTTTGCTTTTTATTTTTAATTAAGTTTTTGAAAATTTTATACATATAAAACAAAACCATTTCAAACATTAAAATACAGAGTTCTTTCGAACCCTTAGACCTCCTTCCCTCCCTCCATGGGTTCCATCTTTAAGATTAAATTTACTGCATCTTTTACCCTTATCTATCTATTATATAACCATAATTACCATAAAAAATTCACATTACGAGTGTCTTTACATCCCTGCCAAATATTTTAACTGTTTACAGTGGTCTTTTAAATAAATTACATATTTACTCCAGTCTTTAGAAAATACTTGATCTTCCTGGTTTTGGATCTTCCCTGTCAGTTTTGCCATTTCCGCATACTCCATCAGTTTCACCTGTCATTCTTCTTTTGTTGGTACTTCTCCTTCTTTCCATCTCTGAGCTAGTAGCATTCTCGCTGCCGTCGTTGCATTCATGAAAAGTTTTTTATCTTCTCTTGGGAACCCTTCACCTATTATACCTAGTAAAAAGTCTTCTGGTTTTTTGAGAAATTTATTTTTAAATATTTTCTTTAACTCATTATATATCATTTACCAGAAAGTCTTTACCAATGTACATGTCCACCACATATGATAGAAAGTGCCCTCTTTCTCTTTATATTTCCTATATGTTTTCTCATACCACAAATAAGCGTGCCACCCAAATCTATTATGACCCTCCGAATTTAGTAAATCTGTATTTTTTAACAAGATCCATTCCCGCAACCAGCAGAGACAGGTCGCTTCATAATATAACTTCAAATCTGGCAAAGAGAAGCCTCCTCTCTCTTTAGAATCAGTTAGCAATTTCTATTTTATTCTTGGAATAAAAAACCAGGAATTCTGACTTTCTCAATGCACTAACATGACTTATCTTTCATACTTGGCATTTCCAAATTTGTTTCAAAAGGTATCAGCAACCATACCCACTGTTTTTAGTGTTCAGGGATAAAGGCCAATGTGTATGTAGCCAAAACAGTACTATCAATGCACGAGAGAGGCAGGAGCAGCCTCAAAGGAACCCCATGGTTTGCAGAACTTAAAACAAAAAGAAAAACTGCTGCTGTTTAGAAAACTAAAATGGGGGGGGGGACCCTCAGAAACACCCAAGAAAGATTGAGAATGAGCAGTAGCCATGGAATGACTGACAGTTGCCAGGTGGGAAAACTGAGTGGAAGAGGGCGTGGAATGGAGTATTTTGGAGCAGGGGGTAACTAACTGACTGGAGCACTGAACAGGAACAGTCCATACTGTAACCATTTCTTGCAGGTCCTTAGTGAAAGCCTATCAGATTTCAGAATTATTTTACAGATTACTGATTGTTTCTCCTATTGCAAGTTGCTTGGCTGAAAGAGAAGCACAGGTTATTGAAGAGATGGTATATAGGGCAGTCAGGATTTACTTGCTAAGCATGCTCAGGCTGCAGAAGTCATTCTGGTTGAAGGATAAGTGCCTGCTTATTTGATCTGTAATCATGGGCTACAATTTTGTAATTACTCATTTATTTCCCCCCCGCCCTAAAGAAATTTCATTGCTGATGGTAAAGCCACTAGCTAAGGAAATCCTGCTCTCTAATAAGATGAGCAATAATCAGCTATAAACCTTCTGTTTTTCTCATTACAGATTTATTTTGCTCACACAGCCTTGAAGTGGATAGAGAGAGCTAATCTGGATGGCTCAGATCGTGAAAATGTTATCCGCAAAGCAACGGAGAAACCTGAAGGACTCGCCATCGACTGGATTAACCGCAAATTGTATTGGACTGACTGGGGGTAGGTTTCTCTCTCACACATATTACAGCAAACTTAATGCTGGCGTAAGACATTTTGGGAAATGAATGACTGGCAAAAGACTGGCGTAATTGAAATGTTGTTCTCAAAGATGCCAGTGTGCTCTTGTGTGCTTAAGTCATAACAGAAAGGTTTAGCAAATGGAAAATGCCATCATTGCCCAATGTCGAAGGGTCAGGCAGACCTTTTTGCTGAACATTATTCTGCATAGAAGTGGTCATGGAAGGCAGTGTCTGCATGAAGAGCAGATCCATACCTTTTGGGGCAATAAAATCAGTGGTGGATCAGTGTCCCCTGTGTGTAAATTCTCTTAAGCCTCTTTTCTCTGACATTTCTACAGAAATTTCTCAGCTCTGGGGCACCATAAAGGAAGGGAACAATTTTTTACTTAAATGAGGAAATCACAATGGAGTGGGTGTGGGAGAAGCTGCACACTTTTTGAGCCAAGGCCAAAGAATTATGATGTCATGTCATGTCATGCCATGCCCTGATGTCATATCATTTGCATTCAGTGATAATTCTGTGGTGCTTAAAAAGAAGTGTGCAGCATGTTTTAAGGAGATGTGTGCTATGTATCAGCAAATTATGATGCAGGCTAATAATATTATCCCCATGTTATGGATGGGGGTGGATAAGGCTTGCTTAAGACAAACAATGGCTTTTGTGGTTTTTAAACAGGGCAATTCATGCTCTTAAAAAAGGTAAAGGACCCCTGACAGTTAAGTTCAGTCGCAGATGGCTCTGGGGTTGTAAAGCTCATCTTGCTTTACAGGCCAAGGGAGCCGGCATTTGTCCGCAGACAGCTTGTGCTAAACCAGTTCTTGATCCTGATATAAGCTGTAATTACTGTTACAGTTATATGCAGTAACATTAACAGAATGGCTGGTTGCATAGCAAAATAGAATAGAAACTCCCTTAGCTAGACAGCTTATGACTTATGTAAGAGGGACAAAGCAAAACTGAGAAGGAGAAATCAGGAAGGGAGATAGGAGTGATGGAGCAGAACAAAACTGGATGGAAATATGGATGGTACGTGAACTGACTGTAGCTACAAACGAAAAGAGCAACAGTTTATTTTGTTGGTAATAAATTACTGTAGTAACTAATCTATCTGCATGTGTACGCAGGAAGTCCCAAATTGAAAGTAGCAATCTGAATGGAATGCAGAGGAAAGTAATTATCTGGGAAGATGTATCTCAGCCTCGGGGAATTGCTGTCCATCCATTCACTGAGTAAGAAGTGAAACTTTCTTTGAAACTGGCAGCAGGAGGTGTACAGACTAAAGAATAAAGCCAGTAATGCAATTAGATTATTTTAGATTTTGGGCTTCAATGTCTTCTTTAGACTGCAATCCTAGCCCCATTTACCTAGGAGCAGGTCCTGTTGAATTCAGTGAGACTTACTTCTGAGAAGATGTGGTTAAGACTGCAGCCTTACAGGCTCATTAGATGGGAATGTTTATAACTTTATTTAAAGAAAATGTGGTTAGCCAGCCCTGCTGTGTTGGGTGGGGCTGGGGGGGGTTGATATTATGATCATTCTGCTGAGTGGGGTTCTGGACTTCTGCCCCCAAATCCTGCCCAGAATGCACCACTGAACAAAGTATGTGACACTGTTATTTAGATACATGTTTTGGCATGAATGCCTATATGGAGTGTGTCTACAAAGCTAAGCCACTCGGAACATGGATCATTTCTTTCTTTCTAAGTATTTATAACCTGCTCTTGTGTGAGTGTTTTGATCCCAGAGAGGCATAGGAACCAACCCCTAGGGGCTATGGGGGCTTTGAGCCCCACAATAAAATATTTGAGGGGGGCTGAGCACAAACTTTGCCCACAAAGTTGATGAGCATTCCCATTCAAATGGCATTTTTGCACTGCGTTATGTGATTGATTATGTGGGGCGGGGCTTATCTGGGCCCCCACAATATTTTATTCAAGTTGGCACCACTGCAGAGGGGGATGAAATAAAAATAGGCATTGAAATAATTCAAAGGGTTTTTTATCCCTAGAGCATCTGTCCAGAATGACACCTGAGGTTGTGGTGGTCTAATATGGGGAATCACATTCACATGGGAGATAAGGGAGTCAATTTTTCCAGTAAGGCAACATCAAACTGAAGCATATTGACATACACAGCTTGTAGGATAATTGTGGGTTTATGGCAATTGCTTGTCAACTGTTAGTGTACACAGGAGTCAGACCAATTGGTCTATCTGGGTCAGCACTGCCTACATTGACTTGCAGGATTTCAGGCCATAAACATTCCCAGTTCTACCTAGAGATGCTGGGGATTCATCCAGGGAATCTTCTGCATGCAAAGCAGATGCTAAACCATGGGTTGTAGTGGCATGGCAACGTTGAATTAACCACGTGGGGGTGGGTTTGTCTACCTCAGTTAAACCCAAAGGCTTTCCTCACAGCTGTCATGTGCTGCACTCATCACGAGAAAAGCATAATTGACAGTTTTGATCTGCAGAACTGGCACAGTTATAGGTGCTACATAATATTCATTCCACACTTGTAAGAAATAAATATTTTTGTGTTGCAGCACCTTTCCTTTGGAACTCCCTAGTCTCAGGCAGCCACTTTCACTGTACTCTTTTTCGCACCTGCTTAAAACATTTTTCTTCAATCAAACCTATCCAGACATGTAGAAGTCAACAATTCTATGATTCTGATTTTGGCTTATTGTAGACTATAATCATTATTTCATTTAAAAAAATAATTCGTATTTTAGCCCTGTCATTTATTGACAATGCTAATGTTTGCAAATATAGCCTCTAAGCAGTTTACAAAAAAATAAAACAGTCAAATTATATAAATTCTGTAAAAATAAAATAAAATAAAAATAATTCTCTTGGTGACCACTGTGGCTTGAAATGTGCTTGTTGAAGTTGTCATGTGAATTTTGTTTTGTTTTGTCACAGCTCAAGGATCAGGGAGAGAATTTAACATACAAAATAATAACCTACCTGTATAATTGCTTACATTTATATCATCCACAACAATAAATCCTGTAATGTATACAATGTTTTAAGTATTTTCTCTCTCTCTCTCTTTACTGCAAGGTGAAAGTAATTTTTTTAAAAAAATAAATAAATCTCTTTTTCTTCAATAAAGGCAACTATTTTGGACAGACGTAGGGATTAATCCACGGATTGAAAGGTCTTCCTTACAAGGCTTTGATCGTCTCATTATAGTAGATTCCAATTTGCTTTGGCCCAGTGGAATAACGATTGACTACTTTGCTGACAAGCTATACTGGTGTGATGCAAAAAAGGCTGCTATTGAGACTTCAAATCTGGATGGTTCTGAACGGCAAATACTCACACAGAATGATGTAGGTGAGGCTTTGGGATTGACAGTTGTCTGACCATAGATGCAAGAGTTTCAGTGCATTGGTATGCTGCACATATAGAAATATCAGTGAAAGGCCACCTTTTGAGTTAACCAGTGCCTTGTGAATTCTACAGATTGATGCCAGTTGAAAAAGGAGTAAATTCTTAACCCAGTTTCAGGAAACCTGCATATTTTTTCTATGCTTTTACTGAAGTTATCAGTCTATATTATGAACTGCTTTGAGCAAACTGGGGTGGGGTGGGTGAAAACAGACATATATTCAAAGATAACTATAGAAATAAGCTGCAGTTTTGCAAAGGGAAAAGAGATATGTGTAATAATATGAGAGGGGAACAGGCTTTTCTTTTTTAAAATGGAAAGGTCTATAAGAGACAACTAAAAATATACAGTAACTAGTTCTCTGCTGAAAGTTCATGGCATTTTGTTCTTTTTTGCTACAAGCATTGCCATTTCAGACAGAAACCTCTTTCTTGCAGTTTGTTTATCAGCCTACAGCCATTGTTTCCCTGATTTGTTTCAGTGCTACTTGAAAAGAACTTCCTCACTGCATTATCCCAGCCTCTTGAGGAAACAAAGCCGTTTCACTGTTCTCACTTGAGTTGGGAATAAGGGAATATGTCCCTATTCCTCTGTCAGCTGAATTGAGGATCACTGGCTTGCCATGCTGTGTCAGTGCTTGTATGACAAGACTTGTATGAGCTGGCACAACTTTCCATTTCTGTGCAGGTAGTCAGTTAGGTAAAGGTAAAGGGACCCCTGACCATTAGGTCCTGTCATGACCAACTCTGGGGTTGCGGCGCTCATCTCGCTTTTATTGGCCGAGGGAGCCGGCGTACAGCTTCCGGGTCATGTGCCCAGCATGACTAAGCCGCGTCTGGCGAATCAGAGCAGCACACAGAAACGCCGTTCACCTTCCCGCTGGAGTGGTACCTATTTATCTACTTGCACTTTGACATGCTTTCGAACTGCTAGGTGGGCAGGAGCAGGGACCGAGTGACGGGAGCTCACCCCGTCGCGGGGATTCAAACTGCTGACCTTCTGATCGGCAAGCTCTAGGCTCTGTGGTTTAACGCTTCAGTTACTCATGACTAATTGGGCAGTATGTGGATGAGCTTATGCATAGGAACACACATCCAGATGTACATTCCACTGAAAGTGGATAACAAATGTATACTATCCACATTCAGATTTGCTTCTATGGATCTGCCATCTGTGATACATAGCTTGGCCATGCCATGCAGCAGGGTGAACTGGTGTACTTCAGGAAGAACCAGGAAGGAAGTATATATGAAGAAGGAGTTGGGCTTCAGTTTATGCTGCAAAGGTCTTGGGTTGTCACCATTATTCTCAATTGGATGTTCCCAGTCCACATCCCCAATCCCCTTTTGCCCCAACTAGTCAACAATCTGTGACTGTATTGGGGCAAAGACTAGGGCAGGACTAGTTAAAATGGGTGGAAGCTACAGGAGCGTGGGTTTTGGTGGAACATCAGGAGGAACGCCTTGACACTGGAACCTGTTTTCTAGAAGGATGGTGAGCTCTCCCTTGCTGGAGATCTTCAGGTAGAGACTGAGCAGCCATCTGTTGGAGATGTTTTAGCTCTGGGTTTCCTGCTTTGAGCAGGGGGTTGGGCTAGATGACCTACAAGACCCCCCCTCAACACTATCCTCCTATAATTTTAAGCATTGGTGTGGTTACCTTGGCAATGGGGATGTGTACCTTCCTACCTTTAGCACCTACTTCATTGCAGTTTTACACCCTTTTGGAAAGAGATGTGAAAAATATTGGAAAACTGGGCATGTTCTTTCAGGGGAGAAAATGTTCACTCCACTACAGCCCCATTTTGGCTCAACAGTACTATTAATATGCAAATGCTTTGACTGCAGATTTATTAGAGTAAGGATTCTTGCTGCAGTGCTACTGCCATCTACTGTTGCTCTTGGTGTCGTGATCTGTGAATAATGAGACTCATCAACTGCAAGAACAGCATGGCTTTACATTCCTTGTTTTGCTGCCCTTGTTATGAGGGGCTGAAAATATATCATAAAATTATAGCTCCTGATTTGGACAAGGAAGGGTTTTTTTTTTGTCCTTCATAAATTGGCATGGAATTAGGTCATATGAAAACAACAACAACTGAGTTAAAGAATTAAGTCTATGGTGAAACTCAAACAATATGATTGATATAGAATTATAGGGCTGGAAAAGGGATACAAAATCATTCGCCCTATCCACTACCAAAAGCTCAGTTCTCTGTCCAGTTTACCTCTAGCTGCTACTGCAATTAACTTTGGCCATCTCAACCACGGTATGCCACAAAGCAGAAATGCAAAAGCAAGGTAACAGCAGTCTAAAAAATGCCACAGAGAAGAAAGAGCAGCTGACCTCCTATCCGCTGTGCATAATGCAACAAGCAGCAGTTTTGAACTCCAGAAAAGTTACTTTGAACAATGGAACAAGCTGTCAGCATGTTTGTGACAGCTCCTTCCTTGGAGGCTTTTAAGCACTGAATAAGTTCTTGGTGGTGGATCAGGGCTCGGCAATGTGTCATGCCATGCCCTCCCATGGCAGCCATTTTTTTTACAAGCCACCCCCCCCCCCATATCTGCCATTTTGTGATTGGCATCCAGAGCATGTTCTCAAAATTCCAAACACACTCAGTGGTCTCAAAAGGTTGTCAACCCCTGCTGAATATGCTTCCTCAGGAAAAGAGGTCAAACTGGGTGACCTGTGGGTTTTGTCCTATCTATGACAGCCCTTGATTTATATACAATGTTAAGTATAATGTGAGGAATAGATGCTTGTGTGCATATTCACTGATGTTTTCTTCAGTATGTTGGTGTGATGGGATTATAAAGAGCATACATATCTATATTTTTTAGGCCATCCATTTGACATAACAGTGTTTGAGGATCACATTTGGATCTCTGACTGGGCAAGGCCTTCGTTGCTGAGAATGGACAAGAAGACTGGCCTAAATAGGGTCCGACTTGGAGGGAGCATGTTGAGACCCTCGTCATTGATCGTCATTCACCCCTTAGCAAAACCAGGTATATTTCAAGGGTTAGGCAGCTGTTTTCCTATTAGCTCCAGCTAACAGGGCCTATTAGGTAGGTTGACTGAATGAGCAGCAGAGTGGTGGGCTAGGTATTATTTGGCAAATGCTGTAGATAGTGAAGACAGAAATGAACCCCTGGTGGCAAATGAGCTAGAGACCAACAACCCATGTGTGAAGTATCTTATCAGTTGAATGTTGTTGCTATTACTCTGAATTTTGTGTGTCACAGGAATCCTGTGTGAAATAAATATGTGTTATTTCACAACATGCAGATCCCTGCAGCTATTACTAACCCGTTTGGTCCCAGAAACAAGCTGCATTTGCTTTCTTTTATAAATTGGAAAGCTGCATATACGACAGTGATATTTGCTAATCACCAGCCAGCTATGCAAGAAATCCAATGCATTGACTTGGCATGCATGAAAGGACTTTTGAAGATGGCCCTTTCCCCCTGCAGCCTCTGAAAATTAACTTTATACAGTTGGGGGACTCTGCAGAATATGGAGGAGGAGAATGTAGGGAAAGGGGAAAGAATGAATCAGCAAAAACTGCCTTTTCTCATCTTCTCTTCTATAAGCATCATCACCAACAAGAAATTTATCCACCCTTCAACATGAAGTTCTAGGGAAGGTTATAACAATTTAAAATTGAAGAATTAAAAACAGTACTATCACAGGATTAGGGAGGGTCCTGAAAACACAAATCTCAGGTGTTAAGAGCAATTTAGGGGCTGCCACAGAGAATGCCCTCTCCTGGGTCTCCCTCCCAAACTTCTGAGGGAGGTGGAACTACCCAAAGGGCCCTCTCTGCTGATTTTAACACCTGATAAAGTCTATAGGGAAAGAGGCAGCCCTTCAGATATTGGGACCTTGGTCATTTAGGACTTTAAACACTAATGTGAGCACATTCAATTAGGCCTGGAAACAAACTAGAAGTCAATGCAGCTGTTTCAGAACTGGGGTTATGTGGCAACCTCAACAGTAATCTGACTGCCGCATTTTGGACCAGCTGAAATCACTGAGTCGTCTTCAAGGGCAGTGCCATGTAGAGTGCATTGCCATATTCTCATCTGGAAGTTACTGGTGGAGGCATGTGCTGGATCAAAAGCCCTTCTGAGTGCGTGAGCCCCAGCTGGATGCCACCCTAGACCTAAACTTCAAAATGCTTTGAGTCTTATTGTTATTGTTTCAGGTTGCAGAGTCACATCCAAGGCAGGAGTGCTGACTAACAAGACATTATTAGCCCTGAAAACACCCCACCAGCATCCTCAGAGTCACAGTTCATACGGAGATAGCAGAGGAGATGCAAAACAGATGAAACCGATGCTGACTGCTGAAATCGTGGTGTCTAGTAAAGATTGCAATTCCCTATTTCATAACTCCAGGAAGTGGTTGATTCATCAAGCGTTGGGCAATGTGGTTTCAGACAGATATGCCCTGAATAGGCTTACCAACAACTATTGATGTTAAAAGGCAGGGAGTCCCAGGGCATGGGTGCTGCTATTAAACACAAAAATAATTTGTTGCAAGTATATTTGAGGACATGTTTCTGCATAGCAAGAAAATGGAGGAAATCCAGGTTCAGTGGTGGAGAATGTCCTAGTAGGGCATATCATTTTAGGGGGGGTGAACTTTTTGCAAATTTCTTCAGTGAGAAGTGTATTGAAAGGTTGGCTCTAATTAATTTGTCCTGAGTAATGACCTATTCTGAGCACATGTACTATGAACAATGAGAATGAGCATGCTTTGTTTTGTGCCACAGACCAGGACAGTTGCATATGGCTGGGATGTGATATCAACGCCCAGTGCATTTTGAATGAAGATGGCACTACTTGTCAATGCCAGGCAGGGTTCATCATGGAAGGCCAACTGTGCTATGGTAATTTTAGTGTCATATGTTTATTTTATTTTGTTTTGTTTTATTTTATTATTTTATTCATGTGGATATTTGTATACAAGTTTTAAGGACTATTTGGCCCTCCCAAGGAGATGTACATCTTTACCCCCTCCCACATATAGAGTTGAATCCCACTAAGAGAAGACCCATTTAAATCAATGGGCTTGTGGTAGTCAAGTCCATTGATTTCAATGGGTCCATGCTGAGTATGACTTAGTTGGGTGCGACCCACAATATACAATAAAGCAAGTATCAGTGGTCAGGGATCATGAGAGTCATAGTCCAAAAACAAATGGGGACCCAAGGTTGAGAAAGCTAGATCTAGACTTAAAAACAGTTACATTTTTAAATGCAGTCAACACTGTTTTCAATCTAGTTCTTACCAAAAAAACCAAAAACCCTTTCCATTCCTTCTTGCAGCTTTTAACCTTGTTTCTGTTGTAGATGTTAATGAGTGTGCTTTCGACGTGGACACATGCGATCGGAGCTTGTCGAGTTGTATCAATACCGAAGGCAGCTACTTTTGTGAGTGCCTTGTGGGATATACGGGAGACGGGCTCCGCTGCTCTGGTGAGTGGATGGGAGGCTGTTCCTGCTTGTCCTCTAAACTCTTGCACTTGGGATGATTTGCTGATATTCTGCAAAGGGATTTTTGTGGCAGGCTTCTGAATGACAGCCAAATTGAACATGAGCTATTTTTTTTAGGGTTGTAGTGATGCAACTTTACCTCTTGATTTTGCATTCTAAGTATTCACCTTTTGTGGTACAGTCTAGCCCAGGGGTAGTCAACCTTTTTATACCTACCGCCCACATGCATCTTTCTTGATGGTAAAATTTCCTTACCGCCCACCAGTGCTTGAAGGAAGGAGGATTCAGCTTGTGCCGTAGAACCCCCTGCCGCCCACCTAGAATCCTGAATCGCCCACTAGTGGGTGGTAGGGACCAGGCTGACAAGCCCTGCTCTAGCCTGTACCACCAAGCAGCTCTGCCACAAGCCTTGCTTTTCAACCTCTAAGCTAGTGGGTTAGAAGATAGATTTTCCTTGCAACACACATCCAAACATTATGATGTAAAAAATAAATTAAAAAATGCATCAATGTGTTTGTAATTCCTATATAAACTAGCCTTTAGGGCCTTCTGTGCCAAAACTAAACTTCTGAGCTCTGATGATGCTCTCCTTTTGAGCACTTCCTGTTCTTCATGATGTGCAGCCTCAACACTTCATCTATATGTAAAGCCTTCAGTTGCCACCTTGTCAACTGGATGTTTTCTTCTCCTTTTGTTAGGCAGATCTAATGGAAGGAGGGTGGGGGTGGGGAATGACCCAACAGAGATTTATTGGAAATCATTACCATGCATATAAACGAAAGCAAAGTATTGAGTCAGTCATAATACTCAGCAAATAATTTTATGTTGGTTTAATAGTCATGAGATTCAGAGTGCTGACATTTACAGTCTGAATACATTTAAATCCATGTTCACAATTAAGGCCAGACTCACTGATCCCCACAACTAGGTCTGACATTATTCTATCACTATGCTGTATATGGCTTTTATTCTCCCAGTATCTCAGTATTTTGTTCTCATTTCATTTGTAGCATGTGTGCTGCTTTTCTATGTGACTACTCAAACAGTAGAAATAACAAGCTATGCCACAATAAATCACATTGTCATCTTAGAAGACTTTGAAATATAATTAAAATAAACAATTAAAACAATTCAGGAATCCATTTTGCAATATAGTAGTATGAGATAATAAAAAAATGTTTTTATTTCTCACATTTCTGTCTTTCTTTTATTTTGAAAGCTCTCTAGGTCAATTTACTGGTCCTTAGAACTTCTCTTCCGTGACATCGCAATTGCCCTGCATTATAGTGTAAATCACCAGCTTGTCCAGTTCTCTCTCTTTTTCTTAAAAAAAAAACAAAACAAAAACAATTGTGGAATACTGTGTTTCAGAACCTGCCATGTCTCCTACCACTGCAACACGTGATGAGTCCACCGTATCTGAGCAAGAAAGTTCTGCTGGCTGCCCTCCATCTTACTGTCTCCATGAGGGAGTTTGTGTTTATTTTTCTGATCTCCAAGCTTTTGCATGCAAGTAAGTGGAGAACTCTAGTGCTGCAAGGGCAGCCCAAGACATTTTGTTGCCCCCATCCTGCGAGTATCATAGGCCAGTTGAGTTACTCTGAAACCTGAGGCAGAAAATCCCACAAGCACCTCTCTTTCTCCATGGCAGTAAAAATACAACCATAATAACACATTAAATAAACTAACAATTTGCTGCTCTTTCATCTCAAATTGGCTACCTGAGGCCTCTCACTCTGCCTAATGGCAGGGCCGGCCCTGCTGTGGGTTTTCTGCTTGTTGCAGTGGGAATTATTTCATCCATGACATATAATATTTTGTTTGGGGCTCAGTGGAATAACATCTAGGTTAAACAGTGTTGCTGAACATGTTAATAATATACTAGTGTTTAGCAGAGGCATAGGGGACCATAATTTGAGCCCATAATAGTCAGCCATTGGGCACATTCATGAAACCTCATGGAGAATAAGCACATAATTCTTCTGTGAAGAGGAAATTGTGATCAGCCAAGCAGCAGTAAGAAGGGAGGTTTGCTTTTCACTCTTTTTCGTGTACAGAATTCAGCAGAGATATTGACCAAGAGAGGCACACAATTCCCTCTTCATGAAATGATTATATGTACATTCTCCATGAGAACCCGCCCCCCAAGTTAATCATCTTAACGATGTCAAGATGTGTGATATCACCAACAACGGATAAGAACTTAATTCACTTCCAGTAATTTCTGAATTTCCTTTCCTTCTGACCTCCCTGTTTACAATTCACCCCTGCTCCTATGCTTGCAACTCAGGATGACACTTCATGCATCTGATTAAATGGAAAGATTCTGCTATAATAAATATGTTAGTGAATTTTTTGAAAATAAATTCACACTAGGTGGCAGTGTTTCACCATTCTTCACCAACACATGCACACTCTTGGTCCCACAGAAAACCTAGCAGGAAATGCGTGTGTGTGTGTGCGCGCGCACACACACACACACACACACACACTCTTCTGCCATATGTTTCAAGTAGACAAAACTACATCGTTTCTGACTTACTTTGGGAAGCATACATGAGATATAAAGTTATTAATATTGCTCATGTTATGCCATTCTTGCAGAGCAGATGGCATGATTAGTGTTTAGATATCAGCATATATATGTTCCTAGCCTAGTGATATAAACTATCTTGTAAAGCTAACTTAATTCTTCAGATGTGTGTGGTGGTACCGCTAGATGGAAAGCATGATGAATTTACAGAGCTCAACAAAAGTGAGGGTGCTTCTAGATGGGAGTTTAATATTACAAATGGGTAGTTCTGATATTGGAGACGGATCATTGGCAACAGCTACAGGGACGCAGGTGGTGCTGTGGCCTAAACTACAGAGCTTAGGGCTTGCCGATCAGAAGGTTGGTGGTTTGAATCCCCGTGACGGGGTGAGCTCCCGTTGCTCGGTCCCTGCTCCTGCCAACCTAGCAGTTCAAAAGCACGAAGTGCAAGTAGATAAATAGGTACCGCTCCGGCGGGAAGGTAAATGGCATTTCCGTGAGCTGCTCTCGTTCGCCAGAAAGTGGCTTAGTCATGCTGGCCACATGACCCAGAAGCTGTATGCCGGCTCCCTCAGCCAATAAGGTGAGATGAGCACCGCAACCCCAGAGTCGTCCGTGACTGGACCTAATGGTCAGGGGTCCTTTACCTTTACCTTTACCCTAAAACCACTTCTGCTGCAAGGAAGGCAACTGTGAGCAAGCAGCAGCCTGCAGCGGGGAAGAGATGCAGTGAATAATACTCTTTCTGTTCTCCTCATTGTATGTTTAAGTAGTGTTTGAAAAACTCTAACTAAGCAGCCTCATCCTCATCTCATGCTTGGCAGGGGGTTGGACTCGATGGCCCTTGTGGTCTCTTCTAACTCTATGATTCTATGATTCTATGATCCCCAAATCCATCTGGCACTAGATCTGGGGTAGGTGGTCCCAAGGTTGGCACAGGATGGGGGGCAGGCTTGGTCCAATCCAGGGGCCACAGGTGTGTCTGTGCACAGCCCTAATTTTAATGGCAATTCTGCTGTGGCAAAAAATGTGTAAGCATGAGGAGCGCCTTTCCACAATCAGCATCCATCTGCAAACACCCTTAGTGTTTATGATTTGTTCATGGTTTGTGTTGGGCTTCTCTGCACAGTATAGTTTGGAGTAAAATTGGCTCCAGAGGGTGTCTTTGCTCAGCAGGAAATAGCTCATTTTAATTTCCTTTACTGGTGGTTTCAAGAGAACCTCATTTTAAAAGTGCTCAACTGGTTGCAGTTGACACCCTCCTGGGTCCATTAGCAAAGCCCACATTGATTTCGACTGCTTTAGATTACCCTAATCCAAGGTTTCTGGAATGGCTGAATTTGGTGGAATTAAACCATGATGGTGATCTTTGTAGTATTCTCCTTTACTGGCTGCTGTGTCTCCTCGTTTGACAGCTGTCCAAAAGGCTACCTGGGAGAGCGCTGCCAGTTCAGTGACTTAGAGTGGTGGGAGCAGCAGCAAGTGATGCAAAGAAACAACCAGAACATGGTCACTGCAGCTTGCTTGGCCATGTTGCTCCTGGCCCTCCTCCTTGGAGTTGCCGCTGTCTACTGCTACAGGTAAAACTATCTGCAAAGCCTGCCACAGTGCCCCTCCAGACAACCTCTTTATTGAGCATTCACCCTGATTTGCTTGCACAAAGCTTACACAGAAGTTAGGTTATATCCAGTCTTTAGCAAGCATTGGTTCTGATTTGTTTGTGGCCATTGAGAGCAGTACTGGCTTGAGAGCAGTACATGTGAAAAGGATCTAGGAGTCTTGGTTGACCACAAACTTGACATGAGCCAACAGTGTGATGAGGCAGCTAAAAAAGCCAATGCAATTCTGGGCTGCATCAATAGGAGTATAGCATCTAGATCAAGGGAAGTAATAGTGCCACTGTATTCTGCTCTGGTCAGACCTCACCTGGAGTACTGTGTCCAGTTCTGGGCACCACAGTTCAAGAAGGACACTGACAAACTGGAACGTGTCCAGAGGAGGGCAACCAAAATGGTCAAAGGCCTGGAAACGATGCCTTATGAGGAACGGCTAAGGGAGCTGGGCATGTTTAGCCTGGAGAAGAGGAGGTTAAGGGGTGATATGATAGCCATGTTCAAATATATAAAAGGATGTCACATAGAGGAGGGAGAAAGGTTGTTTTCTGCTGCTCCAGAGAAGCAGACACGGAGCAATGGATCCAAACTACAAGAAAGAAGATTCCACCTAAACATTAGGAAGAACTTCCTGACAGTAAGAGCTGTTCGACAGTGGAATTTGCTGCCAAGGAGTGTGGTGGAGTCTCCTTCTTTGGAGGTCTTTAAGCAGAGGCTTGACAGCCATATGTCAGGAGTGCTCTGATGGTGTTTCCCGCTTGGCAGGGGGTTGGACTCGATGGCCCTTGTGGTCTCTTCCAACTCTATGATTCTATGATTCTATTTCTACCAGCTTCATCTAGCATAGCCAGTGGCCCAGGATGATGGGAGTTGTAGACCAATCACACCTCACGGCAGGGATATCACTATTAAGTGAGCAATAGGCTGCAATAAGGTAATAAGGTTGGTGAAGTATCATGGAATGCTGTCTGGAGGGTCCATTAAAAGTCCACCACTAATGCACTATTATTGCCTCAATGACATACATACACCCACAAAAATGCACCAGTTCAGAGTGGCCCTGAGTCACCCAGTGCATGATTCTAATGCAAAGTATATGCAATATTTTAGACTACATACGTGTTGCTTTCATACATAGTGCTGCTTTTGTGCCTCATAGATTCTGTGGCCTGGTTTTAGAGTTCAATAGTGAAAACTGATCGCTGATTGTTCTGCTTTCACCACTTCCCAACAACCTGAGTGATATACTTGGAATCATTACATGACACTGAAGCTCCTAAATTTGTTGGTGAACTAGCACTAAAAATGTCATTTTAACAACACTGGAAATATTGTTGAGAATATATATATATATATAGTATATATAAATTTGGGTGCCTTGATTCATGCACTCTTATTTCTTCTTTCTCCTTCTGCAACCTGTTCTCACTTAGAAACAAAAATAAAAAGTCATTGTTTTGCCCTGATTTACTTTCCTCCTTTACCAAATGGTTTTGATCAATATAACTGTTTATCTTGAAAGCAAGTTTTCAATTACATGCTCGGCTGGGTTTGTACTACAGCTATTAGTAGCCTAACTAGATCAAAATGAAACCACTGATCTAAATCCCCCTTTAACTGGAGTCCAGAAACCAATATTTGGATTGGGATTGCTATTTCATTTTTGCTCATACTCTGCTGTATTTTAAGACCTATCGATTAAGTTCTATGAGCAGGTCAGTAAAAGTCCTTCCCTTCATCCATAAAACATAAACTCATCTTGCCCCTTAATGTGAGGCTTGCAGGAATAAAAAATGAGCTGCTGGGATAAGACTTTTTAAAGACCAAGACCTACAAACATACACACACACTCCCTGCCAACTTCCCTGTATTTACCTATTCAGAACATTTACAGGAGAGTACTGCAACCAACGTTTGCCATGTGGAATACTCTTGTTCAGACATGCCATCTTTAAGGATACTCCTGCTTCCAGGTTCCCCAGAAATAATTAGCCAGCATTCTGTGGGCAGTGAGCATGTTCAGTCCTCATTGGGGTGCCCTAGTTGTTTTCTTCTTCTAAAAAAAATGTATTTCTAAAAAAAATGGTTTATACTAAGCCTGCTAAAGCTCCATCTTGTGTGGTCATTGTGCTGTTCAAGGATACACATTCAAAAAATTAACTCAGTAGGCTTTGGAAGGATGAGCCTCTGTGTCAGTGTAATCCATAGCTAGCTAAATGGTGCTACACTCAGGTGGTTGTTTATGGGGGAAAGTGTGCTGAATTCAAGAGTCCAGCCTCCCAAATTTTATATCCCACAATTTGGCCAGCATTTGGGGATATGGACACCATTTCCCAGAGATTCATATGGAAGCGTATGGCATTTGAAGGTGGAAGAAAATTAGTGGCAGGCTTCTGACAGGGGGATGACCACTGCAGAGAGCAACCACTTTTGCATCTAACTGGAGGTTGAATTGTGTCCCAGCTTGTGGTGCCCTACAGATGCCGCTGCACTACAGCTCCCATCATGTCTGAACTGGGGCTGATGGGAGTTGTAGTCCGCCAACCTCTGGAGAGCCATCCCATTGGCTACCCCTGCAGTATTGAGTGCCGACTCATCAGCTGAAGAGCAATGCTAGACTATGTTGGTTCCTGGTAGTGATGAAACAAAGCTCAGCTGCCAAAACAAATGGAGTGTTTGAGCTGTGTTGTGTGGCCAGTATCCCTTTCCCCTGAGGGCGTTTTATTTCCTTGGCTCCTTTCTCTTTTTCAGTAGACACAGGAGGCTTTTCAAGAAGGAGCCATACATAGAATCAACACAAGATACTAGCAGCAGCAGTGCTGACAGCAGGAACACGAAGCTCCCCAGCAACAAGCCGCTGGTAATTCTATATTAACACGTGGAGTGGTGAGAGAAGGAGAAAGGATCAAAGGGCATTAGGGATCCACTTGAGATTATCCATCAAATAATTCACATCTTAAATATATTAAATAACTGCTGGGGTCATCAAGTGCTTAGCTATGAACCCCAGTCCCTCTTACCTCATTGTTATGTTATCCTTCTAAGTTCACAGCTGCCTGGGTGCGTTGCAGGCAGGAGACAGTGTTATTGTTAGCTCGGCACACAACAGTTGGAGGGGATGTGTTCTAAATTAAGGAATACCGATGTGATGACATGCCTGATTCTCACAGCAGAGATCTAAACGGGTTCCGTTTCTTAGAGACCGAGCCTGCAATCCTGAAACCAGTTGGGCATGCTTGCTCCCCACCCAAGTCCAGGAGTCCAAAGCATGCTCAAGTTGGTACCAAATTGCAGCTCACGGATCCTGCGTGCTACCTAGGGATGTTTGGTTTGGAAGGGATGAAATGCCTTTGCACCAGAAGCAGCTTTGAATTTATTTCGGCAGCTGAGGAGTGAAACAAAGAGAATGATAAATGAGCTGATGAGATCACCTCATGTTCCTTGTTAACTTTTACATGGAGGCCAGTTTTATACCACCCTGACAGAATAAAGGTGCCTTAATGCTGCATTTTGCACCAAAGGTTTTATTTTACGACCTGCGTTATTTGAGGCAATAGGCGAAAAACCTAATTTGTCATCTCATCTAGAACTTCTAGAACCAGAATGATGTATTAGAACTGCAACCAACTTGTTCACGTCAAGCTGTTTGTTATCGCTGAATAAGGCTGCCCTTTGCAGTGGTTCCTGCCGCAGTTAATCTTGGCTAGTAATATAATTGTCGTTGAGTATGAGGGTTAATTAAACATCTAAACAGTGGACTGAGTCAATAAAATCAAATCTAACTTAATCTGCTGTGATGTATTTTTCACTGTTGATTTTCTCCCTGGTGCGTTGCTTTACTTGATAGTGAAATTATTAGCAGCAGTTGGTAGGATCCAAATTCTGTTAGTCTAGCCTCATCATTGGGTCAGTAGGAAGATCTTCAGGTATACAATAAAATGGATAAGAAGTAGGGATTATTATTTTTTGGGTAGAAGAGTATTCATATTTAAGTTTTTGTGGCCATGAAATAATAATAATAATAATTTTTAAAAAATGGAAACCTGGAGAACCTGTGACTCTTCATATGCTGGATGGCTGAATAAGTAGCAGTCCATATGTTGCCGCACTCCAACTTCCATCACCTCTAGCCAGCTTGGCCAGGGAGGATAGGGATTGCAGTCCAACATCTGGAGAGCTCTTACCTCTGCCATATTGAAATGAATGAGTCCCCTTCATTTCAATAAAGCTTGCAACAAAGTTTCCATTGAAATTAGGCTGTATTTTAATATTTTAATGTTGTATTTTAACTTTGTTTTTAAGTTGTATTTCAATTAACTTGTTTTTATATTGGGTGTTAGCCGCCCTGAGCTTGGTCTTGGCTGGGGAGGGCAGGGTATAAATAAAATTTATTATTATTATTATTATTATTATTATTATTATTATTATTATTATGTGCCTATACAAACTCACATGTGCACATTGCCTGTTTTGTAGTTCATTGTAATGGCATGCGATGACAACAGTGAAGGCAGAACCACTGATGGAACAGACTGTGATACGAAATATCTTGATTATTTCTGCCTTTCAGAACCCTGTGAGTAGATTTTCTTTATCTTTGGGGAATGTCTTTACCTCAAAAGTATAGCAAAAGGAAAGATAAGCAAAGCTATTCAGGTCAGATTCTTCAGTTGTCTGCGTAGTTTGAGTACCATCACAATCCTTACTTGGAACTACAAGAGAAGTGACTTCTGAGAAATGGCTGCCTTAAAAGTAGGGATGGCTGAATCTGTCAATTTCAGCTCCTTTCAATTTCTCATCTTCACTTCAGTTCTTCACTTTTCCATGTGACTTTGCATTAAAAACCAAAGAACTTGAGGCTACTGCCACTGCTCACTCTACTTGTCAACCCCACCTATCCCTTTCCCCTTCCACCCATCTGCCCAACCCGCTCTCTTTACACCTCACCCACCCCCTTGCCTATCCTCTCCAGCTCACCCAAAGCCCCACTCTTTTGGCACCATCCCTTACATGGTAAGTATAATTGCACACTGAAATGGAGAATGCCTGTGTTGCTAAGGGTTTAACACTGAAGAATTCCGTTGGAGCATACTAAGCTAGAAGAGGGCTCTCTGAGCTTCTAGCTGAGTTGATAATTAACATTTGATGTTCTCTAGTAGCAGTCATGCAAGTGTTTAACCTTGAAACATGCGATTAAGGTATTCAATTGCAAATCTCCATTTTGAAAGGTTTTTTGTTCTCAGGCACAGAGAGAGAAGGATGTGATAAGATGCCTCTCCAGCAGCTGCATACCCTTAGGCTGGATGCAGACTAATGCAAGCTATGGGAGAGACAGTGTTTTGGCCTTTGCTCTGATCCTAATTATGTTATTTATATATCTAAGAAGAAGAGCCTATGCTTGAATATGTATATCCTTTATACAGCTTTCTGGGTGCATCATTGATGGTTTTTGCACCTGTTTTGAAGAAGTTCTGGTTAGTAAAGCTTTGAATAATATTTATGGGTCTGGACAATTTTTATTCCAAAAGGATTCAGTTTTTATGCATCCAGTTGCTTCAAGTTGTACAATATTAATATCTGCAATACTGCATCACACCGGCTCTCAGAACTGCCATTCCTGTATATTTCTGAAGCCATTTGCACACTTGTTGGATACATAAGAAAAACTGGATCAGACTGAAGGCCCATCTAGTCCTATATTCTGTCGCCCACAGTGGCCAATCGGATGTCTATGGGAAGCCCACAAGCAGGATATGAGCACACTAGCCTTCTCCTGAAGTTTTTTACACCAAGAATAACTGTTCTCTTTTTTCTTCTTGTCCAGCTTGAGCAATGGAAGTGTGGTCTACCAATGTTGGCAAAGGAAGCAACAGATCAGGCTTCTCTCTTAGAATCAGTCTCCAGCTACCTGAAAACCTTTGCCTTGTAAATCAGAAAATGACTTTCAGCTTCTTCAGTGGAATGCCAGCCCTAAACACCGCCAAAAGTGATCCTCTCTCCACATCCTCATACATAAGGATGGGCAAATCTGTCAAGTTTTCCAGTTTGGTTCTCCACATCAGTTTGCAAAAAGAAAAGAAAAAAGTTGTCATCAGTATTTTTGTATGAATTTCTTCCACTACACACATCTTTGTATGCAGTTTTGACTAATATATCCTTTTTTTTTTTTTTTTGCAAATTACTGCTAATATGACATCTTTGTGCATTATATTTGCTAATATATACATTTCTAGGCACACTTTACCCCAGTCATTTATACATTTCTGTAGACACCACTTGGCTGGAGATCTACATCAGAAAATTCTCAGAAATGTGGCTTTCAAAGGCTGGCTGTGTATCAGTTCCTGTATTCTTTCAGAAAGCGTGAATTAGGTAGGTTCACCTTTAAATGTGAGTTCTGTTTCTCCCCCATCCGTACTCACACAGCCAGTTAATGAAAGCAGATTCAATAACCTTTCAGCTACACCTTGTTATGTAACTGGAATGTGTGATCTTTCAAAAGAACTATTTTATGAAAATTAATTTGCATGTATGTATAACAAAGGTGACAATATTATCCCCCCAACACTGTCCTCAAAAGTACTTTTCTATATATGAAGTTGGCCAGCATTTTTAATGCAGGGAAAATAGTTTTCTGGAAAGGAAAATAATGCAACTTTGGAAGGATTTCCAAAGAGGTTGGAAGATTGCATTTGAAGATGGGATATTCACATATTACATGCCCCAACTCCAAAACAACAATCCTGGATGAAGTATTAGGGCTGAATTGCAGGTTCTTCATCTCTGCCTTATTGAAATGAATATGAGGGTTTGAGCTGAAGATATTAGAAAAGCTTTTTGTACTTGTCCCGACTATCATTTATCAACCCTATACATAGTTGATCACATGGAATTGATTAGGAGGCGAAGGGCTGGCATCTCCCTGCCTTGTACTCATCAAGCACATTCAGGCTGAAATGGAAGGAACCATTTATCTTCCAGCAACTGCTTGAACCACTTTTCTGAGGCCAACGCTGGGAATTCTGGTTCTATATATCATGCACACTGCAGAGAGAGAAGGGGCCATAGGGATCTGTTGAATGGCAAAAGGCTGCTCCAGTGCCTTCAACAAAAGGTTATTTTAAAACTGGAGGAAAATCAATCTTGGAATTGATTTTGAATAGAGCTACTTCATCTATATTGCCTCTGTGAAATCTACAAAACAGATTGCATAAAAATGGAGAAGATTTATATTTATGATTTACATACATATATTTCCAGATTATAGTTCAGGACATAATTAAAACTAAGAGATTTAGGAAAGTTGGGCTGCAATCCTATTCTCACTTACCTATTCTCACTTACCTATTCTCACTTACCTGGGAGTAAATCCTTTTGAAGTCAGTGAGACTTACAGAGCAATCCAAGCTATAGGAAACCAGCATAATTTGTGCCTAGGGCAGATTATCCTGGTGTAATTTACCCCTATTCCAAACGCCAGCCACTGGGTAATGCTACCCAACTCAAAAGCTTGCTCGCTATTTTTGTGATTTTTGGTTCGTACTGATAAAGATATTTCGCTACTGTGGATTTTAAATGTTACAGTTCAATAGCTGAAAGCACTCATATATATGCTAAAACGTTTGTACAACTTATCTGCTTTAAATGTTGTTGAAATAAATGGAACTGTTGATGAATTGATTCCCAAGTTTAGTTGTTCTGAAGCAGGCATTGGAAATCTAAAGCCTGGTAGGGGCCCTAATTTGCCCCATATGGCCATTTCCCTCCAGCTGTGCCCACTTGCCCCACAGTGTTCCTCTGCTATCAGGTGACTGATTGACTGATTATATAAGTGCATCATTTTTCATTTTTCTCTCTTTGTGTGTCACACCCATCTATATCTTGGAATACTGTTCCAAGTAAACAATGCTGAAGTATTCATTTGAAACCTACCAGTTAAAGAACTGTTCTAGTGACCTTGAGAATGGGGCATTTATCTCCCCACACCACCACCCAAGACGTTGTGCCACAGTTTGGCTTTGTAGCTGTATTATTACACACCACCCACTTCACTAAAAGAAAGGCCCTGGGTCTGGATAACCTCTTTAAACAGTTGCTTTTAATGAAATATTTCCAATAACGGGTATAGCAGTGCAGTAGCTTTCCAACAGACAGAACAGAAAAGGTTGTGGTGATCCATTGGAAGATCAATCCTTGGAATGTAAAGCAACAAGGAGCTGAGATTTAAAATGTTACTCTTTCCACATGTATTTGTAGAAAATGGATACGTTTCAAGTTCTTTCAATCATAAGCCACGTCTTCTCTCCCTTTCCTATGCAGATTGTGTTACTTATTTGAACATCACTTGTTCTTCAGCAGGTCACCCAGCTAAAATCAGGAGGATTTATATGTGAAACAAAACCATTCACTGTTTTTAAAGGCAGCATTTCAAAGAAGTTCATGCAGACTTCTCAAGGCACTGGGATTTGCACTGAAAGCTATTGTAGAATAGTGTGTGTTGTCTGCTGCCACCTAAAAACATTATTTGCACATTCAGGGATTTCATATTAGAGAAAATGAGAATGGTCCACAGATATCCTATATAGTCTCTAGATGTCATTCTGGGTCCCCTCAAATCCCACCCCATCTCTTAGGCAGGGGGTTGGATTCTACAGAAAGAGAGGCTGCTAAAAGAGGCCAAACCAATTTTTGGTTAAGTGAATGGCTCTAGCCAAGCATGTTAAATAATACCTTTGTTGTGTTAAACTGGGGTCAAAATGGTGCATAGGAACTAAGAGTTGGAGACCTTTCCAGAAGGTAGGCTGAGGAGGACACACTTTTTCCCCTCCCCTGGCTGAAGGTGATGTTGTGGGTCTGTGGATGGAGTAGCCAGATTGGTAACTGGAATCTGGTAAAAAGGGAGGGATTGTGGCCCTCAAAATGTAACGGGGACCAGTACCTGTTGGAGTGCTAATGCTGTGAACCACCTATCCTGTATATATGTGCAAATAGAACTGTATATACAGTGGTACCTCAGGTTACATACGCTTCAGGTTACATACGCTTCAGGTTACAGACTCTGCTAACCCAGAAATAGTGCTTCAGGTTAAGAACTTTGCTTCAGGATGAGAACAGAAATCGTGCTCCGGCAGCAGGAGGCCCTATTAGCTCAAGTGGTGCTTCAGGTTAAGAACCGTTTCAGGCTAAGTACAGACCTCTGGAACGAATTAAGTACTTAACCCGAGGTACCATTGTATTACAAGGACACTGGAATCTCAAGTGACCTTCATTCTGTGGAGATAACCACAGTATGTGTGGAGACCTTTGCAGTCTCTTACTGCTCAGGGACTGGGGTCTGCCCCATACAATGCACATAATAGCAAATTCACTCTCTGGGAATGGATGCTTCTGGGGTTGTATGCAAGGCGACTCGGTGCAGACCAACTGAAGTTAATGAACCTTAGTTATGTTCATGAATTTCAGTGTGCCTACTCTGATTCAAACATAGTCGAGTAATAATGATAATAATAATAATAATAATAATAATAATAATAATAATAATATAATAATAATACCCCACCCATCTGGCTGGGTTTCTCCAGCAACTCTGGGTTGCTCCCAACAGAATATTAAAAACACGATAAAACATCAAACATTAAAAACTTCCCTAAATAGGGTTGCCTTCAGATGCCTTCTAAAAATCAGATAGCTGTTTTTTCTTTGACATGGGAGGGTGTTCCACAGGGTGGGGGCTACTGCTGAGAAGGCCCTCTGCCTTGAAGACCACCCTAGAACCAAAGCAGCTCCAGTCACATACATAAATGAGGGAACAGCAGGCTATGGGGAACCCCAATATGTGCAAAAGTAAAAAAGCAAAGCCCTTTAGAAAGAAACCTTAAAGGGAGGCAGGGATCCCAAATAGATCAGTGAGGACTGAGCATGCTCAGTGGGCACAGAATGTTGATTGGCTGCTGGCAAAGGAGTATTGGAGTATCCTAGAAAAGGATTGGTTCAAATCCTGAACATTCCAGTAGTGCTCCAGATGGTGCCATTTTGTTGCAGGTCCTGCTTGCTTCCCACAACGTCTGTCTTGTTGAGGACAATGGGGAACCGTTGTGCATGAGGGGTTCAGTGTGGGGAATAGAGCGACCAGATCACAGCCGCAGTATTTGTACACGTGGCTTAGTAACAGCAAGAGAGCTCTTTGCCAGTTACGTTGGGGAAGCAGGCAACCTGATCCACCACCAAGAAGCGTAGAGAGTCCATGGATTTAGGTTGGTTTAGTTAAAGTCTCTGTAAAGCTAACTAAACAAAATCAGCTTAAGTCCACATGCCCCAGTTTAACTATTCTGTGAACTGGGTAGCTGTTGGATGAAATCCAGGTAATCTGCCTTCAGTGGCTTGGGGATCATGACTTCTGCTGGCAAAATGGAAGGTTGTCATAATTCCCAATGAGCTGCAGGTTAGATTCCCAGTTCTGTTAATAAAAAGTAGATAGACAGACACCAATGACTGTCACAAGTTTCCAGTAAGGTTGTTCGGGTTTTTCTCCGAAACAAAGAAAAACAAACACAATTCTCCACCCTCATTTCTAGTGAATGGGAACAGTGCTGAGAGATACGACAGGATTAAAAGAGAATGGATTGTTTTCACAATGTGTAGCTAAAAACAGATGCTCAGCACTGTTATTTTATTAGTAATGGCATTCATGTTTTGCTTCTCAGAGGTGTGCTTTAGATTGATGGGAAGTAAGAGAACACCTTGCTTAAACTGATGTTTTACAACCCAAATTCTGTACATGAGGAGCACTTTTTGCCTGTAACAAGCCAGCAGTGGACATGTGAATCCCCTGTTCTTCTGAGATTTGTAAATTCATAGCAGATGCGATGGAAGGAAGACAGCTTTCTCTCTCTGGGCATCATTCAGGGCCCAAATGCACCCTCCAGCAGGACCGTTTTACAGATCAGTTTCTCAAGGTCATAAAAAATAAATGTAAACGCTCCTGGAAGAGTCCGTTAACATTTGTACTGCTGCATTATGCATAAGTCTTACCCTCTTAGGGCATGGCTAAACTTTGCTAGATTCCATTAGGCTTTCCCCATTTTATGTTGCTAAGAGCTGGCCAAAAAGGAAAAAGAAAAAAGAACTCAAACTGGGGAATCCTGGTTGTTTCATAGCCTTTGCTGAGATCTTTCTAGACATTTTTAATAATACTGCACAACCTTCCTTGAAGTTATATTCCCGCATTGCATTTCAGGTCAAAACTATGTATAATGTGAGAAGTTATTCTTTTATTCTCCTGAAATGTTGTTTTGTTGTTTGCCGTGTTGTTTTTATTGTAATTATCTGTATGTTTTAATAGATTGCATATAAAATATATAAAAGTTTTAATTCTGTTAATGTGTAATTGTTTTTTAATGATCCATCCTATGTTTTAGCTGCTCCTATTTTATCTGTAGGGACGCGGGTGGCACTGTAGGTTAAACCACGGAGCCCAGGACTTGCTGATCAGAAGGTCAGCGGTTCGAATCGCCGCGACGGGGTGAGCTCCCGTTGCTCGGTCCCTGCTCCTGCCAACCTAGCAGTTCGAAAGCACATCAAAGTGCAAGTAGATAAACAGGTATTGCTCTGGCGGGAAGGTAAACGGCGTTTCCGTGTGCTGCTCTGGTTCACCAGAAGCGGCTTAGTCATGCTGGCCACATGACCCGGAAGCTGTACACTGGTCTCCTCAGCCAATAAAGTGAGATGAGCGCCACAACCCCAGAGTTGGCCACGACTGGACCTAATGGTCAGGGGTCACTTTACCTTTACCTTATTTTATCTGTAAGTCCCTGTTAGGGGGAAAAGGCAGGGTAAAAACAACAGCAGCAGCAACAACAACAACTGACTCATTTATAATTTAAATCAGAAGTGGGGAGCTTGTTGTGAACTTCAGCTGCCAGCACCCTTGGTCAGGGATGAAGAAAGTCTAATTTAGGGTTGACATATGTCCAGAATTTCCCAGACATAGGTGGCAATCAGCTGTTGGAAACTGTGTCCAGATGGGAATTGCTGAAACTTCAATTTTCTTTGGCCAATTTTTTTCCATAAAGCTCATCAACTTTTCTGTTTTTGTTTTTTTAAATATCACAACATCTGGAGGGCCCACATGTTCCCCAACTGAAACTAAGTTAAAGCAGAGGTGATCATCCAGAAATTCCCAGAATAATTTGTGAATTCCCTGGAGCCTAGGACAAAGGGCATTTTTCAATTCACTGTACCCTGCAGGGAATACCTCCCCTTGGTAGAATGGCTGCTTAATTATTGACACCTGAAGCACCTTAGCAACCTGGGAGGGATTGCTTTGAAGACTGAAGCAAGAACTGGCATCACAATGGCTGAGGAAGCTCAAGTGAGTTTTCAATTAGCCAAAGTAGTTCTTTGATACTAGAAACCAATTTTGCTTATATTTTCAACAACAGCAACAAAGGGGTTGGAAGCAAAAGAGAGAGAAGAAAGTATTTTGTTTCTGTATCTCATTGCACAAGTCTTGTTAGGAGAAAGGGGCCGTCTTGTTTGTGAATACAGTTTATTCCCAGTAACACAGTAATTACTATTTGTGCATCTGTTTTTTGAAGCCATGTGGATCAAATGTTGGGCCCAATGAAGTTGCATCCAGACAGCACTTTATTCTGTTTCCCTGACATTTCCTTACCTGATAATCCCATCATGCTATATTATCTTTCACTACTGCTTTATTCTACTAGTTTTCCAGAAGTTTGGTACACATTTTCATGTTATTTGCTTCCAGAAAATAATTTGTTTCTAACCCCACTAATCTGGAAAAGTGTGGGGATTTCTGCTCAATAGCAGGTATTTTCTTCTGTTCTTTCTGTGCTATTCAATGTCATTTCCTCTCCCATATGTAAAACCAACAGATGTCTTCTTTTTGCCAAGGCTTTAACTGACCCTTAATATCAGATCTTGATTTATGTTTTTGAAGTCCCCAAATTCCTGTTTAATTTCTTTTCTTAAACAAAGCTCTATACTATAGTTTTATGCCATGTTTTTATTTTCATTATATTGTTTCTTATATTGTACAGTATTTAGGGATTTTTTTTACAAAAATGCTAAGCAGCTTATACATGCTTTTAAGTAAACAAATAAAAATATAAGAGTATTTCAGCAAATGAGAACAGCATTACTCTGCTCCTTGTGGTACATTGAATGGTCCCATTCGCGACATAGATTTAAAGCACTCGTATGCCACTTTAATGGTTATGGAGAATCTAGGAACTGCATTTTGTCAAGGGTGCTGGGCATTGCAGATCTGTGAGGTTTACACTCTTAACAAACTATAGTTCCCAGGAGTCTTCCAGGGAAGCCATGACTGTAAAATCAGTATATGACTGCTTTAAATCTATGGTGCGGATGTCATCCAAGTTCCATCATACTGGGAAATAGCTTCTCCTTACATGAACCAACCTGGATCCTGTGGTCATCATCTGAGCTCCATCTTTGTGTGCCCCCTCCACAAGAGGTCTGGAGGGTGGCAACATGAGAGCCTTTTCTGCGGTGGCTCCTTGTTTGCAGAATGCTCTCCCCAGGGAGGCTCATCTGGTACCCTCTTTACATATCTTTAGATGCCAGGCAAAAGCATTCCTCATCTCCCAGGGCTTTGGCTGATTGAACAACCTGTGACCTTTTCAATGTTTTGGGGGGTGTTTTTTGGTCATTATGTTATGTATCTTGTGGTTTAATTTTCTGGTTTCATGTTGTAAACTGCCCTGTGATCTTCAGGTGGAGGGTGGTCTATAAATTTAATAAAATAAAAATGAAGAATTAAAAGGGGAAAGCATGCACAGGTCCTAGTGTAAAACTTAAATATTTCTTGCTGACAACTGGCCAACTACCAGACCTGACTGCAGCAAAGGTGATGAACTGGGAAGAACCCCAGCACCAAGTGTAAAGTTATTTTCTCTCTCTCCAGGCATATTATTATTTTCACCCATTTTAAATTTATCCAGTTGAAATGATCAGTGTAAAGCTTTGGACAGAATGAGGAAGTCTATGCAGTTGTTGTTTTTTTTAATTATATTTTTATTGGTTTACAAATACAAAAAAAGAAAACAAAGTTGTACATTCAAACTTCTTAATTACCTCTTAATTCCATTTTTTGACTTCCCTCAATTTGTCTGAACTTCATTCATTTTATAACTTGGAAGTCTATGCAGTTGTGCAGTTAAGTAATAACAGACTCTGGGCTGATGGTGCTAACACCTCTACTCTTTTAAAATGGCAGTATACATTACTCCA